ACCACGCACTTTACCCATTTTAGAATGAAGGTTTCTGAAGAAGCCAGGATTGAAAAAGTAGTTCAAATTTATGAGATGATTTTAAATTTTTTATTCCTCGGCTAGCCAGTAAAGAGGCTTTTGAGCATCAAAGTAAGCGTAGGTAAGGAATTGCAGCCTCATCTGCATGCTCCTCTTGCTTTGAGGGTGACGCAACGCAATGTGATTTCTCGGTAGCTGTACACTCTATAATCAAGCAGACAGCTATAATCACATGGTGTCCTTAATGTTGACAGGGCTGCGGTGTTTGTTGATCTTCAAAATAAATTTTTGTGTCAGAGGTACGACTTCGGCTGGGGAGATGGTGGAGGGATGGAGTGAATCTAGATTGTAACTTGGGACTATTGCATTGATACCGGCTTCGCTAAGTCGAACGTTGGCAAAGCGCAACGACAACATAAAGCGATACAATGAGATGCATTCAAAAAGCAACACTTTTATTCCAGCGAGCAATTTGAGCACAATTTAAACTAGCATATACAAAGATAACAAGTCAAGACAAAGCAAGTACAGTAAGAAGTCAAAACAAGAAACAATCAGTATTATTAGTAGCCCTGCGCGTCGAAGAACATTCCTCTGATATGACCTACCTTTATCTCTTTGCAAATTCTGACCACATCTTTCGTAAAGGCGCCGTTAGCTTGTCTCAAAATAGCTTCGCGGACGTGGGAATGAGATTGATTTCTTGAATTAATCTCTAGAGTCATGATCTGTTTCTTAGGCTTATCAACACCAACAATATGATTATCGGTTAGATTTTTTGACCATGATTTTATATAAAGATCAGTTACGTAGACATTTGAATCCTCAAATTTAATTTAATTGAAAGCTTCTTGGTGTATTCGAACTTTGGTTTTGCTAAGCGGATACTCCTGAGGCTTTTCTGTTGTTCGAATCACGCTCAGTAAGTCTATTCCGCCTGTCGATAAGATCTGCGATCATTATTGCATAAGAATCCGTCATCGAGATGTTCACTTGAGAGTCTGTTAAACTTTAACTCTAGCTGCTACATTCTGCTTTCTAGAGCTTTGAAACGATTTGCGAATGATTGGGGTGTGTCATCATCAAATGATACCTTTTGTTTAGCTTTTATGCGAGAGGTCTTTATAAATGTATTACCATTGCTGCACGCACGAGAAGTATCTGGCGACTTGAGATAAAGGTCAAACTCGTTTTCGCTGACTTTATCAGTACTGAAACCAAACTGGCAGAGTCGATACTCTGCATCAGCTAAACGCTGAGTGAGATCATCGTTGCTGGGATTATTTTATTTGGAATTCGGATGGGTGCTGATATCATTTTGAATTCTGATCTGCACTGGGTGAGATGTTTGACATGTTCAACAGATATTAATTTGTTGATGGTTGAGTGGTAAAATGATGATGGATGCATCATAGTCTCAATAAATGAAATCAAACCCTACTTACCGCACATTACTCGCATGAGCAACAGTTTGTCTATGCCTTTAGTATCGTTCATCTCAGCAACACCGCTGATATCACCAAAGATAGCACGCTGCTAATCAAGTATTGGGGCGAAATGATGACTAAGATTATCTAGACACAATGCTTCCTCTTAATACCTGATCTGCGCCTGCGATTAGCAATCGATTGGAGAAAAGAACAGCTCGAGAGATGGTGAATGTAGAGTAAGTGTAGGATAAATGTATTTGAAATAACATACACTTCCTCAGTAGCTAACCCGCCAACTTCAGCCTACATTCGATTGTTGTCTTTTGCCTCTCTTCTCGGTGTGTGTCGATATCTTCCAGCCCGTCCAACAAGTCAAAGTCCAAATCTGTGTAGGATTTGCTAAATGATCCTCTCGCAAACTCCATAATCTCATTGTCGTCTGGGACTAATCCTTTTGATCTCGCTCTGCGGAGGAAGGCCTGTACGACGTGTCTGCCTGTGTGGTAGCCAGCAACGAGAACGACTCTCGATGAATCGCTCTTTTTCAAGGACTGTAGCAGAGTTTCTATTAGACTCGCATGAGAAAAGGAGTCCCAGATAACATCAGCTGCGAGTATGACATCAAATCCATCTTTTGTCTTGCTCAGCGACCTCAAGTCATCGACATCCTTCCCCCAGCAATGAGGCAGTACTTTGCAAACACCGTTTTTGTTGTTATCTTGTACATTTTTGCGTAGATTGGATATAAGATTTGGATCGTCGTAGTCAGTGACTAGGACAAAGGATGCAGGTCGATGTATACATCCTGCTACTATCCCTGATAAGCCAGTACCTGCACCGACCTCTAATACTACCTTGTTGTCTATGCTGATTTCACCGTTCAGCAAGCGATCCGCTGTGTGTAAACCACCTTTCCACTGTCGATGCGCAAATATCTTCTCATGCTCAGGTCGTGGTATAGTTATCTTTATACTGAGCTCATCAGATATCGGGTAATCGAATTCGACGCCTGGTTCTCCGATGGAAGACTACTGATGTTTGTGAGTGTGCGTAGATAATAAATTTACCACACGCGACACGCACAGGAACTAGCTTTGAGTGTTGAGAAATCCTAAAGTCATCCAATAGCATCTTTTGGTATGAGTCGAAACGAGCAGAGAGGAGTACAAGAAATCGATCCAAATAAAATTACAACAGGCAGCGTCTAGTAGTGTCTAGTTGAACATAATATAGCATAGCAGAGCATTTCAATTCTCACCACTTGATAGCACCTTATAGCATGCTGTTCAGCTTTGAGCCGAGAAAGATCATCCCGACAAGGAAACCGATCATGACAGCGTCATTAAGAGAGAATCTGCTACCGCCTTTTCCCGAGGCTGGTGTTGATTTTGGAACTGGCCTGGGAATGTGCCGGTCAATTGCATCATCAGGCTTTATCGCAGCAGCTTTGCTATCTTCCAACCAGCGTATTTTCTCTTTGAGCAAGGATAATTCAGCTTTGGTTGGATCAAGCAATTCTTTCTCGAGCGTGCGCGTGCGCTGTTCCGCACAATTGCTCACGTCTCTCCTGAGTAGAGTTATCGCAGTTTTGATGTTATCCAGCTCGCTATTGAGGGTTGTGAGGTTGGGTGCGATATGCTGCTGGCTACTCTTAAGCAATTCCACGTCTCGTTCAAGTTGTGCCACTCTGGCTTCGACGGTGGGTGGGAATACCAAGCTATCGTCTGTCGTGGTTGGTGGTGGCATCAACACGAAATCGTCATTCATATCATTTTCATCACTTTCATCGCTTCCACTCTTTTTGCCAGCTGCTGATTCTGGGGCGACGATAGCCATGTCGACAATACCATCTGCATGCATACGGTGGGGTATCATTGCATCATTTTCAGAGTCACTGTGCTCGAATAAGATGAAATTTCGCGTAAATATAAACATTCTTACTCCTTGACAGCCTTGCGAACGCCTATTGACATTGGGCTAATGGATGAGTGTGGAAGAGGTCGGAGTGAATGGCATTGGCGGGTTTGTGAGAGTTGCAAAAGAATAACAGGCGATCTGCAAGTAGAAGTCGAATACAATTAAGCCTCTAGTACGAGAAATCACAAAATGACGTCATATGAAGGATTAGAGGAAATAAGGGAGATTCGAAATAGATGAATAAATGAATAGTACATGGAATGTAGGCTATTTAGAAGCACACAAAATCCGACAAGCCGTTTCAATTAGACAGACCAGAACCCCAACCGGCAGTGAGGTAGTGAGAGGGGTGGGTGTCCTTAACTGCGGTATTCTTGAGCGCGACGCCAGAGAGAGCGACGAGGCCGAGGCCACCGAAAGCGAGATCCTTGATAGAGTTTGAGTTTGAGTTTGAGGTGGGTTGTGGAGTAGGTGCTTTTCCACCGCGAGCCAAATCCTCAAACCAGTTATTAGTGACATTGCGCTGATCAATTACTTGCTGCTTTGTTGGTGGTGCGTCCGCCTTAGTGAATGGGTGTGTTGGCTGTGTCTGCTGCTGTGATGGGATCAGGTTAGTGTAGAGTGGATTTTGGCGTGGATCATCCCAAGTGACGTGCGCAGGGGTTTGATGAGTGCTGTTGAGTGTAAGAATACATCGTCTATTAGCCCACCACCCACTCCACGTAGAAGAATGCTTGCTGGTTTCTATCGTATTCTTTGATCCTGGGGAATGTCAGCCTAAGCACAACAAACAATCCACTCTCACCATCCAATTGGCAGCGGTGGTTCTTCGTATGACATTCTGGTCGATGTCGATGATGACGATGATGTCGATGGTTGAATATCAACAGCCACGACGTAATACAAAGTAATGCCGCTGACTAAGAAACAAATATTAGCGTCATCTGCGTTTGTTATTCCGGGTGAGTGGGGCGTGTCTTTTACTCCACCTCTCACTCTCCACAGCTAGCCTTGTTTTAGGCGTATACCTCCGCGAACGGCAGCAGGATGTACATCCAGATATAGCGCAAACCACACAGAGAGAACCCATACAAAACACTCAAGATCTTCACAACCACATGCAATCCAAGCAATTCCAGCAATCCTACCATTCCCAACTGAAATCACTCAAACAAGAGCATTTCTTCCTCGACAATCAACTCAACAGGCTTGAAGAGAAAATAAAGAATACTGAACAACGTATGCATGTGTAGTTAGTTTGTGATGTGTATATTGTGTTATTTTGTAATGTCTCAGGTTATAACAGTAGGCTTCTCTCTTCCAGTGAACTCTTGCAACTTAGACAATTGCAAAGCAACCTCGATAAGTGGCTTCAACCCAACTTGCGCATCTTGCTGATATTCACCCTTCTCCGTCGAGTACTTCTCCACATACAGTCTGATAGTCGCTCCAGCCGATCCAGTGCCAGACAATCTAACGACGATTCTTGATCCATCGCTAAAGACAACGTAAAGACCTTGGTTCTTGGATACTGAGCCGTCGATTGGGTCAGTGTAGGAGAAATTACCTGTTTCTTTAACGGTGAATCTAGTGTCTGATGTTGTCGCCTTCAATTGAGCACCTTGGATGGATGCGAACGAGTTTTGCAAATGATCAATCATCTTACCCGCACCATTCGAGTCAACCTCCTCGTAATCATATCTTGAGAAGAAGTTACGACCGTACTTGGTATAGTGAGCTTGGAGGATATCCTTAATGTTCCAGCCCTTGTGTGATTCGTTGGCAGCAGCGATGATGTTGAGCCATGCTACAATCGCCCAAAGGCCATCCTTCTCTCTAATGTGGTCGGAACCCGTACCAAATGACTCCTCACCGCAGATGGACAGTCTGTCAGCGTCCATGAGGTTACCGAAGAATTTCCAGCCAGTTGGGACTTCGAATCCTTCAACACCCTTAGCCTTAGCGACTCTATCAATGGCACCAGAAGTTGGCATCGATCTCGCTAACCCCTTCAAACCACCTTTGAAGTATGGAATGACGTGTGCCCAGTCGGCGATGATTGCAACAGAATCTGAAGGAGTGACGAAAACACCCTTACCGATAATCATGTTTCTGTCACCGTCACCGTCAGAGGCAGCACCGAAAGTGACTTGATCCTTCTCAACGCGCTCAACGAGATCGTGCGCGTAGGTGAGGTTAGGATCTGGGTGGAGACCGCCAAAGTCTGGTAGTGGGGTTGCATTTTGCACGCTATCCTTGGAGAGGCCGAGTTCACCGAGGAAAAGAGCCTGACCGTAGCTGCCAGTAACGCCAGACAAGCCATCAAAGAGGAATTTGAAGGAAGGATTCTCATTAAGGAATTTCTTGATGAGAGCAAAGTCGAAAATGCTCTTGAGTAATTCAACGTAGTCAGATACAGAGTCAACGACGTCAACTTGCAAGTTACCGTGTTTGTAGCTGCCAATCTTGCTCAAATCGAGGTCAGGCAATTGAGCGATTGAGTAAGTGGACATGGTCTTTGTGATGTTGAATATGTCATTGGTGACAGATTCTGGAGCAGGACCGCCATTTGCGACGTTGAACTTGATACCAAAGTCGTTATCTGGACCACCTGGGTTGTGTGATGCCGTCATGAGAATACCGCCGTCAGCCTTATACTTTCTGATCAAGTTGGAGGCAGCAGGGGTGGAGAGGATAGCATTCTGGCCAACGATGACCTTGTTAACGCCAGCAGCTGCACACAGCTTGAGTACTTTCTGTGCACACTCAATGCCGTAGTAGCGGCCATCACCGCCGAGAACGAGAGTAGAGCCTTTGGCGGATGGCGCTTTCATGGCTTGCAGCGTGGCCCATACAAAGTTTTCAGTGTAGTGGTCTTGCTGGAACACTTTAACGCTGAAACGTGTGAGGTGGTGAGACGTGTTAGTAGAAGCTACTCACCGCTTTCTCAGACCAGAAGTACCTGGCTTCTGATCTTGAAATGCTTTTGTTTGGACAGATTCAACGGACATGCTCGATGTTGGTGTAAGAGGGAGCGTGTTGGTGTGTCTGAATTTTATAATTTTATATTTTACGCGGAAAAAAGAATATTAAATAGAAAGACATTCAAGGAATTTGTATCTACATATAATAATTCTACTCTCACTACCATTCATACACGTCGTATTCCTGCACGCTCGAGCACCTCTGAGTTCGGACGTTCGCAGCGACCATGTTCGCAGCACTGCATCTTCACCTACAATGCATAGGTGGGCATCACTAGCACCACCCACCACTGTGAATGGCAGCTTCACCACGTTTCCGTTTTTATTTCCGCGGAGTGACGACATAAACATCTTTCTCCGAATATCGTACAGAAACAGTTGGCTGAACATTGTAGATATAATGAACACACTCCCTTCACCTAGCCTCCAGAGTCGGTTTACTGATTTGCTGAATACGTGCACCGGCCTTGCTGGCTCAGCACGCCCCCGCCAGTCATGCAAGTGCAATTCCCCGTTGCGTAAGCCACAGATAGTCTCATTCGGTGAGAGTGCAGCGACGGAGATGACATCTGATTTGTACCTGATCCTCTGTGCACGCTGAGTACTCCTGTCAATCCTATTCAACGTCTTCCCAACTGCGAGCAAATACCGCTGGCCATCCCAAGCGCAGTCCATGTAGTCTGGATTGGGAATGCTAGCTATATGTACGAGTGACTGTGCATCAAAGTTGCTGTGGGTGTTTTCAGTGTGAGTGAGTGTGTCTTACACCAACAAACGTACGTCTCGAACAGATTAGTTACGTTAGAAGCGACTTTGATAATGCTATTGGGGTTGTAGAGATTGTGTGAGTGTGTGTGAGTGTACAGGCACTCCCACTTACCCAACTCGATGTGATTGCGATTCTCCAATTCCACCGCGGAATTCTCCACCGGCAACAGCTACAGCACCTCCACCTCCCACCACACCCACCACACAACCTGGACTCGACTCAAGTATAAACCTGCGCTGATCACTCTCAAGATCCACTAACTGCACCTGTGAATTCATCTGCGAAGTGGCCACTACTACCTTGCCATTGCCCAATTGCTGATTTTACGATAAGATGTGCGTGATCGGCCAAGTCGCTTAACTCACAGCAATTGCGCGAATCGGGTAAAAGTGGTGGTACTTTCGTGCAGTAGCAGTACGCAGTAGCTTGGTTGTCTGATTGTTTTTTAAATCAAGTATGTCTGTGTAGCGGAGGTGGAGTGGGCGGTGAATGTGGATGTTGTGATTTGGTGTGATTGGGGTATTCGTTGAAGCAATCGTTTTCGTTGTAGTGCTAGTACTCTTATTCTTCATCGACAATGGATAGTACTTGCTCCTCTCTTCATCCCACCACAACCCAGGCAACTCTCCGATGAATGGCATAAGAAGGCTTCATTACTAGTTAAATTACAGTTTAAAAAGAGTGTTAGTGTATTACAGTTGACTAAGTTAAAACAAGTGTTGAATAAAATATCTGTCTTTCTATTATGCCTTGTCTTCTTTTGAAAGTTTTCTTGATTGATTGATTGATTGATTATTATATCCGTGTATCCAATGTCTTTTTCTTTTGCTTGATCCGAGTTGAAATTTTATTGATCCAATGCTATTTTTTGTGCTTTTTGCTTCTTGCTTTTTGCGTGTACGTGTAAAGCTACGCCTGCGTCAGCTTCTGATACTGTTGATTATACATTTGATGGTAGTCTGAGTGCAGAGGTGGAGGTGATTCTGGCGTGTGTTGTGATGCCTGATTTCTTTGTGCTAATGCGTGTGCTGTTGCTTGTGCTGTGGTTTCTGCTGCTGCTGCTGCTGCTCCTGCGTCTGCTCCCGCTCCCGCTCCCAAATCTTCCTGTGTCTTAGCATCTGCATGCAATTGCTGTGCTGAATATGTTGCATTTGATGCACTTGCGCTCTTCTTGCGAGAATGTCCTCCTGACATGGGTGCAGGCACAAGTATTCTCCTCCTAGCGTTAATGAACCAGTTAGATGTTTGTGTCAGTGTCAATCCCGTCACTGAGCATAACATTTTCTTCTCATCCTCCGTTGGATAAGGATATCCAGCGTGTTCCATTAACCACTTCCTCAGTGTCTCAGTAACCTGTTTCGGCAGTTTCCCTCTTTTCCTTGGCTGGTCTGACTTGGTTGGTGAAGATGCTTTTGCAACACACTGACTTTGACTTTGACTATGACGCAGACCGACGCTCATCGTGTTCGACTCTGGGATGCTTATTGGTGACTGCTGCATCGCTTTCAAGAACGGGTCGTGTACTTCTGACACGGGTGACGTGAGCACGTTGGGCGACTCAGCGTACGATGAAGTAGAGCTTGCCGAGAAGGACGATGATGTTGAGGACCTCCTGTCCGCCTCACTCAAATCACCCACCTCCTCCGCGTCGTTGAGGAGATACCAGCTGTTGTTGTATGCGCGTGGTGTAGTGGCTTGCGTGGGCAATGGTGTAGTTGCCGTTGTCGTAGGCATCCACCAATTAGGATACGCAAAGTTAAGACTCGCCGTGCTGTCGTGATTCGGGTAGAAATACGAGCTGAAGCCGTAGTCAATGTCATTCTCCTTGTTGTTGTAATCGAGCCCGAGAGCGTTGACGCCAGCGTTGACACCGACACTACCCTCATCAACCACCTTCCTCTTCTTCATGTTGATAGCTTGAACGGGGGAATTGTCCTGCGTAACCGGACCCGCTAGACTCATGGGCGAGGAATCCAAATAGCCCATTGAATAGTCATGCAGATTGCTCTCTGCGCCATCCAGACGCAATCGCTTCACCGAAGGCTGGCTCGAGTCGGGGGAAGGCGGGAATGTGTAGTTTGGGAGCTGCGCAGGTGTAAGAATGTACATTCGCGCCTGCCAGCCAGTTAACTCACACCAATGGAATGAAGAGGCGAATGGGAAGGCGTGGTCGATGGAGACAGTGGTGCGTTAAAGTTGAATGACTCCATTGCGTGTCTGTGTGGTTTGTGTGTTGTGTGTTTTCTCGCTGTCGACTCTCAAGAAGACATTCCGCTCCCAGCTTTTATCAATTTCACTTTCTGTGCCTGGAATGTACCGGCGTATCGCTGTCATCAATTTTTAATTCGAACATCCTTGCCCGGTGGAAGGTATGCATGGTCATTGATATCGTATTTGATATGGTATTTGGCATTATTCTAAATTCAGCCATTTCACTCTGTTATTTCCCCGTCTCCCCTTCCTCCTCTCTGCGCCTCTCCACAACCTTAATTTGGCGAGCGGTTTAAAATTACTACCGATGATCTCATCTTAATTTAATCGCGGGCAACTGTGGCATGTAAATTATTTTTTTAATTATTTTTATTTTATATTCTACACGTTAGCAATCCATTCATGTATAGCCCTCCACCGACTAATGCATCCCCATTCCTCTCTAGCGTCGTGACCGAGCTGGCGAATTGCCCATCACTTTGTATTACCGAGTGTATTGAATCCTTCTTATTCCCTTTGAGTAATCTCCTTTGCGCAACTTCCCCTTCCCCGCGTGTTTCTTCCATTTCCTCCTGTTCCTTGTCGACCTCTATAGCCACTACCCAGCTCATTGGATCCTCCGTCTTTCCCTTGCTGCGTACATATCTTGCCAGCGTCGGGTAGTGAGGATGGCCACTTGCCAGCACCACTCCACCTTCCTTATCGTAACTGAGATTATCTACATGGAAGCTGCAGTACCATGCACGTTAGCCGGTGTTGCGCGCGTAACTGAGAAGACGCCGACGTCATCCTCTACTCATCTGCTCGTCTACTCACGGGAGGTGTATCGATCGGAGGTACTCGAGCGCGTCGGTCTGTATGTCACGTCTGTAGAGCAGCACCTGGTTCGTCGTCGTAGACCCTACTGCCAACTTATCGTCGAACGCTACAACTCCATTCGCGTATGCAATGTGCTTAGCTGCACGCTGCACGTCCACTGTACCGTCACCCTCTGCGAACCGCACCAAATTCACCTCTCCGAGCGGCAAGCGCAGGAATGTTTCGAGCATATTGACCACCTTGCCCGCAACAGTCCTGCCTCGCAGCCCGAAGCGGTGATCGTTGGAGACGTAGAACGAGGTATCGTCGATCGCTGCGATGGAGCTGAGGTGCGTGAGTGGTGAGTGCACCGTGCCGTCTGCTGTCTCACTCACTTGGGCGTACTAATGAGAGGGTGGGCGATGCTCGCCACGCGGTGTGCGCGCGCAAGGTCGTAGTCTACGTCAAGCACCTCCACGCGCGATTCTTCCAGGGCGTGGTTAACGACAAAGACGCGCGCACTGTTCACCGGACTGACGCCAATACCTAGCGGGTGCAAATCGAAATCGGCGTCGTCGTCAATCGTTATCGGCATCACTGTCACATCCACTCGCCCATCGAGGTCCTTGTACGGGGCTACCAGTTGCAGTGTGCCGGGTGTGACTATATCGTCAAACACCCCCAGCACCGTGTTGTACGCGAATCTATCATCACATCCTGCCAGCATCGGCGAATACCCCGTGTGCTCGTCTTGTACTTGCCTGATGGTTGCTACATCCTCGCAGTGCTGCAGTCCCACCGCTCGCACTATCTGACATCCCCCACTGACATCCTCACCCCCATAGCGCGCATAGAGATATGGCAGCTGGGGCTTGACGAATATGGAGAAAAATTGAGATGAATATGTTATTAGCTGTGGCAGGAGCACCGTCGCGAGCACGATGAGAATTACGTTCTTGAGCATCTCGCGGTATCTGTTAAAGAATATTATTTATTCAACGTGCGGGCTTACAAAATACTAAATCATTTCATCTTATTCATCACTTTATTGAAACGCGTCTTCAACGTACTCGTACCCTTCTTGTCGTGCTTTGCCTCGAGCGATTTGGATAGGGTGTCGGATGTTTGTGGGGGGGTTGGTGGTATATTGTGATGAGTGTTCGCGCGGGGGAACGACTGCGATATGCTCAGTGAATGGCTCTGTGGTATGTTCGTAGGCACACTCTTGGGCACACTCGCTGGCACATTACCATCTTTGTACGACGAGCTGGTTGAAAAATCTGGACTGTCCCTTCCTGTCTCCGTCTCTGTCTCTGTCTCTGTCTCCGTCTCTGCTGTCTGCTTCTTGTCTGCCCTCTCCGCCTTCTCCGCCTCTGCTGAAACGACATCTTTGAAATCCAATTCAACGCTATCTTCCACAGGATGTTCTCCATACGAGTAGTTGAGCAGCTGTCTCCGCCGGTCAGCACTGTTACTTCCGCCAATCGTCTGCATTATCGTAGTGAAATCCCACTTGAAGCTGTCTGAGCGCGTCATATTCGGTGAATTGTTCTGCTTAGCCTCGATCCTCTCTGTTAGCGGTGCGAGGCCGTTGAGAATGGTGGTGACGAGGTAGTTTGGTTTCTTCGCCTTGCTGTTGAACCACGGACTAGCCAGTAGCTCCGTCGCTGTCGGTCGCTGGTTGGGGTCTTTGCGCAGACACCAGTCTACCACTCTCTTCATTCCCCCCGAGTAGCTGTATGACTTTGAGTGCAGCTGGTTCTGTTCAAGCGTCGGGGATGCCTCATGGATCGTCTTCATCAGGATAGTCACTGGCGGCAGCTTCGCTTTCGGGGGAGTCCCCAGAGTCATTTCGAGAGCAGTAATACCGAACGACCTGGAATTGTTATTGTACTGTGTTAGATTGTGTTCATTTCATTCAAAACACCCCACGCTCACCATATATCAGCTTTTGCATCGTAACGCTTCCTCTCGACCACCTCAGGGGCCATCCAGCAGGGCGTGCCAACAAACGACTGTCTTCTGCCGAGATAGCCTTGCGAGGGGATGCTTGAGGCGTGATGCGGTTTGTTTGAATTATCGTGTTCATTCAAGTTAGAAGCGACGCCAAGATCGCCTACGAGCACGGTGCCATCCTCGTCGACGAGGAGATTGCCCGCCTTGAAATCGCGGTGGACGAAGCCGTTCGAGTGGAGATACTGCAGACCGAGCAGGGCCTGTTTGAGGATAGTGGCGATGACGACCTCGTCGAAGCCATGCGGGTAAGCGTCGCGTAGGATCGACTGCACCGAGCCAGCCTTCATCAGTCTCGTGGCTATGTGCAGGCGGGGACCATCCATCCACATACCGCGCACTCTGAGCACCTGCGAGTGCTTGGACAGCGACAGCAGCTGCAGCTCCCTCCTCAACAGCTCGAGCGTGTGTCGGTTGAAATTATCCACATCTATCACCTTCACGGCACACATGGCTCGCGGGCGATCACCCTTACCGTGGAATCTGGCGGCGTGGACAACGGAACTCGCACCGTAGCCTATCGCATTGAGCATCGTATAGTCCCCCGCTTCGTTGCTGATGGCTTGTTAGAATTTTATGTACTGCCACTGCGGCCACTGCGAGAAGACCAAGACTCACCTGAATAGCTGCCATGGATCACTCTCAGCACCGATGAAATGCGTGTCAGTGTCGTCTTTCTCGTCTTTTTTCCCATTCTTCAAACTGGCCATCGAGGCTGGTGAGCAACGATTGCGTGCGTTGTGCGGCGTGCGTCGTCCGTTGGCTAATGGGTGTGCTGGGTGGGAGCACTACGGCGCGGATGAAAATTAAACTTTATCTTTATCTTTGTCGTGGCGTGCACGTGTATGCGTGTGTCTTCATTATACATCCTTGTCCACTCCCGCCCTTCCTCGGACTCTTTCTTGTGCACCGCCCGTGCCTTAATGTCGCTGGCGTACGCGCTGACAACCCGGTGCATGTCGCGCAAGTATCTCTCACGCAGCCGGCTGTGTCCTCGGCTCGGTCGTCGGCTCTGTTGGATTATATCATCATCACATAATCTGTGGATCCTTTTCGCTGATGATATTGTGTGATGTGATCTGCAGGCTACTAAGCGATATATTGAATGTGAAATTGAATGTGATTTTGTAGAGTTATCGAGTGCGGAGATGCTGGAAATGCTGCTAAATGTACATGTATTTCTATCTTAACATTTACAACACCAGACACTCCAACTAACAGCTATTTCTCCGCAAATTTCTCTGCTTCCGCCTTGTACTCGCGTGCACTCTGCAGCATATCTGCCTCGTCGTAGCCATAATCCACGTCTGTAGTGCCGCTATTTTCGTCTTACTGCGCAGCGTATTCACAATCATACTCCTGGCTGCGGAGATTGTCGAGGTATTTCACGTAGTATGAGTGGGTACGATGGTGTGTGTGTTTGCTGTCCAAATGAACTGCCGCTCTCAAGCTGACGGCGCGGGCCGCAACGACAAAGACGAGTACTGTGTTCAACTGCATTTCTATCCAGGTTGCCCTATTAGAAGCCACTGAATTCCTTATAAATATCCCGTAGGATGTGATTGTGGCTGATAATTTGGCTGCTATTTGCCGCCATTTGCCGCTATTTCCAGACATTTCAAGCGGTTAGAAGCTATTTGGAGATGCTGTGAGCCGAGAGCTGTGCTGCCTGGACAGCCCGCCAAATTATATCTCCCATTTCCCATGTCCAATTCCATGTCCATCTCCACCGTCTTCTCCTTCCTCCCACCAACACCTCGATGAGATTTATTACGGGGGATTCCAACGGGCTGCTGAAGAGTGTGCGAGTGCACGCAGCGGAAGGCGACACAGGCGACACAGGCGACACAGAAATTACTGCTTCGCTGCTCACATCCGACGGTGTAGAAGCGCAAAGGAAGATTACGCAGCTGCAGTACACGCCAGCGACGCGCAAGCTGCTGGCGGCACGTTCCGACGGAGCCCTACAGCAGTACACGCTGTCCGGCAATGGTGAGGCGCTCGCACTGGATGCCGAGTGGACGGACAGCCGGAGCGCGGAGCGCAGCATAGGCGTGGGCGTGGGCAGCGCGGGTGGCACCCAAGTGAATATGAGCGTGACGAGCAGCGGCCATCTCTGCTACACCAGCCCACCTGCACACTCACCCCGCTTCTTCAGCCTCCCTCCGCGCCTCACTTGCATGCGCACCTCCCCCTCTGGACGCTTTATGGCGGTGGGCGGTGTAGAGCAAGAGCCGTCGGTGTGGGATGTGCAGCGGGTGTGTGAGATGAGCGAGGATCACCCTACTGCTTATGCACCCCGCATCCCTCAAGGCAAGACTAAACTGGAAAGGCGCAAGGAGAAGCTGGCGTTGCACGACGGAGAGCTCTGGCGCGCGCGTAATGTCCCTAACGATAACCTCAACCTTCGCTCCCCCGTGCATGTCACCGCCCTCGAGTGGCTCGACGATAACACTCTCCTCACCGGCAGCGCGAGTGGGAGTGTGCGTCTATATAGCTGGCGTGAGCAGAGTGAGCAGGGTGAGCACACAGGCACAAAAGGAAAAGTAGGCACAAAGTCGAACAACTCAAATAGACCGCTGCGCTCAACAGACACGCTCACTGCTAGCCCCATCAGATGTCTGGCGAGAGGGGCTCACGGGAATGTTTTCGTCGCGGACAGTAATTGTGCTCTTATGAACGTAGATACTGCCTCGATGCACCTCCGTAATGCTTACAGGGGCCTCGGCGCGGCGGTGGGCTGTGTCGCTACCACTTCTAATCCCCTCATATCACTTAGTGGTGCGATTGACGGGTTCGTACGCGTTCATTCGACTGTCACGCCAGGAACACACTCCAAGGCTGCCATACTCGCCTCGGCTTTCGTTAAGTCTACCCCTATGGCAATAGTGTGGGATGGGGAGGAGCAGGGTCAGGAGGTGAAGGAGAAAGAACACGTTAGGGAAACAAAATCAGGCAAACACAGCAAAGATGGTAAGAAAAGAGCAGACAGAGATGACCAGGAAAGCGACAGCGAAGGTGAGCTGGATGACGTGCTCAGGGACATGGAAACAGTCACGGGGGAGGATATGAAAGTAAAGCGCAAAGCTGAAGGAAGGAGGACAAAGAAGAAGCGTGTTTAGAAGCAACAACTTAACTTATTGACCTAATTTATAAGTCATAGACATAGAACTACACATGGTGCACCCTTCTAATAGCATCCCAGCCAGCTTTCTTATACCTCAAAGCCTGCTCAGCGGATTTGATGTAATCGACAGAGTGCTCATTCCCCGTAACACCTCTACCGACAATAATGACGTCAGTACCAGCGTCGACGACCTCATCGGGCGTTCTATATTGCTGACCCATTCCATCGCCCTTAACATCCAACCCGACGCCTGGGGTGAGGATGAGGAAACCTTCGTCGAGCGTGCCGAGTCTCTGCTGGGCGATAAAGCCGATAACGAAGTCGCTGTGTCGCCTGGCCATGTCGAGGGTAGCTTGGGTGTAGGAGGAGTCAGCGAGAGAGCCAGCGGAGGACATCTGAGCGAGAAGGAGAAGACCTCTGTTGAGTGGAAGGCCAACCTTCTTAAGACCATGAACGATGCCGTCACCGGGAAGAGCGTGTGCGTTTGTGAGGTGTGACCAAGACGCAATTTTATGGGCGCCTGAGGAGTACTGCAAGGAGACGGTGTTTCCTGGGTGATGGATGAGTGAATGGACTGCTGAGCACTGTCGACACACCGATATCGGCGAATTTCCTATCTTCAAAGATGAGAAAATCGTGTTTGCGGGAGAGAGAAGAGAGAGAGTGCACGAGATTGATATCAAAATCACAGATGATGTCAATATGCGTTTTAATCATGCAGACGTGCGGACCAACAGCATCGACGAGCTGGAGGAGAGTGTCCGAGTGGGTGAAGTCGACTGATACGCAGAGATTAGATTGTTTGCGATTTATTATCTCAAGTAGCTGATTGGCTAGCGGAGAAGACGCAGATCTCTCAAAGAAACTCATCTCTCAGCTTCAACACCAACGACGATGAGCGAGACCAAGGAAGGAGATAAAAAGAATAAAAATGGGAAAAATCAATTAAAATTATCAAATACTGAGATTATTGGCGTTATTGAACGGGTGGTTAGCCAAAGCACCGTTGTCGACACTTGGGATTTATCCAAGGCTGGGATCGATACGCTGCCCGTGCAAGTTATAAATCTCATAAAGCAAGACACTTGTAGACTCGCATTGAGCTACAATAGACTGGCTGGACTCCCAAATGAGATATTGCAGCTGGGGAAGCTGCGATACCTGAATCTACGCGCTAATATGCTAAGTACATTCCCAGTAGTCGTGAGTTTGATGTCTTGTGCTTATCAACCTACTCACACCCCACACACAGCTCACTCACCTCCCAAACCTCGAAATTCTCGAGCTTGGGCGAAATAAGATCAAGAAACTGCCAAAACATCCAGGCTGTCTTGCTAATTTGAAGGTTTTCTCTATTTCTAAGAACAGGCTCACTAGGATCCCTGATTACCTCTCCAACTTCCATAACCTCCGTATCATCAAGCTAGACTCAAATCCGATAGAGTGGCCACCACCAGATGCTTTTGACAGCTTCAACCACGCTGCTTCCTCAGTCACACACCCTGACTACCCTCAGAAACACAAGCTGGACTTGGAAATGGAAGCCTGGGTTGCTGCTCTCAGGCGTTGGCTGAGACATAACCCAGACAGTGGCACTCAAAACGACACACATGATAGTACACCCTCAAACACTCCTTCTCCATTCAATCCACCCACTCCTGACACTCCCAACAATCACTACTTCTCTCCCACTCTCGACGTATACAACTCTGACTACGCTTCAAAGTCATCACATGCTTCTCACGGCAGAAACGCATCCTCCTCCGCAATTTTCCCAAAGCGCAGCATAAATCAGGAGCTTAAAGTGAAAAAAAGTCTTCCCGACATGCGTCACGGCAGCAATAGGATCATCACCGACCCCACGCCCCTCAACGCTACCCTCCACAGAGACGAAAGTCTGTCATTCGCCGTAGAAAGGAAGGAGAGTGTCGATCTCCCCCCAATTCCCACTCTTCCCAGCAGTCTTAGTGGTTTTCCAGGCCCGAGCTCCGTATCTGAAACTGAGACATCCGAGCATAACTGTAGTCGAGAGTATAAACAGGAGCATTATCCGGCAACTCCTCTATCGAGAAACATTGAACATCTACAGAAACAGGCATTGCATTCATCCACAGTCAGCACCACATACAAACACAGACACACGCCCACTCCACCCTCCCCACTTTCCATCTCCAACACGGACATAATAGTTGACGCCGCAAACAGTCTCCTCTTTGCGCTCTCACAGACTCACTCTGCCATCTCGCACCTCGTTACACTCACACACTCGGATTTTGCCGTGGTGGTTGGACCCCTGCTTAATAGTGCGGCGGGAGGGCTTGACCCGCTCTTCCGCGTGCTGGGAGGGAAGGTGCACTCTGGGAATTCTGTACATTCTGCGCATTCCAGCAACACCATTGAAGATCTCACCGACGCTGTCAAGATGGCCAGCAGGGCATTCTCACCACTCATTGCAGAGTTACGCGCGAGAGTTGCCGGGAGATTCGTAGTCGATGCGCAGTTCGTTCATCCTGTCGTACTCCGCATGGTTGTCCTCACTCTATACGGGAGTATGTCAGAAATAGCCAATGTGTGGCGGGTGATGAGTGGTTGTGTGGGGGGTGTGAGTGGTTTGAGTAGTGTGAGTGGCGGTGATAGGGGTGGTGGGGGTGATAGGAATGAAAACCAGCTACAGCACCAGCAAGCACAAAAACCACTGCAACCGCTACAACCCAACCAAGTCCACCAACCACACCAAACTCGTAGCATTGACAAGAGCACTAAGAAGGTCTATCGTCAAGGCGTTTCTTTGACACAGGCTGATTTCGACTATGTCCACTCACATAACAGTGCACAGAGCAGCACACTCGCTCCAAGTGCCCCAAACACACCCAGCGATCGCTTGCCTTATCTCGATCTCGATAATCCGCGCACACCTACTAGTCGTTCTCCCGAGCCTGGATCTACGACGGCGCATGAGCAAGCACAGTTGGATGGTCATGTTCGTGAACGTGAACGTGATGATGTACATTCCCAACTACGCACACCATCCCCACACGCACACCCAGCACAACTCCAGCCGCACCAAATTGACACACTTAAAGTGGCACCACGGACACCCCGCGCTAGCACGCCCGACGATGCGGGAGAGCTGGTGGAGTTGATAGGTAGTTGTGTAGAGGTAGGCGGACGGTTTTGGCCTGTACTGGACGAGGATGTCGCTAGCACGAGCACATACGATGATGGCGGGGATAGCGTTCATAAAAATGCCAATACAAATACGAATACGAACACTCGAGCCACGCTTAAGGCAAACACCCCCTCTCACACCTCAGATCCAATCATGGTCGAGCTGCGCGATAAATCCAACGAGGCCAAACTGCTCACTGCTAAACTAGCCCAGGATTTAGAGGTGGTGAAGAGTGCGAGGAACGCCTATGGAGTTGGCGGATTGCGCGCCGCTGATGCGGCATGTGTGAAGGTGCTGTTTGAGCATGCCTCGGCGTTTAATAAGGTGAGCGGGAGTTTATTTTTTGGCTAGTCATTGGTCACGCTAACTAACTCTATTTTATTCTTGTCTTTGTCTAGATGGTGATTTGGATGGCATCTCTCGTTAAGGGTCTCGGCGAAATGAGACGTCTGCCGCTCAAGACACGCAGGAGGATGCAGATGATTATGGATCTCGTGTCGGAGTTGACAGTGCAGCTGCACGTGTCGCAGTACAGACCACTAGCGCCATCGCCCAACAGCGCAGCACTGAACATGGCAAGTGGGAGTGGTAGTGGTGGAGTAATTGGAAATGAGGTGAACGGTTCAAATAGCTTAAATAGCTTAAATAGCTGGAAGAGTTTGAATAGCACAGCACCTCGCTCACCCAAGTCAGCCAAGTCCTCCAAATCTACAGGCAAAAAAAGTCGTGAGAAAGGATTAGGAATGGCGGCATTCCCTGCACCCGTTCTCTCCAGATCACAGAGCTCTATGCCGGCGAATATGGCTAGCATGGCTGGCAGCATGAGTGCGGGTATGGGTATGGGCAAAAGACCTTCACAGCCAAGATCAGCTACTAACTTTGGAGCGGGATTAAGCAAGGTATTCAGCCCGACTAGCTATGCAGATAGTAAAAAACGCGGTGGAAGTGTTTCGGGATATAGTGCTAGCTCAGATTCGACGAGTTATGAGTGAGAGTGTATTGGAAGACATATGATTAATTTACTTGGAATTACTTGAGATTGCTTGAATTTAATTGAAATCATCGCAATCCACTTGAAATCACATTACTTTCCCTATACAGGTGTTAGTGTGTTTTCAGGTGAACATGATCAACACACCTGGATAAGCGTCTTAATTCCACCCGCAGTGAGAACCATCCCAGTACCGAAGACAGCAAGGTATCCATAGTAGTAGAGTCTCGAGCGTGGCATTTTGAGGTGGGTGAATTCACCTCTGCCTTGAGCATAGCGCTGCTTTTGAGGAACGAGATTTGGGCCTGTGGGTGGGTTAGTAGGCGAGGCTTCATATTTAATAGATAAATTCACGGTTTGTAAGTGAATCGAACATCGCTGTTTTCAAGGAAAAGGCAAAAAAGCCGTTCAAACCGCAACACCCACGATAGAAGCAAGATTCAAGTGAAAATGGTAAAAGGCTATTAAATACGAAACTTAAATTCTAACAAAGAATCTGCCAGGACAACTCCCTTGATGAAAAGGTTAAATCTGTTCACTACAAGCTATCCACTGAGCGCACGATGCTTGATAGCGCACAGAAGATGAGAGATGCTCACTTGGGAAATCCAATGGCACGCTCACTCGCTGAATCTCAAATCAGGGAGGCCCAGAGGAATGTCAACTTTTTTGAGTCCACACTCAGGGATCTCGTTGAACGTCGCAAGCGAGTTTTGGACGGTGAGCGAGAGCTACCACAGCTCCCTGGTAACAATGCAGGCGTCGAAACAGACACCCCAAATCCCAAGCATCCCTCCATCCACCGTGACAGCTCCAAGCGTGGGCCCAAATCTCAGATATCAAACTTTGAACTCACCAAGGAGGACTGCCCGTACACTCCCGCTAAGCTCAGCCTTATGCTCCATCAGCTCGATTACAAGCTGGCTCGCGAACAACACTACAAGAAAGGTATCGAGAAAATGGCCCTGCTTTATTCCGCTGAGGGTGACAAACGCTCTCGTATTGAGACCCAGCTTAAGAAAGTAGAGTCTGACGCTAAAATGTCCATCCTCCGCCAAGCTCTTCGTCGCTATCAGAATCTATACGTTGCTCCCACCACGGAAGAATCCGGTGAGCCTGCCAAAGTCGATGGTCTGCGTAAGCCGCTCTCTGGTACTCTCAAAATTCAAATCAAGAGCGCGAGAGACCTAAATCACAAACTTGTCTCCAATCAGTCTCACCGCTCTCACCGCCAACCTCCACTTGAGACTCTGATTCTCATCAAGGTCGGTGAGGATACCCCTCCAGTCAAAACTAGAGCTTCTAGATCCACCGGTCACAACGTTTGGAATGAGTCTTTTGAAGTCCCCGTCGATAAGATTAACGAGGTGGAAATCGCAATCCATGAACGTCAAGCTGGCGCCAGTGATTCAGGTGTACCTATTGGTCTCATGTGGATCAAGGTCAGTGATCTCGTCGAAGAACTTCGTAGAAAAAAGGCAGACGTTGAGGCGAGTGCTCTGCTTGAACGTATGAATCAGCAAGGTAGTCTCGACAGACCTGGCCAACCTCCGCAAAAACTCTCTGCTGTTGATGGCCCTAACGATCTATCTCCAAATACCAACCTCAGCGTGAACCAGTCCATCTCGAAAGCCGCCTCTCCTAGACTTGACGACGAGGGCGTAGAAGGTTGGTTCTCTGTCCAGCCAGCTGGTGCTGTAGCTCTTAAACTCAACTTTGTCAAACAAAATGTAAGCAAACGTCCTGCAGATAACAACGGTCTCGGCAGACAAGGTGCTTTGCGTAAGCGTAAAGGTCAAGTACATGAGATGAACGGCCACGCCTTCGTACAAAAGCAGTTCATTACAAATGTCATCAAGTGCGCTTACTGTGATGATTTCGTACTTGATGGAAGGGTATACAGATGTGAAGACTGCAGATATACCTGTCACCGTGGTTGCTACGAGAAGGTTGTCACCAAGTGTGTATCTAAGCAAGATACAGGTGAAAAAGATGAAGATAAGGTGAAACATAGAATTCCGCACAGATTAGCTCCTATCAGTTCCCTCTCGCCCAACTGGTGCTGTCACTGCGGAGAGATCATCAACCCACTCTCGAAGAAAGCCAGGAAATGCTCAGATTGTCCTGTTACATGTCATGCTGAATGTGCACACCTTCTTCCTGACTTTTGTGGTATGAGTATGGTTACTGCAAACAGCCTTTTGCGTCAGATGCAGGCCATCGGCGCAGCCAAGAAGCAGCCATCCAAACCAAAGAAGCCGCTTCCAAGCAAGAAGGCCTCTGACGAGACATTGGCAGGTGAGCGTGAGCGTAATGAAAAGACGACAGAGGAGATTGAGAAAGGTGCCCAAAAGATGGATTTAGCATCGCCTAAAGAACCTGCACCGGCACCTAAGGAACAAGTCAAACCACAGAGAGTAGAAGTGCCACGTCCATACCCACCACCATCCCAGCAACCTCAGGCACAGGTGCCTTCTCCAACACCCTACAGCAGACAGCGTCCCGATCAGCCTTACAGAGCACCACCTCCACAGTTTCAGCAGAAACAGCAGTATCAGCAACAGCAGGTCCAGCCTAAACCTGCACAGCAGGTCAGTGCAAGCGTATCTACAGCCGTGCAACGCAAGGTAGGGCTCGATAACTTTAACTTTATTGCTGTTATCGGTAAGGGTAACTTCGGTAAGGTTATGTTAGCAGAGGAAAAGCGCAGCAGCTCGCTATTCGCAATCAAGGTGCTCAAGAAGGAGTTCATAATCGAGAACGATGAAGTGGAATCGACGAGATCTGAGAAGAGGGTATTCTTGTCTGCTGCTAAGCAAAGGCACCCATTCTTGCTCGGATTGCATTCATGTTTCCAGACGGAGACGCGCATTTATTTCGTTATGGAGTATGTTTCGGGTGGTGACCTCATGCTGCACATCCAAAGACAACAGTTCACACCACGCCAAGCTAAATTTTATGCCTCCGAAGTTTTACTCGCACTTGAGTACTTCCATCAGGAGGGAATCATCTACAGAGATCTGAAGCTCGACAATATCCTTCTCACACTCGATGGTCATGTCAAGGTAGCTGACTATGGTCTGTGTAAAGAAAACATGGGTAACGGTAACACTACATCGACATTCTGTGGTACGCCTGAATTCATGGCACCTGAAATTCTCCTCGAGCAGAGATACACGTGTGCAGTCGATTGGTGGGCATTCGGTGTGCTCATATATGAGATGCTACTTGGACAATCGCCTTTCAGAGGTGATGACGAAGATGAGATCTTCGACGCTATTCTCGAAGACGAGCCACTTTATCCTATCCATATGCCTAGAGATTCCGTCAGCATGTTGCAAAGACTACTCACTAGAGACCCTACTAAGAGACTTGGTGCGGGTGATGCTGATGCTGAAGATATCAAGGCGCATGCATACTTCCGTGATGTCAATTTCGATGACGTCTTTCACAGACGCATCCCACCTCCTTTCAGACCTTCTATCGTGAGTTTGTTGTTAGTTTTATAGCCACTTCTCACATTACCTTTTAGGGATCCGCAACCGATATCTCTAACTTTGACACAGAGTTCACACGCGAACAACCCACCCTCACACCCGTTCAGGGTCAACTCACCGAAGCTGACCAGGCTGAGTTTGCTGGTTTCTCGTGGATCGCTCCTTGGGCTGAGTAAGAGCATTCGGTTTCGACGTTGTTGTTACGATTCACGATTGATATGATGGAATTAATTCACTCTATTATACTACTACACTACACTACTACATTTCCACACTTCAGAACCCTCCACTCAATTCAATTTTCTCCCCTTTTCTTCTTTATACCTCAACAAGACATGCACAATGTTAATCGTTTCTTCTTACTTTGTTGTCACTCTTGTTCTTTTGTTGCTTCTCGCCAGGAGAAACTTTACTTTACCTCAATGAATTTTGTTTATATCTTCCCATCTATCAGTTGTTTACAAATAAATATAGATTGTTTACAAAGCGCACGGTCTATTTACGCGCTCTCTTCTTTGAGCCTCCGCTGTTTTCACTAATAGCACGCTTTATACCCAGCTTCTTCATGGCCTCTTTGCGCTCTTCTTTGCGGTGATCTTGACGTCTTTCCTCTATCTTGTTGAGGTTCTTCTGACGCTCATCTCTCTTCTCATCTTTCTTGGCAGATCTCTTTGCACCTTTGTCCTTATCGATGGCTCTCATCTGCTGAATCAGCGCTACCGCTCTCTTTTGCTCAGGTTCCATAACTACAGCTCTCTTTTGCATGTACGTCTCATTCTTTTGTGGCTTGGTCAGTTTTGGCTTCGACGCGTATGGTAGCTTGGCTTGAAGATGCTTAGGTATTTTGAGTGGGTTGAACTTCTTGTTGTGACGAACGACAGGCTGTAATGAAATTTGTGAGATATGTAGTGGTGTTTAGATTCCACTCACTTTATATGCTGAGTTGATATCCAGAGGAGTCTTCATGTGTCTCTCCTTTCTAATCGCACCTGTCAACTTCATTCCCTGCCAGTCTCCATCGAGAAGACTCGTTACTGGGTTGTAGAATTTGCGTGGCTGGATGCCATACCAAGCACGCAGGAATATGATGTCTATCAGACGTTAGCCAGATTCAACAAACTTCAAACCCACACTCACCTGACATCTTTAGCTTGTCTTCAAACGTAGCTCTGAAAGCTCCTTCTGGTTTACTGATAGCCTTTTTAATTTGTCCTCTTATGCCAGAGACTGTGCGCAAATGAGCACCCTCAAATTTAGCAACTTCCAAAGCAGAGTTAAACATATCCTTGATGAATGCCGTATTGTGATGCACCTTCATGGCCGTACCTGTAAGCTTCAATTTTTTAACTATCTCAGTACTCTTGTCATTGTCCAAAATCAGACCTGTTGCACTGATTCTGAAAGCCGGTGTATCGTTCGATAAAGTATTGAAAGCACAGAACGCGGTATTTGGCGTAGCTAATGGACCATAGAAAGATGCCAAGCAGTGCGCGTGTTCAGGTGTGTATTTCAGCATTCTGTTACGAATTGATCTATCCTCAAGTGAATAGATCGGTATGGACTGGAACCTTCTCCAACCCAACGAAATGATCAATGGATCATTGGTCTTCAAAATTTTTCCATGCCATCTGTGCTTGATTAATCTTGATTGCGCATATCCGAATTGCATTTCAATTGGCAGTAATCCACCAACTATTACAGGAACAGAAGGGTTGAAGTTGTTTACCATCTCGCATGGAACACGATCTAATTCCAGACGTACGTAGGTACCAGATCTAAAACCTTCAACTTGCTGTCGAATTTCTGGATCATCATCAGCAAACTCTGCTGCATTATCTTCTAGCTTTTTTGCCATCTCCTGTTTACGCTCATCGTAAAAGTCCATCTTCTCACCATCTTCATCGTCATCATATTGCTCATCGAACTTTTTCTTCAACTTTTCCTTCTTCTCCGCGATAGCCTTGAGACGCTTTTCTTCGCGAGTTTCTGGTGAGTCGTCTTCTACTTCCTTTTCTTCATTTCTTTCCTCCTCTTCGTCGCCATCCCCATTCTCGAGATCTTCGAAGCCTTCATTGTTCTCGTCATCACCGCCTTCATTTTGGTCGGCGCCTGTGATAAATAGTCCACGAATAGAGTCAAGTGTGTCCTCATCTGTCCATTTTTCTACAATATCTTGGCTGATTGGCGCGCGGATAATATCTACTTGACCTTCGTATTGACTCTTTTTAGGTGTTCTCTTGACCTGGAAGAAGTCATCCTCATTATTCTCATCTTCCTCCTCTTCAACAGCATCATCTCCGTAAACGATTTGCTCGGGAGTAAGATCAGAATTGTAAATCAAAGACATTAAATCTCCTTTGTTCTTTGATTGCTTTGCGACGAGTGATGCGTGTTCGCCCATTTTTTGCTTCCATCTGGGCACATCCTCCTCACCGTCAGCGTCCTCATTCTCGTCATCTTCAAGGTCAGGATTATCTTCATCGTCTTGTTCGAAATGACCTTGCTCTTCCTCTAGGTCAACCTCTGAATCACTGTCATCGAATGCAATATCCTCCTGGATATTGTCCTCTCCGCCACCTTCGTAAAAACGACCTCTACGCATATTCGTACGGCCCTTGTCATCAACGTTGTCAACTCCTTCCTCATCTTCTATGTCGGACAAATCTTCATCTTCATCTTCAGCATTTGAATCTAGCTCCTCGCCATGTTCATCGTCTGAATCTTCCTTGTCGTGTTGGATAGCTTTCGACGAACCACCGAGCAAGCGAATTTGAGACTTCTTGATTGACTCCTCGAGCGTGGATGGAGCGTCTTGAAGGTCCATGACCATCTTTTCACCCTCACCCTTGGCTTCTGATGAGTTTTTGTCAAAATTGCCGTTCACTCTGACCCAGATAGCATCTTTGTCGTATCTGACACCGCCGAGATCTGACATAGGAGCATGGATTAAACGCTGCTTGTCAGCCAATCTTCTCTTCCTTTCGCTATCTTTTGTTGGTGGTGGGCAAGGATCGTCTAATGCTTCAAGACTTTTAATATTCATATCGCCTGCGCCTGGTATGTGTATTGTTGTCTGCTGCTTCAGTGGAACACCTCTAACGTATCCGTAAAGCGTGACGTTCCTGTCAATTGCTGGATTCTGTCTCACAACTTCTCTTTCTGTCAGATCTTCAAGTCTGTCTGCTATAAGATAAGGGTGTGTATTGCGCCAGATAAGTGGACGGAACTTCATAACCGAAATGAATCTGGTGAGGTTCAGTACCTCGTTGTTTGGATACCTCCCGTTAATGACACCAGATAATTGGAAAAGACGAGCACCAGCGTACGTCTCAGTCCAGAAACGATGCTTCAGTCGCTTTTTCTGGGCTCTTAAATGAGCTTGCTTCTTGATCAAATCGACATGCGACAGAATACCCATGATCTTTGGGAAACCGTGTTGGCGCATGATTGAGAACATTTCCATGCTCTCCATTTCGAATCCACTTGTGCAGTCAATAAGCATCAGTACCAAATCTGCAACTTTGCCAATATCGATCATAGAACTGATATCGTTAGGACATTCAACAAAAGTGATACGACGAGCTTTTCCTGCAACGACTGTGACAGGTCCTTTGATATCGTTGATCGTGTGCTTCGAGTAGCGTCTAATGAGTGATTTCATCAGTGTAGTTTTCCCAACCTGGATTGAGGTATTAGAAGTGGCGACTGCATATGTTTGCAACGTACACCTGGTGGGCCTGCTACCGCTACGAGCACTGGTGGCGCCTGATCAACGCCTGGTGTTCTATCGACCAGAGGTACATGCAGTCTCTTCTGATTTTTCTCAGCGTTCCTCATAATATTCCTGTTCTGTGTGTTTATATTTGAACTAATAAAAGCCTGCGCAGGTGCTCGTCAGCAACCCATATCTGCGTCTTTGCAAGTACGCACCTTGTGATTGATTGGCTTCTCTTTCCCATTACTTCCTTCCACCTTCTTCGCCTTCTTTTCTGCTTTTCTACCCGCATGCGCTTGCTGATGCGCTTTCGCTGGTTTATCTTCCATCGCTCGTGGGTGTCAGTGTGCAAGTTTATCGGTGGTACAAATGGCAATTATTCAAATGAATTTTACAAATTATAAATTATTCTACTGATATACTTGATATCTGTGGTGGATCCTCGGGCTATTTACTCTTCGTTAGTGCCGGTGTTGCGAGTGGATTATCACCTACCCTGTCCTTCCTATCTACTCTCAGTTCTTCGATCTTGTGTATCACATCCATCCCTGAAATCGCTCTACCAAATACCCTGAAGGACATTCAGCGAAATACTCTACTTGATATTGTACTCACGTGTGCTTGTTATCCAGCCACGGTGTTGGCACTGTGGTTATAAAAAATTGCGACGCATTAGTTCCTGGTCCTGCATTTGCCATGCTACATTCGTTAGACCTTCAGTCAGGTCCAATCAAGATCCACCTACCTTAACGTGTATGGCTTATCATGAGACAGGTCTGGATGAAACTCATCTTCGAAGTCGTGGCCAAAGATACTGTCTCCACCAGTACCGTCACCAAGTGGGTCACCTGTTTGAAGCATCTTGATTGCGTTAGTAAGGACAGCTTTAATCGCAGGAATCTCTTACAAATCTACGGATGACTTGGACGATGCGTTAGCTTGCCATAAGTGAGCTCGTTTTACGTACTTCTGTGGAATATCACGCCCTCGTAGTAGCCGCTGCTGGCATGTCCGGTAAAATTTTCGACAGCCTTAGGTGCCTTATCAGCGAATCTGGATTTCATTATCAACACAACAGTAACACTGTAAACGCACTCACAATCGCAAAGTAATGTCGCCCAATGTTGTATGCAAAATCGCCTTTCCTGCCGCTGGTCTTTGTCTAATCTGCTTTTGGACAGGTGCGACTGTCATAGCTTGTTCCTCTTGAGTTGGTTTTTCATTGAAAACATCGCGATCTCCAGATCTGAAGACAAATCAGCTCATGTTCAATTAGAATTAACAACTCACCCTTCAGGCTCGGAGTTCGAAAAGAGATGAAAACGGGGACGCTTGTACGCTGAACAGAAGAGTATAGGATCACGAGCCTGAGACTCTTGCAAGATTGGATTGTCAGAAGCAGCCATTTGGGCAGTCATGAATCCTTTTTTCGTCGGTGCACCTTGATAAAGCGAGACATTTAGGAATCTTATTGAGTCGTCTTTTCCAAGGACTCTGGCAACCTTGTTTGTGACAATGTTCACAACTAGACATCAATGTCAGTGACCCAGCTAACAAAATATCTTGACGCACCTTTAATACCTAAGAGCGTTGGGTAGATGATAAAGTTACCGCTCTCGTCAAATATGACGTTCATGTTTGACACTGCGTGCTCGTTCTCTTGTATCTCAGACTCCAATGCTAGTCTTCTGCCGAATTCCATATCATCTAATTTGTATATAGCTGTGCCTGCTTGCTGCATTTCACTAGCAGCCTCCAGCGATTCATCATACTTTCGCGTAAGCTTACCAGAGAGGAAATTGAAAAGTCTGATCTTTCTGTCTTTGATTGAGAACGCAACAAAGTGACTTGAGTCCGGTGAAAGTGCAATAGAGGTTGGGGGTGCTTTAGCCTTCCTAAATTCGTACAGATCGGTAGACGATTTAAACTCCCAAAGGCGTGGAACATCTTTTGGTGTTTCATACGGCTCATGAGGTGACCAGTACTCAATCATACCACCGATGTCAGCTGAAATAACAGTATCGTATCTGTCTGAGTACTTGATGATGTTGACCGGCTTGTTGTGGATGCTGGTGAGAGTATGGAAGGGTTTACCGTCTCCTCTGCCATCAAAGAGATGCATGGCCGATGAGTTCTTGTCGGAAATAGCTAGGACAGATCCGCCTTGGCTAGGACTATGTATCCATGCGCATGTTGAAGGGGGGAAGTCCAGACTGAACATGTTGATCATATCGAAACTGACGACATCGAAAACCTTGACAGAGTTGTCTTCTGATAGCGTAGCCACCAGGCTGCCATCGTTGGAGACAGCTGTAGCTACAATCGGCTGCAAATGAGCTCTGAATTGCTTTCTGAACTCGATTCCTTTGGGCTCCTTGTGCCAGAACTTAATGGTACCTTCGACAGATGTAGTCACGATATAGTTTGTCTTTGTGGTCGCTGCCGTGAGGACGTTGTCTCTGTGCATAAAGGACTTTGTATATCTGTCGCTGAGCGGGAGATTGTTGAGATACGTTGACTCGTGCGTGAGCACCTTCCTCTTCTTATTTGACATATCGGGCATTGGCATTGGCCCAAAATCTTCTTCATTGTCGTCTGCCATAATCGCTGTTGCGGTGAAGGGAACGATCAACCCAACGATGACGACCAAATTCACCGTGAGATCATTCTATGGCGGTGGCAAGGATGATGGGCCGGGGAATAGCAAAAGGCCAATCAAGAACATAAATGATGTTATCTCTATCTCCCCCTTTCCAAACGCACTTCCATCTTCTCAATGTGAGTTGAAGAACAAACATCGAGATGCAAAGAGATAACACACACAACAGTCTCCAGGCTCTTTCCAGAATCACATACATATATATCGTCTCCAGATTTAGCCTCCTCCAAGCCGTCCAACGAGGAATTTGATATCATCTGGAATACTGGCGCATCAGACGACGAAGATATTGTAGATCTGATACGCAAACAGCATCAGCTCAATATCCAGGACGAATCTCTGCCGTTAGTTCCGCGTATTCAATGTCTTTGATATGGCTGACATACAAAAGCAATATCAAACTACCTGCAGATATATCAATATCTAACAATCCAGTCCATCTCGATATCGGTATGCCTAACTCAACAGCAAACAAAGTACAAAAATCTATACCCCCACTCCCTAGATCAAGTAAACCAAAGACAAAGAATACTAGCAACGCAGAAATCGCATTATCAATGCAAGATGACAGCAACTATCTGTACTCTTTGAGGAATAGAATCATTAACGATCCTCCTCCTCCTTCATCGTCCAAATTAAAACGGGAGAATGCAAAGACTGATGGTGAAAATTTACCTGCAAAAAACAAGGAAAGCAAGAAGCGAGATGTTCCATATGAAGCAAACTCACCTAGCAATAAACGCTCCAAACAGACTGAACCGCCTAAAACTTCACGAAATGTGTCAGACCCAAAATCAAAACCAGCCAAGCAAGTGCATTTCAGTTCCGATCCGCCTGCAGAAGCGATGGAAGCTGAGAAAGCACCGCCTCCTGTTACAAAAGACGATAAATTTGTTGACAAAATCGTTGCACACAACCCGCTTTTGAAGAACATTCCCAAGGCTGCATCATCTCGCAGGACTGTTGTTGCTACAGAGCTGTCCAATAACTCAATTGACAAGCATTCATTAAAGAAGCTCAAGCAACTTATTAATTCAATTTTGGAGACTGAAGATAGCGTGTTGATGGGCGTGGATGAAATCCCTAAGGAATACGCTGCTATGTTTGCAAGTGGTGGTCACTTGCAAGCAACCTTTATCAAAGACATTTCCTCGTGTTTAAATCAACTTTATGCCAGCAAGCCAAACTCTATTCTTGAGCTGGCTAATAATGACTTTGATGGTACTTCGCAATCAGAGCTGGTCATTACGCTCGCACGTCTGATCAAGCTACTCAGCAAGACCGTTGGGCTGGGTGACAAGCTATCCGTTTGGACTGTGGATGAACGGGATGTCGAAGGATGTAAAAGAAACCTTCAAACATCCACAGAATCCATTATAGCAGTGGAGTGCATTCTTCTGATTATGAAGTTCGACCAATTACCAAAGCAGCTTTACTTTGAAGACGTGCTTTCGAAGTGTTTGTCGGTTCTCAGACATCATCTCACCAAGACTGTATATTCATACGTTGAAGCAATTGAAGAAGGATACAGTGGGTCTACGTTTTGCTGTGTAGTACATGTCTAACTAACATTTTAAATAGGCAACCCATCTGAGTGCCTCGCGTATATTGCAAGAGAAGATCCACAGCCAATCAAGAAGCAACTCTCGAACCTCTTCAACGCAATCAAATCATCCCTTCCATCTCTAAATGCCCTAATGAATCTTACGCATGTCAGTCTGGGAGACTCAGTCTTGATCACCGCAACATACATTTCGATCGGACCATTTTTCGTAGCTGAACCAACATCAACGAAGAACGGTGCCGTTAAAAATGCTCTTTCGCCAATTGGAGGGGGTATTGGATTGCGAGAATTGCGCCTGACTGCGCTCACTCTCATGCAAAATATCTTCGCAAACTACGATACACAAAGACATTGGATTATCGACGAAATACTCTCTGCAACGATTAAATTACCTGAGTTAAAGAAGCAAACCAGGCAGTACCAATTAAAGTCAGGAAAATCAATCTTCACACTCTCAGCACTACTTTTCCAGCTTGTTCAAGCATGCTCGCACAGCGTGCACGAACAAGTCAACACCTTGCGCGACAAACATCACTTGAACACTTTCAAAGATGAGGAGGTAGATGATGGGAAAGATAAAAAACATACAGAGTTTCTGTTAGCTGAGGCTGGACTCTGGAAGAGGGCTCTAGTTCCAACAATATCAATTTCGCAGAGCATCATGTTTCAAGTGTTTACTCACATCTCACAATCCAAATCGCAAAAGAGCTCGCATGAGGCAGACTATAAGATCATGTTGGAGAATATTGTAAATGATGCACTGACAGTACTGCATCTTCCAGAGTGGCCCGGTGCATCCTGGCTACTTGTTGTCACTGTCAAGCTAGTAGAGCATGAAATAGACCCGAAAATCAAATCACCAACTGAAGTCAACAACATGCGCTCGGTGATTTTGGAGCATTTCGGTAACATCTTTGCTCATGTTAGAACGGTGGAGCTTCAAAGAATGCATGAGGAAGGCAAAAATGATTCTAATCCATACTTTGATATTGAAAGGACTGTCACTAATGGAGATATCGGCGCACTAGAAAATCTTCACTCTATTCATCAGCAGTTACTCATGAATTTATACATAAATGGGTCGAGAAGCGAACTATGTAGGTCAGCCTATGAGTCGCTTGGATCGCAATGGGGTTATGCAATAGTAAGAGGGCTTCAGGTGTCGCAAACCATTTTTGAAGAAGCAGGCGAAGATGAAACAGTTCGTCATAACCAATCAGGTGTACAAGGAAAGCTTTTTACATTCCTTCAAGAGATCTGGGCAGAAGACGAGAATATGGATTTTGCTGACTATAATCGTCTCAGCATGAACCAAATGCAGTACATCACATTACAGCTCTCATCTACATCGCTTGTACAGAAAGCGCAGGATCGAATTCTCGTCACCATCTTAGAGTCTTTCTCTTCTAACTCAGCATCTATCCGTGCTAAAGCTGTCAAAGCACTTGGTGTAGCCATTATGAGTGATAACAGCCTCCTCAATGATGAAGATATTAAGCGTTGTATTAGTAGCAGGGTCGGTGATGTCGCTTCTAGTGTTAGGGATGCAGCTCTGGATGTCCTTTCTAAGCATCTCGCCAAGGACAGTGGAGTTGCCGATGCATACTTCACTATTGTGAGTAGAAGAATCGATGATTCGAGTCCTGCGGTTAGAAAGCGTGTTGCAAAGCTTCTCAGAGATATCTACGAGTCAACTACCAGCTTAAAAAGAAAGGCGGAAATAGCGAAGCTATTTTGCTTGCGTATTGCTGATGAGGATGACTTACTGAAAGATGCTGCTCTTGATGCTCTTGACAAACTTTGGCTGGACCTTGTTATCCCCAAGTCATCAGCAAAGGAGAAGGCGTTTATCAGAGATGAGAAGAGTTATGATGAAGACGATCAATCGAAATCGATCAATGATGTTGTAGAGATTATCATGATGGTCACCAAGCTCTTTGGGGATCGCTATAGTTTATTCGAAGAGGCTATGTTGAAGCTGGTGAAGAGACATCCAATGTCTCACAACGTTCAAATTTCGACACGTCTTAAATCTATCGCAAATTCTCTAGTAGACAGGCTTGACATGAGGGAAGAAGATAAGAATTTTAGTCCTCTCGCTTGTGTAAGAGCTATACTTGTCATTTCTGGTACAGGCAAAGGAGTTGTTGGAGGTTCCGCTGCTGAGCAGCTCTTACCGTTGCTAACTAATGGTCGAAGTGTGGGTGCTAATTCGTCGCGTTGGATTTTCTACTAATAATCACTAAAGCCTGAAGAAAGAGCCATTTGCGAAGCTACTCTGAAGATCTTCAGAAAGGTCATACCGAGACTCCCAATAGTAACATCAATGCGTCTCACCGATAATCTTCAGAATAGGCTGTTGCCTTTAATAGCCAATCCAAATGGCAGGATGTCTGAGCTTTCCGAAGCTGTAGCATGTCTTTGCCACGTCGTAACCCGCCACACGAACTCTTATGTTACGCTCACAAGAATGCTACTCAAGGCAGTAACTGAAACGAAGGCACTATTGGATAGTAATTCACAAACCAAGGAAGCATTTATGAAGTGCAGAGTACTCATTATAATCATGTCCCTCCTTGTTCAGCACTGCGACTTTGATGATGTTAAGAACTACGATGATATGCACGTTAGGGAAAGAGCACGTCAGCAGTACTTCAACGCAGCCAATGATCTTGATGAGGTAGATAAATTGCTCGTCTTTGAACATACCGACGAATCAGACGACGAAAGAGAGTTCACCATCCCCGTACGCATCTGGGTTTTGCTTATGGCTGTTCGTTCAAATGTCAAAGAACCGAGTATACGTGCTCTCACATTACGCGGACTAGGTTGTCTTTTTGTTGGATATCCTTATCTGATGAATGATCTGGCTTCTATCCAAATGATGGACGAAGTGTTTGGTGATACTGATACACAGCATAAATCAGACCAGCTGCAACTTTTATTGGTATTCCAGGAGTATTTGAGAGTGGATGAGCTTAAGAAGAACGATAAGCCTGATGATGCAACAGTACAGAACAAAGAAATCACTGTCGATAACCTTATTGGCGATGCTGATGTCTTGAATGACTCTAAGTGAGTGAAATGTGTGACTTTAATTTGCAACTGACTTCATTATTAGCGTTGGTCCGCGCGTACTGACACGTTACCTTCGTCATATACTCGATGCAGCGCTTTCTACGTCCGCCGCCATAAGCGCACCGGCCATAGATATATTAGGATTTGTCGTTAAACAGGGTCTAACCCACCCAATTGAAGTGAGTATTGCAACTACATTAAAGGCTTTGCTAAATGCGCATAGCTACTCCCAGCACTAGTAGCTCTCGAGACCAGTACATCAGGAGCAACGGTCGCAAAGGCTAAAGAGCTCCACGCAACCCTTCACTCTAAACACGCTTCTGTTCTCAATACTCAGTATCTTGCCACGGTTGAAAAAGCCTTCCAGTACCACCGTCTCATAACTGGACAAGAAAATGGATTTAGAAATGATGTTGCATTATTGGAAACGTGGTTCGATTTTATGAAGGAGAAACGTTTAATGAAGCTGGATTTTTTGGGTGGAATTGTCAAACACTTCGACATGAATCCATTGAGGAAGGCTGTCTCAGATGATAGCATCTCGATGTCAAAGTTTGTGGCTGACAACTTGCTCGCTTTCAGCTATCAGAACAATGAGGAAGTATTGTGTATTGGCAAGATGCTCTCTACGTATCTTGCGACGCACGGTGAACAACTTCGTGACGAACTTTCTTTCGAAAATATCAATGAGACCATGAAGAACATGATAAGGAGCAGCGTTGTTTTTTCAATTTGCACACTCCTAAAAAGCAATCTCAGAGATATGTATGGCTTTACTGATAAGCAGTTCTTCGAATATAATCCAAAGAAGAAGACTTCGTATGGTGACAAGGCGTTAGCTATTAAGACAGAGATGCGACCAATCGAATATGGGGCTATACCAGGAGCAGCCAAGATCATGAGTACAAAGGAGGATTTTACTGAACAGATAGATGCTTACTTCAATCTGATCGACGATTCGCCTACTACTGGATTAGATGACGACGCTGAGTCTATGCTGAGTGATGGATCTTCAGATTAATGAAGTTGGCATATTCAAAACTTTTCAATTGCAGTATTTATTTTACACATGGCAAACAATTGTTGTATAAAATGAGCATATAAAATAAATTAGAATTATTCTTAGTTGAGTTTGAATAACGATTTGACTTCCTCTTTGTCATTCAATTTCCATATGACTTCCATCTCCAAACCTCTTTCGCTCTTGTTAGAGATGAATACACCAGATATACTATCACCCTTCTTCACATCTAATGGTTTCGAAAAGGCGAAGAAAGTCTGCTTCCAGTGAGTTTCAGTACCATGAGGACCAGTGGTGAAAGAGACATCCTTATGCTCAGCACCGGCGTCATCTATGAGGGACTTAACGGAAGGTGGATCTTGTGAGTTGCATTCTTTTGGTGTTTCGGCTGACTTGGAGTCTGTGAAGAAGGTGTCAAACCAACCGAGAAATCCATGCATTGTTTCATCACTTTCGATTTTCAGATTGAATGATGACTTGAAGTTCAATGCTTTTGCTTTTTGGGTTTTGGTGTTTATGTCTAGTAGGCCAACGCTATTGCTTATCAGTGAGCTCTGTTCGAATGATTCGACGTGAGCAGATTTATGGATATCCTTTGACATTCCACTCATTGTGAAACCATAAATATTATCCCAAAATCCAACCTTCTCGTTCCACCAATCGGAGTTAGATGCTGCACCCAGAAGGATGCGCATGTGCGATGGTGCCATTACACCGTCTGGCTTCAAGTATCTGTCTCTTGCTACAATTACACTGTCAAGCATCGCTTCGAAGAGCAAGAAATATCCCATCCACTCTGATATAATAACGTCGACTTGTACTCCTTCCAGATCGATCTCTTCAACTTTACCCTTAACTACTTGGATGACGTTGGTGAGATTGTTTGCTGCAATATTCTCATTGGCTTTGCGCACGATGTTGGATGCATCGATGGCATAAACCTTCTTGGCGCCGGCTTTGGCAGCCAGGAGGGAGAGGATACCTGTACCACAGCCAACATCCATGACAGTCTTACCTTTAATGAGCTGCTGGTTGTTGAGTATCCACTGAGCGTACGAAGCAGTCCTAACATGATCTTTGATCATAGTCTCGTGAATCTCATTGTAGTCGTAGCTTTCGAAATACTCCGTATCAACAAAGTTATCATTCAAGAGTTTATCGTTGATGAAACTATTCGATTGCTTCAATTGAGCTTGCAATTGCTTCAATTGCTCATCGGTAGTGTTCGTAGGCTGCTCGTCGTCTGACCAGTCATCGTCGTTGGTGAGTTGGAACAGCAGTGGATCTGACTCTATAGCTGGGATCAGGTATTCATCATTTGAGAAGAAGGCGTCGTTTGGTGTGATGGCTGAAACTGCGTCCTTGCCTTGTTTTCTGATGAAGTTTACCAATCTGATTTGATTATAGTAATCTAAATTGAGCCTCTTTATCAATTCAATCAAATCCAAGCCATTCTGCTTATCAAATTCTAAAGCGGACTCAGGCCTATCGAATGTCTTATTTGCAGTGAGTGCTATCGTCTTCTTGCTTTCCAAATCGTCAGAATTCCAGCCCTCGTAATCTTCTTCCACGCTTGATTCACTAGATGAAGACATTTGTTCTATCGCTCTTGAAAGTAAACAGTGAACATGAGTTTCGGGCTGCCTTATAGATACGTAAACGACAAAGAAATTCTCAGCCATATCGGCAAGCCAGCAGAACTACTGGTTGTGGATGTAAGGGATTCTGATTTCATCGGCGGTCATATCAAAGGTTGCCAGAATGTACCTTCGAATAGCTTTTTGGATAGCGTGCACGAGCTCGTCAAGCAAAATGAGTCTGTACCTAGAGTCGTCTTCCATTGCGCGTTATCGCAGTCTAGGGGACCGAAAGCAGCGAGAATCTACGCAGAATCGAGACAGGATCTGCTACCAAATGCTAAAGAGCAGGATGTGATGGTTCTCAGGGGTGGCTTTACCCAATTTCAAGCCAAGTACGGTACAGATAAGGATTTAGTTGAGAATTATAGGAAAGAGTTGTGGGATTGCTAAGTTGTTTACAAATATCGCTTTGGATTATACCACTTATATTCATTTCCTTGCTTTTGCTCCTGCTCCTGCGCTTCTCGCTGTCTTCTCGCTTCGTCATTCTTACGCTTGAGATTGGAGATGTGATGATCGCTATACTTCTCAGTAAGGAGTCTCATCTTGTCCATTTCTTCGCCGCGTCTGGAACGGCAGTGCTGCCATGTGGCCACCATCACCACCATTGAGCTAGCAAATGTCCAATTCCAACTGCTTTTGATTCCTGTCGGTGTGAGCGTCTTACAAGCCACTGAAATACACACGCCACTCACTCCTCGTGGATATGAAGTGAATAGCACCGAATGTTATTCCACCGCCTATCCCGTAGAGGAGAGCGTTGCGCATACACGGCACACTCTCAATCTTGTTAACATCATCCACAGATAGCAGCTCGAATGCCTTCTTGTATCTATCGTAGCTCTGTCCCGGCTGTGCTGCATCTTTGTCTATTTTTACGTTCACGCTCTGTGGCTCCTCGTGCGGTGACATGACTGTTGGTCGCACTCACTCAAGAACATGTTGCGCTCTGTGTGGCGCAATCGCCAGCAGGTTTCCAGAATAGCGTGGCGGTCTTCGCTGCTGACTATCCAAGTAAGCCTCACCGCTGCCCCCTCAACAGAGAAGACGCTGATGATGAAAAGATATGGTGCGGAGCGGAAATATTCAGAATGCATGTCGCCGATATGCAACTTAGTTATGGGATATCAATGATACCGACAATCGAGTCGTCAGGCGCGTGGCTCCTCCATGAGCCAATGTCAATCAAAAAGGGGTTGCAGAATGATGAGCAGAATCTGGTTAAAGTGGCAAGTAAAAGCGCTATCGATCTTTTGAGGAGAGAGTATGGTAGCGGAGTCAGGCGCGGTGATCTAGTCGTTGCTCTCACTCCCGACCAGCCTGACAAGAGCGTATGTAAACGTTTGATTGGCTTTCCAGGCGATACTATTCTCAGAGACCCCCTTTTTATTGACCTAGATGACCCAGACAGCCAGTACATACAAGTACCCAAGAATCACGTCTGGTTGGCTGGCGATAACCTTACCAACTCACGCGATAGTAGGAGCTATGGTCCTGTTGCTCTACCACTACTTCGAGGAAAGGTGTTCGCAAAATATGCGGATGAATTTCTAGTCGTGAACAGTGGCACGTTTGTGTAGATATCAGTTTGTACATGTATTATTTATTCAGTCATCACCTATTAGACACGTAGTCTTCAAGTTCTTTATCAAGATCATCTGCATTGGCGAGTGGTCGTCTAGCTTCCCGATCACGACCAGATCTACCCCTGTCTCTACCCCGCGCTCCTCCCCTTGACCTACTCGACTTGCTGCGTGGAGGCGAATAGTCGCGATACCGACCTGTGCTGATGCCATCCAACTCTGCGTCCAAATCCGCTTTATCGTTTTCCCATCTTTCCGGGCTCATTTCGCGTCTACTTGAGTCTACTCGTGGAGGCGATTCACCAATTTTACCAGCGCGTCTACCGTGATTATCATACCATCTTGAATTTCTGTACTGAGTTTTCTTCTTGACGTCACCAGTGGTAGCCGGACGAATGCGTATCTGTACGGCATCGTCGATGGGGTCTATTCTGCTGAGAGTGGAGGGGACATTTCTAGCAGGGAGGAGATTAAAGAAGTCATCCTGACCGTGTCTGGGGAGACCTCTTTCTGGAGGATCAAGGAGCAAACCCTTCCAAGCTTGTCTGAAGTCGTGTGATTCGTGCCAGAGAAACACACAACGGTGATCATCAATCCATTCCATACCATATGGAGGAGGTTCACAGAACTCAGTTGCGTACGCTAGCAATTGCTGAGTCGACAGTTTACCAACGATGTCGCCGCTGAGGAAGAGAGAATAAGGTCTGACGGTGGCATCTGGTCTAGCGTCTGGATCGTGAGTATCGTGTGAGTCGTCTAATTGCTCAGGGTGCTCCAGTTTCCCAGCCTGCTCTGTCTTTGTATCGTCACGGTCCATCTCAACAGCACCGAATTTGTTCGCCCGTCTCTCCCGCGTCTGCTCATCCACCTAGCTGGAGATTAGAAGGGCTGCGTGATCAGACGAGACTAACTGACTTGTAACGAGTCTGTATCTATATCTCTATCTTTGTCTCTATCAAACGATTGTATATTGTCGAGGTCTGCATCCTGCAATTTGTACACGCGGCCACCGAATTGAATCCTTGAGAGTAATTTGTTTTTGTATTTGTTGTCGTCGTTTGACATTTTACGGGTTGGTCGTTAGCTATCAAGAGAGACGAGCGATGAGCAGCAGCAGCAGCAGCGGCAGTGAGAGCGATAGCGGGAGTGAGGTGCATGAGGAGGTGAATACTCAGCAAGTGCAGGCTCAAGCTGGGGACAGTGAGCATCCACAGCCAGAAGAAGAGAAGGCGTTGAGTGGGTGGAGTATATCTGTAATTAATCCATCTCACATCCAGTACAGGTCATAAAGAGAGAAGAAAGCAGCGTAGAGAAGCTGCCATGGCTGAGAAGAACGCCGGCGCTGACGACCAAGAGAAGACAGAGTCGACAGCCAAAACTGAGGCTAGTGGACCAGCACCAGAGAAAGAAAAGAGATCTCACTGGGGTGTGTGGATTGGCAATTTATCCTTCAAAACAACGAGAGAGCGGCTTTTCGAGTGGATTGCAAACAATATCGGCGAATCTGAGGACGTTATCACTAGAATAAATATGCCCAAGGGTCACCAAGCCCATGAGCACAACAAAGGGTTCGCCTATGTGGATCTGTCGACGGAGGATATCATGCACAAGGTTATAGCGCAATCTGAGAACAACCTCGATGGCAGGAAGCTGTTGATTAAGTCGTCTAGCAACTTTGAAGGCAGACCAAAGCCCCAGCTGCCTGAAGGAATCGCAGACGAGAAGGATCTGTCCAAGTTTAGTAGGAAAATTCTCAGCAGCCAACAAAACAAGCCAAATCCAACGCTTTTCTTTGGTAATTTGTCCTTCGATACAACACAGGAATCGATCAAAAATTGGCTAGTCAGCAACGCGGAGAAACACCACAAGCGTCAGATTGAGCAGAACAAAGCAGGCGCCGATGATAAGCTGGACGTTGGCATCAAGAGAGTCCGTCTTGGTACATTCCCAGACAGCGGAAAATGCAAAGGTTGGTGTTTCATTGATTTCAAGAACACTTCACAAGCCACTTCTGCACTTTGCGAGTCTCACAACCACAAGATGTACGGCCGTGAATTGAAGGTGCAGTTTGGCCAGGATAGAAGCGAGCAGAAGAAGCGCAAGTTTGACAAAGAGAGTGAGAAGGAAGGTGGTGGTAGGGAGCGTCAAGATGACTCAAGCAAACCACCAAAACGTGCTAAACCTGGTGCCGCGCTTGCTAATGCACAGCGTTCAGATAAGGCCAGTGGTGCAATCAACCAGCCAGCAGCAGGAAACAAGATAACGTTTGATTAGATTTGTAAATTTTATAATTTATTCAGATTACTTAGATTATTCAGAAAATTCACTCACACACCCAACTATGCGCACAAGCAACGTCATTTACGCGGCGTTATCAATCTGCTGCTTCTTCACCTCGGCTTTGGGCGGGCTATTTGAGGACATGATTGGGATGGTGACTGGGGTGAATATCACACAGAAAGCCTCTGAGCAGAATACGTTGAGTGTGCATGCGACAGCACTTAACGACGAGCGCTGGAAGGTGGGATTTTCTCTTAATTGTTATCATATAGCTGTAATGACGATTGCGTGAATGTAGTCATTAGTGGAGGGTGGTAACCGCAGTGGCAGCGACGACAGCGACGATGGCGACCACGACGAGGAAATGCTCTGGTTTGTACTCATAACAACAGGCAAACACGACGAATTCGAGCGCCTCCTCAAACAATCTCTCAACGATCTTGCCGACGAGTTGAAAGATGTGAGTGGTGTTCGGGTGGGTCGAGCAGAATGTGCGTGGCGGGGTGCTTGGTCGAACGAATAACACGCTTACGCTGTCATTATCCAGACGACAGCGATATCAGACAGATGAGCACACGCTGGCTGCTGTTCCAAGTACCCGTGTATGTCTTGGCACAGGATAAAGGACAGACGTTGCGGTTTGTGTCGCCGTACCAGATCCCACCGAACACAGCCAGCATGCGCAAGCTGCTCGTGGACAGCGAGTACAAGAAGCTGCCTGTGTGGAGTGGGCGGCTGAGCTACAATGGCGACTAGTAGGTGCTTGAGCGTAAGCAAAAAAAATCACTAAAACCACACAGCGCATTCTATATGGACATTTACACACGCTTCTCACTCTACTTGCATTCTCTTCTCGATACCATACCTTCTCTCGTGTGGTACATTGTGTGTATGTCTTACTCGGCATCCTCCTTGCTGACAATATCAGGGCGTAGCTAGTTTGTCGTCATCTCTGCTCAAATGGATGCACAAGGAAGACAAAACAAAGACACAGGATAGGCGCATGCGTGGGGAGAGAGTCAAGTAATCTATAGTCTAATGTATTGATTTTATTTGTATGCTTCTCCTGCAGTTGTATCGTTAGCTAAATCGCCAGCTACATCCTCCACACTCAACCCACACCCATGCCATCAGATTAGATCAAGTTTTGAGTTTACACTTACGCCCACGAGCTGTAAGACAAGGGGTGTATGCAATATCCTACGTATCATCATTTGCGGGTTGTAGTTGTGGTGTGAGTGTGCTACTACAAACTCACATTAACATCTTAACGTCTTCTAGATTTAGCCAAGTTCGCCTTCTGTTCCGCGAGTCTATACTGCTGCACTCTGTGATCACGTAGCAGTTCTATATCATTTTTTACGTGATTTCTCGCGTCGCGATTGGCCAACATGCCAAGAATGGTAGTCTGGCCGACGGAGAAGACGGCACTCGTGAGCCAATAAAGAGCGAGGGAGAGGGGTATGCTGAGTGCAAACCAGCTCATGCCGAGTGAGAGACTGCGCAGGAGGATAGTGACGCCCTTCTCGTGCACACCCATATCCATACGTGTGTTATTTTCTTGCGGCGTCTGCGCGCTATCCTTCTGCTCATCCTCGACACCCGTATTAGATGGCGGGGTGCGTATCTCTAGCAATTTTCTGCGCAAATTGGTCGTGATTTCCGTATTGGTGAGGAACGCCGCACCGATCATGAGCGCGACGGTGGGGTCAGTTGCTGGGAGGGCGAGCGAGGGATAATCCAAGAAAGGAAGGGAAAGCGATTCCTCCGCGAGGCCATGGCCACCGTCTGCAGTGTGCGGCTGAGTCAAAGCCACAGCTGAGGCCACGCGGAGGGTGTTAGACACGGCAATAAACACTGGTATGCCTATGAGAGGCGGGAGAAGAACGGTTGGAAGGACTGAGCAGTTGTGCATCTGTGCGAGTGCCCTGCGCTGTCGCTTGTAGCGTCGAGTCCACTCCTTCGTATACGCATCATAGCTCAGCCCCGCCGCACGACATTCGCGCCGACACACCCCTTTCTGCTCAATCGCCCACACGTCCAGCGCTGGCTTCACGCGGTGCTCTAGCCGCGCTGTGCGCCGACGCTGCCAGATTGATAGAGGGAGAGTGATGGTGGCGCGCAGGGCGAGCGAACATGCCACTATCACACCCGCATACGACGCGCCCCACGGCAAGTGACTCGGTAGCTCCAGGAAAGGCTGCGCTAGCGCGGCGAAAGCCCGGGTCCGCGGCCGTACACTTGTATGCCCGGGTATGCCCTGGTAGATACGCATGTGCGCGCACGTCTGCACGTGCTTGCCCGCGCTTATCGGGTGTGCCAGACTGCGTCTTATCATATGCTCTTGACCGTTGTGAAGCGAGCAAGATGAGCGAGATGAACGCAGCGCACAAACGAGAATTAGACAGCACGGGATATGTGGTGATAGATGGGTTTATACAAGGCGATGAGCTGTCCCAGCTCAGAGAAGCGGCAGCGGCAGCAGAACAGCTCACACGCAGTCACCGCTGGCCACATAGGCGCGTAGTGGGCAAGCAGTTCCCGCCATGGAGTGACGCGGATACTCCTGATAGTTGGGGAGTGCAGCACCTGATGCATCCCTAGCTGCGTCTGCCGCAATTTCGTGCGTTCTACGCCAACACCCGCCTCACAGCGCTGGCAGCGGGGCTAATTGGATGCGATGAGGGAGCTCTCCAAATGGAGCTTTTCAATATGCTCATCCTGCCTGCGAAAACGTCTTTCAACCTCAGCTGGCACAGGGATCACGTGAACCACGCTATCGAAGCGGAGGCGGAGGAGCAGGCGCTACGTGTGCCACACTACGGCATCCAGTTCAACGCACCACTCTATGACGATGGTTGTTTATGGGTTGTGCCGGGCTCACATAGACAGGTGCGGAATCATATCCAGAGAGAGCTCAGCTGCAACACCCTCCCAACTACCAACCCCGCACTCATGCCTCACGCCAAGCAGGTACACTTGAAGGCCGGCCAGATTCTTTTCTATAACGCTAACATCCTCCATTGCGCTGCTTATCCTCAGTCCCCTCCCGCTCCCGCGCGCGCTACCCTCCACGGATCATTCGGGGACGCGAATGGCGGCTCTGAACGCGCTGTGGGCGTACTCCAGCATGGCTTGGAGTGGATGAAAGAGCCTTCCTTTGGGGACGGGCCTGGTCGCCACATGTGGCTGCGTTTGCTTGATATGTACGAGAAAGCAGGGTGGGATGAGAAAGGGGGTAAATTTTCACTAACTGAGTGAGACATGTGACATGAGTCACTTTGCCAGAAAGCCTCGTTAAAGACCCGTAAGAAATTAACATGATTAGAAATGAATCGAATTGAATACACGTGATGATTGTGATGGTCGTTATTTCATACTAAATGTGCCAGTCTACGCCGGCTTCTTCTCATCAGTATCAGCCGGGGCTTTAGCGATAGAAGTAGCGTTAACATCGCCGCCGTTATTGACAAAGGTATCCTTCTTTTGCGCAGCAATACGCAGAGCTTCCTCGTGTACGTCTAAAACCTGCTTATGAGCGTTAGTGTAGAAGGACTGCACCTTAGCCGCGTAGGGGGAATTGAGGGCTTTCTGGTAGTAAGGACCGAACCAACCAGTGCTCTTTTCTGAGATGCCCTTCTGCGTGTCAATTTCCTTCGCCTTGCCGAATAGACCCTGTGCTTTCTCGTAGAGCTGCGACGATAGGGGGAGGTCGGCGTTGCCCGTGCGCTTACCGGCACCCTCGTCGAATTGGTGGAGGTAGGTAATGAATCTGTTAGAAATGCCGTGCTTTGAATCGAGATCGATGGCTTTCTGGATGGCTTCGTCTCCGATGTGGTAGCCGTGGGCGAGGTATTGAGCAAGAATGGCAGTGCGTGGTTTATCTTCTTGGACAACGTGCTCAGTAGAGGGTGGAGGAGAGTGTGTGGTAGTGTTTGCAGTGGAGCCAGGAGGAGGCCCAGCAACGCCATTGTCGACGTCGTTGGAACTAACTTCAATAAGAGAGCCCTCAAGATTACCGCCGTTGAGAAGGAGAGCGGTGCGTGCAGCAGATTCCCTCTCAAATTCGATATATGCGGTCCTGTGGGTGGTGTCCTGTTCAAAGGAGGACGCCTTGACTTTACCACAGAAAGAGAAGAATTTAACAATTTGTTCGTCGGTGGTGCCTGTGGCTATTTTGGTGACTAAAATTGAAGCCATTGATGGTGGTATGGGTTCAACGGACACTGCCATGGTTGTAAAGGCTGTTGTGGGTGGTGGAGTGGCTGACGGTTAAACACTCATTTCCATTAGATTCTCACTGGTGGCCCAAGCAGAGGTACTTCGTTCAGGCCACTCAATTTGGCTGCTGATATGCCCAAGGTGGGTCACTTGCCCAATTTGTGCCACTTACCAACGGAAACACCAGCCACTCTTCCCACTCGGCGGTAAACCAATGATCTGGCACCAGCTTCACTCTCTTTCCCAAGTTCCTCACTGCACTGAGGTGTTTCTCATCGGTTTCTGGCCCGAGGATACTTTCACTGCGTTTATAAACCAAGCAAATGAAGAATTTAACGGTTGTTTCACTGTAAAATATCTCAGGGAGTGGCAGGAATTGGGTACTGCAGGTGGTTAGTTTGTCTGCCTGCTTTCTTCCCCACATTCTCATCACTCAACTCCCAGGAACGTATCATTTCAGAGACCTCATCACGCACAACGCTACTGCTTTCTTTATCATCCACAGCGACATCGCCTGTGACTTTCCCCTCAACCAGCTGCGCGCGTTCCACGAAACTCACCAGGGTGTAGGCTCAATACAGGCGACGCGTGTGTCCAGAAGCAGCGCCCACAAATATGGCTGTATAGTCAGTGACGACAAGGCTTTGGCCATTCATTATGCGGAGAAGCCCGACAGTTTCGTTTCTGATTTGGTTAGTACGGGGGTTTATCTCTTCGATGTCACTCTTTTCGATGAAATAGCGGCTATAATCGACTGCCACTATTCCTCAAACATCCCCCAGCAGGAAATTGGCTTCGATGAGCATATCCTCCGCCTCGAACAGGATGTCATACGGCCGATGGCTGATGCTCACAAAATGTACGTCTTCGAGACTGATGTGCCATGGAGACCCATTAAAAGCGCAGGATCTGCTTTACCCGCTAATGAACTCTATTTGGCTCAGTATCAGGCTAAGCAGGGGATTTTGCTCTATCAACGGGGTGCTCTGGATGACGCAAGTGAAAAAGATAGTGAAACTGAAATTGTCCAGCCAGTGACGATAGATGTGCGTATATGTGCTGTTCATATGGCTTGAACCACTCACTCATACGTTATACTCTAGCCATCCGCTCATATCGCCCGGGGATGCAAAATAGGTCCATTCGTGTCCATTGCAGCGAATGTCGTCGTGAAAGAGGGTGCTAGAGTTGCACATGCGGTAGTGCAAGAGAATACGATAATCGAGGTAAGTCTTGTGTTCTATTTGGTGTCTCAATCATCTCACTCATCACCACACAGCCCCACTGTTGTATCCTCTACGCTATTATCGGTGCACGATGCAGGTTGGCACCCTGGGCCCGCGTTGAAGGACAGCCCTTCACGGGTGATGAGAGCGCACCAACCCAATCTGGCATCTGTATCCTGGCCTGTGACGTACTCGTTACGCGCGATGTACTCATACGCAGCTGCATAGTTCTGCCTAATAAATCTCTCTCAACTAGCGCTGCCAGTCAGGTGCTTCTGTAAATTACTATAAATGCCTCTTGATTCATTACCATCACCATGATGTTGCGCAAATCAATTACCAAATCTAACTGTATTTCTGGGAGTATTCTTTGCGTAATTGAATCATGCATCCCACATTCACATGCACTCAACGTCCTCGTCGCTGCGTCCACCACCCAGCTACATTTGTACACGGCTAGAGATGGGCGAGATGGGCGTGATGGCCTTCTAGCACTCACGTTACTTGGCAGTATCGATGTAAACGGCCGCATTCTCGGCATAGACAGGTTGCGAATCGGTGGCGAGGCGCACGATGTGCTCCTACTTACACTCGACCATCCTTCAGCGCAGCTAGTAGTGTTGCGAGTGTGGGAGGGTGACTGTGGGCTAGAGCACAAAACCGAATGCCTCAAGATGCTCACGCACGGTGCCTCTTCCAGTACCACTACCACTGGCACGGGTACATCCCCCAGCCACGAATACTGCAACACACTAGTCGACCACTCTTCCCAAACAGGCCTGAGCCATCTGTGGCAGGGGCAGCTGCACGCGTTTAGACTCTCCTACGACCAGACCCACTCGAGGCACATCATCGACGGACGCACCACCCAAATCGACTGGTCTGTCACCCTCGCAATGGCTTTCCTGGCCGTCGAGGAGGGCGACAGAGCGACGCTGTGCAGATTGGTGAGAGCACCCGATGCTCCCAACCCCGTTATTGTCGTGGAGTGTCTCAACCAGGAAGGCGATGGCGTAGACGTGTCCCCGCCCAAGCTGCGCATAGAGTGGGTGCATGTCGCCGATATGATCATTTCATAATTGCTAACCAGCCACCTTATTAGAACATCCTGCCCTACCGCCTCCCTCCTCGTTTCTGTTTGCGGTGGGAAGAGGGGTGTGTTGGTCATTGGTGCGTTCAGCTGTGAGTACTACGACGTGCCTAGGGTGAGGGATGTAGATGCAGAAGTAGGGGGGGAAAGTGGCAAAACGCGGCGGAGATCCAAGTCCAAGTCAAAGTCAAAATCTCATTCGTCAAGCACCAACATAGAAACCACAGGAGTAACAACTCCCCTTCAACAAATACCCAACACTTCTTCCCATACACCCTTCGCTACGCCGACAGCATGTACAGCAGCGACGGCGGACGGACTGGCGTGGGTGGTTGGTGATGCACGGGGCGATCTCTACTATCTCGCTATTACGCAGAGTGGATTGGAGACGCACCACCTCGGTACCACTAGCGTCGCGTCGACGTTGCAGCATCTCGGCAATGGGTGCTTCTACGTCGGTAGCCAGTGCGAGGATTCCAAAGTGGTGAGTGTGAGTGTGGTGCATGGGGCGCAGCCACACCTTGTCGAGTTGCAGTCCTTCACCAACCTCGCTCCTGTTAGTGACCTCGCAGTTCTGTACCCCGACGACACAGAGCAAACGCAGTCCCAGACACAGTCGCACACTCAAACACAAGTCGTCACGTGCAGCGGCGCTAATAAGTCAGGTAAATTGCGTGTGGTGAGCACAGGAGTTGGCGTGCGCGATGTGTATTTGGCACCGCTAGAGCTGCTGGGCGAGGACAAGACAGCCACACCAAACACGCTCACCGCACTGCATGCCCTGCACTCCCTCCCCAATCACCTCCTCTTCAGCTACCCAACATCGACGCACATATACACATATCCCAATGCCCTCTATGGCACATTGGACGAACTGGACGGGGAGCAAGACAAATACAAACAACTTAAAAAGGACGTCCCTACTCTCGCGACAGTGCAGTGGGGCTCACGCACCGTCGTCTACCAGAGCGATAGTATGTTCGTCTTTAATATGATAGGCAAACTTGTTAGCAGGCGCGATATGGATGTTGATGGAGTGTATGTGGATGGTCACTCTAGGTTCACAAGCGCAAGAAGCCCATACGTGCTGGTGGTGATGAGCGATAGGGTGCTGCTACAGTGCGCGAATAATAACGATAACGATAACCTTGAGCATAATGATAAGGATGACGATAACGACAGCGATAATGATAACGATAACGATATTACTTTCCATGAAAGGTGGGTAGTCTGGTTCTTCTTGCTCCCGTTTCCCGAGCCCCGACACCCGACTACACCATGCTGACAGATTGTTCTCAGACTCATACGCAAACCACACCACTCAACTGTGTTCGCACCCCTAGATGATTCTCATATCGCTTATGCAACGTGGGAAGATTCCACGGTGCGCGTGATGAGAATTAGCGGCCAATGTGGTCAATGTGGTCAAGGTGCACGAGATGCCCAAGATGCTCAAGATGTTCAAGACGGCTTCGTCGTCTGCGCCTGCTCATCACCCGACAACTCACATATCTACTCGCTTCTTGCAGTAGATGGCGTCATTATTGCGGGTACGGCGCTCGGGAATGTTTTTGCGTTTGAATATGCGCAAGCTGCGCAGACGTCTCACACCTCTCCGGGAAACACAGACACGATCACAAACACTCCCGCCTCACACACCGCCACAGTCGGAAGTACCCCTGTCACTTTGCAGAGAGCGGCAAGTGGGGCGATATTCGCGCTGTGCGACGTTCCCTCGATCGTCGGTGTGAGTGTGGATATGCAACGAAGCGTGAGTGTAAGTGTATCAGGGGTAAACGCGCCTTTCATACACGCCATGACGTCGTACAAGTGTGACAGTGGTAGTGAGAAGGATGGTGCCTCCGAGGAAGAAGATATGTACGTGCTAGCACATACGGACAGTATCAGATTCTGTACAATACCATCTACACAACATACAGTGCACGTGCGTACCATCGAGATGGGGGTAGATATACCGCGCGTTCTCACTCACATACCCTCTCACAACATGTTCGCTGTCGGTTGCGTACGTACGGCATACCCAAGCGATAGGACAGTAATCGAAGGCGGGGGAGGGAGTAGTGTGAGGTTGTTCGACGATACCCTCTCTCCCATAGAAACGCTCCAGTTGCAGCTGGAAGAAGGGGAGGTGGTCAGTGTAGTGGAGTGTCTGAATGTAGGGCGCGAAAAAAAGGGAGAGGGAGAAAAGCATACAGTCCTTGCAATAGGCACCTACTACATTAATGATAGTAATGGCGATGACAACGGTGACGGAGGTGACGTCGATAGAGGACGCTTTCTCCTCGCTACTGTCAGTCATACCCCCACCCACTCACACCTAGATATAGTCGCCCAGCTTGCTGTGCCCGGCTGCGTGTATGCGGTGTGTGAATTGGACGGGCGCATCGCAATAGCTGTCGGGCACCAGGTGCGGTTGTATGAGGTGGAATTGTCCCGAAAGTGCCAGCTCAATCTCGTCGCCAGCTACGGCAATGCTTTCGTCGTAGTCTCTCTCTCTGCCATGCACGGCGTCTTGGTTGTGGCTGATTTCCTCAAGAGCGCCATCTACCTTAAGTTGGAACTGCGACAAAGGGCGGAGACGAGCGAATTGGAACTCGTACAGGTGGGATACGACGCGCACACGCGGTGGTCTTCGCTAGTGGAGGCTGTGGAGGGTGTGCATGGTGAGCGGGGTGCGCAAGAGCGCCACAACAATCACTTCATCACTCTCGGTGCTGATCTCCGCTTCAATCTTTTCGTCCTTCACTACGAGCAGATCGGGGAGGAGCACCGGGTGAGTTCGCGGGAGGTTGCCCAGCTGCAGGAGAACGTCAGTGCGATATGCGGGAGGAGACAAGGTGCCAGTGTTAGTGTCAATGTCAATGTCAGTGCAAGAGATAACTATCACAACCACGCCTTACATACACTCGCTGTGTACGGGACGAGTGCAGGCTCCCTCTGCGTGCTGGCAGAGGTGGACGAGAGCAGTAGTGCAGAGTTGGTGCAGATGGAGAAGTCGGCGCGTGCTGATGGCGCACTCGTTGGACAGAGTGCGCAGTCTGACATTATCGACGGGGATCTCATTAGCAGGTACAGCCGGCACAATGAACAAAAGCACAATTTGGCAGACGATTTGCAGCGTCTTCTGTAAAAACTAGGAAATGTAAAATAAATCATTCTACAGAAACTCTAAATACTCGGGATATTTGAAAAATTCACTTTTTGATCTCGTGTCATGTCCTCCCGCTTTGTCTTCCGAGCAACCGACACCACAGATGAGCTCACAGCACGCACGCGACGACAGCGACAACGAGTCAATAAGCTCGGTCGCGAGCACTGCCGCACCGACGGTATCTAAGGAGGGTCGCCGTACGGACAAAACGCAGTTCTTTGAGCACCAGGAGTGAGTGAGTTTCCAAGCGGATTGCACAGCGCTCATGGTACTAACAGATATGAATTCGGTGGCCCTTGCGGCGTCGTTGCGATGATGCTCGGATTTCCACTGCTCATGTACTACTTCTACATTTGCATGCAGGCGAATGATGGCTGGTTTCTATACCCAAAGTCGCTCGCAGAGGTTAAGCCATTGGGCGAGTACATGTGGCTGTATGCCCAACAACACGCTTATCCTACGCGCAAAGCGTGGGCAATTTACTGCGGTCTCATGGCGATGCAGTTCGCTCTCGCTGTGATTATGCCAGGCTTCCACCAAAAGGGTCTTCCAGTACCCTCCCTCAAGTACAAGAGCCTTGACTACAACTGCAACGCTATGCTGTCGTTCTACGCTACCATTCTCATCGCCAGTGTTCTCCACACCACACACACCTTCAGACTGACGGAGATTGTCGACAATTTCGGTGGGCTCATGACGGTGGCTATTCTAGTCGGCTACGCAGGCTCACTGGCTGTGTACTTCCTCACTGTGATGTTCGGTCACCCGCTCCGCATGAGCGGCAACTTCTTCTACGACTTGTTCATGGGCGCTAGCCTCAATCCACGCATTCTGGGTGTGGATATCAAGATGTGGGCAGAGGTGCGCATCCCGTGGGTTTTGCTCTTCGGAATTGCCGTATCGGGTGCATGCAAGCAGTACGACACTTTCGGCACTGTCTCACCTAACATGGCCTTTATGGTTCTCGCGACGGGGCTTTACATCAACGCTTGTGCTAAAGCGGAGGAGTGTATTCCACAGACATGGGACATGGCCTGGGAGAAATTTGGATTCATGCTATGTTTCTGGAATTTCGCTGGCGTACCTTTCACTTACTGTTACCCAGTTCTCTATCTCACGAACCACCATCCAAGCGAATATGAGTGGAGCTTGAGTACATATGCGGTGTTATTTGGAGTGCTTATAGCCAGCTACTCTGTATTCGATCTCGCTATGGCCCAGAAAAGCAGATTCAAAATGCAGCAGCAAGGTATCACTAAGTTTAGATTCGGATTTCCCTACATACCAGGCAGTACACCTGACCCAGCGACTACGCGTTACATCCAAACGCAGCACGGCAGCAAGCTACTCATTAGTGGACCATGGGCTTACTGTCGCAAGCCTAATTATCTCGCGGACTGGATCCAGGCTACTAGCTGGGGTATGAGCTGCGGTCTGCCTTTCATCGCCTCCCCACCCATTCCCCACTGGTACGCAGTGTGGTTCTTCATTGTCCTCGTGCACAGATGTGAACGCGACTTTGAACGCTGCGCTGCTAAATATGGTGAAGACTGGGAGGAGTATTGTCGCAGAGTTCCTTATAAGTTTATACCATATGTGTGGTAGCTTTAGTAGGCTTTTGGCGTTATTTTCAGCGCAACTTGTTTTAGTGTGAATTTTTCGTTTATTGATGAAATATATTTTAAATAATTCTTAATTTACAATTCCGTCTTGAACCGCTATCTCCATCATCTAAGTCTCAGTATGTCGGAAAATTTGCAGGTGAGGTGATTGAGAGATATAGTATTACAAATGCTTAAAAGCACACTCATATGCAGACAAGAGACGCACAGCCTTCGCTGGCAACCATCATCGAAAAAAACGGAGGGATTGGTAAATTGGGCAAACGGATGATGAAGTTGCAATTAACTGTCGCAGTTGGCGTGTACCTGCTTATGACCCCGATCCTAAATTTCACAGATATACCAACAGATGACGCTCAATGGATCAAATATGGTCTGTCAACAATAGCCATAGTAATCTGTGCAATTGTCTCAACTCTCAAGCTTAGCGCAAGAAAGCTCGATTAATAATTGAAAATGACATTCTAATTTTATAATAAGGACCAAATGCATGGATACATTTATCGGTTTGATTTCTTTCCTCATTTGACACACTCCGAGATCATGTCTGACATGATACTTGTTTGGGACACAGCATGCTTTAACTTTTACGGATATGAAAAATAGTAAATAAAGTTCTGATACGGAGTTTGGCTCGCTGAATAAATGTTAGGGTTTAAATCACCATCTCTAACATTTTCGACATTGTGAGATGGTAGTAGAGGTGGGGAGATAGATTGTTATGCTTCCACTCGCGCACATGCTAACACGCTCTTATGCAACCACAAAACACAGTCACTTTAAGTACGTCCATCGAGGCTCAGAAGAAGGTATTAAGAAGGAAATAAATGGTTAAGAAAAACAAGCAATTACTTTATGGAACTCTGTGCTTGGAGCTCATATTGTTTATAGTGGCAATTGCTTTCAACTTTTAATATAAAGTATAATTTTCCATCTTGAGTTTAAATTTATTATTCCCTCCAATAACATTTTGCGTCCAATAAGAAGGATCGACGCAGATGAGCGGTCGGAAATGGATGATTCAGATGGTTTGGATAGGAGAGTTGCTAATATGGAAATGTGCCAGTTACATAATCCAAACAGCGATGAATATGTTTAATGCAGATTGTACAATATTTTAACATTTTTTGGATTTATACTATGATTAGATTACACATCCGTTATCATAATACCACCAACGATTGAACCACACAATGGACAAAGATGGAATGAGACATTTGCTTAAAGAGCACAACGAACAAGGCTGGGAAGCTATTTGGAGGCTGAGTGACAAACCGCCATGGGACAATGGAGATGTGCAGCCACTGCTCAAGCATTATTTGGAGAAAGGTGCACTACACCTCCCAGAGCCTAATAGGAACGTGAAAGTGCTGGTTCCAGGCTGCGGAAAGGGATATGATGCTATATACTTTGCAAAAATGGGTTATTCTACTACAGGTATGGATATATCACCAGAGGGTGTGAGATTAGCGACGGAATTAGCCGAGGGAGTGGAAGGTGTGCAGTTCAAGTGCGCAGACTTCTTCGTTGAGGAGGAAGAATACGACGTCGTTTACGATTACACTTTCTTCTGTGCACTGCCATTAGAGAGGAGAGGTGAATATGCAGACAAGATGAAGCGCACAGTCAAGCAAGGTGGAGTGCTAATAACATTGGTATTCCCTATAAAGGAAGAGTTGGTGGATGGTGTTGAGCAAGGACCCCCATTCGGATATACACCTGAATTATATAAGGATATCTTAGGTGATGGGTTTGAGTGTGTACTGGATGAGTACCCGCCAATCACAACAGAAAACAGAGATAAAAAGCGTATGAATGTGTTTTTGAGGAAAGAGATCAAATAAGAAATTTGGAATAAAAGTTGTAAGCCACTGAAACGAATAGACATATTGAGATTGCAATTGGACCGAGAATATGGTCAAAGTGGGTGTTTGCTTTCTTCTTTATCAAAGTTAATCGCCTTTGATATATAAAGTATCCATATAATATCGTGAATACTGATATCGCTGAATACACTAATCCAAAATACCTTGATGTCGTCTCGTTTGTACTATTGTATAGACTTATTGACAGCGTACCAATTAAAACAGCCATATTGATGTAACTAACAAGTGTTCTCTCATTAGCTAAGAAAACCTTGGGTTCTACTTTGGCAGATGTGTTGTGCGAGTATTGAGGAACTTTGACACTTCGATATTCATCGCCCACTTTTACATTCTGATAAACCACATTATATCTACTCTTATTAACATTCTCCGGTAACAACGAAAGCGCTTTCTTTGAGAATAATTTCAGCATTTCTTCACAATGTGGTGATGGAAGTTGATACCACGGATAGCGTCTCGCGTCGGCTGGATCGGCAGTGCTAGTAGACCAGACAAGCGAGATTTATTATCACGAGTCTAGATTATATTTAAATAACTAAAATTATATCTCTTCTTCTCCAACCATCATCATGTCGGAACAATTAAAAGTGGGTAGAAAGCGGAGATGACTAGGGATGGCTGAATATGGCTGGATATGGTTACACACGGCTATGGGCTGTGACTTACTAATTTGGTAGTTTTCATCTAATCTCTTATTAAACAACACCGATGAAGCTACCAGAGATTACCTCCACAGGATCCACGGAATCCACGGAATCCACGGAATCACCATTCCCCCACCCACGCCTTCGCAGCTCATCCCCATCTCCATCCTTCATCTCCTTTTTATCCCTCAGAGATCCCTTACTGACAAAATCGCAGTCACAAACACCACACCTCTTTATCCCTTCCACTCCTTCCCCTTTACAGAAGAGCAATAGCGATCTCGCACTCAATAAACTAAAAAATGACAAAGGTTACACTGACACAATCTACGCTGATAAGGATGTACAATGCCAGAAAGTAATTGAAAATCTCAAGCACAAAGCTTTTATTCCTGAAAATCTCGTTGACAATGAAGTTAATTGGTTCTACACCAATTTGGGAATTGATGATACTTACTTCAAGTTAGAAACGGTTGATACCATATCTGATCACATTATCAGTCTTTACGCTGCTAAATTGGTTGCGTACACTAAACACCGCAATGACTCAAACAAATTGGACATCGATTTGAAGAAGGAGAGAGAGAATGACGCTGTTTTCATTCACTCGGACAAGTCTGGCCATGGCGTTGAACAATTAATTGACTCCAAATACTTTGACAGCGACAGCATTCCTTTCAGATTAGAGACTTATACTTCAAAAGCTAAGGGCAACCTTAGGTGTTACTTCCTTTCGAAATGCAACTTCCCAAAGTTAGAATCCAAGGAAAACGATATTCGCAAAATTGCGGATCCTCTTTTCCTCGAGAAGGCCTCCGCTAACACCATTGACATCTACCAACGCATCCTCAACCAGGTCGACGTCCGTACTGGACCTGTCGTTGAAGGTTTCGAAATTGAAGGCACCACTGAACATCGTATTGTTATCGGTTACAAGAGAGGTACAACGAAGGGCTTCTTCTCTACTCTCACCGATCTCTACCATTTTTATGGCCTCCACTCAACTAGGAAGTTTGTTGAGCATTTCTCAAATGGCTCTATGATAGTCTCTCTCTATCTCAACCAAGGTGAGCTTTTCTTTCGTCTTGTAACATTTCCACTAACATAATTAACCTACAGATCCTCTCGTACCAGCCCCACCAATCTCTCACTCCGTCGTTCAAATTGTCCGCGAAGTTTCCCTCATCTACTGTCTTCCAGACAACCCCTTATTCTCCCGCGCAGCCGAAACTGACCCTGGAATGGGTAACGCAGTGCAGGAAGCCACCTACGCATATGTCGGTTACATCTACATCACCCACTTTTGCAACAGACTTGGTCCAGCATATGAGGCTCTACAAAGTCTGCTCGACGAGTCCAACAGCACCCATATGGGTGTTCTCGCTGATCTCAAGCGCAGATTGAGAGAAGAAACCTTCACCAAGACTGCCATCCTCGATGTCATTCAATCGTATCCAGAGCTCGTTCGTTTGTTATACACTCAATTCGCTATGGCGCACTATCCTGCCTCCTCCGCCAATGAGGAAGTTGTACCTACTCTCTCTCACCAGCGTCTCCAACAAGTTCACGTCATGTCGGATGAAGAGCTCCACGCTACTCTTCAAAAGGGTACTCGTAACCCATTTGAGTTACAAGTCCTCGAAAGTTTCATGGTTATGAACAAGCACACACTCAAGACCAACTTCTATCAGCCAACTAAAGTAGCGCTATCATTTAGATTGGATGGTGATTTCCTTCCTAACAACGAATACACTCAGAAACCATACGGTATCTTTTTCATCGTTGGCTCTGACTTCCAAGGATTCCACGTCCGTTTCAAGGATGTTGCTCGTGGTGGTATTCGTATTCTTCGCAGTCGCGACAGTGAAAATTACGCCACTAACCAACGTATGCTTTTCGACGAGTGCTACAACCTATCCTCAACGCAATCACTCAAGAACAAGGACATTCCTGAGGGTGGCAGCAAGGGTGTAATTCTTCCTAACCTCAACGCAAACCCTGAGTTAGCATTTGAGCGTTACATTGACAGTATCATCGATCTCCTCATCCCTGGCAACAGCCCTGGTATCAAAGAGCCAATTGTCGACTTGCACGCCAAGCAAGAAATTTTGTTCCTTGGTCCAGATGAGGGAACGGCTGGTTACATGGACTGGGCAGCTCTGCATGCGCGTAGCAGAGGTGCACCATGGTGGAAGTCATTTACTACCGGCAAGTCAGCAGACACTTTGGGCGGTATCCCACATGACGTGTATGGTATGACTAGTCGCTCAGTTAGACAGTACTATGTTGGCATTCTCGATAAGATGGCCATGGACGAGGAAACGACGACCAAGGTGCAAACTGGTGGACCAGATGGTGATCTTGGTAGCAATGAGATTCTCCTCAGCAAGGACAAAACAGTGGCTATTGTTGATGGCTCTGGTGTCATCTACGATCCTGTTGGCCTCGATAGAGCGGAGTTAACTCGCTTGGCTAAGCAGCGTGTTATGATTAAGGAGTTCGACGTCAGTCGTCTTTCTAAGGATGGTTACAGAGTGCTTTGCGAGCAGAATGACGTCAAGCTGCCATCTGGCGAAATAGTACAGGATGGAACCAGCTTCCGTAATGGATACCACCTTCGCGTCAAGGCTGACGTTCTTATCCCATGCGGTGGTCGTCCACAGGCAGTGAACATCTCAAACGTGAATCAGCTCTTCGATGGCGAAGGAAAGCCACATTTCAAGTAAATTGGAGTTTTTTAAAGTGATACAGTACTGACATTACGCAGGATCATCGTCGAAGGTGCGAACCTGTTTGTTACGCAACAGGCTCGTCTGATGCTGGAAAAACGCGGTGTTATTCTCATTCGTGACTCTTCAGCAAACAAAGGTGGTGTCACGTCGTCTAGTTTGGAAGTTCTCGCTGGTCTTGCGCTCAATGAGGAGGAATATTCCGAGCTGATGATGTACACCAACGGCAAGCCATCGTCATTTTACGAGAGCTACGTGAAGGATATTCAAGAAATCATCGAAAGCAACGCACGTATGGAATTCAACACTATCTGGAGCGAGTACAATAGACTCGGTGGTACAGAGAGCCGCACAATCATCAGTGATAACCTTTCACGTACACTCAACAAACTTCAACTCGAACTTGAGAGCAGCGATGGATTATTCGCAGATGTTGAGAAACGCAAGAAGGTACTTAGCAAAGCTATGCCAAAGACGCTCGTGCAGTACGTCGGCATAGACAACCTCCTCCAGCGCCTCCCACTGTCTTACCAAAAAGCCCTCTTTGCTTGCCAAATCTCCCGCTTCTGCTACCAGTATGGCCCTGCGGCTAGCCAAGTCGAGTTCTATCTCTACATGTCCCAGTTTTAGCTTGTGAGAACTGAACATCTCTGATACACTCGCACTCGCATATGGATATAGAAACAACCAAGACACGATTCTCTTGTTTTATATACAACAATGAATACTTTTTCTTTTTATGTTTATATTTTTCAAGTATATGTTATAAGTATGTTAAAAGAATATGAATACATCAGGTTAAGTTTTACGTTACCACCTTTCTAATCATCTTGCGCGCACCTTCACCAACGACCTGCAAGTCGCCATTTTCTTCCATCTGTCTCACTGCGTCTGCAAACATAGCGCCATCGACAGCAATACTCGACTGTGAGTTGATTTGCGCGAGTATATCGCTATACTTGATATTAGCACTTCTCGAACCCTCCACGAGGGAGCTAATCTCATTAATGAGATCTTGATTTTGACGTCTGTTATTAGCCGAGTAGCCGGTATTGAGAAGACTGATGTCGACTAAGCCAGTAACTGGATCTGTAGCCGAACCTTTGACAGCATCGATGATGAGTCTGTTGGCTTCGACTACATCGAGGAGCTCGACAAATTTAGATAGACGCATACGCGCATGGCCCTCAGCCAATCTAATCATAGACTCAAGTTGACGGGTTGTAGCAGTGATTCTTTTTTCAGCGTTATTAGCATCTTCTCCTTGTTTACGCAGCTGAACGTAACACCGAACGAGCTCCTCACTCGCTTCCGATGTCAGCTCGGGCTGTACTTTGTTCTTCGCATAGGTAATGTAGGCGGTGAGTATGTCGAGTCCCAGCACATCGCTGCCCGCCGTCTCGGGAGCGTCTTCGATATACATAGACACTAAATGTCTGGCAAGTTTGCGATCTGCGAATTCGTCGATGTTGTCCAGCACAAGATAAAGCAGGTCAAATCGAGAAATGAGCGTTGGTGGTAAATCTATGTTCTTGGTAATTGGCAGCTTCACGTTGTATTTCGATTGCACTGGGTTCGCTGCAGCGAGAATCGATGTACGGGCATTAAGTGTGGTGATGATACCCGCTTTCGCTATCGAGACTGTTTGCTGCTCCATCACTTCATGGAGGACGGAGCGAGTGGCGTCGGACATCTTGTCGAATTCATCTATACAGCACACACCGCCGTCTGAGAGGACTAGAGCACCGCTGCTGGTGCGTTAGTATTTTTCTCCTTTTAGACACACCCCGCTCACCTCTCAAGCACTAACTGCTTCGAATCCGGATCGCGAGTGATGTACGCTGTTAACCCGACGGCTGACGATCCTTTACCAGATGTGTAGACACCGCGGGGCGTTATTTTGTGCACGTACTGTGTTAGCAATTAGCGAGGAGGTATTGTTGTATTGCATCGCTCTCACCTGCAGGATCTGCGACTTGGAAGTACCTGGATCACCAACGAGAAGAACGTTGATGTCACCACGGAAACGCGGCCCGCCGCCACCACCACCGCGTGCAATTGATTTGTTAGTTCCTCCAAACATCTGCAGTAGGATTCCTTTCTTGATGTCATCCATCTCCCAAATTGATGGCGCGAGAGAGCGAGCTAGCAACTCGTAACAGTCGGGCCGTTGCGAGATTTCTACTAACTTGTTCTCCATCTCCTCAGCTATTGTACCAGCTTCGTTGTCATCATTGTTCGCCATCTCAGCCTCTAGCTCGTCGTCACCTCCGACACCAACTCCAGCCAGATTGACTCGGTCACCAGGTCTGGTCGTTGCGTCGAAACCCATCCTGTTTGCATCAGTGCGCTTTATATGCACTATGTCGAGGAATGTCTTGAAAAGTGATTTGATGGACCTCTGGCGTGGATTTACACGGACAGGTAATGAACGGAAAATTCCAGTAACGGTGATTCTATCACCAGGCTTAGTAACATCGACGAGTTCATCGTATACACATAGAGACACTGTGTGTGGTGTCTGACCGTCTGGAACGCTGTCGGGTGTCTCCTGCAGGCGGACAATTTGTTTATCGGCGAATTCACATCTATTGTGTATGAGTGCCATTGTGCCTTGGTAATTACACACATCTCTTGGACATCTTGATGGCTCTGCGATTCTTCCACGGTCAATCTCAACTTGATGAGTGTGTTGACATATTGTACACTTAAAAAAGGCATTCTTCATGTCTGGTATAATTGGAGTGGCACGGATGACTAAACCTTTGATTGAAACTAGTTTGTCCGTGTCGGATGGATTCAACTCGCGCATGTTCACTGATGGGAGATTGAATGGACGTACTTTGTAGACCTTAGACATTAACTCTCCTAGCTCTTCATCCCAGGCTTGCTGGCCAATCCTTTGTTCGTCACGCTCAGCATCCTCCTCACCGAGTTCAAGCATAACGTCTTTGAGTACCTGATCCATGATTGGAATAATCTCCTGAGGGTATTTTTGCAATTGCGAGTATAATTTACGAGATTGTGGGAATGAAATTAAATTGTTCATATCCAGGTTCAAATTGGTTTGACCGGTGAATCGCATCTTTCGCAAGTAGCTCTCGTAAAGAACGTTCTCAGAGCTTGCTTGGTCAGTTAAACTAGGTAAATCACGTCCTAAATCTCTTTCATAAGCCCGTCTATACTTTGTCTTGAAACCTCTCAAGAAGGCTCTAAAAGCAGCCATAGAATCAGCGATTTGAACGTTTGTACCCCAAATGACTCTAAGCATTCCACTGTCATCAGTCTGGCTATCAGTATTTGGAACATTAGCCTGTGAAAAAGTTCTATCTGACTTGTGAATATCAGAATTTGGTGCGTTTTGAAGAGTTAAATGTCTTCTTGATTTAACAAAGCTTGGTGAGGAAGGTGGGAGGTTTGAGTGAACATCACCGCGTCTTTGATGCGAGGGAGTTAGATGTTGAGAAGCACGTGGAGTAGATGCAGAAGAGGAAGGAAAGTGCAGCGGTGATGATGATCTGTGATTACCTGCATCTGAAGAAGGTGGCGCTGCTAAGAAATCTGGGTTTATTCCCGGTGAAGAAGGCGGTAAATTTGAGTTTTCACGTTGATTCCTGGTTGGTGTACGCTGATTATTCACGCTAGGTGAAGAAGGGAATAACATTGGTGATGAACTTCTGTTGCTCATTTTACGCGTCGTTGATGGTATGTGTTCAACACGCGTATCAATTCGATAGTCTAAGTCGCAAGATTACAATCGCAAGATTAGAAATGAATCAATCAATTTCACATCTTGTATTTAAGCTGCTAGCACACACACCACTCCCCTTATCTCTCTACCACCATGTCTTCTTTCAAGAGAGATAGATACGATGACGATAACTCTCATCAATCCAAGCGTGAAAGGAAGCAAGAAGAATCACGGAGAATGGCTACAGCTTCCACTTTCTCCGGCTCAGATAACCCTTTCAACGATTCAGATCTAAACTCTAAATTTCAGTGGCAGAAGAAATCTGAGAAAGATAGGAAATCTGGTATCACTGCAGATCAAGCAGCTGAGAGAGATGAGCAGCGCAGAGCTGAAACGAGGGAAGAGCTTCACAAACTCAATATGAGAAGACAACAACGTGAATTGGATAAGATGGAGAAAGAGGCAGAGCAGTCTAAAGCGCAACGACTAAATGACTCTGCTCAAACCCAAGAATGGCTCAATAAAGAAGATGATTTCATGCTTGAACAGAAGCGTATGCGTGCTGTTATGAGAATCAAGGGCCACAGGGCTCAGCCAATTGACTACCTCTGCTTGAATTTGAAGTTTGCACATCCTGATACCACCCACACCCGTGATGACGACCAAGAAGTTGAAACTGGTCTTGAAGTCCATCTCGATGAACCCTATCGTATCTTGGAAAATATCAATTTCGACCAAGCTAAAGCGCTTCATGCTGATATTTGCGAATTCCTTGACCTTGAGACAGCTGAACAAAACAAAGAATTTTGGAACGTGGGTTACTTTCTCTTACTATCTCATCCTTCTAATGAATCGCTCAAGTGCATGCTAGCCGTTTGTGAAAACAAGTTGGAAAGAATAGTGAGAACAATGAGCGAGCCACACGCAATAGACGAAGACGCAGAGGAACAGATAGAGATGATACTCCAAGGAAAGAGCCTCTACCAGCTCTCACAACTGCAACAATCTATTCAGGTCAAGCTACAATCTGATGCAGCAATCGATATGGAGTACTGGGAGGATCTTCTCAAAAGTTTACTCGTGCACAAAGCCAAAGCCAAGTTGAATGACATGCACAAACTCGTGCTCAACAATCGACTTACTCAATTACGCGAAAAGCAGCAGCTCGAAGCAGAAAGAATGCAGTCTGAATTAACCAAATCGATGAAAGACGATATGGATCAGGCACCTAAGTCCAAACAGCCAGAAGAGACGCCTAAGACAGAAGCAATCAAACCTGACGAATATGATCCCTGTATGTCTCCTAAACCAACACATAAAAAGCAACTGCCGTATGAAGATCGACAGATGCCGATGGTACTGGAAGAAGACGATAAGAAGAATTTGGTAAGTTTATTTGAATAGAACTCAACTAATAACCATTATTTGAATAGATGAAACACAGGCGTGAATTGATAAACTCGACTTTCATAGCCAGATCAGAACTGCCTCAGAAGCAGGTAGCACCCCGAGCAGATGATGTCGGTGCCTCGGTGACAGATATGGAGCTAGAGAATTGGTTCAGGATGCAGGATTTACAAACACCTCACAACTTCAACGACGAGTTCGACAACGACTATATCTTCACAGAAGTCCAAGAGGCCGCCAAAGTGACTTACACGTGGGATGACCTGAACAGGCCGCGCAAACCGAGATACTTCAATAGAGTGCATACAGGTTATGAGTGGAACAAGTGGGTCATGATGCTCCTTTTTGATAAAAATCTCAACCAAATTATCTAGATACAACCAAACACACTACGATCAAGACAACCCACCTCCGAAAGTTGTTCAAGGATACAAGTTCAACATCTTCTACCCGGATCTCATAGACAAAACCAAGACACCGACTTACAAAGTCATTAAAAACAAAGATAATCCTGACATATCTACGGTAATGTTCATAGCAGGACCTCCATATGAAGACATTGCATTCACGATTGTCAACAAAGAGTGGGAACACTCGCATAAACGGTGGGTAGTGGTCTGATTTTGAGACAACAGCTGATTTTCTTTCCAGAGGATTCAGATCGTCGTACGACAGAGGAGTGATGCAACTTTACTTCAACTTCAAGAAGATGTAAGTGTGTTGTCCTCTCATAATATCATGCTAACTAAACAGTTTCTATCGCAAATAAACTATATTAATGGCTTTATCATGTACAAATTTGCCGCGATGATTGACAGCAAGAAACTAGGAAACAATGCTCGATTGTATTTTTCTTTTTGTATGACAATCATACAACAATGAGTGAACCAGTTGTCGCGATAACGAGGTCGATTGAGAAAGTGAAAAAATGCGAGGCGCTCACCAAGCTGAGGACAGTCGGCAGGTTAGTTCTCCCGCCACGCATTCTCTCGCCTTACTAACGAAGAGAATAGCGTATCTCAGTGCCAGCTTCCTTTAATAGAAATAGTTCACAATAAACACTTTCTCACTGTAAATCTTGAGAACTGTTTACCTGATTCTCTGAGCGTGCCTACGCCAGAGGTCAACGACACAGTGATGATATGGGGAGAAATTGACGAGGTGAGCATTGGTTCATGTTGTAAGCTATGTTATTCCTGACAGTTCTAACATTAGTCTTCGGATCAAATTGCTTTTGATGGTGACACACTCACTTTTAACGCTCTTATCTACAAGATATGTAATGGTCTAAACATCACACAATGGTCTGACGCGGTTGATAGAAGAAATTAAGTGCAATGAAATCTACAAGTAATTATGTAACTGCCCTAATACCATGTTGTAGTAATTGTCATCACCAGTAGCTAATATTCTGCTGATCAGTTGAATCCAACCATGTGTGTCTTTGGAATGTGTGTCGTTAGTTTTGACAGCTGCAAAGACCAACCCGAGATTTTTCAGTGTAGTTCTGTAATTTTCATCAATATCGTATCCAGCTCTAGATACAGCGGTGACAAGGTTTTTGAGCAGCGCCTCAACCGAACCTGACGAAATGATGTCACGGTATTTCTCCGACATAGGTAAGTTTGTCAGTGAGTGGAAAATCTCAGACGACAGTCTCAAACACTCTATATCGTTGTACTTGGTGGCGAGATTGACAATTGAGAAAACCTCAGATCTCCAAACACCTCTTGACGAATAATCCATCGCAGATATATCCCCGTTCTTGACAATATTTGAAACAACTTTGAGAAAGTTTTTCAAAGATCTACTGCCAACCTTCGTGATGGCAAACTGTTGATTGATCCACATCAAGAACGGCTTGGATGTGACAATATTGGTAGCTGTTGCAGGATTGCTTGTCAAAGTCAAAGCAACTTCTTCAATCAGTGTCTTGATTGCAATATCATCTGTCGACGATTCGTATAACGTAGCTAGAACGTCCCAATTGTGACGACGCTTCATCATCAGCCAATCATATGATGACTTTACACCATCTCTTAACAGCTTCAATATCCATCCTCTTTCCCATCTCCTGTCTTCACCGTAACTAAGTAGGAGGTCGAAGAAGAGCGGGACATTCTTGACATCGAGTTGCGGACGCTGCAGTAGAAATCTCATTATGAGTGGGTAAGCGTGGTTTGATGGGTTGACTATCGCTCTTGTGGCGTGTGAAACGAACGCTGTAATCAAGGTTGGTTGTCTAGGCACCTCTTCATGCATTTCATGCTGAGGTATTGTGTTACGGAAGTTTTGTAACAAGTATTCCAATTCTGCCTTTTCTGTAAAGTTCCGTTTCTATTGAGCTTTATTAGCTGATGTCTAGCGTGACACTAAAACTCACGTTCAATATACCGCTGACGTGTCCCATAAGATGCAGGGAAGCCTTTCTCATGTCAGGACGGCGCGATGACAGGCCCATTATAGGAACGTTGATGATTGAGTATCTAACCAACTCGAGGTACTCGAAATCAGTGAGGGTTTCATCCATAAAAACGCTCGATAGTAATGCCATCAAAAATCTAGGATCGTAGAGGTCTTCAGGACATTCTATGTCATCAATGTTGCTAATATCCCTCGAAAAAGACAGTCTGTTAGGGAAGGACAGGCAGGTGCTAAATACCTTATTACTATCTAGCGCGGTGATTGCGTCTATTGCGCGACTGTTGGAATTTGCTGGCGCAATAGTAGATGGAGGTGTCCAAACCCTAGTAATGGCGGTGAGGGACTGCCTGCAGACACGCTCGAAAAGGTTGAAGATATCTAGTATAAGAGTATCAGATGGATGTAAGGTTGCATTGTAGATGTTCACCAATGGATTGATTTGTGTGAGTTGACAAAGAGCCGCAGGTGCCTTGTGGAAGAGTTTGTGGATGTACTCTAAAACGCGCTGCTTCGTAATGCTTATATTTGAAGACACATCTTTGAATAAATTAGATCCGTAAGCGTACTGAATCAGTGAAAGAACGAGATTTGGGGGTAGTTGCACTGAATTCAGCAAAACACCTGCAAATTTCATCACAGGGGCTTGTGACAAACCGCGTTGCGAGGATGTGATAAGGAAAGACTCGACATCGTCAGCAGACAATTGTATCTTTGATGCGACATTCGCCAAACACTCCAAAGCAGCTGCATCGACTTCTTTTTCTTGCATGTTGATAATTCTGACCATTTTGTCGAGGTTGCCAATGAATGCTTTCTTGATAAAGCTTTGCGATTCCTCAAATGATGAGAGGGAATCAGTAATCTGACTAAGCAATTTGCACAACCTTGCACTGTATCCAGGTATCCAGTTCAATTGAGATAAAAGGGATTGGGCATCAGCTGATGATTTGAATAAAGCAAAGATATGTTCAATAGAAACTTCTTCATTCTCTATATCGATAGCATGCTGAACAGCAACTCCAGCCACCTTTTTAGCTAAATCAATCTCTTTGTCCTCCAGTGAGGCACCAAATCTCACGCCAAGTGCGACAATATTCCCGTAAGCAGTCGCTGACAACTTGGGCAGATCACCGATATTAACCTTTTTGGTTGACTTGTAGAAAGCGCGTCTGTATTGAGAGAATCTTGTGATCAACAAGGCCATGATGGAATCCTGCTTTTGCGTCTGAGGTAATTGAACCTTTTTCACTTCTACCTCTTTTGGTTTGAGCAAACTCTTAAATTGAGAAACAGCTACGGTGGCGTCGCCCTGATTGAAGTTTCTGAGCGGCAATAGACGTTCAAAGAACTTGTGCAGCTCGTTCAAGACACCCTCATCTGTTGTCTTGAACACAACGTCGATCAGCGTCTTCAGGGATGATGATCTATCGTATACGCTTGCAACTATTTCAGAGTGCTCGCTCCTGTTCAAGATAATCAAAATGTGCTTGAATGTCACTAAGCTTTCCGGTGCGTTGACTGCTGACATCATGAGCGCTTCGTTCAGCTGTTTGAAGTCAAAGAATGGTATCCAACAAATCATAACACTTTCATAATCCTATGTAGATTATTAAGTTAAGTCGACCAGGACACAACCCTCTCACCTTCCAATCCTTTTTAGTGAATTGTGTAGCTGCTTGACCAACAAAGTCGGATAACTGTCCAGCATAATCATGTGAAATATTATCGACCTTCTTCAGCTCTTCGGTGAATCGTTTCAAAGCTGTGCAAGACTGGTCAGTCGAGTTGAATAATTAGCAGCGAAACCCACAGTTTGATAGACTGAGCTCTATGTTCTTTGTATTAAAAATGGCGAGTAACACGCGAGATTGCAGTACAGTCTCGATGACAGTTCTTTTCTCATTCTTTCCAGCGGACTTGATAAGCTCAATTAACAGACTGATGATAACATCTCTGCCACGTTCATCCCCAAGTCTGCGGACAAGGAATTGAGTTGATCTTGCATGTGAGTAGTATGCCTTGGCACTCTCTTTGATGTAGTCTCTTGACACAACATCGTCGAGGGCATCTGGTGTGATATGTGGAACAACTAAATCGAAACGTTCAATCAAGCTAGGCCAGGCGGTCAGTTAATTTACTTGAGACAAGAAACATACCTCTGTGTACCATCAAACTTGACAGACGCGAATAGATTCTGGTCAACTGGATCTAAAGAATAGATGCGAGCTGGTAAGTCCGAATGATCGAGCCCATCTAAGCCAGACACCTTCTTTGGTGGCTTAGTGAGACCCTTCGTTTGTCTTTTGATGATATCTGACTGTATGCGGGAATTGGAACCATCGTGACTGTCACAAATATGTCTCAACCAGTCAACAAGACGCTTAACAATACCGTCAATTGAAGGCTGTTTTCCGGCCAGTCCGATAATCAGATTACGAGCATAGCCTGCCAACTCAGCTGCGTTATCATCGCTCAGCAGCTTCTTCGAAATTTGATAGCTTAGCTGTTCAAGTAAAGTATAGATAAGTGGAGATGGGAGTGAAGCAGGTAAATCTGCATCAGACTCCTTATCTAAAAGTTCTCGCATTTGCTCTAAATATCTGTAAGGTGTCTTAACGCAGCGCAAAATGCAGCTATCAACGAAATCGAGGCTATCCGCGCTCAAGTTTGAAAGCCAGAGGTGAGTTTCAGATTTGTCGTGCTCGAATAAAACGCTGTTCGATAAGAAATTGGAGACAATCTCACTAGTGACATTTCTAATAAAAGCGTGTTTAGTATTGATATTGAGTTTCATGATTGCTTTGAATGCACTCTCTGACCCGACTTTCGAAGCGACATTGTATACATCACTGCCTTTCAACAAACGAAGCGCGTGCAGTTGACTCAAAGAGTCAAATGAATCAAGGTTAGGATCTGCAAGTCCACCTGAGAAAAGCAACTTCGATACATCAATTTGAGATTCTTGGAAGGCTGTCGGTATAACTGACTGATACTGATGCAACAATCTTAGCGAATTTTCCAGCAACATCTTGTTCTTTGATGATTCTTGAGATGCAGCAAAATGAGCAATAACTTTACCCTCAGGCAATCTTTTTATCGCTTCACGCAACAACTCTCTACGACGTCTGTGCCATTGGCCATCTGCCTCGCTCTCTTCTAACGAATCAGCTGCCTCCTGCATCAATTGCTGAACTCTATCAAGCTTATCAAGGGCTTTTGTGACCGCAAGCGATATGCAGTGCTGTACCAGTTGCACTGGAGTTGAAGAGTGTAAACCTTTAGTAAAGTTGGCTTTCTGAACAATCGTCGGGATAATTGCTTCAATCATTCCATTCAACGGTGGTGGTGATGGCTTGTAAAATCCGTTTTGCTTGAATGATTCAGTTGGAACTGGTAAGGACACCGCACATGCTAAGTAGGAAATGTTGGAGATCCATCTCGATGATAAACGGGGCTCGAGTGTCAAACTTGACTGTTTCCAGTAATGCGATGCCAGCTCCGGACATGCTGCTAGTATTGACAGGGCCAAATCAGCGTTGAGCTCATTGTCACCGATACGAAGATTCTTAAGAACACCGAGTAATTGACGGTTGTAAAGTCTGCTGGTACTTATATTCTCGCCCTGCTGTTGCTGCTGGCGGGGGTAGTAACCATCGTCTTTGAAACACAACGCGAATCCTGGTCTTGTGCACAATGATTTGAGATATACATGTACGAGCTTAGCTGGAATTTGCTCAATCACATCATCACCTTCGTTTTCATTTCTGTTGTAGAGCTTTAATATGTGGTCAATAGTCTGCTCATTCCAGATAGAGAGTTTGATAGATCTAGATATACGACCGTCTGACCAGCAATCATGCCAAATTTTAAGAAACTTTTGTATCACAAGATAATGATCTTGCGAGAGTCCTTTAAAGAGTTGCTGGTTGATCTCTTTGTGTGACAAGTGCATGTTGATAAGGTATGGATTGGAGAGTGATGGTGAAATGAACACCATATTGAGAAGTAAGTAGAGCGTACGAATATCTACGAATTTGTGAGAACACTGATGATTATAGATGGTGATGCCTACCCGCTTTTCCGATAGGGTCGTTTTCGCCATCAGTGGACTTCTTTCTGCGCATATTCAGCAATTTTGGTACAAACTTCGGCCGGAGTCAGTTAAAGATGAGTGTTCATACTCAACTTACCTTAAATGACCATCCAAAGTTCTCCCAAATGGTGCGCATTTCCTTCTGCACGCCAATCCTACCAGCAGCCTCAGCCATGGCGAGGGTTAGCTTGAGAGACGCCAAGATAAGGTCGTTTTTGTTATCACCCATGTAATCTCTGAGGAAGGACTGTGATTTTATAGCTTCGTTGAGGATGGCTAATGCAGATGGATGCAAGTGAGTGTGCGAAGCCGCAACATTGAGGAGAGCAGCAATGGTAGTGAGAGGGAGGGGGAGACTTGCAGCTAATTTGTGGTCCTACGATTCCAATCAGCTGGTTTGGATCCCGAAAGAAGAAGACAGACCTGATGGCACAACTCCCAGCACCTGAAAAGCTCAGATGCATTGGAAGACCTTCTTAGATAATCTAAAACTAATTTGTAGCGCTTATCGGTTATAGGAAGGTCTTGCGGTATTGTGATAGCGCTTCTGAAAGCGCTTAAGATATCTTTGATACCGGAGAGAGATCCCTCATGCGCAGAGGCTCTATAAGCAGCGCTGAATTTCGTAATAAAGTCTAATCCATCCGTGAATTCTATCTCGGGCTTCTGACGCTTGACTGGCGGCGGCGTCATATTGCAATGGTAGTGGACAAAGAAGCTGCGATTGCGCTAAGCAGGTGAAATGAATTGCAAGCGTCCACCTGTTGGATGGAAATTTTTCCGGGTTCTAGCAGCTTCTGACTTTGGTAAGACTCACTTGGACTTGGACTATCAACTCATCTGCACATATGGCCACCACTATTCGTAACATCAAGAGCGTGCTTCCAACACTTGACAGAATCCTTGTGCAGCGTTTCAAGCCACAAGAGAAGACAGCGAGTGGTTTGTACTTGCCTTCGTCATCAACTGCATCTCCGCTTCCAGAAGCTACCGTCATCGCTACCGGTCCAGGTATTAGAGACTCCAAGACTGGTGACAATGTCCCTAACTCTGTAAAGTCTGGCGACAAGGTCTTGTTGCCAGGCTGGGGAGGTTCTTCCATCAAAGTTGGCGAGGAGGTGTGTCAGCGTTATAATGTATTTTTCGAGCTAAAAATGATACAGGAATACTATTTATTTAGAGACTCTGAGATCCTCGCAAAGATTCAGGAATAAACTAATTGCATTTGACTATACACCACTCAGGCTATCCATTTAAAACAATAATTCATTAAAAAGTTGATTTCTATTTAAAATATATGTTTAGGGATATATATATATCGTTTTTTATAATCAAACTATGTCTGTTTAAGCTGAGAAACCTTGAGTTTCACGCTCGTTAGCCAAATTCATTGCGTTCTGTAACTTGACTTGGCGGTCTTGGTCAAGTGATCCGTTTGCAGATGTCGCGGCGGCCGGATTGGTAGCTTGGAAGATGGTGAGACGATGCTTGAATCTGACAAAGACGTCGATAGAGTCTAATGGTGACTCGAAAGTCAATTCCTCTTCGAGATCCTCGTCATCATCGTCATAATCGTCTTCTCCAAGTTCAGCACCCATGCCCTTGCCTTTCTGCTGCTGCTCTCCAGCCAATCTCTGTGCTTCAGCAGCCAAGACTTCGAGGTACTCGTTGTCCTCATCCACGATGTCACCCTCGTCATCTCCACCATCAACATCATCAGCTGCAAAATCGAAGTCTTCCTCTTCGTCATCTTGGAATTCACCTGCTCTCTCTTTAAGCTCGTCGCGCTCATTGATAGCTTGAGGGAGCTGCTCAACTATGTCTAACAATGCTGCAAACAGTGCTGGCCAACCTGATTGGACTGAAGGTGGTGTTTGCTCTACTGTCAGTTGCATAAGTGAGCAAACACCGACGACAACCAATTTCTTGTCGTGTACTCTGCTAAAGAGATTGATGTTTGACATCCATGTTGTGAAGAATGTAGCAGTGGCACCAGCCTGCTCGAGAATGGATAAGGTGATGACTGGGTTGTATATGATCGAGTTAATAATAGTCTCGAGGAGGTGGAGACGAAGTGACTTTGTACGTGTGATCTTTGGATCGAGTTGTTTCATAGCTGTTCCGATAATGAGTGGGAGTGCCTTTATTGCAGTCAGTAAGTGAACAGATCTAAATCGTAATCCAAACCTACATCATCAACTTGACCTGGCAAGTGAAGGAGAACAGATTCAATCAATTGAGAAGCAACAAGTCTGTCTTGTTCGCCAAGCTGTTCTGATTCCATGGCGGTAGCATATATGTCAACCGCCATCTGTCTATATGTAGGATTTTGCGCGAACACAGGAGATCCGTAGCTTATAAAGTTATCCAATGATGGCAACATTTCAGAGAGATAGTCGACACCTGAGCCTTTGAACGATTGGTACAAAGCCTCAAAGACAGGCCAAAGATCGTCAGGGATGGCTCTCATGAAGAAAGTTAAGCAATCGATGAGCTCGAATACTTCATCATACAATTCGATGAACTCATTCTGAACAGTGAAAACAACCAAGTGTGTAGAAATGGATGAGATTTCCTTCAAGATAGATTGACTGTTCTCTAAAGATCTGACTAATTGCTGGAGTGTCTTCATGGCACCCATAGCCGCCATCACCTTGTCTTCTCCGGCGTCGACATATTGGTCAATTTCACCTTGAGGAGCTGCTTCTCTGATGTTGAGCTGCTCAGTCATGATTCTCATATACGTTTCACCGAGATGTCTTGAGACATCTACAGCAAATGGAATCAACTCATCACCGAAATCGTCAACAATTCTCTCCATCGTTTGGCTAAGTATATCGAGATCGATTTCGTCAGATAATTTTAAGAGATCTTGAACAATCTTTGCGATACTTGGTGCCATCGCAGCCTTGACTTCAGGGTGTTGGATCTGTTCTGTTAATGCCAATGCAGCTAAAACCCTGACTGGTAATTGACTATCCGATAAAGCGTTCACTACAGCTCTGAAGTGAGCTTCAAGGTTAGACTTATTACTCCACTTGATATCCCAAGTTTCGTACTTCTGAACCATCTCGCAAGCAATCAGTCTCATGAATGCAAATTCGGAGCTAAATTCTGGAAGAACGTGGTTAACAAAGACTGATTCCATCATTCCACCGAATTTCTTTGAGCTCATTACGATAGGCGCAAGGGCAATCAGGATGGACAAAGCACCATATTTTTCCTGAGGAGTCTTGCTAGAGGTAAGAACGCTGTTGACAAAGTGCAAGACATCTTCAAAGGTAGATTTTGTTCTATTTCTCGTAAGTGCCAACAAGAATGTGGTTGCAGCTGCAGATGGGCTGTTGAAGTTTTCCAAAGGATCGACAGAAGTTCTGATGAACTCGACAGGATCATCCTCAAACTGCTCCGCCTGAGCCTGATTAAAGATAACTTGAGGGAAGACAAATTCTGCAACGATTTGCGTTACGTGTGGTTTGAGTAATGACCATGTGGACTTAGGTTTGATGCATTCACATAGGTAGTCGAAGATAAAGTACTTCGACTTGCTAGACAGCCAGAGACCTTGAGTTCGATTCTTTTCGATTATAGAGAGGTATGACTTGAGGATTTCAGGTGCGAAGTTGTTGACAAAGGTATTGGCGAATGGTTTGTACTCTTGTGAGCGTGAGGAGAGCTGAGATGGGCTTCCAAATCTAGAAAAGAGTCTGTTGAGACAATAGAAAGCGTGTTTTTTTGCCTTGGACCAAGGGCTACGTTCACGCTCCTCCTCATCTTCAGGCAAAAGCTCAACTGGAATCTCCTTGTTAATTGCGGATAAGAAAAGAGAGCCCCAGACGACAATAGATTGCTGCTGGTGTTCGCTGAGGTCGTGTTGAATAGAAGCCTTGTAGATCTTGAAAATGATGTGCAACATTGATCCAGCGTCGGCTGAGTCTTGGGCTAAGACATTCTTACCAGTTTCAACGAGAATAGGGAACGTTCTTGAAACTATTTCCTTCATGTACTCCTTCTTTGTAGTCCTGAACCTCCACGCCTTGAGAATTTCATGGAGGGCGAGCTCACCAGCAAACTGTTCGCGTGCATCGTGGGAGACGAGGAGCTGGAGAACAATCTCAAGGAATTGAGGCCAGTGATCGGGGACGTCCGAGCTCACAATTGTGCCGATAATGTGAGCGATTTGTACTCTAACAGCTGAGCTGGTTGAAGCGACCAAGACTTGCAGGATGTTTTGCTTGATTGACATTTTGTCAGTCTGTGAGATAACGGTTTGGTTAGGACGGGAACGTGCTGCATCCATGTCCCAGCTTCTAGAGATGCGATTTTTGAGGTAGACAGCGCAAGATTGCTTTACAGCGCTGTTCAGAGAATTAAAAGGGTGTCTTCAGAAAAACATTAAAACCCACAGATCATCTCCTTCCGCGATGATTTGAAGAGTTGCAGTCGGGAAACCTTCTTCAGCTTCCAAGCTACGGAGCTGGAGCTCAGAGCTTTTACGAACGTTTACATCCGGAGAATAAGTGGACTGGAAGAGTTGCTGGAGCTGTGCGGCGTCCATGTTGTGATGGTTTGAAAGGAAGACACGGACATGAGTAGATTCCAAAGTGCGAAAATATTGAGGAAGGGGGAAATGGAGGCCTGAGAACATTTTATCGTAGAGCCGCATGTAGATTGAGTTTCTCTATCTTTTGGAATGTGTGTTCGGCATATGTCCATTTCGGAATGAGGCTGAGAAGTCGAAGAGGAGGTAACGCGATGAGAATAGCCGTTGTACTAATACATATCGCTGTGCAGCTTGAGGTTAAATACTGCTATACGTAAACAAGCAGGTACAAGCACTTGAGGATATCTCACACGCGAAGGTAAAACATTTGAAAGTCTGAAGCGTTTACGTATTCGTTTAGTGCGAGCCTTTTGAATTGTAATAAAAGGGGTGTTTCTCTGTGCAATTGGGTGTTATGAAAATCTAAGGAAATATATCATGGTTTTGTTATCTAAGATGTCATTTTATGGGAAGCTTATTCCCTTAATGTGCCATCCTTTTTCAATGTCAAAACAAGTAGCAGGTTTTAGATGAAACTTCCCTGAAAATTTTAGCCTCTTGGTAGACAATGAGATGAGGATTGAAAACCTATAATTCTAACTTTTTCAAGAAGTTGACGCAATATTTTCCGGTATTCTGAAATTGTAATTGCCCTCGTAACCTTGTTACGTGAAATCACTTAAAACATCCGTGGAGATGACAGATTGAGCCCATATTGAATTGCAGAATAGACTATCATCAACTCATAAGCCAACTGCAAATACTCACAACGTCTATTGATAAGAATTGGCATATTTAGATTGAATTTTACATAAATTTGAAAACAACAAAGACTCTACTAATATTCAAACTAGCTGTGGTATTCCCTTAAGCACCCTTTGAAACCTTGTCCATGACTGTGGGGCTGAAGTCAGCTTTGGTTTTATTTGCTTATGAGTAAACCCACCGGTATCGAAAGCGCATTCAGTGGAATCTGTACATTGAATGTCGAAATGGATGCCATTCAACTTACTTCTAAGGGCATCCTTTGATGAAGCGTACATCATCTTTGGTTTAACTTTGGCAGTATCTGGAGCCCTGAATCCATCGAAATTAGCGGAATCAAAAGCTAATCAACTAAAAACCCACCAAGCATAAAAGAGAATCTTATTACGAGTACCTTCATCACCCTTTGTGAATTGGAAATCATAAACAGCCCAACGTGGCTCGTTTTCAGGGAGATCGTTCAAAAACTCATCGTAGTTGTCAGAGTTGGATGTCTTTTCACAAACAATCGCAGTAGAGTCATCCGAGATCTTAAGTATCATGTACTTGTGCTTTTTGCCCAATTTGAGATCTTGGAATGTGGTTAAGCACTCATCTGCGACTGGTACACCTGATGACTATCACAGTGTCAACGAGATTTATCACGCGTATTAAAGCCCTTACCATTTTGATTTATACTGTATAAGGTAAAGCTATCGTTAGGAGTCAGTTCAACGTCAAGTAATATCTTTGAGCCAAAAATAAAAAATAAATTAAAATATAAAGTCGTGTACAGGATTCAAAGAATATAAAAAATAAATAATAGGTCTTTACATCTCTTCAATTGCATTCTCAATATCGAACACGTCATTTGAATCATTGAACAATTTTCGTTTAGATGGACTGTCGTTGAAATTAGATGGTGTCATAATAATCGAATGCTCTGCAGACGAGCTTGAGTAGTTAAGCGGTGGTGGTATCGAGGACGACGTGGACATGGCATTGATGAACGCGTGCGATGTCTGAAACTGGGGTGTAAGTTTGACTGGTGATTGATGTTCAACACCTAGATGAATTCGTGAGACCAGGTAAACCTATAAATACTCCAAACTCACCAAAAGTTGGAGATGAAAACATATTCTGATGTCTCCATTGGTCATCAGTCATATCATCCAACGCTAAACGTGGTGTTATACCTAAACCACTGCTCAGCTTGGATTTTCTTGTTGATTGCATCAAGTTAGCTGGTGTGGCCATCGTCGGTGATGGTAAGTGGCTTTCATTGAATGAGACAGGTGGTGATGGCTGTAAACCAAAGAACAAATTATTAGCATTCCTAGCATACGGTAAACCATGAATGAACCTGTCATGATAGGTTGCCGTTGGAGCGAGTTCAGGCGTTTTTGGAGATAACTTATGCTTCTTTGTCTTTGATAGGGTCATTTCGGATCTAGCTTTGCGCAGTTGTCGGCGTTTACGTATAAGGGCTGATTTAGCGTCATGATTGACTTTTAATTTGTCATTAGGTCCTTCTTCATCGTCGGACATGTAGTTTACCAGAAATTGCGGTGTAGCTGGAGGAGCGAGTGATGTTGCTGGTGCTCCTACTGGAGAAAAGCTATGATTATGATAAAGGGGAGGTCTCTCCATGTTACGAACGAGCATTCTTCCTTTGCCTTTAACGAATTGAGGCTCCAAGTTGCTCGTGTGGGAGTTTGTATGCGTGTGAGAGCGTGAAGGACTGTGACTATAAAGATTCTGTGGTGTAGCCACGGCTGCCATCGAGGCGGCGGTCGAAGTGGATGGCCTGGACATATCGTCGTCTAATTCAAGCGGAGGGAGCAAAGATTTCGTGGGAGTTGACTGAGTCTTTCTCTGTGACCACCAAGAGCTACGCTTTGTGTACTTTCTCTTTGGCTTGGGCGTTGTACAGTGGAGGCTAGTGCTAGTAGATGATGGCTGTAATCTTCAAACAGGATGAGGAAATGAGGAATGTTACTAAAATGGAAATCAGTCTAAACTCACTCCTGCTTTACAACTCTAAAATTATCAGTTATTCTTAATTGCTGTTGCTGTGACTGTGGCTGTGGTCCCATTCGCCGTCTCTTTGATCGTCGTTCGGGTTGAAAGAATTTACATGAATTGTTCATCCAAAAACTTGTTATAGTCATACACGTATCCTTCTTCGCCATCTTCCTCAATCACTGGCAGCTGCGTCTTGAGGCTTTCCATCGTCTGTCCCCCCAACGCTGATAGCTTGATATCCACTTCCGTCACGTATGGCTGTTTAATAAAGTGAGCTAGGCGCATTGCTTCGTCTACACACCCACTTTGTTCCCAGACACCCCTTCAAATGCCTCTCTCACTTGATCCTTGTCCGTGCTGTCCTCCATTATCTCCACCATGTACCTCACAAACTCCCTGAAACTGACATATCCATCCAGTTCACTCTCCTTTGCTAGCATATCGTGTATCTCTACCATTTCATCCTCCTGACATCGATTGTTAGCTCACTTGACCGCCTTTTTATAATCTGACACACTGGATACGTAATACCAAGACTTGCGAGTGCTGCTCCAAATTCCCCATATGAAAGGCAATTACTGTCATCTCTATCAAAGTACCTGAATGTGCTTTCTTTTGTGGATTGCATTGCGTAAGAATGTGATCATAAGAGTTCCTGACGACATCGACGTACCAAACTCTTCAAGCTTATCGGGTGTCACATTGCTTGCCTCTCTAGAAACGATCTTATGGTGTCATTAGATGTTGCAACGCTTTTAATAAGCAAAGTACACTCACCTGGTTCTCGAGGAACGCAAACTTGTTCTTCAAATTAAGCTGCACTAGCTCAAACTCAAATTCAAGATCATCGAAAGAAAAGATGGTATAGTCATTCTCTTCGATGTTTGCTTCCAAACAATCCCTCTCCAATAGGTACAAACCGCCGTGAAGCTGTTGAGCCAGTGGTTCCATTTTTGCTTGAAGTTCCTTTACTATTGTGAGCTGTGACTAAGGTGTTGTGAGCATTATTAGCAGCATTTTCAATAAAGCACAAAACTCACTTCTAATTTACCGTCCAGCTCACCGATAGCAACAGTGATCCGAGACAAGGACCTCTCGAAAGAATTAGCTACTTGTGCAAACGACCTGCGCAAAAGCTCTTTGATATCTCTGATACGAGCATTGATAGCTCTTGATCTGTTTGCTTCAGCTTCAGCCATCATCGCCCATTTCTCGTCAAGATCCTAGAAAGCAGTGATGTGAGCAAAACCCAACTTTGAAAGTCACAACCCACAACTAAACGCACCCCGACTGGAGGGTCGTACGGACGAAGTTTATAAGTCTTTAATTTTGTCTGAATGTTGCCAAACAATGCGGTACAGTCAGCCTTCTCAGAAACATAAGTTCTCTTTGTTGTCTTTTTGTGTTCTGCTAGTTGGCCACTCTGGAGCTTGACATCTGCATAGCTGTCTGCAGGCGGAGAGCTCCCCCACTCAATTTTTAACTGCTCGAGCGACCACAACAAAGCTCTGACCTTGACTTCGTACCGATTGGATGCCTGCCATACACTAGCCATGACGTCAGCAAATGCTGCTACGCGTCTGGCATTCGTCTCTTGACGATCCATTGATGAGAAGGCGTGGAAATACGATGCGACATATGTCATGGTTGAACGCTCGTCTGGTCGTGTGCACAGATCCTCGACATCCAATAGTTGCTGTGGTGAGGTGCTTAGTGGGGAGATAAACATAGCACAGATTAACTCACTGGTATGCCTAGGTGCTGCTCCGCGATGTCGAATGCGAGTTTCGTGTTACTGAACCTATCAACGGGATCTAGGGCGTGATAATCGAGAAGATCGGGTCTGTGACAGTGTATCAAAGCACACAATGCAAAGCCATCCACCCAGCTGCTTGTAAAATTCTCCACGTTTACATCTTGATATGGCGCTGTCTTTCTTTGACACCAAAGCAGCAATCCTTCCTTTGCTTGGAGACCTTCCTCACTAGAAACACGTTTTAGTTGTGCTGCTAACAGAAACCAAGACCCACCTAATCTCTGCAATAGTAAATCTCAAAATCAATGTCCAAATCATGCCCAAAATTAGCTTCAAATTCTGATCCATTATGTCTGAAGTTGTGAAAATTGTGAGGATGGGTAAGTTGTAACGAAAACACAGAGACGTACCTTCCGGACCAATATTCGTCAAGACGATCCCTCGCGACCTTATAAAGTCGAGTGCTTTGGTGACGTTCTCGGCTTTCTGTACGCGCATACGAGGGTTGACGTTGTATCTACCAAGGTTCACGTCACCTGCGGCTCTGCTTAGTGGGTTTTTCACACTTCAACGCCGCGTACCCATTATCTCCATAAGTTGAATCAGTCTAACGCCATTGCTCAGATCTCGAGCGAGATCAGTCATTGGCTCAATACTGCAAGCTTCCAGTTTGGTATTGAGCCATTTCATGAAAGCTGTGGGGTATCAGGTAACTGGGAAATCCACTGAAAACGGACACGGACTTTTAGCTTGGACAGTCTCCCACTGCCTTTCCTCGGAATGGGAATGAGAACGCGAATTTGATCTGGAGTGTCCAAATCCCCTTGATCTTTCTATAACGCTGGTCATAACACGTCGTTCTACGCGTCTAAGTGGTGGAAAAGGAAGTCATCAAAACACAGCGGAATTAAAGATAAGTAGGAATATTAAAACTAAAAATGTAAATCTAGCTGGTTATATTACATGATACTCAAATCAGTCCTTTCTCTTTCATCTTCTGCACAACGTCGTCCACGCTGTCGACCTTCTGACCACCGGTGCGCTGGGCAGGCTCAGCCACCTTGACAGTCTCGAGTCTGTTCTTCAAATCGAATGGAAGCTCTGTCTCTTTGACGCTCTCAATTGGCTTCTTCTTAGCCTTCATGATATTTGGCAGTGAGGCGTAGCGTGGCTCATTCAATCTGAGATCTGTAGTAACTATCATTGGGAGGTTACCCTGGACTGTTTCCAATCCACCGTCGATTTCTCTTGTGACTGTTGCCTTTCCATCTGCAATTTGCAGTGATGACGCAAATGTAGCCTGACCGCAGTCGAGCAAACCAGCGAGCATTTGACCCGTGGCGTTCTCATCGCCATCTATAGCCTGCTTGCCCATCAAAACCAATTCAAATTTGTCCCTATTGATAAAGTGTTTGAGAGTCTTTGCGACTTGCAATGGCTCTACGTTGTGCTGGTCACCGACTTGTACGTGAATTGCCTTATCTGCGCCCATTGCGAGTGCTGTACGCAGAGTATCCTGTGCTTTCTGTGGCCCGACAGTGATAGCGGTGATGGAGTCAACGAGGTCTTTATTCTTCTCCCTCAGCCTTATAGCTTCCTCTACGGCGATCTCGTCGAAAGGATTCATCGAGTGCTTGACTGTGTTGTCCACGCCTGCCACGAGCATGTCAGCCAGCCCACCACAGCACTCGAATCACCCACCTTTTCCATCTGGATTAACGCGCACTTTCACAGCGTAGTCTATGCAGCGCTTTATTGGTACTAATACGTTGATGTCAACTCTGCTGCTCGCTCTGAGTAGATTGGCTCTAGTGGGAAACATGGTGGCACGGTTGAAAGGGCCATTCAATATGTAATCCTAAAAGAGCGCCTAATTTGGCGTTTTATCAGACTTCTGGGACTTATCAATTATTATACAAGTCATTCCAACGCTTCCAACACAACGCTATCACCAAATGAGGCCTTCTCTGCTCAGGCTCAACGAAATTTCAAAGGCAGCAAGCTATTGTAAGAATAATGTGAGGAGATTTGACTACTCCGCCCATCTCTGTGGCTATTTCTACCCCAGATACGCACAAGATGATTACTTTGCTTTAAAAGCCTGGAATATTGAGCTGGCGACGATCAAGTGGGTTTCAATACGTAATTTAAGTCCACAAATAACCATACGCCCCCAGAGACAGCACAAGTAAAGACATGATTGCTGCTATGAGAATGCAATTCTGGAAAGACGCTATTAACAACATCTACAAAGGCAAGATGACAAAGGAGCCAACAGCCACAGCTCTCTTCGAGTCTGTGCAGAGGTACGAACTCCCCAGGCAGTCCTTCATCAACGTTATCGAGGGAAGGGAGCGTGAGTTAAGTATTGAAACTCCAAGGGACCTTCAAGGCCTCGGGACAGTATTGGAGTTGACGCAATCTTCTCTTTTGCATCTCCAGCTGGAACTGCTTCTGCCTCAGCTGACGGAAATCGACGAGCTCGAGAAAGAAAACTATCAAATAGCATTGAGCCACATTGGCAAGAGTATAGGGCTCTCTACGCTGCTCAGGGCACTCCCTTATCATGCCGCCAAAGGTAGACTGGTTATACCTTCGGATATCACGGCTAATCATGGCGTTGTGGAGGAAGAAGTCCTGCGCAAACTAGATAAAATAGATGGGGAATCTGCGAACAGACTCTCTGATGCCACATTCGAATTCGCAACTGAAGCAAATGACCAATTGATCGCTGCTCGAAGTCTACTCAAAGGCGGGATAAGGAAGCAGCTCATGCCGGTGTTTCTTAGTGCCGTGCCTCCACAGTCATACCTCAATCGATTGGAGAAATACGACTTCAATCCATTCAACGTGCATCTCCAGCAGAAATACTGGAAGCTGCCTTGGGAGATTTACAAGTCATACAAGACACACACATTCTAATTACTAGGCAGTATTGTAGTTTATAAACAGGTAATTAATAGCATTCTTACTAGACAAATTCTGATGGCTGTAGTGCACTCTGGCTGGCGCAGAAGAACCACGGTGCAGGGGCGTATAGCCATTCTATTACATAATATTGTACGATGTATCTTACACCCAATCACATCTCGCCAACAGCCACTGCAGAAATACCAAACTTCCCTTGATCTCAAACTCCCAAGATGCTCCCGTTACGCAGATCGCTGTTAAGCAGCAGAGTTAGCAGTAGGAGGCTGCTATCCACTTCCATCAGGCTCTACCAAGATCCACTCAAGCAGCCACCGGCTCCATTTGATGCTTTCTCCACGTCTGGGCTCGATCACGCTTACCTCGAAGCTGCCTACGGTTCGTGGAGGCAAGACGGCAATTCTGTGCATCCGTCATTCGCCACCTACTTCGAAGCTTTAGAGAATGGCGTGGACCCTTCTGAGGCTTTTGTGCCTCCACCAAAATTGGCGGGTGCTCTGGCTGAATCTGCCGGTTCTCCCAAGCATACCGATTTAGGCGATCACTTGAAGGTGGGTTGAGAATCCACAGCACAGCCTTTCTTATGCCCAACCACAGGCTCAACTTCTTGTCCGCGCCTACCAAGTCCGTGGTCACCACCTCGCTAGCTTAGACCCACTCAATCTCACCCAAACTGATAGAACCAATATGGCCCCAGCTGAGCTTAAGATTGAGAACTACGGCTGGTCTGAACGTGATTTGGATCGCCAGATTAGCTTGGGCCCTGGTATTCTCCCTCGTTTCGCTATCGACGGACGGAACAAAATGTCTTTGCGCGAAATCATCAACACTTGCGAGCAAATCTACTGCGGTCCAGTTGGTATTCAATACATTCACATACCAGACAAAGATCAATGTGATTGGATGCGTAAGAGAGTTGAAATTCCTCACCCTTGGAGATACAATATTGAAGAGAAGAGCAACATTCTCGACAGACTCTTGTGGTCGACCAGCTGGGAACAATTTATTGCTGCCAAATTCCCTAATGAAAAGCGTTTCGGTTTGGAGGGTGCTGAGTCTCTCATTCCAGGTATGAAGGCTCTCATTGATAGAGCTGTCGATCACGGCACGAAACACATCACCATCGGTATGCCTCACCGTGGTCGTCTTAACGTTCTCTCCAACGTCATCAGAAAGCCTTCTGAAGCCATATTTAACGAATTCACTGGTGCAAACGATGACACTCAGTCTGGCGGTGGTGACGTCAAGTACCACTTGGGTGCCAACTACACTCGTCCTACACCATCAGGAAAGAAAGTCAACTTGTCTCTCGTAGCCAATCCATCTCACTTGGAGGCTGAGAACCCAATTGTCTTAGGTAAGACTCGTGCTCTGCAACACATAGAAGGCGATGAAGGTAAGGGTGATTCTTCACTCGGGTTACTTTTGCACGGTGACGGTGCTTTCGCCGCTCAAGGTATCGTTTACGAGACCCTTGGTATGGTCAACTTGCCTAACTATGGTACTGGTGGTACCATCCACGTTGTTGTCAACAACCAAGTTGCTTTCACTACTGATCCGCAAGACTCTCGTTCCACTGCCTACCCAACAGATATCGCTAAGTCTATTGATGCGCCAATTTTCCACTGCAACGGTGACAACGCTGAAGCAATCACTTTCGTGTTCCAATTAGCTGCAGACTTTAGAGCCAAGTTTAAGAAGGATGTTGTAATTAATCAGGTCTGCTACAGAAAGCACGGTCACAACGAATCAGACCAACCTTCGTTCACTCAGCCAGTCATGTACGAGGCTATCGCCAAGCAACCAACTGCTCTCTCAAAGTACGTCAAGCAACTTCAACAAGAAGAAGCTTTCACCGAGACGCAAATGGAAGAGCATCGTAAGGCAGTCTGGTCAAAGCTCGAGGGTGCATTTAACAACGCCACCAATTACAAACCTCATGGTCGTGAATGGTTGAGTTCATCTTGGGAGGGTTTCCCCTCACCTGATGATCTCGCTGCCAGAGTGCTCCCAACAGCAGCCACGGGCGTGAAGCAAGAGACATTAGAGAACATTGGCAAAGTTATCTCAACTTTCCCAGATGGATTTACACCACACAAGAACTTGGCCAGAATTATCAACAATCGCGGTAAGATGGTTATGGAAGGAAAGGGTATTGATTGGTCAACTGCCGAGTCATTAGCTCTTGGTTCATTAGCACTTGAGAAGATACACGTCAGATTATCTGGACAGGATGTCGAAAGAGGTACCTTCTCACAGAGACACGCTATACTGGTTGACCAGGAGAATGAGTCACTGTACATGCCTCTAAACCATCTTGGTAGCAGACAGGCGGGAGTTGTCGTCTGTAACTCATCACTCTCTGAATTTGGTGCTCTTGGTTACGAACTTGGTTACTCACTTGTGTCACCAGACAACTTGACCATTTGGGAGGCACAGTTTGGTGATTTCGCTAACAACGCTCAGTGTATTATCGATCAATTCATTGCATCGGGTGAGCGTAAGTGGCTTCAGCGTAGTGGTTTAGTTATGTCGCTTCCTCACGGTTACGATGGACAAGGACCAGAGCACTCAAGTGGTAGAATAGAAAGATTCTTGCAGTTGGCTGATGACAGTCCATTTAAGGTACCAACAGAGGAGGAAATGGCTCGTCAGCATCAAGACTGTAACATCCAGGTTGTCTACCCAACCACGCCAGCGAACTACGTGGGTAAATATTGTTAATCATACGCCTAAGCTGACCTCGATTAGTTCCACGTTCTTAGACGTCAAGTCCACAGAGACTTCCGTAAACCACTCATTCTCTTCTTCAGCAAATCGCTTCTCCGTCATCCTATGGCGCGTTCAGAATTGAGTGAAATGACTGGTCAGACTCAATTTGAGAGATATCTGCCAGAAAATCATGAAAAGATGGTCGAGCCTGAGAAAGTACGCAAGCATATATTGTGTTCAGGACAAGTGTACCACACACTCTACAAGGAGAGGGAAGAAAGACAAGCTTATGATGTAGCGATTTCAAGAGTAGAGCAAATCTCACCATTCCCATATGACTTGATTGGAGAGCACTTGGATAAATACCCTAATGCTGAAATAACTTGGTGTCAGGAAGAGCCATTGAACAATGGAGCGTGGTCATATGTTTCACAAAGATTGCTTACGTTGGTGAAGCAAACGAAGCATCACTCGGAACGCTGGCCACAGTATGTGGGTAGAGATCCATCTAGCTCGGTAGCGACAGGATCCAAGGCAGTGCATTTGGCTGAAATACAGAAGATACTGGACGGTGCATTTTCAACTGAGCCAGGAAACACAAGATTTGCTGCTTCATGGTGAGAAGAAGGAGTGGGTTAATGATATAAATCTTTCTTGCATGTAAATATAAATAATTAAATGGAATTTTACAAGTAATTGAGGTATTTGGTGGATTGGTGGATCAGCTCGGATCAGCAGCGGGGAGAGTGACTTTTACCAAGGCAGAAGGCTAGAAGGATAGCCATGCGTATAAGGATATACAGACGACAAGCAAATATAAATCACGTGTACCCAACCTAAATCCAAATTTGGCAGGTGAAATACATCGCGTCGTTTTCAGACCGTCTCCATCATATCAAAAACGTGAAGGATCCACGACGAGGTAGAAAATCTACCAACAAAAATGTACAAGCCATCACCACCAGCCAGTCCATCACCTACACCGCGTTCGCACACGTCGCACAGTCGACAATCATCGCTCACATCGCCTGGACAGCAGACGATCCAGTTTGCAGAGGAAGAGAGAGACAGGATGAGAGCTGAGCAGAGTTTGCGCCACCAGCTCGAAGGATTCACATTACAAGACGTGGATTATGACGAATACGACGATTACTCGCTCGAGTACGGTCGCAACGACTACGAATACACGCCGTCGAAAGGCTCAGAGGGACATCCCACAGGTGACACGCCTCTGAAAGGGATAGTGAATGGCAGTACACCAGCACCGACGACATCCTCACGCGCACTCCTCAGTAAAGAGCTAGACAGACTAATAAGCAACAAGCCAGTCAATCCATCGCCATTTAACCCATCACGCTTCGGTGGTAGCACGTATGAGGAGCCTAACCATAGCAGGACTATGGATGGTGCTCGCTTGCCTGATATCACAGGTCTCACTTATGCAACTGCGTCGCCGGATAAGGCAGGCGATACACACAAATTGCTGTCTTCAAAACGCACTAAATTGGGCAGAGAGGATGAGCAAGTAATCCTCAGCAGTATAAATAACCTCGAACATAAATTGGGCGCACTCAATGCGGAGAACGCCCAGACGAGACAACGCGCACAGGAATTGGAGGAGGAGTTGATATCAGCCAGACGAGAAGCGGCGCGCGCGAAAAAAGAGAGTGCACACGAAATTGAACAGCATTGGCAGGCGAGGTATGCGGCTTTGGCTGAGGAGAAGAGAGCACTGGAGGAGATGGCCAAGACACTGCGCAGCTTAGTGGAAAACCTCAAGAGCGATCTCAACACACAGGCCCAAGTAATCAACGAACTGAAGAGCGACGGCAGCGCAAACGAAGCGAAACTCGTCGATAAAGATAGGGAAATCGGTTGGCTTAACGGACAAGTCACCAAACTCAACAAGGATGTCGACGGGTTGTGGAGAGCGCTCAACGAGGGTAAGGAGAAGGAAGAAGAGAGGTCACGGAAAGAGATAGAAGCATTTAGGGAGAGAGACGCACTTAGGGAGAGAGAAGCTCTGCGTGAGAGAGAGGCTTTTGAGCAGAGAGAAGCACAGCGTGAAAGAGAGGTACTTCAGAAAGAAGCGATCCGCGAAAGAGAAGCACTTGAGGAGAAAGAAAGACAAAAAGAGAAAGAGAAAGAAAAAGAGAAAGAAAAAGAGAAAGAAAGAAAGAATTGAGGAGAAAGAAAGACAAAAAGAGAAAGAGAAAGAAAAAGAGAAAGAAAGTCAGGCTTTGCACAAATTGCACAACTCGTACGAGAAAGGGACAGATGAAGCACCACCTAAACTCGTCCTCAGGCCATTCGGCGCTCATCTCCGCTCTGATCCAGCACCAGGCTCTTTCTTTTCGCCAACAAGAGACAGAGCAGCACGTTCGCATCCATCCACAGAGACAACAGAGCATAGTAAAGAGAGGAGAAGAGAAGAGTTTGATAGGAGTAAAAAGGAGAAGGAGGTGGCTGGAATGTATGTCGACGAAAACTCAACAACAGCCACACCCAAGACATCGAAACGTGGATCAAAAGACAAGGTGGGGATGTATTGGTCATTACCTGCGTCTACATCGAAGTCTGCAAGACGGACGTCCGGCGTAGCACCACCACCAACGCCGGTTGAGCAGAAAGTGGGCGATGATGGCTTCGTCGAAGGCTTGATTGAGCGTATAGGGAAGAGCTCTTCGGGTTGGGAAAGCAAGGTACCGCCACAAACGGTATTGGCAAGAGTAGTTCGAGAGTTGGAAGATGACTTTGCACACTACAAGGGAATATACGGAGAAATGTCAGAGCAATTCAAAGTGCTTGACCCAGCATCAAATGCACCAAAGAGGAGAGTGCTGACGCAGCATTTACATCAAGTGATAAGTGTGCTTGAGTCAAAGGTAGGTCATAGGAAATAACGCGGGCTCAGGGCTCAAGGCTCACATGACAAAACAGGCAGATCAAATATCTTCTTTATATCAATTATTAAAGTATGGAGATAAATCAGTAAGCAAGACGCCGTCAAAGAAGGTGTCGTCAGCGGGAGTGACTAGTAAGAGTTGAATAGGCTGAGAATATGTAGCCTAGAGTTGCTTGTATAGCGTTTTGTATAATAGATTGCGTTTTTACTTAATAAATTAATTTTCAAAATTGCCGTGTATAGTTAATTACGCATGACGTATGATGACCACGAACAATCAACAGAAACGACGGAATCAACAGAATCACAGAATGAGTGACATCAAAGCCCAAGAAGATCAATTGAAATCAAAGTTTGGACAATTGAAGCCGAAGAAGGGCGCACCGGGTGCATTGCTAGGTTGGTTAACTGATAACGAGGAGTGTGCACACAATTTAAAAATACACAGGCGCAAACAAAGGCAGACAATACTTTGATAGTGGTGATTATGCAATGGAGCAAGCAGGCGTAAAGACATCATCACAGCCAGTTGGTACGGCTATACCCAAACCAGAAACGTGAGTTTGTGTCTAGTTATATTCAAAATGATTCATATAAACTAAAATAGCATTCCTCACTCTTCCCCCGCTTCAAATTCGAATAATTTGTCTTCTTCACCAAATCAAGGACAGCTGCCTAGGGAAAGGAGAGGATCTGGAGAAGTTTGAATGAAATGGAGATAGAATTTGAATATGTTGTACGAAATGAAGAATAAATTATATTTGTATCTTGATTTACGCGTTTCATACGCGTCTTCTTAGACGACATTCATCGAGAAGTCAACAATGACATCCACCAATAGCCACAGCCACAGCATATCCAAGCTATTCAATACCTCAGATGAAAACTTAAGCCTTGAATTACTTTCCACCTGCAAAATACACAATCTACCGCCAGAAGAACTTTACTTTAAGTGGGAATCATTTATATTAAATAACAGCATCGACAAGAATCTTAATGTTTCAAATTTACGCAATTTTAAGCTTCAATTGAGATCTGAGGCTGCACAGAGTACTCCGGTGAAGAATCATTCACTCAATTTGAAAAAGAGGGTCAATCAGCAATCAACGCCGCTGAAATCCACTCAGTCCAATCAATCCCCACTCACCCCTTCTAATCACTCCAACGATAGCACTCCAAAGCCCACACATAACCACTTTGCACTACGCAAGAACCCAGACCTTATCGTCAATACCTTCAATGGTCACCTCAATCTCGCTCCAAAGTACTCCGGCTTAGAACCACGCGTCAACCTCATGTCTGCTGTCTCCTTAAACAAATTCAAGTATAGATACATGTTCGAGAAGCTCTCTGAGCGCTCAGCCGTACTTGATGAGCGTATCGATTATTTCGCGAACAGAGTGAAAGACCTCTTCAAAGGTGAACCTAATTTCGAAATTGGTGACCCAAGTATAGTTAATATGGTATGTTTCATCCTCAGAATCTCCCTAACTAACCCCACCTCAAGTCACAAAGAATCTGTATCGGAAGAATTTGCAAAGAAAGTGACATAACAAAGCTCAGCGACGATAGTGTCATTCTCGAAACTTCAAAGACCTTAGGCAGCGGCGCTAGAATACCTTTACGCTTCTCAAACGAGTGCAAAGTAAGAGGTGTACCTAAAGGCAGTAAGGGCATTCGCTTGTTCCCTGGTCGCATAATCGGTGTTTTGGGCTCTAATAGAGGCGCAGGATACTTTGGTGTCGAAGAAATATTCACCGTATGTCTAATGAAATACTCTTTGTTTTGCTAACATACAGCGTAGATGCCGCCATTGAGTGCTGTAAAGACTCATTCAACTGAGCTATTAGAAATGCAGCACTCCACGGACTCTTTGGGCTCTTCTCCAATGTCAGTAATGGTTGCTACAGGTCCTTTCACAATAGACAACAACCTCAATTACGAGCCATTTGACGCTCTGATGAGTCAAGTTGAAAAGAGACAACCGGATGTTCTCGTTTTGGTACGTAAAAGACCTTCGCAATACTTTACTCGTCTGATTATAGCATTAGCTTGGTCCGTTCATTGATTCGAACCACCCAATGATTCAGGCAGGCCAGATCGACTTACTTCCGGAGGATTTGTTTAGAATGCGTATTGGAAACAGACTCACTAGAGCGTTAGAAGTGGCTGCAGGTTGTACGGCAGTGTTGATACCGAGTGTGAGAGATCTTATCACTCCATATGTCGTATATCCGCAAAACTCATTACCTCGCAATAACCTCGGTCTACCACCAAAACAGGTATGTCTCGCTCCATTACCTTTCATCTGACTGACAAGTTTGAAAGAGATGTAAATGCGTCACAAATCCGGCTTCGTTCCATGTCAACGAGGTCTTGTTTGGTATATCAAACGTCGATAACTTGATGCATCTACGCAATCAGGAGTTTTTCAAAACTCTCAAAGAAGCTGATCAAGAAGACGACGCTGTTCAAGACAGTAATCCAAGGGACAACATGATGAGTTTGTGTCGCGATATAATTGACCAGCAAAGTTATTATCCTATGTTCCCGCCACCAAAAGAGATGTCGCACGAGCTTAATTTGGATGTATCGCACCTTGAACTTGCATCATTTCCCAATGGAAAGACTGGCGAAGAAGATGAGGAGAAGGTGATACCCGATATACTGATATTACCAAGTATGCTTAAGCATTTCATAAAAAAAGTAGACCAATCACTTTGCATAAATCCCTATTACGCAGCAAAAGGAAAGAACAGTGGTACATTCGCACATTTATCGATACACCCTATCAACAAACAGCAATTAAAGGCACAAGAAAATCAATATATTCAGCATGACTTAAGTGATCGTTGCAGAGTCGATATAGTTAATATTTAGTCGTTTTTTCTCTTTTTAAATATCAGCGCTTTGGTCATATCATTGACCTCTTCTCTCGCTACTTGTAATTTAAGCTTTTGTTCGCCGAGCATTGTTTTGCCTTGTTGAATTTTGGATATGTAGTCTGTCATGTGCGTTACTTTAGAGGTTATTCTTTCTTGTACTTGGTGAATTAATTCTGCGAATTCTTCAATGATTTCCACACCATCTTCTTTCCACTCTTCGAAGGTACTCATTTGCCATCTTTGCTTGCGTAGCTCCAACTCAAGCCTCTCCTTCCTATCAAGAATAGCGTATGGGTTGTCTGATGCTTTTGATTCGTCCTTATTCTTTTCACTTTGTTTTGCTTCGCCAGTTTCGTTAATATTGTTGTTGCATTCTTTACCTTTCCCTTTATCTGCAGAGGTAGTCCTGTTCATTCGATTCGTAAGTTCGCTTTGAATGAGTTCCTCACTCTTAGATGATAAGTGGTTGCTGCGAGGGGAATTGGGACTAGCGCCACTCCCAGTGCTCGACTGGTGCAGCTCTGCTTCTCTATCTATATCCTTCTCCTTATCAATCAGCTTCTGTAGATCAATAAGGCTCTCCATAGTATCTACATCCATTTGTGATGACGAGGTATCTGTATGTAAAACAGTCTCCTCCCTATTAAGTAGGTCTTTGATGTCACTCATGTCGTCAACCTCTGTTAGCTGATACATGTGTTTCTTTCCCTTTGGAGGAGCATTCTGAGAGGTTTTAGAAGCAGTAAGAAGCTTCTCAGCCTTCTTGGGCGTATCACTCTTCTTAGGTGATGGAACCATATCCAAAATCCAGTTTCTCTTTTCAGGGGAAGCGAACTGAATGGCTCTGTTCTGAGCATTGTGAGCACTTTCCACTATGTCATGTATGTTTTCTCTTTTGTATTGATTCGAGTAGAGGTTGGTGTTCTCCTTAGATGACGCTGCTGGTCCTGCTGTCTTGTCTTTCTCGACTGGTTTCCTATTTGGGATGAGATCTTGCTTTGGTTTCTTGAAAACCTTCGAGCCATTTCTATCGAGATTATCGAGGGCATTTCTCTTGCGTCCGCTCTTGGAATGTGGGGATGCTGGTGAATATTTTTAGAGATGCGCAGAGATGGTGAGAGATGAAAGCCTACGGGCAGTCGAAACAAAGCCAGCTCTAGGTTCTGGACTAGCTGGACGCAAGTTGAATGAAGTCAGTCTTGAATCTTCGTTATCGCTGTCGATCGACACCACCGGACCGCGTCCTGCAGTCTTGGCGTCTTTTCTGCCTATTGACGAATGTAATTAGCACATGGCACGTATCTGTTGTCGTTGCTTTATGTACCGTGTGTGTTGCTCATCGTGGTATCGGACAAAGGGCTCTTTCACAATGATCGCATAGAATAAAATTAAGACAAAGAAAAGTTACTGCATTCTATTTCGTAAAATTAATATATGTACCTCTCTTACTCGCGATGGAATAATCTCAATATCAGATATGAGCAACTACCGATGAATCTGCATTTTGTTAGCTTAGTTAGCGTCCATGAAGCAAAGTAAGTTGTAGCGGCTCACCTAATCGCTGACAATCCCGCAACAAAGTAAAGAACTATCGCAATGTATATGTTTGTTCGGTTTCTATGTGATCCATCATCCACTTCAAACGCACTAGTGGATGAAAGAATAGCAGCACCAAGAAGTGCATTCGACAACACCCAGCATAAGACAGTGTTAGTACGGAAAGAGGCATAATAGTCTGCCTGCTTCGTAGCTGGGTCTTCGACCTCTTTGTGAGGCGGAGGTGGGTGAGACATGGTGTGCAATGCGTCTTCGTAAGCTGCATTAATATCGGAATGGTCCGTTGGTAAAGCGATGTCTATTTCCTTATTGCCCTTCTGCTTCTTATCTCCTGCGACACCAAGATCTGTTGCTACGTGGGTATCGCCTTTTGTACCCCAGGAAATATCGTGCGTGTTACAGAATGCTAGAGCTTGTGTCAGTAGTGTTCGTTTCGACTGAGAAAACTCACCGTAGACGTTCAATACATTGATGTAACTTGGAGCAATCATGAGATATTGGAAGAAACTAGTGAGCATGTGCCATGGCTCGAACTGTGTAGATGGTCAGTTATACTGCTTGTAGAAACATCTAGCTACTCACGAATAATATCGAGGATATCAAGTACAACCCATATGTAGCTGTAATAGAAATGACAATAGTGATGAATACTTGGTCGCTGAAAAGATCCCCGGCGGTAATGCTGCCATTATGTGAGTTGATAACATTTTGAATACCAGTGACAGCCAAATAAAAAGCAACGGCAATCTAAAACCCGTATGTGAGAATAACCAAGATGAAACCAAAACACTTACCATATATGACGTAATCAAAGCGAATCCGATAAAAGCAGCCAAGTAGCCCCATTTACTGCTATTACCTTGTGGCCTATTACCCATAGCTTGCAAGAAAGACAAAGCAAGGAGAGCAATATACAGAAATTCGAGGATAACGTTCAAAGCCTTTAGTTTAGATTCAGCCTGCAGCATTGAAGATGAAAGAACACGGAACACGATAAAGTAGTTACCGATTGCGAACCAACTGAAGACAAGATTGACGAGCTGGTAAATCATTTCAACGTGTAGCCAAAATTGTCTAAGCACCGTGTGACCAGAGCGATAGATATTGTAGAAATGGGTAACGGAGTGTATAGCGGCAAAGAAGGAACCATTCAACCAACGCCTACGCTGACTAATAAGCTCTGGTATTCTATCAGGGACATCCGTGTAAGCTTTGGCGGTTTTGACGTAATGTAGTGTCCATTGCATGTTTCTCTTGGAGACGAGTTCCCAACACAAAATTCTATCCTCAGCCAAATACATGTTAGCGGTAAAGATACCAGCATCACCACCATGCAGTGTTTCACCCAAAAAGTACTTTTCAAGCGGACCCTGACCATTTTCGTCATTCTGCAGAGCTACCCATCTGTACGCTGAGAAAGCACCAGGCAGAACAGTGATGTAGCCAAAAATTGATTCAAGAGGTTTGTCAAGGATGTTTGACATTTTGTATTCAAAGTTCTGAGCTGCAACGAGTGGGTTTAGCAAAGCTGACATGTAATTTCCTTTGAAAGTGACAATTTCACCACATGCACCACCAGTATTTGAATCTACGTCGAAAGATTTCCACAAGTGATAGATCGACCTTGGTCCCGGAGACGTACCGACATCAAGTAACATGCAGACATTCGGCTGCAGACTTTCGCAGAAGGCAGAGAAGAACCATCTGTGTGAGTTGATTTTCTTCTGGTTTTTCTCCTTGAGACAGAAAATAATCTGAATTGGTACCTTTCGCTTTGACTTGTCATTGAATTTCATATCTGGCTTGATGTCAATTTGGGAGGTGTACTCGTAGATGTGAGCTGTGACGGGACGACCTTGAACGACGTTTTTGGCGACACCATCTTGATATGCACCGAGAGCGGCGATTGTAGCCAGAGTTCTTGAGTGGATCTTCTGTCTACCGTCTGAGATGATAACGACAACGACCTTTTTCCAACCTTCGTCACCCCAGGTCTTGGACCTACCACGTGAACATAGGTGGACAATGTTGGTTACGACAGAATGCATTGTTCGTGTGAATAAGAACTCGTCTTCGTTGTACCTTGGGTAGGTTAGAGAGGGTTTTTCATTGCTGTCCTAGCACTCACATAGTCAAGCAAATCATAATCTCGGTACGTCTTGGTGGACTGTACAATTGTTGTCTGAGTGTGTAGCGTTCAGCGTCAAACTGACTTGGATCGCAAGTAGCGGCGGTGTACCTCATGTGAGTGAATTCATCGCCTTCTCTATTATGACACATATCCAATAAACGCGTCGGGACAGGACAATCGAGAACCAGGTTACCGTCTTGAAGCTCAACACGTTTTGTTGTCTTGTATCTTCTTGGAACGCGCTGCGGTATACCGCCATAGCGTATAGCCGTGTCCTGTAATGGGATATTTGAGCTGTCTGCTGCGATAGAGGATAAAGAGAAGGACTCACCTCGTCGAAGTCGTCAGCGTTGTTTACTGAAGGGGCAGTACCACTAGGGGCGTGAGTAGAGCCTGAAAGTGCAGTTCCAGGCCTTAACAAACCGACACCCTCAGTATCAGAATTTAGGCGTCGAATTGGCATGCGGTCATCATCGACGAAAGGATCGCTTGGGTTGGTATAAGGGGCGTCATAAAGCTGTACGCCAGTAGGCATAGGATTTGGGTTGGGGCCATGTGTAGCATCTGAGCTTACAAATACTTGAGCTTCCGGCTCAGGCAGCCTTTGGGCTTCTGGCATCATAATGGTGGGTTCTTGGACGGGTGCGTAGCCATAAGAGGCAGGCTGAGGTGGAGAGCGTGGGTATTGGAAGGGGCTTTCGTCATACTCGTTGAATGGATGGCTTGAGTACTGTGGAAGTTCAGTAGTTGATTGCATGGGATATGACGAGTGGTCTTCTGACTTGATGAGCGCGTAAGTGAGCGCGTTTAAATATCAGTAAACACACTCACATCACTCTCTTCTAGTGGTACGTGTCTATGGCGATTCATCCCAAATGTAATGAAGCAGTGATTGCGGTGCTTTTCCAACCACGCTTGAGCACAGCCGCCTACAACAAGACAAAAATTATTACTGTTTGATTTTTACATTCAAGAGTCCTTTATCATTAAGTGCTTCGTTTATTCGTTATTTTCCGCGTTTTCCGCGTTTTCCCTCTTGTCGGTATTCTCCATAAAGACAAGACACTACGTTCCACTTACGCCCCGCTGAAAAGAGGCGCTAATTGTCTTCGAGCTGCTTGTCTCTCTGTTATCTGAACACCTGGGCAGTTTGGACGGACCAAGCTAGATCCATACTCGCTGCCAAATTCTATAAGTACTCCGTTGGTCATTCCAAACCCTACGACCACATCATACTCTCCACCACCACCAGCTGCCACTAAGTTAGTGCTGTTGTATTTCTCGAACATGTATCCAGTGTAGCTGCTATCGGCGTCATACTGTGCAAGCTTCTCGGCAGGTAGTTGATTGAGCATATTTGGGATAGATCCACCAGTAGTGTACCAGCTACAGAAAGTGCTACTAACGAACCGTTGAGCTACCTCATTCGCGAGACACTCTCGCCAATTTTCACAATCATACTCATCCATGAAGCCATCTTTGTTAGATGTGCTGCCGGAAATGTTGTACAGTGGTTGAGTTGGTGCTTGGCTCTCGTCATCTAGTCCAAGCTGCTTAGATGGCACTAATGAATATGTAGACTGTCCATCTTCAGGCCGTTGAAGGGCACCCGCTGTGACGTTGTCTGGTAGAGCTTCGAGTGCTTTTACAGCAATGTCTTGAGTTCAGTGTTTTAGAGTAAGTTCTCGGTTCCACATAGTTCAACTCACATTGCAGAGGTGCCCACGCATTCATATCCCATTGCATCCCACTCTCGAAGAGAGTCGCGGGCAATGATCCGTTGTATCTATCTAATACAAATCTCAACCCTGCAAAAGCAGACTGAGCAGTATCGGTACTTCCCAAGACACTCCCTGGTATGATGCCAGCCCAGTAAGGGTAGTAAGATGCCAATGACCAAGCGTCTGAGTAGTCGCTCGAAGTAGTGTTGAAATCTTTAAATACTAGGGAATACTCGCTGTCATCCCAGTTGAGATCTAAGATAGCTTCTTTGATTTCCTCAGCTCGCTCTCTATGTCCGTCAATCTGACTTTTATTACTCGAAGTCATCTGATACAAAGACGCAGCAGCCATATGAACCTTGTAGAGAATAGAGTTGAGGTCTACAGGTATAATTTGACGGATATTGAGTTCTCTTAGCACTGGCTTCTGATCTGCAAGACCTTCGTTGGCGCGAGGAGACTTGGACCATCGACTGGAGAAATCCCATCCAGACTCAGCAGCAGATGAAAGCTCTGCATAGAGTGACTGCTTCTCTTCATCTGTGTACTCCACGTTTTGGTTTGCAGTCTCGAAGTCTGTGAGGTAGCTCTCTGGTCTGGGTGCAGTGTTGGTAACATTGTACCTAGCCACACTGTGCATTTTACCAGACCAAGGTGATTCTACGGTGGATGTGCGGTTATTTTGCCACCATGAAATTTCCTTCTCGATAGCAGGCATGGCAGTGTCTAGGAAGTCAGTGTCGTTTGTCCAGTTGACATAGTCTTCCACCATCAAAGCGAAGAATGGTGGCTGCGATCTGTTTAAGTAGTAGCTTCTGAATCCATTAGGGATAAATTCATAGTTATCGATAGCGTTGATGAAATTATTCAGTGTCATTTTAACCTCTTGACTCAAACCTGATCTCAACATACCCAGGAAACTAAAATAGCTATCCCAGTAGTATAGCTCTCTGAAGCGACCACCTGGAACGACGAAAGTGTCTGGGTGATTCAATAAAGTGGAATCGCATTCGTCGTTATCGCAAGTGGCGGTGGAGTTTACTTGTCGAATAAGCTGAGACCAGTATGTATGTACAGTGCCAATAAAGCCTTTGAGGAGATCATCGTCGATATTGTCGAGAAATGAGGGTGAATCATCGATTTGAATGAGCACCTCGACCAACTCGCTGCCTTCTGGACCAAAATAGTCTTTAACAAATTGCTCAATTTGACCGATAGTGAGATTCTGTTGATTGTTACCGTTTACGCTACTCCAACCATCTAAGACATCTTGGGTTGAAAATTTTGTAGGTTTATCGACGAAAGTCTTGCCGTCCGCGTATAGCTGGGAGAAAGCGACGGATTGGAGAATATCACTTGGGCAGAAGATAGGATTTGAGCACCACGGCTGAGGGAACAATTGAGCATCTTGATGGGGGATCTCAGTGGAGGAAGGCAGAGAGGGGGAAATCGAAGCTGTGGATAGTGGGATATTTGAAACTGTAGGGGTGGCTGTGGATCTGTATGTGTCCGATTGTTGAAATTGCTGTGCTTGTGTTATGGATAAAGTGGCTGCGAGAGATAAGGGGTATAAATTTCGCAGCATTCCGAGTAATCTAGTAGCGATGATGGATGATTTGAAAGATAATCGTGTGACTAGAGTTCCGATATTAATTTCAAACTCCGTTGACATCACTGATGGCCAGATAAAGTTGGTATCACTTGATCACTCAAGTTAAATTTAAATAATTTATTTTATTTTTATATTTCTGTTTCTATACCAATTAACGCGTATTTATATCTTTACTCCTTCCCTTTCTCTCTTCTTCCAAATGCCAGACGAGATTGTTTTCAAAAAGCGCACAGCCAAGGGCACTGGCTCAGCAAGGCAGAAGGAACGACAGAAATCGGAATCACCTGAACGTGATGCAGAAGAAAGTACGAGCGCTCCAATGCTGTCTTTCAAACAGAAGCAAAAGAGTAGAAAGCAGCCACGACGTTCAAATCTCTCTTTTGGTGGTGTAGAAGACACTGCAACAGCTGCAGCTGATAGCTCTTCCAAGTCTAAAAACAGTCTTCTATCTCAATCGATCAGTAACAGGTTACCAAGTAGAGCGGAAGACGGGGATGCGGGAGACACATCAACCACATCGACCACATCAAATTATTCTCAACTAGCCATCGATCAGCTCAAGGCGAGCACTCCGTCCAAAGATGACGTCCAACTGAGCATTACTGATGAAATGGATAGCGAGGACGGCTACAGCGACATAGCTAAGCGCATATATGGCACAGCAATCAAAGATAGTAAACAAGGTCCCATACCGACAACTATGGCGATCAACACTGCCAAAAAGAAGAGACATGCCGGTTCACAGTCGACAGAGAGCGACTATCTCAGTCTTAATCTTGATGGCGGTAACAGCAGCCATAGTCACGCTCTCACAATTTCTGGTGATAACGTTGATAATGGTGGTGGAATAGAAAGCAGACTGCAGCACGAAGATGATGTTTTTGGCGATGATGGTGGGTTTTGCACTCGCCAGTCAAAGCTCTTGCTAACACACACCAGTCATGGGTGCTTTTACAGGTGCTGATGAGAGCATACACCTTACCAACCAGGCTGAGGCGGATGCGCTGCGGCGACAGCGCAAGGAGCGTGGCGAGATGATAGATGAAGTGTGAGCCAGTGATGTTAGTATTTTCAATCAACTAACGCCAGTGCAGAATGGATGAAGCTGAGGCTTCAGATGAAGAACAGCAGGCATGGGAGAAAGCACAAGCGAAGCGAGCTATGGCGGGCAGCAACCGTCATGAGAAGGATGAAGAGGATGATAAAGAAGTGTACATTCCAGCGCCAAGTGAGTCTTCCAATTGTTGCCTGCACTTATTTCCCTGCTAACGCCACACCTCAAGTACCCGAAACAACCCCCCTCCCGACTCTGGATGGCGCTATTGCCCGACTCAGGGACATGCGTGTTGATGGCGAAAGAGCTCACAGCGAGAAACAGAAACTGTCGGAATTGTCGCAGAAGGAATTGGTCGATCTCTCCCAATCAGAGTCTGAAACACGCCAACAGGTTGAAGAGGTTGAGACGCGTAGGTCGTTCTTCGATGATTTGCGCACATGGGCGGACGATATTGCGAGCTTCTTAGACGATAAAGAACCAGAATTAAATAAAATTGAGAAACGCCACGATGAAATAATCACAGAGCGCTCATCGATACTTTCCAAACGGAGAGAAGGTGGTGAAATGGCGATCACGCTGGCACCAAGTGAAGAAGGAGACTACGCAAAAGCCAAAGAGAGTATAAAGGGAGATGTGAAGCGTCTATTTGAAGATGTGAAGGCAGCTACTTTCCTTGATCCGTCTCAAGTGCTCAATGAAAAGTTTAGCGAGTGGAGGAAAGCATTCGGTGATGAATACTTACGTGCTTGGGCACCTCTGGGGATGGTGAGCGTTTGGGAGTTTTGGACAAAGGTGGAGATGACAGGCTGGGATGCGCTTAGAGTGGGTCAATGTCGATGCGTACTACTACAACTAACACAAATACAAGGATTCAAATAAGTCTATTATGACGCTTAAAGCTTACGAATTCTGTCATAATTACACATCAAGTCACGATACAGATGATGAGATGCACACTGAGGATGAAGAAGCAAAGTTGAACATGGATAAGGAGTGCATACCGCACTTGCTGTCGACTATCATAATCCCGCACTTGATAAAACATTTTGGAAATGGCGGCTACGATCCATACAACGAAACTGAAACGCGGTATGCTTTGGATATGGTAGAGATGGTCGAAGGTGGATTAAGTGGGATGGACGACGAGAAGATAGATGTGAGTAGAAATTGATTGACGTGGTCTCGACTCACAAAACACTTCAGATGCTAGTCATGTCGTTGGTGCAGATAGTAACAAGCACTATAAATGAAATACCTGCTAATATAAATACCGAGCTAGCAAAAAGTATCCTCAAGAATGCAGTCAGTTGGAGACGGATACCGACATCAATCAAGCAGCAAACAGGATATGATGGCAATGTGCAGCAGATGAGGGAATTATTGAATAGTCGCGGTGTAAATACTTAGTGTTGTTATTTTGTGCTGAATGGATGACCACATGTATTCCTATTTAGACAGGCGTGTAATTTTTCACCTACTTTATCCGTTCAACCATTATGTCAGAAGGTGATAATCAGCAGAATGTCAGCAACAATTTGGAGAACAACACGGGCAGTGGAGAGAGAGAAGGGCTTTCAGCTCAGGAAAATGAAAGGTGAGTCGCTGCGCTGATGAAGATGCACACACACTGACATCATCACCAGAAGAATGAAAGATCTCACCAAATCGGACAAGGACACAAAGAAGATGCTCAAGAGGAGAGAAAAGGACTTTAAGAGTGCAGAGAAGCATCTCAGCAAGGCTGAAAAAGTAGGTGATACACTCAGTTGAAAAACTTCTGACAGCAAGTCGAGGCGGAAGCGAAAGCTAATAAGAAAGTCGACAAGACTGCAAAAGCACAATTAAAGGCTAGCGAGAAGAAGACAGCTGCTGAGGCAAAACTGAACAAAGCCAATGCCAATTCAGAAAGTGCAAAGCAGGGATTAGGGGTGGGTGATGGAGTGTAGTGAGATACTCAACTTACCAGAAACAGCAAGCGAAAGAAACTCACGTAAAGCGTAAATCTGAGCTTGAGAATATGACACACGAACGCGAGAAGGCACGCAGCGAACGGACCAAAGTTGAGAGGGAAATTGGAAGCGTGAAGCCAACAGCGTGATTAATAAAATAATTTAAGTTAATATAATTGTACAACACGTAATCTATAAAAGCAAATCAAATAGCTTACTCATCCACCTCATCAATAGCCCTTCCTTCATCTTCACCAACGTCTGCATTCTCAAACTCTTCCTGCTCGGCTGCCTCCATTTCGTACTTTGCATTCTCCTCGTCGTCGTCTTCGAAAAGGGGTTGATCTGGGTTGGGAGCTGTAGGATTAGCGTTGGAGTAGCCAGAGAGATCATCAGCACGATGATTAAGACTGGATTGTACAATAGAAAGGATAGCTTCGATGTCTTGTTCACTCAATCTGTCTTCGAGCTCTTCGACGATGACGTATAGTTCGACGATGGATTTTGGAGGGATATTGACAATCATCAACTTCTCAGCGGTCGTCAGAGTTGAAAATTGAGATAATTGCTCGAGTAATGACGATATTACGTGCTCATTTTGGTTTGTACTGGGGAAGGCAGGATCGCTGAGGTATCTCAAAGTCTGTATTGAGGAGAATGAGAGGGATTATACAACGGCTAGGAGAACAAACCTCATTTTGAATGAAACGGACGTTATCGGAAGTGTTATGTGTTTTGTGCTCAGATTGCATGTCTTTGAGGAGGGAAAAAACTTCGTAGTTACTTAGGAGACCAACGCGTGTATTAATAACTTGCATGGCTGCTAGAATGTTTTGTAGAGTGCTATGCAGTGCAGTGCTGTGCTACGCTGATGAAAGTCAACCAACAAGGATACGAAAGAAATGGATGAATATTTACGTGGATATAAGTACAAGAATACCACGTATTCCAACTAAATCCACTAAGGTTAACTTACCTCAAACAATTTTCAAATGATTTTGGATTGGCTAGCGCGTTGATTAGTCTCTACCAAGGCGAACGATATTCTCTTAATTAAGTAAGCAGCGAAATTTGAAGCTAATTTATCAAATTAACCAAGTAATCAGATAATGTAAGTCATTTGTATTCCCTTACTCACTTACCACACTTCCCCTCCCTTCTGACAACGCACAACGCACAGGTCCTCTGAAATACGCCGTAAATTAGTTATCGTTGGTGACGGTGCCTGTGGAAAAACTTGCCTTTTGATCGTTTTCTCAAAGGGTACTTTCCCTGAGGTTGGTATTTACTATTTAAAGGTATATTCAAGCTCATATTCCTCAAGGTATACGTTCCAACCGTTTTTGAAAACTACGTTGCAGACGTCGAAGTTGATGGAAAACACGTTGAATTAGCTCTGTTAGTTGGTCCCATTGGCTTATATTCATCATATCTCACTCCACCCACTCAGTTGGGATACTGCTGGTCAAGAAGATTACGACAGATTGAGACCTCTGTCTTACCCTGATTCTCACGTTATACTCATCTGTTTTGCTATCGATTCCCCCGATTCTCTTGATAACGTACAGGAGAAGGTAATGTTTTACTTAATCCGCTCATATATTCTAACACCTCTTATTCAGTGGATTAGCGAAGTTATGCACTTCTGTCAAGGCCTTCCAATCATTCTAGTCGGTTGTAAGAAAGATTTGAGGAATGATCCAAAGACGCTCGAAGAATTACGCAAAACTCAACAAAGACCTGTTCAAGAATCTGATGGTAGAGGCGTCGCTCAAAAGATTGGTGCAAAGCATTACTTGGAATGCTCCGCTAGATCTGGCGAAGGTGTAAAAGAAGTGTTCCAGACCGCAACAAGAGCCGCTTTGCTTACAAAGTCAGGAAATAGATCAAAGAAGAGCAAGTGTGTCGTCATTTAATCGTACACCTATCTCCCTTGTTCATTCTTCGTTCTTGCCCATTTGACCGATGACTCAAAGATATAAATTTTCATCATGATTTTTATCTTTTTCTATTAGTCTTACTAGTCTTTATTTCAACATTTTCATTTTTATCAACTCCATCAAACATCGCTTTTATGTCTTATATTCTTTCAATACAAAGTATACTTTTAATAATACAATTGTTGCGTTTTGCGTGTTTAGGGTATATCTCCGTTGATGTATACTAGTATTTCAACGTTTGATCATTGTCTATTGCGTGACCCGTTTCCCAATCCTTATCTATTTGCTTATCCCGTTAGCTTGCCCCATTTGCCTATTCATATGTGCAATTTCCTGTCTTCCATTCATCGAGCCATGCTGCACACTCTTCCTCCTTTCTACCCAATGCAGTCAGCCAACCAAAGAGTCTCTCTTCGAACCAGTAGCGGTAGGTTAGGTAAGGGCGTGCTAGCGAGAGATTGAAGAGTCTAGAACGAAGTTGAAATACTGGTTTCTCGTATGCTGCGTGGAGGTGTTAGGTGGGAGTGTTCAATCAAATACTCCAAACACACCAGTCGGTACTAATGGATTCATGTATATCTCAGGTTGCTTGTGAGACTTGCGGTGGATGTCGTAGCTAGACAGGAGGCATTCCGAAGTAACGCACTCATCGAGCACTCTGAACCGGATAGGGTCACTATCGCCACTGCGGTCAACAAACCAACTTGCGTCGAAAGCCGTGATGCCATTCCAGCAGCTATTCACAGGTATAGGCTCGCCTCGACGGAGGAGATCTATCGAGTGGGCATCCTGGTAGTATGGCCACACCACTTTCGTCCGTCTACTACATGTGTCGCGCGTTACCCATGTATCGTACAGCCCTATTTTGAAATAGTCAAACGCGCATACCTGGTCATATGCCCCGTTGCGCGTGTTGAGCAGCCGTACTACGCTGAACCAGTCGTAGAAGACGTCGTTGAGAAAGACAATCTTGTCGAAGTGGTTGAAACGCTCGTCGAGCTGTCTTGTGAGGGGGGCGAGAGTTAGATTGCGCACGCTTGCGAGATAATTTATTCTCTCATTGCCGACAAAGAAAGGTTTCTGGGTGGAGTCGTCTGTGATCACTGTGTGTGGTATGCTCAGGCGTGTGAGAGCATCGTCAAAGTGGTGTAGAAGATCCTTTGTATTGTCATGGCTATTCGACTCGTAGATGCTTATATACACATTATCGCGGCCAAGGTAGTCAGATAGTTGGAGGAATTGGTCGAAGAAAGCAGGTAGAATATCCTGGCTGTTGTAGAAGTTGGCACTGAAGAAATACGTAGATGTGCTGTTGTTTGCCGGATGTTGCTCATTCAGCTCGGAACCTGGCCCGCTTAGGGGATATGTTGGCTGTGTTATCAGGTAAAGGAAAGTGAGCGTGGTGAACACCAGAGTCACCACTCGAGGACGTGAACCTTTTACTTTACTGAATGTAAGCAACTGTATGAGTATGTATAACGGTACGGTTATCAGTATCAGCGTCAAGTAAATCAGTAGCGTGGATGGGAAACCAAAGTAGAGCCACTCAATGGCCATTGCAGAGAGCGTCACTGATGTCAGCATTAACGCCTTGCTGTATTCGTGTAATTTGCTCATTCAATCCTCGCAGTCTTGCTAGAAAGAAGGTCGTACTTGGAATGATCGATCGATCCTTCACGGGGATATTTAGACCGACGGGAGCTGTAAAGTTTAGTGGTTGACGTTGTTTGGGAATATTTCTAGGGCTATATCACCTGAACTATCTTAATTTATTAGGCTTCTAAATCCCTGGAATGCGTGCATTTCTCGCTCAAGTGATCGAGAGTAATGTGCTCCGAATTACGCAAGTTATGTAACTAATGTATCTCGTGTAACTCATATGGCTCTGTCGTGTAGCTTTGTTTTGCAATTGTACCACCAACTAAAACATCACGTTTAAGGAACATGTTAGTTTAGGCACCAAACCGGTAACAATCGATGGAATCATCCTATCTATCAAAATAAATATTTTAGTTGAGATTTCTAAGCGTAAGATCGTAAATAACTCCTTCCACCTATTTTTAGTTAGTGATTTCGTAGTAAGGGACCGCTAAGACAAAACTCCGCAGCCTGCGCAGATACATGCCAATAACTTGCCAAGAGCTGTCAACAAAATAACAAAACCTACCTTATTGATATCATATTTGAGTGCATCAAATTTCCTCCTCAAAGCATCATTCTTGAAGTTGAGTTGTGAGAGGGCTTGGTAGACGTCTTTGATGAAAGCAGATATGCGCTTAGGACGGTCAAATTCGTTGAGGATGACGGTGTTTACTGTTAAGCGAGTTAATTCAGATACTAGCTGCATCAGGGCGAACAAGTAATCGTATAAGTGGTTGTCATTGTTAATCATCAGCTTGATTGTAGAGTAATCAATTATGTCATCATGTGAAAGGTAGTTTGATAATAAATTCAAGTAAATGAAGGTTTGAAGTGATCTGTTCCAGATATGCTCATATTTGGTGTAATCTGTAGGCTCAATTTCAGAGCAAAGTTGATGGAAATCTTTGGCGTACTGAAGCAATCCACTTTCCATAGGCTTTATTATGCTTTGAGGTATTTCAGATTGCTTGATTGAGTGGATATTCTGTGCAATTGCTGTTGACTCGTGTAAACTTTCATCCATAACAGCGACTCTATCTTTTAAAGATTGCTTGTATTCATTATCTTTCTCAATAAAACCGTTAAGATCTTTCAATTGCTCCTTAAAGCTATCAGAATGAAGTCTTTTAGTGGGATTTGACATAGTGGCAGTGGAAGTTGATTATCAAGGTAAGATAATGTATAATCTACCTTGAACGATATGGAATACAGAGAGTATTTCCAACTAGCACCCTCCGTAGTGATCGCAGTCATCGGTTGAATTTTCAATAATCAAAATGAGCAGATTGAGCAGGGAAAGGGATATATATGAATGAGATGATTGTATAATTCAAATTCATCAACTCCGATTACAAAATATTTTTAAGATAATGACGCCCCCGCTTACGTTTATTCGGAGTACTTGAGTTGAGTGGCTCTTCCACATAAACCACCAAGAATGACAAACTCATTAGATTTATTAAAGCAAACCGGAACTGTAGTCGTCACAGACTCTGGTGACTTTGAGTGTGAGTTTTATTTGAATTACACGTGGTAACTCCAACTAACCAAGTATCCAATATTCACAGCCATCGACCAATACAAGCCACAAGACGCTACAACCAACCCATCCCTCATCTTAGCCGCCACCAAGAAGCCAAACTACGCCAAGCTCATCGACGTTGCCATCGACTACGCAAAGTCACAGAAAGGCGACACAACCGCAAAGGTTGAAATGGCCCTTGACCGTCTTCTCGTCGAATTCGGCAGAAAGATTCTTGACATCATCCCTGGTCGTGTCTCCACTGAAGTTGACGCTTCCCTCTCCTTCAACAAGGAAGCCACAAAGGCAAAGGCACGTGAAATCATCGCCCTCTACAAAGAAAACGGTGTCCACAAGGACCGTATTCTCATCAAGATCGCCTCCACTTGGGAAGGTATCCAGGCAGCCAAGGATCTTGAAGCTGAGGGCATTCACTGCAACCTCACCCTCCTCTTCGGTTTCGCTCAAGCCGTTGCATGTGCTGAAGCTGGTGTTACCCTTGTCTCTCCATTCGTTGGTCGTATTCTCGACTGGTACAAGAAGAACCAACCAGAGGGTTCTTACGAAGCTGAGAGAGACCCTGGTGTACAATCCGTGCAAAAGATCTACAACTACTACAAGCAACACGGCTACAACACCATCGTTATGGGTGCTTCATTCAGAACTACCGATGAGATCAAGTTCCTCGCTGGTTGTGATTTCCTCACCGTCGCCCCAGCTCTCCTTGAGCAACTCAAGAACTCTGAAGAAAAGATGGACCGCAAGCTCGATCCAGAGACTGCCAAGTCAGCTGAACAAATTCCAAAGACTTCATACATCAACGATGAAGCTAAGTTCAGATGGGAGTTGTTCGACGAGGCCGTAGCTCACGACAAGCTCCACGAAGGTATCAGAGGTTTCGCCCGTGATGCCCTCACTCTCAGAGGCAACCTTAGAGAACGTTTGGAGTAAGCTATCATGCAAGCTAGCTAAAATTACCTATTGCTTTGTAACGACTTTGATTTAATCTTTTTTGACTATTGCAAGTGGCATGAAACATTCTCATCACTTGCTGTAATAGTTTAAAGCTAAACCAATGAAACCACTCTCCTCGTTCATGGTGACAGTTGAGTCGCTCTATAGCTCACAAGTGGCATGAAACATGATAGTAATACATATATGCTCAGGTCAAACGGGATACAGCTCGTCGATATCAATAGAATCCTCTGAAAGAGGAGCACTCAAGCCATCATCATCCATATCGTCATCTTGGTCATTATCTTGGTCATCTTGGTCATCCTTGTCATCCTCGTCATCCTCATCATCATTCCAGATATCCACCTCGCGATCTCTTCTCAGCAGACTATCGAAGAAATTGATAGTAATGGGATCCTCTTCGATGTCAGCATCGTGAGAGTCTTCGGGGGAGCTAAGCAGCGCTAACAAGAAGTCGCGTCTCGATGAGCCAGTTTCATCGCCCATTTGTCTACTTGGGGGAGTTCTTTTATCCAACGCGGGTATCTTATGCAACTTGTTAGAAAACGGCGTAGGAGTGTGTACTTTGACAGACTTCTCCACACCCGAAGTAGCGATGAGGGGGAGTGAAGGGTGTATCATGGCCGAATTGACTATGCTTGCGTGCCCTTCTAGTCTGAATGCCGGTCTGTCGATCAGCGCAGGCAGGCAGATAGTTTCGGGTGCTGTGCTGTCCGATGCAGATGCAGATGCACCAGACGAGAAAGCTGAAGGAGGTGTGAGTACTAAGCAAAACACACTGCTCACTCAAAAAGAAGAACACTCCAAACTTACCCGAGCGGACGTCGTACGCATACCCATTTGCAGTCGCAAAGCCTCCTTCATCCATCTCCTCCCGCGACATCACCCGCCTCCTGTCCATCATGGTCGTTCTTGGCGGCACTTTCCACACATACCCCCTGAAATCGTCCGACCCAGTGGCCAGGTAGTCACCTTGGAAAGAGCAGTGCTTGGTAGTGCAAGCTGTGCTGTAAGTGTCTTCACGACGCTGCACGCGCTCTCCTTGTGGAGTATAGTCTCCCGTCAGCACAGCGAGTGGGTTTTGTTCCCGTATAGAGTAGATGGTGGGGTAAGCGTGCTGGTACACCACCCCGAAAAGGTCACCTGTGTTGTTAAAGGACATGGAAGACGAGTCGAGGCGTCTGTGCCGCAAGCCTTCTTTAGCGGCATGTATGTGTGCATTTGTGAGAGTGAGAGTGCCGCTATACTGAATGAGGAAGCGTGTGTTAGCCAATGTCTCACTAAGCACACAAACTCACCTGCATCACAGCCACACTCCGCACAAAAGGATTAGTGGACACGGTGAATGCGCCATCAGACATATTGTACCCGTCGAAACCTTTGCGTATGTCGTTGAGGTAGACGCCACCGAGGCTGTCGCAGCACCCGAAGAGATGGTCAGAGGTAGGATGCCACTTCACATCGCGCCACTCGGACTGCGTGTGGAATGTTGCTATGTTTGCTCCCCGGTCGACGCGCTCGTCCGTGAGCTGCAACTCGTCGTCCGATGACGCACTCAGTATGAGCGACGGGTGTGTAGGATGAGCGGATATCTGCGACAGCGACGATGCGTGGCTTATCTGGCGCAGGGATGGAGATTGTTTTCGTATTTGATCAATTTCATCGAGGTGATCTAGCCTGTCGCTGGGTGCTCGTGGATGGCGTAGTGATTCACCTATCCCGCCACCCAGGTCGTATTTGTAGATAACTGAATCGTTGCTGCCGCTTTGGGGCGTTAGTGAGTGCCACATACCACACACACGCCACACACCAGTACAGAATGCTGTCAGTGCTGTTAAATTCGAGAGTGAAAATATTCTTCTGTCTTGGCGGGTTAGGTGGGGTGTTGGAGGAGGAAATACAGCCAAGCACCCACGGTTGGACCACTAAATGCGCCTATGGGGATTGCGTCTTCGATATCCCTGTATAAATCCCATATATAGATATTCGTGCAATCGCCGCCTGTGGCCATGAGTCTGGGTGGATGAGTATGAGTATGCGTATGAAAAGCCAGCCACACCATCCACCCACCTCGATCCATTGGTCTTGGAGTAGCTCACAGCGTTTACACAGCCCGTGTGCGCTTTCAACGAGCTGTGGATGGGTGTGAGGAAGGACAACACACAACACACTGCACAAAGCACCCACTTTGAATAACCCAAGCCATTCTTGAAGAAATCACATTCAAATCCAGGGAGCTTCATCGGTAGATTCCTCGGAGTTGCTTATCAACCGCCATCAACCCAAATAATCCAAATGTCAGACCAGTGTCCAGTATTTGCCCATTTCCTGGGATTCGTGGGTGTTTCCTGTTTATCCAGTTACAATCCCCTCACTCCACTCTACAGGGCGGTGTGGCTTCTGCGATGATCCTATCCACCATCGGCGCGGCATACGGCACTGCTAAATCTGGCGTTGGGATCTCAGGGCTAGCCACATTCAAGCCTGAGCTAGTAATGAAGTCGCTCATACCGATTATCATGAGTGGTATTCTAGCTGTATATGGTCTTGTCGTCTCTGTACTCATCGCTGGCTCTCTCAGTCCGACTGAGCCTTACTCCCTCTTCGCTGGCTGCACCCACCTTGCCGCTGGTCTCGCCTGTGGTGGTTCTGGGCTTGCTGCTGGTCTCGCAATCGGTAAAGCAGGCGACGCGTTCGTGAGAGCGTATGTATATCAGAGCAGAGTGTACGTGCGGCTGTTGCTATGTAGAATACTCACTTATCTTTATCCCGCTCTATCGCTTACGCAGCTTCGTCGGCATGCTCCTCACTCTTATCTTTGCAGAGGTGCGTCAATGTCTTCCTGGTTGCTGTACTAACTCCTCCTTTCCCTCTCAGGTACTCGGCCTCTATGGTCTCATCGTGGCTTTGATCCTCAACACGAGAATAACGTGCGTATTCTTTGACTAGTGACGTCATTTACCATACTCAAACTCATACTCATACTCAACGCAGCGGTGACGAATGTAATGCATGATATCTGATTTCTTCTTTTACTCTTCAATAACGCGCGCGTTAGGTGCATGCCATGCTGTAAATGGTAAAGACAATGTGAGATTGCTCTACGACTCAGTTATTGGCTGCTTTGCTAAGCTTGTGCAGAGAATTGAAATGAACAACAGAAGTTTCTACAATCGACAAGGTGTTTCTAGGTTACAAAAGTGCAAATTTTCAACTATCGATCCAACCCTCGCCTAGATTCAACTGGGTGTTTAGAATAGGAGTGAGTTCATCATCCAGCATGCTATTCAGCGACGAGCCATCCCTGACATCAAGCCAGGTGCGCTGATTGCTATCAAACTCGTAGCGCCGAGGACCACTGAGAGAGTGTAAGAGGTGGAATTCGCTGTAAAACCATACTCACCTGAATGGCGAAGACACCCAAATCTGTCTAGTTGGGGGCTGCTTGTTGATGACATAAGTGCCGTATTTATCAAGTGAGAGGGTTAATACGCCGGACTGTGAATGATTTGAGTGATATGAGTGATATAAAACACAATCTACACACATTCAACTCCACTTCGGAAGACTGAGCAACGTCGAATCCACCGCCTTCGATTTCAGCTTCCAGTGTTTCAACCAGGGAATCAAACACTTTGTCGCTGAGTTGATGGAAGGTGTGAGTGGACATGGACTCAACAGCCGTGGTGTTTGGAGGCTGGGCGTATGTTCTGGTGTGTGTGAGGGTGGCTGGTTGTGATATTGTTGTAGATCTGGCTAATCTGGCTAATCTGGCAACTCCGCCTAATCTCGCCTGCGCCGATAAACCCAGAAATATCCTTGGAATCATTTTATTAAAGCTGTTGATGGTGTTTATTCAAGAATAAAATTAAAAATATCTCCTTCATCTCCCACCGTCATCAACCACGTAGAGATGGAAATACACGATGACGATCCACACAGGCATGAGTATTTCGAAGATAACGACAGCAGTGGTGTGAATGTGAGTGGGGTCTGTAACTGGCTGCGTATCTCACCAACTCGCAGCCATCGATCACCAACATCCCCAACAGCGCTGATTTGAGTCTTAAAAGCAATGTCAGCAACCCGCAAGTTCCACACGCCCCTCTACCCATTCCCTCCGATCCCGCTAGCCTCCCTTATCCATCTGACTTTACCGATGACCTCACTCAAGGCGCGAGTACGGGGAGTAACGCGAGTGGCGTGGCTGGCAGTCTAGTGGATGAGGATTTTTTTACCTCCATGTCTACCCAAAAGCCCAAGAAAGCTCCCACTAAACCAGATCCCAACCAGCTCCAAGTAAGCAGTCGGGAAATCAACCACCAATTTAAAGCAGGAAAGCACGTCGATGACTATCACAACGAATCGAAGAAATCTTCTACACCTGGCGACGCAGGTAGTAGCTGGAGAATGATGAAATTGAAGCGTTGCTATGAGCATGCAGAGGAGGAAGGCACGCACGTCGACAACCTCGGTATCGATCGCTTTGGATCTATCGAAGCATGGCGAGATGCCCAACACGAGCGCAGCATCCTCGACGAAAGAGACGCCAAACGTTTCAATAGACGGGGCGGCAGACGCGATAGCTACGCTAGTGGGAGAGAATCTCCTAGAAACAACTCAAATAACTCTCCCAAAAACATTTACACCTCTCCATCCACCTCTGATTACGGTAGTAGGCCGTCCTCGAGAGCTTCCTTCAAACGTCCGTCAGACACACACACACCGACGCGCTCAACACAGTATCAAACCACGCAAGGTGGTCAGACTGACAGAGTTAGTCATCTTAGAGGCGAATCTAAGCCCAGTTCGCCTGTGATTCCGAAGGTGTTCACTCCGACGACTAGTGTGAGCGGTGGGGGTGCACCAGGAAGGCCGAAATCACCAGACTCCCTAAATAAATTACAAGCCCAGGTCATGAAAGCACGCCTAATGAGCACACCTAACCTGCAACAGCTCGAGATGGAGTATGAGCATGAGATGGAAATTGCGCGCAAACTCACCCAAACAGGCGGCGATGCCGGTCATGGGCTAATGAATGTGAATCTTAACGACAAGACGGGTTTAGAGCCAGTGGAGAAGGAGCAGAAAACTAAAATAGAGGTTCTTCCCACCCTCGATGGACATGGCAGATTGTATGATGTAGGGCAAGGCCGCAAGGATGACAGTCTGCCAGTAGGAAACAACACCAACAACAGCAGCAAGAGGAAGAAGGCGCACAACCATGAAACCAGAGACGAGCGCACGGGTGAAATAACCCGCTACAATATAGACGACGACGACCAATCACTCGCAGAGCTCGTCCGACAGGAGAGATTTGCCGGTGGAGCGTCAGATCAAAAGAACTACGACGCAGAATTCGCCAATGCAATAACGAGTGATCATCTCTACGAACACGGCGACACTGACCAGATAGACGATAATGCAGCTAGATATGCACGCAAGAAAATGAAATCAGATGCCCAGAAACGACAATTTGCGATTGGGGACTACAAGAGAACCAAGAGAGTGCTCGATAATTGCAGATGGTGTTTCGGGGATGATGGAGAAGCGCCGCCACGGTGTCGGACAATTGTCTCGAGTGGAACACGTGTCTATCTTGCCCTACCGGAGCATGAGCAGTTGGTGGATGGGCATTGTCTGATAGTGCCGATGCAGCACTGTCTCAGCTCGCTAGAAGCTGATGATGATGTGTGGGAGGAGATTAGGGTGGGTTGGAGTGTTTTATATGGAGCATCACACTAACTACATTTACTCTTCAGAATTACATGAAATGCCTCATGCAGACTTTCGCTAGTCAGAATCGCGGAGTGGTGTTCTATGAAACCGTCTTGAGTATTAGAGCACAGCTGCATACTGCAATAGAAGCAGTCCCGGTGCCTGCTGATATATACCAAGTGTTGCCGGGATATTTCCACGAGAGTATTCTCGCAATAGAGTCTGAATGGACACAGCATAAGAAACTGATAAACTTCCAAGAACGCGAATTTAGAAGGGCACTAGTACCTAATTTGCCGTACTTTGCAATAATGTGGGATTACAAAGGGAATGCAGGTTATGGACATGTGATTGAAGGTGTAGATAAAGCCAACTCGGAGGATGATTCTGAGAGCAAATACCACGACCAATCACAGGCATTTCCGCGCTACTTTGCAGCTGAAGTGATAGGAAATGTTTTAGAATTGGAACCAAAGTTATGGCGTCGTCCGAGGAGGTTGCATGGACAAGAAAAGAGTAATGCAGTTGAGAAGTTTAAAAAGTTTTATCTAGGATATGATTGGACGAGTATGTTGTAATTTACTTTCTTTATTTTTGTTTTACCACTTTTTTTTCGCGTCTGCTTGCTGTGACAGATTGCCGAGTTTTGCGGTTGCGTTGCGCACTCATAAAAGACACAGAAAATGCTCAGACAACTCAGCAGAGCAGTAAATCCAATCAGATCAGCAAGATCAGCAAAATCAGCTCAATCAGTTAGAGGATATGCCTCTTCGAGACCTGCGCAGTTGCCCGTATTCAACACGAATGCAGATAAGGTGTGGATGGCTACATCTGCATTCGTAACCATAGGTGGTGTTGTTTGGCTCACGTCTCCTGGCGAGGATTCCCACCACGATTCCCACCACGAAGATGCTCACCACCAAGTTTCTGAGAAGGTGTGTGTGTGTGTGTGGTGAGGGATAGAGAACTAACTAAACGACCGACAAACAGGCTGAAGAAGTTAAAGAGGTGGCTAAAGAAGAGGCTTCAGAGGGAGCTGAAGAAGCTTCACAAGTAAAGGAGAATGTCAAGGAGAAGACGGAAGACGCATCAGAGAAGGCAGAAGACGTTAAAGACGACGTTAAAGAGGACGTTAAAGAGGTTGCCAGTGATGCCAAAGACCAAGCAGCGGATGTAAAGGATGATGTTAAGGAAAAGGCGGAGAATGTCACTGAGAACGCTCAAGAGAAAGCAGTGCAAGTCAAAGAGGATGTCAAAGAGGATGCTAAAGAAGTTTCCCAAGAAATCTCACAAAACAAGGACGAAATCAAGCAGGAGGTTAGCGAGAAGACAGAAAACTAACTTGGCACTTGAAAAAAGGGAATAAAAATATCAACAAAGTAAAACAAATACATTTCAATACACATTCAGTACACAAATTTACTCTTTTCCTTTATCTGTCTACACGAAACCGCCATGAGCAGCTTCATACGCATAAAGCGTAAGCGGAATGAGGAGCCACTAGATGCGCTGTGTGAGGAGGATGTGAATGAATAAATGAGCCTGCTAATCGAGACGTGAATCTCATCAGTAATCGGCGAGCAGGAAGATAAAGAGGGGAGTGATCGACCAATTGCGCGCAAGAAACGACAGAAACAGGGTAATTTTGGAGTGTATAATGCACGCACATACACATCGACCACTCACACGATGTAGGTCTATTCAAATTGGCAGAAACGGTCGAGCAATCCACATTCACATCTGAGACTACCAAAGAAGAGCTACAGTCGCGGCTAAAGAGGAAGGCGGAGGATGAGCAGGATGATTCAAGCTCAGTGGATCAGCGGCGGCGAAGCAATCACAATAACGCAGAAATCACTCAACCTCCCCGCAAACGTTATCATGTTATTAAAGGCGATCGTGATGTTAGTAGCGATGTATTTATCGACGTAGAGGAAGAAAAGAGGAGGATTGAAGATGGAAAGCCAGCTGAGGCAACCAACACTGCCAAACCACTCGATCCATTCGACGAAGACAGTGAACAAATGCGCGAGTTTCGAAGATTGGTGGAGGATTACTTGAAGAGTGAGTGAGGTGCTTGGTGGGAGGTGAGATTTTCTACTAACTGCTATTCCCAGTGCAAGAAGTTGTTTCGATCGATAGCAATGATAGTGAAAAAGGTAACGATAAAGAAGACAAGAATACAGTAAACAACAACAACGATTACGTGTTTGACGTTTATTACAGAGACTCAAAGAAATCTCATCACTCACCAGAAATATTGTCAAACATCGGTCTGTTGACTGGTTTGAGTGATGAGTTTGGCGCTGGAGTGGACTACTCGAGCGATAGCACAGATATAAAGGATGAAGCGGACGAGGATAGTAATGAGGAGGACTATTATACTAATGACTACCCCGATGAGGAGGTGGGCAGTGAGGAGGAGGAGTACGATAATAACTTTGTTTCATCTGAGAGTGATTGATGTGTTATGTAGTCATTCATTTGTTTAGTAGTTGCTTTAAACATAAATTCATAAGTTGATGTAATACTCAAATTACTTGTTGGCCTGGTTAGCGTTGATGATGTGAACGAATTCAGGCTTGACGGAAGCACCGCCAACGAGGAATCCATCAATGTCAGGCTGCTTAGCGAGGTCACCGCAGTTGGTGTGGGAGACAGATCCACCGTAAATGACTCTAACCGAATCAGCCGCATCTTGACCGAGGTTAGTGGTGAGCCATTGACGGATATCTTTGTGTGCTTCCTGTGCAATCTCTGGAGTAGCAACCTTGCCAGTACCGATTGCCCAAACAGGCTCATAAGCGATGACAATCTTGCTCCACTCCTCCTTGCTAATATCTTTGTTGAGAGAGTTGAGTTGGTGTTGGACGACCTCCTTGGTCTTGCCAGATTCACGCTCTTCCAACTTTTCACCGATACAGAAAATGACATTGAGTTGCTCGTTGAGAGCGCCCTTAGTTCTCATGGCAACATCATCATCATTCTCCTTGAAGATGTGACGACGCTCAGAGTGTCCTGTAAGCGTCCACTTGATATCAAAGTCCTTGAGCTGGGTTGGTGCGATTTCGCCAGTGAAAGCACCAGTGTTTTTCCCGTAAACGTTCTGAGCAGAAACAGCGATTGAAGGGTTTAAGCGGTTCTTTGCCTCTGAAAGGTAAATGGACGGAACTGCCAAAACCTTCTCTGTCTTGTCATCGAGGTCTGCCTTGTTGAGATTCTCGATGATGTCGTTCAACGAGTTGAAAGTTACTTGCATCTTTGTGTTGCCACCTACGAAGAATTGTCTAACCATTTTATTTCTTTGTTTGTTGTTTGTGGTTGTGGTTTAAGAAGCCAAACCTGGGTTTTACTTGCACAAAAACTTACACGTCATCGGAGTCATTCGATTTGTCTACTATGCGTGTTATGTGTGAAGTCTGTTGTATATATCACTCTCTACCCAAATAAATCTCCTCCTCTTATCCTCCCCACGGCTAGTTGCGGATCAGCGGTTCACAGTGATCACGCACTCTCGCTATACTCACAAACTAAGCCGGGTTGATGTAATTATCAGCACATCTAACATCACACTTAGACTTCTATCTTTCATTCCATAGGTACTATATATGAAACAAATATAAAAGACATCTGGACAACCCAAATTGCCAGTAAATTAGTTTGATTATGTTGTATTGTGTTGTATGTTCTAAAGCATCTCAATATATTGAAGACGCTTATAAAAGTCAAGTGAAAGTGAGTAAAGAAATCACCAAAGATGTAAAAATTTTTTGTAGATTTTCATCTTTTTCATCTTTTTTTCTCTCTTAGATCTATAACTTTATTGATTGTTGACTGTTCTTTGTTTGTTTCTTTGTTTGTTCTTCGTTTCGTTGATTTAAAAAAAGACAAAATTCTTTTTTTGTGGTTTTTATCAACATTTGCTACTTTTTTTTTTTTGATTGTTGGTCTTGATAGTTTGGCGTTTTTTTTGTCGTTATGTATTTTGCTGATTGATAGAGAATCTTAAGCTCAAAAGCTCAAAGCTAAGCCGCCACACCACGGCGGTAGTCAGCTAATTGGAATCCTCCCAATCCTAGTCCACCACCAAGAGTTGGTTGGTGATAGTAGAATTGAGGTGGTTGGTTAGTGTGATAGTGAGGTTTGTTACCCATACGGCCCCAGCTTTCATCGTCGTATTTGACATGGTGAGGAACTTGAACGTGGGATTGAACCTGTGGTTGAATGTGTGCGTGTTGAGCCGGTTGAGGTTGCATGTACATATTGTAAGATGCAGCAGATGCAGCAGCTGCGACCGCATTAGCGTCATAACCACCGTCAATACTCATATAGTTGCCCATACTCATGCTATTCCTCGCACTACTAGTATGATGCACTTGACGCAACGGACCATCTTGGTCGAGATCAATGTGACCATAGTCGTAGTTGGGTACGAGAGGAACATCGGTAACTGGGGAGTAACGATGTCTAGCTTCGACGGCTTGCTTTGAGAATTCCATCGAGTGAAGGTAGTCAGCCTTGAATTGTTTTTTCAAACAATCGTCAACAGCAGCGATTACTAGCTTTGTTTCACTCGTGTCTTCACCCTTGAGTTTCATTTCTTGGTAGATCCTCTCCTCTCTATGTCTGATCTTGTACATCCAATTAGTCCACTCATCAGTACCAACGTTGAGGTTCAAACCTTGGTCGACGAGTGACCACATATCCAAACAACCAATATCACTCAAACTCAAACCAGTAACTTGAGACCAAGTTTTGTTGGTGTAAGTGTTATCATCTAGCCATCTATTAGCGAAAGCGAGAGTGATGGTGAGTAGACGATAAGGAGCGCTATCGATGGAAGTGGAGAAGTTTGGTGAAGAGTGGATGGGTAATCTTGAGGCGTAGAAGAGGGCCAAAAAGAGTGCTTGCTTTGAAAGAGCAGTCTGTGTCAAGATTGAGTAAGTCCATCTCCTAAATTCTGTGGTTGGGTTGAGTTTTGGTCTGCCGTAGACATCCTCGCTGCCAGCGTAAACAGAGACAGAAGGAGTTCTGTATTCCATGACGGCGTTTGAGTTGTTATGACCAAAAGCGGGAGAAGAGGCGTAACAGAGGTCCCAAATAGCTTCAGCGGCAAAGGAGTGGAGAGTGACGGCGTGGGTTTGAGGTTGTTGTTGTTGTTGTTGCTGTTGCTGTTGTCTCAAGTGGTGCTCTCTCTGCTGCTGTTCAAACAACTCCATTTGCTCAAATTGAATCTGTTGTAACTTCTGTTGCTCCATCCAAGCGCGTGCATTGGCCTGAGCTTGAGAGTCGATAACAGGGGGAGGAATTGTGGATAGATCAATGGAACGGCGTTGAGAACCGGGTGCTCTGTTCCAGGTAGGTTGAGTGGGAGGGAGTTGAGTGTATGCGGGTGGTTTAGGGAGCATGGCTATAGCTTGAGCCATACGTTGTTTCTGGTGAAGGCGTTGACTGTGTTTCTGTGCGAGTGGAGTGTGGCTGTATCCATCGCGTCTTTGAGTAACTTGAACCATAATAGATCTTTAGAAGATAATAGTTAAACTACAACCAGTGAAGGTGTGTTTGATGACTATTCTATTTGGAATGTTAGCTGCTTACTTCCCAATGTGGCAATCAAGCCAACTAACCAATGAACCCGATATACCTAGGATTAGATATATAAGGAGTTTAATAGATAAGCTTAAATCAATTCAATTGGTTTATCAAATTAACTTTAAACTTTTCCTTTGATTTTTTAGTTGGTTGGTGGTGGTGCTTGACTGAGGTGCTGAGATTAAAATCTGATTGGAACGTTCATTTGAATATTTCTAGTGATTTCTATTTAATAGCAGTGCTAGTAAATTGTAGTAATCACTTGAAATATTCAAGCTTATTCAACGATCCCAGTCAAATTGGCTTGTTGGGCTGCTTCCACTCCATCCAAGTCTCATTAACTGGGCATATAAAACATCTTTGGATTCATCTGACTGGTTCTGGTTGCACATAACACAGCCATTCCCTTTAATTACAATCCACACATACCCACTTGTACTCTCACATCCATCATTTCTATATGCTGCCCTTAAAGAAGATCAAAGTCGTGGACCTCTCACGGGTACTCGCTGGCCCACTCTGCACAATGCTACTCGGTGATATGGGTGCTTCTGTCTTGAAGATTGAAGAACCTACGCGTGGTGATGATACCAGTGGGTGCTCATCAACTTGACCACTTACGCTCCCGCTCACTCCTTTCCTTCAAAGGATCTTGGCTTCCTCCGTCCGCACCCGTCAAGCCGCACTCCCCCGCTCCCCACCTTCCCCCTGAATCAGCCTACTTTCTGTCCTCAAACAGAAACAAACGCAGCTTAGGTCTTAACTTCAAGCACCCTCACGGTCAATCTATCATCCACAATCTTGTCAAAGATGCCGACGTTCTTGTTGAAAACTTCTTACCCAACAAGCTGAAAATTTTCAACCTAGACTATGACACAATAAAGAGTATAAACCCTGGCATCATTTATGCTTCTATAACGGGTTATGGTCAGACTGGTCCATATGCCAATGCACCTGGCTACGATGTGCTAATTGAAGCTGAAGCTGGTCTAATGCATATAACTGGTGAGAGAGATGGATCTCCTGTGAAAGTAGGTGTCGCTATAACGGATATAACGACTGGTCTGTATGCTCACGGAGCAATACTCGCTGCACTTTTCCACAAACAGCGTACCGGGGAAGGTGTCCATCTAGACATCAACCTCTTCGACACGCAACTAGCCTCGCTCGCCAACATAGCCTCCAACTATCTCGTCACGGGGCAAGAAGCTACGCGTCAGGGCACAAGCCACCCTTCAATCGTCCCCTATCAGACATTCCCCACGCTCGATGGTCAGATAATGATAGGAGCGGGCAGTGATGTGCAGTTTGAGTCGCTCAGCGGGATATTAGGGAAGCGCGAGTGGTTGGAGGGTGAGTGGACGAGCAATGCAGGCAGAGTGCGTCATCGCACTGCCCTAGTGGGCGAATTGGGTACAATCATATCATCACACTCCACACAGCACTGGCTAGATACTTTTAGTGAAGCGAAAGCACGTTTCTCGTTTGGGCCGATCAATAACATCGCCCAGTCCTTGGAGCATCCCCAGTCGCTGGCTAGAGGTGTGGTTACTGAGGTGGATCATCCTCGCATTGGTGCCCTCAAACTCACTGCTCCCGCTGTCGGATATGGCGGGAAAAGGCTGGAGGTTCACCGCCCGCCGCCCTTCCTCGCTCAACATACCACGGAAATTCTTCGCGAGGAGGGATACACTGAGCAACAGATACTCGAGCTGAGAGCGGAGGGTGTTGTGGTGGACAATAGTAACAGCTTGTGCAGAAAATCTAAGCTTTGATCATTATGACGCTTTTGTATCTTTGTTTTCATTTTCACGACGTGCTCGATACTCGCTATTCTCTCCCCAACCACCACGGCATTTGCAGTTGGAGAAATATAAACGGGATACAAGATGTCCAACTCATTCGCAAAGATACTTCAAAGGAGCAAGTTCGCCAGCTACGACCCAGCAATAGCGCAGACTTACACGGCGAGCCGGGCGCAGCGCCAGCGGGGAGAATACGGGTTCAAGCGGGGGGTAATTGGAGGCGAATCGATCCGAGTCAAGTCGCAAGACAACGAGCTGGGTGCGGTGGACTACTCCAACACCACAGGCGATGCAAAGGTAGTGCAGCGCATCAGCGACATGCGCGTACCGGTGCATGGCGTCAGCAGTGCTGTAGCGCCCTACAGCAGCTACAGCGATAGCAATAGCTCCAGCTCTGCTCCCCCTTCCGCGAAACACACACACGATAACCCCGATTCCCCCCTCGCCTCCCTCTCTACACGCCCCGATATCGAGGCTATGTCTGCTGACGAGTTTCGCCGCTACGTCGCCCGTCTCCATGAAAGGCGCCCTGCTTTTAGGTCTTTTCTCGGCAAATTGGCTGGTGAGCGCGCGGCAGCAGTGGCAGCGATGCGCGGGCAGAAGAGTGAGGGTGGTCAGGATGGCAAACTCAACACTCACACTCCCGTGGATCTCTACGCCGCTGCACAGACGGACGCATACACTTACCAGCAGTTCCTCAAGCAAGAGCAGCGCAAGCGAGTAGACGAGCAGCGCGGGCAAGTGCTCGTGAGCAACATGCACGCGAATGGTGGATTGCGCTATTCACATCCATCTCCTATCGAATCTGCTCGCCTCACGCCCCCTCTCCCAGGTCGCATCCTGCCGCACTCCCCCACCACGCGTAACTTTGCCAACAGACAGAAAAAACCTATTGCTCTCGCTGGTCTCGTTGCTACCACCGATATGTCAAACTTGCACAATATGGCAGCGACTGATTTCGCAGGCGCCAAGGATAGCACTAGCGCCCGCAGAGATGAAAAGGCAGGCACAGCTAATTTCAGAGTCGTCGAGAAGGCCTCCGTTGGTAAAGTGCCGCGTGTGGTCCACAACCATAGCGGTAAGAATACCCTTGAAGGCGCTTTCATACACTTGGACGTCGTCGAGGCGGGCAGTCTCGAGAAAATGCATCATTTCGCTACCGCTTTCCCCATCGGGTCACCCGAGTACGTAAGCACTTTCGAAAAAGATAAACCAAGTGGTCGTAGTAGGCCGACAGGGTTTTTGGTAGGCGCGCAGGACTTGCCCCTCTACCAGAAGAAGAGGATGAACAGGGATGGCGAGAATGCGACGCGCATTTCGGAGATGATGAAGGCTGCCAGGGGGTGAAGTGTGAGGTGTAGAAGAAACGAATGCTTTGTTTTGCTTGTTTTATTGAAATTTTGTTGAAAATTCTCCAATGCGTGTGTGTCTTGAGTCTTAACCACCACCCAAAGCACACAGAAATGGTTAGCAGGAGTACATTCAGCGCTGCATCTGGCTGGATAAGCATCTTGAGCTGGTTCGTCGTATATAGTCCCCAGATTTACGAGAACTACGTCCTTCAATCTGCCTCTGGTCTGTCGCTCACCTTCGTCGTGATATGGCTGCTCGGGGATATCACCAATCTCGTTGGCGGCTTCATGGTACACCTCCTACCGCCTATGCTCATCCTCGCGCTGTACTACACGGCGTGCGACGTCATACTCCTGTGGCAGATGTGGATTTATCGGGGAAACAACGGGATTAGTGAGTGTGGAAGTGGGAGCGGGAGTGAGGAGGGTGTTGCACCAACGCATCCCACCGAATCAGACAGACTTTTGAGCGTACAGGAGCAACACCGCCACCAGCAACAGGAATCTCACCAGCTATTCGTCAACCTCCTCTGCACAGCACTCGTAGTTTTCGGAGGAGCGCTATCATTCATCCTCAACGCCGACAAGGAATATATGGGAACACCACCTCTCCATTCAACCCCCACAGCTCAATTTGCAGGCTGGACGAGTGCTGTACTCTACATACTCTCGCGTTTCCCCCAGATTATCAAAAACACCCACACTCACTGCGATGGCCTTTCGATACCCCTCTTCGCATTCGCGTTGTGCGGTAATTGCAGCTACGTCGCTCAAGTTCTCTTTGAGAGCACCGATGGGGATTATTTGTGGATTAACATGAGTTGGCTCGTTGGAACTATCGGCACCGTTCTCCTCGATCTCGTCGTTCTCTCTCAGTTCGCTTACTACCGTTATCGCGATAGTTGTTTAAAGCAAGAAACTGATGAAGCGGATTAGGATTTAGCGCAGTAGTGCATTAGCATACTAGCACACTAACACACTAGCACACTAGCACACTAACACACTCACCTCTTCTTCCCCGCGGATCGTGGCTCTTTTGAGCTACAACTACAACTACCACCCCATTATCACGTATTGTTCTTATATCTTTTACGTATGATCCATTTTATGTAATACATTGACACTCTACTTAAACATTCAAAATTTTCACTCTCTTTGACGTAATTATCTGGCGGACATCGGAGACTGTCATAGGAACGATATCCGGAGCTTTTGAATAAAACCATCAACAACCCCGCCATGACTACAACCATGGAATACGCACAAAGCACACTACATTATCTCTATGACAACGCACCAGATAGAAGACACGTCTCCAAATCATGTCTTTCCCAAGCCGTCTTCATGTTTGGTTTATCTTTTATCTTTGCCGTTGTACAAACACTTAGTCTTGCTTTCTTTCCAACCTTATATAAAAACAAGTCAAATGGATGGAGAAGGGACCAATCGGAGGAGATTGAGAAGGCTAAACTGGTTGAAAATGGGTTTAGTTGTGACTTATCAGAGACTCAGAGTGGTGGTGCTTCAGACGGTCTCAGAGGCGTATGTGCAAAATTCATCTCAGATTCAAAAGTACCGATTTTTCTCCGCGGATCGTTTAACCTCATTCTTGTTGGAATAGTGTTCGATCCAAATTATGTCATTTCTTTGGCATTCATCCACGATGTTCAAGCTTTTTTTGATGACGATGACTTCGCAAAGTTTGCAGCTTTGTTCTACCTCGCCTCGGGTTTAATAGTTGCTTTGATGGCTTTAACTGCTGACTATATCTATTTGCACCATCCTTCTTTTCGAGACAAGATAGTTGAAAAAGTCTCTCGCTTTTCTTGGCGTTGAACATATCCTAAAACACATTGACACACCAAGTATAGTACTTGACCATAAAATATATAATGTTCTACACAAATAAGTTTTTCAGCACGGTTAATGGCCCTGAAACGTCATTCCAGCATGGTAAGAAAGGAGCTTGTTATTCTTTTCGCGCTCGCGCGCCCAATCAAGGAGCTCTCTGCGCGGCATCTCAATGGAAAAAGTGTGTTCGGAGCGCGTCTTCGAAAAGACAACGATTCTCTGCAGTTCATTTTCTATGAATGTTGACACGGTGCGGCCTGCCCTGCTGAAAACCTTCAAACGCGGTGGTGTGATAGCACCCATCTTTATAGGTAGAAGCGTGATAGTAAATATGAACGGCTTATCGGTGACGACCTGGACAAGTTAGTGTGTTCAGCAACTCAAACTATCCCTCTCACCTTGTACTCCCCACGCGCTTTGCCGCTGATTAACCACTCGTCAAGTGGTGTGTCGAGCTCGTAGTGCAGCACTTCGCCATCGGCAGCACCACTTGTCGACAACAAAATGCTAACTAGCGCCGCCTCACCCAATCTCAAGGTGTGCTGCTTGAAATTTATGCTACCAGAAGCGACAATCTAGAAAGTGAGCTAGAATGTCTTTTCGGTAGGGTGACTTACCTCAGCGATTGGCAGCTTGATTGGAAGAGTACAATTATCCCAATGACGAGACTCAATGGGGTGAGATGGTAGTCGCTATGCATCTTTAGAATAGGATTGGCAACAATCAAAACCTACCTCGATAGCACCGACTATGACCCCCCTCAGAGCCAGCTTCTCCCCCTCAGTGAAGGCAAATGTTTTTAGAGCATCGTCGAGCGCGTTCTCGTCGACCTGCTTGAATTCATATCCGCTTGAGTGACTCCATGTATGGTGGGCAGTGATGAATTTTGACACCCACTGCGCGTGGTGTTTGAGCTGGTGCGCGTTCAACTCATGCTGCACAATCTCATAAGACATGTTGTAAACTTCTATAGCAAAGTCAACGGAAATTTCAGCGTAACCAGGGCACAACCCACCATTCTCGATAGTGCTGTATTCTGCAAGTAGACCCAAATCACTGCATTCGTCGCTCTTAATAGTGAATCCATAAGACGCTTTTTCGCCAGCAGCGAGTATCTAGAGCCGGTTAGACCATCGGCGTATCCAATAGAATTGCTTAACAGCAGTGTAGGGTACTTACGAATGGATCTGCGCTATGCGAATGTGAATGATGCGAATGTTGCGTACTGACAAGCCGGACATCTTTCACGCGCACATTGTATCCAGCCGACGCTGCTACATCGGCAGACAAAATGGTTCTAGGGGTGCTAAGCAATACGTCTTTAGAGGTTATTTACTCACATATCGCTCATCTGCGTATGCGACACATGCAGCTTTAGCGGATTGACAAGGTCGTACGCGAGCGTCTTAACGAGCTGGTGGGGTCTAGCGTCTGAGGTGTAGTCCACCTGCACGTTCACCGTGGCGACGTCAGTGTCTTGAAAGACGTGGTAGGGGATGGCGACGGTGCACCATGTCTGAGTGTCTAGGTTGCGCAATATCACGCTCTCAGGGTTACGCTCCAGACTGCAATTATCAGTGTCTGACATTGTGCTTGTTAGCGTGTGTTGCACCACGTTACGCCTCTACATACCATCAATTAACTCACTGTCAACATACCCGAAAACTAAATGGGGACTCGTGAGGCGAACTGTTGCAGCATCCATCTTTTTTCGCCCCGCTTTCATTTTGAGGTGAAGTGCACCACTACCGACGACAACTGGTGGGTGCAATCAGATGAGCTGATGAGAGTGCCTTGTCAATCATCTACCTACCATTGTCTGGTCTCTCCAGTTTCACAGCTAGGGCACGTGCGTCGAAGGGTATGTTCAGACAGCAGCGCCTCCTGCCCTCACTGACGGGTATGTGCTCCAAAAAGCTTATACCAGACGCTAGGACGTTGACAGCGCCCAAAAAGAAGATATCATGTGCAGGTGTCGAGCAGAAGGCCTTAACAGCATTATGACCAGGCTCCAACCTCACGCTGTCGCACCTATACTCTATGCCATGTCTATGTCTCAGCGAGTGGAAAGTGAACACGACTGCGTCAGCGACAAGTGACTGTATTGAGATATTGTGAATTTAATGAGTACTGAAAAGACGCGCAGACTCACGCAGGGCAGATTGCTATCGATCCTCGCATCTATCGACGATCCGTCGTCGTCATCGCTGAAGACAACATCAGGGCGCACACTCGAAAATGACACCCTCAAGGAGGGGCTGAGGGGGATATCGAAAGACTTATGAGCGTGTTGCGCAAATATCTTGAGCTCACGAAGCAGCCACTCAAAACCTCCCCAAGTAGCGGAACTACCAACATCACCACCGCCCATCTGATCGACCATCGCAGCAGACATCCCCCGCTCAGTCGCATCAAGTGTGGAGGCGATCTGGACGAGATCGAGAGCAGCGTCCGCCCAGCGCTCATCGCGCACGCGGTCAAGATGCGCATGCGAGAGCAGCTGTCCAAGCAAAGCATACATACGCGTCGAATACCACATGGACCGCGCCTCAGACGCGTTGAGCAGCTCGAAGAATCGGAGGGATGACTCGTAATGCCCGCGTTCCCTAGAGGTGAGAAGTAGGTAGCGGCATGAGCTGATCTGATGACGAGCAGAGAAATCCACACTTACATGTTCAGTCCGGCTACGAGGAGATCAAGCGACCATGCCTTTTTAAATTTCGCAACTTGGCGGTAGTACCGCGCAGCAGAGCTGCAGAGATGGATAAAAAGCTTGTCAAACTCTCGCCTGCTGCTGAGTGCTTGCCGTAGCTGTTTGTGTGTCGTTTGGGGTATTTCGTCGACGTGTACTTTGATGTACTTGTCTTGCGCAAAGGGGTATTTGTTGGGCAGAATTCCGAATCTGATACTCAAATCTTGAAGCTTTTTCGGTAGTTAGTAGTCATATATGCGGAAGCTTTCTTCATACCTGGTCGATCGCTATATCGTACAGCTCAGCCTTGCGTAATGAATACTGGTGGGCGCGATTCACGTCGTTCACTTTGTGCTCTTCCGTGAACCACCGATCACATTGGTATATCGTCGTCAAACTCGCGACAAACTTCCAGTACTGCACAAAGTACGGTCTGAGATCCGCCTTGATGTTTGTTAGATGATTTAGTAAGGTTCGAAAACACTAACCAATTTGGGCTGGAGAGAACGACTAAACATATTAATGAAGTTAATGGAGCGTTGTGCGACCAATTCCACGTTGCCAAGATGCTCACCAGCTATGTTACATTGACAGGCGAACAGATAAAGTCTGAAGTCGAACACGGATATCGAATTGGAGAGTATCATCTGTCTATATGGCTTCTTGGTGGTAGAGAGAAGGTCACCAGAGTCGTCATGTATTTCCTTGCCACCTGAGTCGATAAATTGGTTGATGACCGTATTGTTGTCTAAGGATTGGTGAAACAGCTGCTCAAGCTGCTCGTAAACCAATTGAGCTTCCTGGAAGAGATTCAGTCCAATATAAGACAAAGCGAGTGATTCCTGTAGGTGTTGTCAGGGCTAAGACTGTGAGATGACACCAAGACATACCTTTAGGATAAAAAAAGTGCAGAAATTCCAACCTGGCAAATTTCTCTGACTCTCTGATCTTTCTACGTCAGCAAAGCGCGAGTTTATGTTGAGGTCAAAACCAGCGACGATGGCTTCTTTAAGTTTGTCAAGCAGAGGATTCCAGCAGTTGGGATCTTCAATACCATTAACCCCAATACGGGATATTTGTACACATCGGTCACGCTTATCATAGTTAAAATCCATCCTAATCTTATCGATAACACCAGACTTTATTTTGAAGATGTTGTTTGTCTTGTTTTGTGAGGAAGAAGACATGAGGACAATAACCCATTCTTGACGCTTGTGGGAGCTAATTGTCTGCAGCCATTCTCTGATTTTAGGCTTGAGAGTTGATTTATAGTACTCGTTATCTTCGCACTGGAGGAAGAGGAGGTGTACGAATGGAGTATCGATAACAGACGAAGGAATCAATGATTTCGGCTTATTAAACGATGCTTGATCGAAAAGGGTGAGAGAAACATCAAGCATCGGGATTAGATGGCCATCGTAGGCTATATCCTTGAGATTTAGCTTGCTATTGAGGCTTATAAACGCCTGAGTCCATTCCAAGGAATTTGAGAGTGGTGGTAGAGTTGTGTAGCTGCATGGAATGGATTCCATGGATTTCGGAGATGGTGGTGGTTGAGAAGATGGAATTGGACGATGAGATAAGAGGGTAGAAGCAAAATATAGGTGACATACATAATATCCCAATCAACCTATCTTCTCAATACGTATGACGTACTAGGTACGGGAAAGATAATATTTCAAGTAATTAAGGGGATACATGGTATTAAGTTAATCTTGCTCATCATAAAATGCTTTAAGCCAACCTTCAGCTTCTTCGTACTCATCCTTTGCGTTTGAAAGAGCTTTCTCGACTTGTTGCAATGCAGTTTGCTCAGAAATTTCTTTGTGAGTCTTTGGGTCTTGTAATCTGCCATAGACTTGGATAGCTTCACATGAAGCCTTTACCTTGATTAAACCAAGAGCGGCGGAGGAACCTTTGAGGAAATGACCTTTAGTGTGAAGGGTGTGTAAGTCTTTTTTCTTTAAAGCGTCGTCCAACTCTTCGAAAGTGACGTGAGCTTGTTCATAGAAGTTGACTACGATTCCATGACTGAAATCTCTGTCACTTTCATCCTCATCCATTTCCAATATCTGACCAAATGTATCCATATCGACAATTCCGGCTGGCTTTTTAGGATCAGGTCTTTCCTTCTTATCATTTTTAGCCTGATTGTCAGCTGGAGTGTCTGTTTCAGTGGTCTTGTGAGTTGGAGTGTCTTCTTTGTCTTCTTTGTCTTGATCTTTAGGTTCATTTTGAGGTGATTCTTCATCTTTGTTAGGTTTAGCGGGGCTGTCTTGATCATTGAGATTAGAAGAATTTTCGGTATGTTTCTTAGAATCATCCAACTTGTCTGACTTGTGCGCCTCAACATCATGCGATGGACTTGAAGGCTTTGGAGGCTTTGAAGACTTGTCATCGCCTTGAGAAGATTCAGGCTGTGGCTCCGGAGATAGATCTGAAAGCTTCTCCTTCTTTGCAACTGGAGAATTCAACCGATCATTTGGATTTTCGGATGTATCCAAAGTATTCCTAGGCGATGACATTCTAAATAATTTTTAATGAGATTTGGTTTTATTTCTTAATTTCAACTAACCGTCTGCGTTTAGTTTCTGAGTCAATGATGATGATGGAAGGGGGTTGAGTTCAGAGCGCTCCACTACATGATCACTGATGTAATCGTTTTACAAATTTCAAAATTTTGTAGCTTATTTGCAGCGATTGTGTGGGCCTCTTACATATAAATTTAAATCATTTAATTCTGAGTACTTTTCAACGTAGTGACGTCATAATTTACATCTTAAGCGATTCAGGAATTTCAAGGGTGGATGAGGATCCTACTGTGAGTGTTAAATTGGAACTTTTACGCATCTTTCTGTGTAGTATCAGTGACTTGCATTGTCCTCTAAGTATCGTTTAGAGGTGAGATACAAAGGTATTAACACTATTATAGAATGTAATCAACGATGTAACAAACTATGTCAGGCGTTACAATCGCGTAAATGACGCGTAACTCACGCGTAACGCTTCACTTACAACCATCATGTCCGTCGAGTGAGTTCTGCTCTATAATATCCAAAAATAAGCTAAATGTATAAAAAGCTTTGAGAAGATATACCACAATTTAGATCCAATTCCAGGAAGTTAGTTAAAATACATATGATATTAGGCCTTTTAACAAAGTCAATCACAGTCCTGAGATTACAACAAGGCGGTTTAGGTTGGAAATCTCAAAATAATTTAGTTACAATCTCTGCTGAAGATATCTCTCATATGCAATGGATGAGGTTTGTTAGGGCTTGCTCAACCTCCTACACAGCTCACACTATACGTATACCAGAGTGGCTAGAAATTTCCAGCTTAAAATTGGATTTAAAAGCGATAGACATAGAGAGGTCTTTGATGGCTTAGTTAGAGATGACTTTGAAAGACTTAGCAAAACTGTAAAGGAATTCTACGGCGTTTCAATTGAAACTCGTGAAATTTCTTTCAAAGGTTGGAATTGGGGTAAAACAGAGTATAGAGGTGGGTGCTTTGATTTGAAATACAGTCACCCACTCATATTTCTATCAAATCAGGCGAAGATCTTAGTTTCCAGGTATCTGGTAGAACTATGTTCGATATTCCAGTTCACAAAATTGCTAATTCCAATATTGCTTCCAAAACTGAAGTTTCTCTCGAATTCATTGATCCAACTGCTTCTGCTCAAGGCGAACCCACAGACTCCTCTTCAAGCTCATCACGTAAAGCTGATGAACTCGTTGAAATGAGATTTTACATACCAAACTCAGAAAAGTCTCGTGAGATTATCGGAGAGAAGGAAGACGATAACGATCAAGAAGAGCATTCCGCAGCTCAACTCTTCCACGATCAAATCAAAGACAAAGCTGAGATTGGTCAGGTATCTGGCGATGGTTTGGTTGTGTTCAATGATATCCTCGTCGTCACTCCTAGAGGTCGCTACGAAATTGACATGTACCCAACCTTCATCAGACTTAGAGGTAAAACTTATGATTACAAAATTCTCTACTCCTCTATTAGACGCTTGTTCGTCCTCCCAAAGACTGACGAAATGCACGTCTTATTGGTCGTCGCGCTGGATCCTCCTATCAGACAGGGTCAGACAAAGTATCCATACATCACAATGCAATTCCCTACGAACGAGGAATTGGACGCTACTATAAACATGGAAGAGTCAGAGATTAGCGAAAAATATGGTGACAGATTGCAGAAGCATTACGATGCTCCTGCTTACGAGGTTGTTGCTCAAGTGTTTAGAGGTTTGAGTGGTAAAGATATAACTACTCCAAAGACATTCAAGAGGTGCGCTTTGTTGGTTTAATACACGACATCTAACAAATGCTCCAGCTACAACAATCAACCTGCGATCAAGTGCAACGTCAAGGCCAACCAAGGTGATCTCTATGTGATGGAGAAGTCACTGCTTTTCATGACCAAACAACCTATTTACATCCCATTCAATGATATTCAGTCGGCCCAGTTTTCTAGGTACGCTCTACGCTTACACCATGATTACTTTCAACTAACGTTTTATTAGAGTCGGCGGTGCAATCAGTTCGAGTCGTACGTTTGATTTACGTGTAGTGCAGAGATCGGGTACAGAGAACGTTTTCAGTGGAATAAACCGCGAGGAGCACGAGCCACTCGAAGAATATCTCTCTAGTAGGAAAATCAAGACCAAGAACAGCCTCAATGAGAATATGATCGGCGCACCATTGCAGGCTGCAGTTGACAGCGACTCAGATATGGATGATGGCGATAAAAGCGCACGCAAGCAACCTACAGCTACAGCGGGTGGTGGTGAAGACGAGGAATCCGAAGAAGACGAAGATTTCCAAGCTTCCTCTTCCGATGAAGGCTCCCCATCTGAAAGTGACTCAGAAGATGAGGACGATGATGGAGACGCTAAAATGTCCACTGCCAAGAATTCTAAAGATAAGGACTCTGATGGTCCACCTAAGAAGAAAGCACGTAAGCAAAGTGCAAGTGGTGCAGACGAAGATGATGCCATACAAGTTGAAAGTGATTAGTTGCTTATAATGATAATTATTTATACAGAGGTTTTACATTTTTACAACATGCTTGCTAGTACTATTACCGCTTTTTGATTACGTTAAGCAGACTTCAGTGTGTTAGTGAAATATGGTGTTATTTCACAATACTCACTCCTCGTCTTCGAGATCTGTATTCTCGACTGCATCATTCAGATCCAATCTATCGCCATTCAAATCCAGCTCATAGGATGAAGCCTGACCATGATCGATTTTAAAGTAGGTGAGGTAAGAGCTGAGTAGAACAGAGCATTTCTTCTCTACAGGGATCTGTATCTTATACTCCTCATCCCTATTCATACCACGCAGAGTGATTCTGATCCTATTAGGAGATGGTTGTGCATTAGGAGGTGGCCGTGGAGTCTGCTTCAGAGAAGGTCTCTGAGAAGCACCAACAAACTCGATATCAGAGCTGCTTTCACGATCTTCTGCCTCCTTAACAACTTCCTCCTCCTGCTCGATTCTATTTCGACGCTCCTCCTCTTCCTCAAACCTTGCTCTCTCTACTTGTTCCATGTACTGCAGTCGTCTCTTTTCTTTGAGAAAGTCATACGTCGATGCCGTCATCGCCTCCATATCTGCCTTATCCCACATATTCAGTGACTCAGGTGTAGCACCTGTGAAGACTCTGTGGCGCTCATAAGTCATGACGACGCCATCGAGTTGTGTGTTGAGCACGTCCTTCTGTGCGAGATATCTGAACAGCGATTCGAAGCTATCCGCGCGTCTGTATCTGAATGATTTGTTGAGCTCGCCGAACTGCATCGCATCGTGCTGTTCCATTCCTGTGTACTTCTTGCTCGCACGTGTATTTATGATAATCTTGCACTTTATATCGATTATCTCAGGTCCGGTACCAGCACTGACAGTCTGAGGTGCTGGGTTCTTCTTCATGTTCTCGCGTATAGCCAGAAGAGTTGGGTTGAGATTCACCGTTTCTGTCAAGTCGAATACCTCCTCCTCATTCTCATTTTGCTCGTAGACGTTTTGAAGCGGTCGCGTCACCGTCGTTCGCGATATGATCGTTGGTGGAGGTGTGAGTTCTACGTGCGACGATCCTCGCCCGCTATCGTCCTTTCTATCCCTCACTTCAACCTGTGAGTCGAGATCGTCCTCAAAGTGTTGTTCAAAAGTCTCAGAAGCATTCACAAGCGTGTGTTGGCCACCCTGTGCAACCATTTTTTGCCCTCGTATTCTGGGATTTGTCCATTCAGGCAAGGGGTGCTGTTTGATGTTGTTTGCTCGCTTGCGACGGCGTCGTGGTCGTTCAGGCATACTACCATCTTCGTTCTCACCGTATACGGGTGAACTAGACGCGGGGTTATCGTCGTCTTCGTCGGTGAATGAATGTTCGCTACTAGAAGATAAATCTATCACGCCATTCTTATCCTTATCTTCATTCTTCTCCTGCTCTTCATCACCACGCGTACGCTTGGCAGACTTGAGAAAGTTGCGCTTCCACATTGCGCCTGTATTACGAATAAAGAAATCATCATTGTCAACAATCTTATCCGCGCTGTTCATCGCTGTGACTCGAGTTGGCGTGGTCGATTTCGAAGTTGATGCACGCGCCTGTGTACCACTACCACTACCACCAGGACTGCCACTGCTTATAATATCCACTTCCGGCTCATGCTGCCGTGCCCGCGGTCTTGGTCGCACCTTTGGTGCCATGCGCTAATTTCGTCTTGGTCGTAGCTGCAAGACATAAATCATAATACTGGAAGGACAATCGGATATGAAAATGTTTATGAGAAGTAATATAATCATAAAATCATAGAATTATACAAGAGTGGTGTGTGTAATGGTACTAGATTATACTAACGCGATTCTCCAAGTCCACCGAGTTTGCGCAATCCTTCCACCTTCATGCAGACGCTATCGAACCATTCAATAGCCTTCTTGGCTTTAGCTTCACCTTGCTCTGCTCTCTGGCATTCAGCGGCGTGTGTTTCAAGCGTCGCTCTGAATTTCTCCTTCACATCCCAAGAAGCAAGTCGAAGCACTTTGCGTGTCTCGCGCTCGACACGCACTTGATGCACTTCATTGTAATTGTCTGATGTGCTATCAATTGAAAGCGATGGCTCAGCTGATGATTCCAGCGACTTCTTGATCGATGTACCGATCGTCTTTGGTATCATTCTTGGCAGCTCATAGATGTAATAAGTAGCGGCACCGAAGACTAAGAAAATGAGTGACTACTTCACGACAAAAAAATATACTCACCCAAAACGCCAACTGCAGGTGCAGCCCATTGACGTACTCTATCGGATCCCCACAAGTTGCTGATCCTAACAGCACCCTCTACAAATCCTCTCATACCCATCGTCTTGCCACCGACCATTGTGATAGCACCAACTGCAAGACTGAGGGCACCCAAAATCGAACTCTCCTCCTGCTCTTCATCTACCTTACTATCCTCAACCTTTTTAAAGATGAGAAATTGCGTTGTGTTAAATATTTCGCGAGGTGAGATATCAAGGTTGTGAGCCTTCTGTGAAAGTTTTATACCAACAGTTGATGTGTTGACCTTGGAACGTGACTTGAACATGGCTTCTTTCACGAACACTCTCTTCACACGATCTACGCCTTCAGGAAGAGCATCGTTGCCAATGCTTTGAACGTGCCTTACTTGCTGTCCAGTCACGTCCCTGACGTGGTTTTCGATATCGTGGACGGTGAGATCGAGCGATTGAAGCAAAGCATGTTTAACAGCACGCGCGTATGGGTATATAGATAAAATTCCTTCGTAAATTGGCATACTAACTTTGTCCGAAGCTAATCTACCGTTAGCAATTTCGTTGAGTGCAATTTCAATTTCATTCTTTGTGTACTTGCCGAGTGTTTCCACAGCTTCGTTCTCTATTCTTTCCAACTCGTCTTGTAAACTTTCTCTCTTCTTCCGCATCATATCGAGTATTGGTTTGACACGTATGAGCTCTTTCTTTGCCATCTCCAATTCCTCATCAGCTACTTTTACATTAGCCTTTGATAGCAAGTTCACATCTGAGAGGAGATGAGTCAGGAATCTGGCTGCTGGTGCCAGCTTTGACTTTTGGCGATTGAAGAGTACAAAATTTCTCAATGAATCTTCGAGTCTAGCGAAACGAGACGCGTTGTCTGCATCTTGGTCGACCTCGACAGCGGTTGAATCGACAAAGTGAACAAGCTCCTCCCTGTCAACCCAAGTTTCATTGGAGATACTCTTGAGTTGATCGAGTACACCTTTCTTACATTTCTCTTTATTTCTTTCACTGATTCTGTCCCATCCATTGACAACGCAGAACACGCAAGCTTTTTCATGACTAGCCTGTACTAAAAACTCCTTAGCTGAAAGAGTCAATCTATTTTCAGCGCTAAGAACGAAAACAACTACGTCAATTTCCTCTTGACGTGCGAAGAGAGCGGTTGTCGAGAGTGTGTCGAGGTTGAGACCAGGAGCGTCTATCAGTGAGATGGAAACTGTACCATTAGAGAGCAAGCTGTTATGAGCAGCCCTAGGATCATTTAAATAAACTTTAAGAAGTGGCGGATTTGGATTTGTTTCGTTCTCTTCGCAGAGTACCTCAAGGTCTTCAAGTGAGTGAGGCTTGAAGGTGGATGAATCAGTTGGCGAGTAAGAATCTTTGACGCTTTTGATAAGATGAACTTGTTCAATCTTTTCTGGGTGCTCCTCAACTGGATGCACTTCACAGAACAGTGTGGTCGTTGGGAGTTGATTGGAAGGCATGACGTTACGTCTGAGGATAGCATTGACGAAAGTCGATTTACCGCTATTCAAATCACCAGTGACAAGAACTTTGGAGGAGGTGTCCTTGATTCTGGTTGATAAGGCATCGAGGTGCTGTGAAGATTTTGACAATCTGGAGTCAAGGAGGGTAGCTATTGATGATTTTTCAAGGCTATTGACGAGAGCAGAAGGATGTGCTGATGATGAGCCGAGTTTCAAGTCCAATTTGAGAACTTGGATTTCATTTGGATTAGCTACAACGCTTTGGTTGACACCTGGCTGGGAAGTATCATCGAAGGAAACAGTTCTATGGAGTGAATTGGATTGCTGTTGTGTAGATGCAGCGCCAACGTCTAAACCAGGATAATGCATCATCCATGCGGATGAGTTAAAGTTCTGAACATCTGACAGTAAAGACTTTGTGCCACCGATAGTGGTTAGGAGTCTGAGAGTTACGTGAGCACACTTTAATGCCGCGCGAATCGTACAAACCTTTCCTTTGTGGATTCGTAGACTCTTGAGGCTTCTTCACCCCATCCGGGTCTAGCCATATCTTCATGAGGGCTGAAAGAAGCAGTACAAGTATTCTCACAGGCAGCTAAACCTTTATCAACGTCCTTGTAGACGCCTGACTGCATTATTATATTGTCTGATGTTCGATGGGTGATTACAAGAGGAGATCCATTGAAATTTGGAGTTCGAGGGCTGAGATTGGCTTTTTGCTAGGAAATTAAAAAAGGAGTCCTTACGAGTGAATCTTTTGCCTGAAATTACGCTTTAAATTCGCTCTCAAAGTCTCAACACCCCTTTCGTTGCACCTTGCCACTTTCGGTTGATTCAGATTACAGACGTAGACTGGGTTGGCTTCGATTTATATTTTAAAATAAGCCATACTTAAACCTTACATACTGAAGATCGACTACAAATTTAATCGATATTTTTTATCTCGCCGGGATTCGAACGCAAAACTCTGCGACTGCAGACCAAAAAAGAGATTGCAGCTAGTTGCTGAGATTCCAGAAATTATTAAAGCGCTTCGTAGTGGTCGACGGCCCGGGCACGTGAATCTAGGAAAAGGCAAGATGTGCATTCGTTGACCGCCAACCCACGCGCTATAGTGAATCTTACAAATTTTTTCACTTAATATTTAAAATTTGAGCATTTTTAATAAGTTTAAGAATCCCATTAAGAAAAGCCCAATTGAACTGGATCCCAGGACATGTGGATATTTAAGGTAACTAAATAGCGGACAGAATAGCTAACGAGGGTAGGACACAGCCGACCCACTGGAATGTGTGGAGTAACCTAAAACTCAAAACTTCATACACACCAATGCGACGCAGAATGCGCGAGCACTGTACAACACCCCTAAAATTAGAAGCCTCCAAAATTTCAGACTTTAAGTCCAACGCCGCAAAAAATCAGCTGGAAGGCTAACAGCAGCAAAAACGGCCAATATACTCAATGAACTGCCCATAGCAACGAGATGCCTAGCCACCCAGCTACGCTCAGGGCATTTCCCTACGAATAAGTCCTACTGCGACCGTTTCCGACTGATAGATTCACCTAAATGCAGTGCGTGTGGCACAGAGAACACCATCTCGCATGGATTCTTCATTGAAAAGACATAAAATAGCCAGAATTACATTGAGAAGAAAGATTACCAAGATCAATATTCGGTTCGAATTGGGTCCATTACTCAGAAACGCACACTCTCTAAAAGCCCTTTACGAGTTCCTCAAATCGCAATTGACTACGTACCGAAGATACTCCGGTGGTTCAGCGTAACTGAGAACCACCAACAATTTACAAATTAAGGCGCTAGTCAAGAATGCTTCCAGTAAATTCAGCAAGCCCTTTGACTCCTCATGCTTTAAGAAGTATTTATGGACGTAGTTTTAACTATTTACCGTCTTAAAAATGTATTCAGATTTCATCACCAAAGAATACAATTGATAAGTATAGATAGTTCTTAATTTTGAAGACTTTGGGATTGTATCCTATACTTTCTCTTATCTTCCAAGTGGGATTGTCTAAAGGGATATGATTGGCTAGAGCGTCTGGCCGTGAATAAGTGGACAAACGACGTCACCACAAATTTTGCATTGCAGAGTGAAAGTCATCAAGCAAAATCGAACTAAGTTTAAGATGTATAAAAGACCCGTGACACAGCATATATACAAACAATTGCAAATCATCTAAGGCAGCATGAATGTTTTTTATAGTCACAAATCTAAGTAAACTAAAAGTTGGTATGCATTCAACTACCCACACTGCAGATCGAGGGGATGAATGCGATAACAAGGGCATTAAGAAATAGTAAAAAAAAACTTAAACGATTACACTGTGATTATTCAGCAATGTTTAGGAGTGAATCAAGGGGAGAATTGAACATCATCGATCGATTTAAGGCACGATCATGAATGACCCCGAAGTGTTTGAGTGATATTAATAAGTACATGGACATGAATCAGATGATATTTGGTTGCCGGTATTGCTGTAAAGGCATATCACTCAAAGGAACGCACTGACCGGTGGGTGAATGCCTCCGTGCAGTTTAATCGCATGTATTGGTATCCAAGACGAGTTAGTTTAAATGGCCGTAATAGATTTACAGGACTTTAAAATTCACGATACATAGTATAAAAGACCTGCCGATGTGATGTTGATCGACGCGACGACCTCCACTCTTGTTTTATGTGTTGGAGTAGTTGATGTGGAGGTGACTGAGATTTAGATCAAAATGAAAGTTATAGCACGCTGTAACACGCTACAATGTGCTTCGATAATTTACTAGTATTCCAAATTGAGTAAATGAGTTACATTCCTGAGAATTTGATTTGAACATGGTAGATTTACTAGCTGTATCAATCGAATGCATCTAAGGCCATCTTGAAGCTTTATTTACTTGTTTGCTGCGTGTGTAACTGAATCATCGGACTGAGATTCGGAAAGATGGTGACAAGTGCAGAGTGGGTGTTGGATTGTGCTATATCTAATCCCTAAGCTCTTCAAAGGATTTTATAAATTTTACACAAATTTCTGTTTATTCCTTCAAATCCACCGTTACACCTTCTCGAGACTAAACTACGACATGGGATGGCCAAAATTATCTAAAAATAGTAGAGATTCAAGAGAATCAAGCAAGGATAGGAGCTCTTCGAAAGGTCCTCAAGTTCCTCCACTTCCACCTGATTTAGCCCAAGAAGCTGCATCTGCGAATGGTCCACCTCGTGAGGAGCTTTTAGCCAATCAAGTGCCTTATCAGCTGACTTAAATAGCCCCACATCTTTCACGTCCTTTGGCAGCTCCAAAGCCTCAAAGGTTAATGCCATCGGTGAGTGTTTGCGAGTGTTAACACATCATCACCATTTCTGACTTGAGTCCTTCAGATTCCACAGGATGTTAGTTAAGCTTATAAAACGCGTGAATACTCTCACACTCCCCCTTTCAGATGGCTTACAATCTCGAAAATCAGTCCAATTCAACAAATTCTGGTGTTAGTGATAAAAATAGTTCACTTAACTCGTCTTTCAACGATCTAAACGTTGATATTCCCGATAGAGGCCAATCATTAGCAAATTCAGCTGCTCAGAATCATTCCTCACCAAATTCAAACTCTAACTCTAATCCAAACGTTTCTTTAAACCTAAATGAGACTTCCCCTGCATCTATTTACATGTCTCCTCCTTCTTTCTCTCCCTCAATGCTTTACCCAGCAAGAAACGCATCCACTAATGGCCCTCCTTCGATTACTGTCTCTCTACCTGACTTGAACACCCTAATCGATATGAAAGGTAAACAGTCTCAACCTGCTGATTTACTCGAGTGGTCAAAAGATGTTTTGTCTTTTGTTGAGCGTAGAGAGCGCACTCTTTCTGTCACTGGTGTTCCATTCGACAGACGTAATCACGATGAAGAAGCTCAAATCGCGCCATTGGTTGATCATGCCGTTCAAGTCATCTTGACCTTAGCTGCTTCTTCAAACTCAACACCAAAATCTGTTCTCATTGAAGCTATGTACTTCCGCGCAGATATGACTGCTTCCGGCGCATACTCGGATCACAGACCAAGAGACCCAAGAGCTGCTTTCAGAGACTTTGAATCATCGGCTAAAGGTGGTTTTGCTGCTGCTTGGTTTAAAATTGGAAGGGAGTACGAACAAGTTCCGGACATTGGTCGCGCTGTAGATGCTTATCAACGTGGTGTGAAAGCTAGTGACTGTTCTTCCTTATATGTGAGCTGAATAGTCTATCATAAACTCCTTCTAACACGATTAAAGCGTATCGGTACTGCTTATTTGCTCGGTCAACTCAATTTACCTCAAGATCCTCATAAAGCTATTCCGCTTCTTAGACAGGCAGCTGAAAGAGCTAATATTGATCAACCAAATCCTGCTTACGTTTTCGGTATGATACTGGCTGGAGAATACGATCACGTTTCAATCGATCAAGCTCTTTTGAGCTCTTCAACAGATAAACCACCTACTATTGAAGCAAAGTTATTCTTAGAAAGAGCTGCCTACTATCTCTATCCACCTGCTCTTTATAAAATGGGACTAAACCATGAATTCGCTTTGCAGGGATGTCAATTTGATCCATTACTGTCGATACAGTACTACTCAAAAGCATCCGAGCTAGGAGAGTTTGAAGCTGATATGGCGTTATCAAAGTGGTTCCTTTGTGGCCACGAAGGTGCATTCATGAAGGATGAGAAATTGGCATTTACATTTGCTGAGAAAGCTGCAAGAGGTAACTTACCATCAGCAGAATTTGCATTAGGATACTATTACGAAGTTGGAGTTGGTGGAATGATTGATTTGAATCAAGCCAAAAAGTGGTATGCTCGAGCAGCAGAACATGGAAATGATGAATCAGCCTCTAGATTGGCAGCATTAGAAGACGCTCATCCAATGTCTAGAGATGATCACAATGAGATAGTGGGTAGTAGGTTAGTACGTCGTCGCACGCAAGCCAAGAAAGAATCAGAGACTTCCGAAGCGAGCAGACAGAAGCCGCAGACTGAGGCAGTTGGACAAGGACAGGGGCAAGAGAGTAGTGATGTGCAAGGAAGCACGAGTGCGCCACAGACGGCGGAAGCAGGTTTTGGATCGCCGCAATATTACAACGCGCATCAAAGCATTCAACCCATGCCGCAAGTGCCAGATGTAGGACAAGGAATGCCACCACCAACAATGCCTGAAGGAATGACTCATAATCAGCTACTATCACAAGGACCAACACAGGTACCACAGCCACCACCACAACTTAGTATACCAGCCAATGTGCCGAGGTACTCACTGGTAGATGCACCAACACCAATACAAGATTCAGCGCAAACAAACTCGAGCAGGCTACCATCACCCCAAGTGAATAGTAATGAACGGAAGCCATCAAGCGCGACTCGACCATTGCAACGGCCAGTCAAAGGACCAGCAACATTTAATGAAATGGGTATAACAGTGGGTACAGCTAAAAAGGACCCTGATTGTGTAATTATGTAGACAATAGATTTAAATAATTTTTTAATTTCCTAAAAGTCTTAATTTCCAATTTCGTAAACGAACTTGAGGCGATACCATCATCAGATCGATAATTATAAATGTGAGTTTGGCGTGGAAAATGGAGGTAAAAGCGCGTATTTACACATTACAGGAGCGTTACACTTGAACCAGCCAAAGAGCTCATCTTTCCACGTACGTTTTGAACCACCTAAAGCCGTTCAACTCTAATCGACTACTAAAAAGGTCCGCTTGCATCTCCAGATGTAAAGGTTGGCACTGCGATTGATAAGCAAATGCTCAAAATCAAGAACCCTGTAAGTTTCCTAAGCTTTCGAGGTTTCTGGTATATCTAACAGCTAACATCGTAGACGGCAACTCCAGTGGCTTTCAAGGTTAAGACTACAGCTCCACGCGTGAGTTTGTCAGTTGAGATAGGCTCAACGCTCGCTCACACTCCTCTAAGAGCTACTGCGTCCGCCCAAACGCTGGAAGAATAGAACCTGGCCAGACTATCGATATACAAGGTGCGATCTTACGGAAATGGAAGCTCACAGCTTACACGACTTATAGTACTCGTACAAGCTGTCAAGGAAGCACCCCCACCAGGTACGAAATGCAAGGATAAGTTCCTTGTGCAGTCCGTGCACATCAACGAATCTAGGCAATCCCTCTCAGTCGCTGATTTTGTGGGTACATTGCTCATATTTGACTCGTTTAACGCGTTATTAGTGGTCACAAATCGAGCGTGAGGACAAGACAGCCGTCATCGAGCAAAAGATACGCTGCAATTGGAAATCAACTCAATTTGAGACTGTCGGCGAAGAAGAGCCTCCATCTGACAGCAATGCCCGTTCAAGTGTGAGTATGATTACTTTCACGATATTCAACGTTAACTTGGGTTTAGTCCACACAGAATGGATCTCAAGGTGCCCCATTCATCGCAGCTACTCCTTATCAACAGGCCTCAGAATTGCCTCAAGAATCTACTCCATCTTCTCATTTGCCGCCCGTACCTGAGACTGACATTAAGAGGGGATTAGGTTTAGACAATAGTGAAACATTAGCAGGTGCAAAGAAGCGCATTGAGGCGTTGGAGTATGAGCTTACTCAGGCAAAGAAATCATCCTCGGGATACTCCACAGCTACAGCTACCAAGGAAGTACATGACGGAATTTCAATGCCAATGGTTGCTGGTATTGCGATATCAGTATTCATCATTACTTACCTCTTCCTCTAAGAGGATTGTTTCTTGGAAATCGCGATAACCAACGGTCGTCGTACTCGCTCACATCATTTTCAATATCGCCTCACTAACGTACACTCAACAAACGCCGTTTTGCTCCATATTTCTTGGCTGTGCTTGTCATCCATCTACAGGTAGCTGGACACACTCATTTTTACTCTACTTTCCCATATTTCCCTATTCTTCCATATTCATTGTGTCAAAATTTTCCACATTACAAATAAAATCCAACATGAATTGTTGTTCGAACAGAGACTAAAGTTGTTTATACAAATACATTACATTCTAATTGACTTACTCGTTTTCATCGGCTTTGTTTTTCTCAACGATGGCGACTGACGCGGATTTGTTATCGTCGGTAGATTTCTCGGTTTTGGAAAATGCGCCAACGCTACCAACGCATTCATCGGAGTACACAGATCCATTGATACTGGATAGCGTTGATAGTCTCAACATCAACCTCGACGGTTTAGATCACTCTTTATTCGCCCCACCACCAGCAGAGACTCAAATAAGGAACAAGTCATTCTTCAGCGTTGACAGTGGCCATATACCCACATCAATAGGCTCTTTACCACGCTTCCGCAAGAATGCTGACGTAGAAGCAGATCCGAGCTCGCACCACAATCAGCAGATAGGCGGGATGGGTGACAGCCTGTTATCTTCGCAGTTCAGATTCTACACCAGCCAGCCAATAGTGCAGTCATCACGAGCGAAATGTTTAGTTAACAGCGTTGCGACAATCGCAGGTATAAATTCAGGTTCACCAATTGACAGCTTGTCTATACAATTTGCTAGGTATGCAGGCATACAGTATGACACACTGTTTCCTGCTGTGCAAGTCGAAGACAGCTTCGGGAATGTGTTGGATGTCGTCGGACAAGTGAGCGTGCCTTTCCAGCTGCGCAAGATTGAGGAAGAGAGGTTGTTCGCAGTGATAAACACTCCGCGCAGCTTTGTTAGTCTCGGTATGCCCTTCCTCAGCAACCACAATCTAGACATAGACTGGAAGTGCAAGACATTCTCGACCGCGAAAGCGGTGAGTAAGGAGTGGAAGCGGAGGAAGAAGGAGGAGAGAAGGCTGCTCGCTGAGAAGGAGCATGCGCAGCAGGCGGAGAAGGACGCAGACGTGCTCAGCCACGAAGCGAGGATGCGCGAGTTGGATCGGATGATGAAGAAGCGCGAAAGAGAGAGCAGCCTTACAGATCAAATTCTTGGAACAGACCGGGTTGCTCAAAGTAGACCCTCCGCGGTGGCTCAGATACGTGATAGAGACAATAAAATCAGAAACACCAATGAGACTCAAGCGAGAAATAAGAGAGAGAAATTCAGGAAGCCAAACAATGAGCATGATATTAAGCAGGGCAAGATGCAATTGAATAGACAGAACATTATACAGAACATTATGCAGAATAACAAGCAAGGACCTCAAAATGCAAATAAGCATGCGCGTGCTCATAACAGATTGTTCCAATTAATTACTAACCGCGCAAGTACGCCGCAATATACCCGAATGAGACAGCAGCCAACACGACCTACACAAATTGGACCAGAAGAAGGGGAAATTCGGGAAGCTGAAGATGGCGAGATTGTAGAAGGCGATCAAGGCGACAGAAGCCGGAGTAGTAGTATTGAAATCATAAGCAGCACTAACAGGAATAGGAACAGCCAAAGCAACTGTGTTAACCCAGGCAACCGTGTACACCAAAGCAATCATATCAACCGAACCCCAAGTAATCGTGTCAGCCAAAGCATGCATGTCAACCCAAGCCCAAGTAACTGCGTCAACCATAGCAAACAAAATGTTCAAACCGAACAAAATAACCAAAACAACAGTCCACGCACCCAAATTACACACAACACACAGAGTACATATAACACACACAACAACATCCAAGACAATTCACACGACGGCTCGATGGTTATTGACTTGACACTAGATGAAAGCGATGAGGATGCAAACAACGAAAAAGAAGAGCAGTTGGTTGTGCAGACTTTACAGTGGTAGATGGGACGTCGAGTTGTAAACATTTGGTCGAATTGTACAAAATAATTGTATTTTAAATTGTAATAACTGTTTCAAATCTTATCTACGTTATCAAGATGACGAAATTAGGTGACTTGTCACCCAATGCAGCCACTAGATCGTCCACTTGAGATCTATAAGAGTGTGGTAAGGTGAAGTAAGTGAGTAGACGCATTGAGCGGTTATCGAGTATTTTGATTTGATTGAGGAGTTGCTTAGGTAGAGCGCGAGGATTGAGGAAACCAGCTGGAGGTGGAGAAGGCAAGTTATCGTCGTCTTCAGAGTAGCTGCCATCGTCACTATCTGTCACACTGTGTGTTTCGCCCGGAGTACTACCTCCATCCACTTTAATACTCACGCCGCGCTCAAAGGATGCGTTTTTATGTTTGTCTAGAATCGCAGCTGCTTGTGTAAATGGATAGAAGGTGTTAGATTCCTGGAGGTGCTAAATCAGCTGATATTGCCACTTATGCATATTTCCACGCACAGCGTCTAGGAGATACGAAGGCTGATACGTGGCCTTGTATTTCATTTTCACGCAGTCGTGGATATAGTAGCCTGAGAGTGGGTTTGTGGAGTTAATTATGTTTTTTGACGCCTAAAATGCACTAAGACACCCACCCATGTACAGATCCACAGCACCTGCGCCTGCATTGCGCATTTCGAGTGCCAGTGCGACTTCAAATAACGCGCTGATCTGGGGATTTAGGGGAAAAGATAGGTCAGTAGCTCAAATAGCTCATATAAGTCAACCCACTTTGCCAAGATTGAGTGATTGGTACCCAGGATGGTACATGAGATAAACGGATGAGACACACTCGGGGAGGATATCCAAAACACCCATAGCTATCAGTTTACCATCGACCCGGTACACGTGATGGTATTGACCGTAGTGCGAAGGCATGCTCACTGGTCTGCCGTGTTTGTAGGTGATAGGTGAGTATTTGAGTGGGCCATCGACTAGGAACCTTTTGAAAGAATCCTTACGCTGCTCGGATATTGTCTCGTGATGTATAGACACCTGGTAAGCCTTGAACAGCTCAAATTTTTCGTCGGTGTAGCCAGCCCTCTCTAGAGAAACTTCTAGGTTGTGGTTGGCGTGGTTGTCATGCTGGGACTCCTTTACACATTCAAGCAAGTCAAATGTCTTATTTTTGCCTTTGTGTTTGTCTTTGGGTGCTGCTGTGGGTGTTGTTGTGGCTGCTGCGGTGTCTCCACCCTGCAAATCACCGCCAAATCTTATCCACCTATTAAACCTGTGCAGCTCCTGCCTGAGAGATCGCTGTGGTTTGAACGCTGCTGCGTCGAGTTTAATTGTGTATTGGGGGCAGCACGTGCGTGATCTGTCTGGGTTGTAGATATATCCACCACTCCTGCGCCACCCGCTATCGATAAGCTGTCTGTAGTCCTTTGAGACGCATTAGCGGGTCTCTATATGCATGTGCACTCTACCCACCTCACACGCCATCTGCACCGCCCAGAATCCATAGCTGTAGTTCTCCTCCTTCTCACTCCGTTGCCCGTCTCCCCCGCAATACCCGCAGCTACTCCCGCTGTATCCAATTGGTACGATTATCGATGACATCGTCGTTGAGATGGCGACGGGAAAAGGTAGATGAATTGAGATGATACAACAAAAAAAAACTCTATGACGTCATCAGTGTTATCGTAGATGGATGTAAAATGGGAATAAATACATAAAACAAGAATAAATACATAATACACATACATACAATCACACCTGCTGCTCATTAGCCAGCACCTTCTTAACGCCATTCAAAACAGGCTGGAGAGCCTGTCTGAGTACATCAGCCTCATGCACAGTCTGCGCCTTCTTGACAACTGCGTCGACTTTCGACGGTGTTTTCCTGATGAAATCCACCATACGATCCACTTTCCCCGTATCACGCGGCTGCGACAACTTACTGGACCAGTAGAGCCGGAGGAACTCAGTGCACGCCGTATGGCAGCTAATGGCAGCTTTCATAGCGTTAGAGGTGGCTACATGAGCAGCGCCAGTATCATGCGCGGCGATCTGAGCAGTCGAGCGCAATCCGTCCTCTATTTCGCGCGTGGCGGGTGTAGTATCGTGAATATCATCAGCGCGCACCAGCACATCCCACTCCTCCAAGCCCTCTCTGATGCTATGAGCAAGTTGGGCGGTGTCCAGCATGTGAGGCGTGTCAGACTGCAAAGCAGACGCGCCGCCCGCCTCTCCATCGAGTATCATATTTGTGTAGTACTGCTCGCGGTCCTTCATATTGAGGCGAACTGGCTGAGCCTCCTGGTGGTGCTCGAGATCATCGATGCGAATTTGCTGGGTGTAGTTGTCTTGCGCGCCCGACTCACCCTGTACACTTGGCGCATCGCCCACCGTCGCGCTGAGAAGACGCTGCGAATGCTCGTTGAAGCGACGCATGAGTGGCAGCGCTGCCTTTACTTTTCCCGCTTGCATGGTTATGTCGAGTGCGTTGCCGCTCGCGTCGTGGTCCGCTTGCGTGCTGCCAAGGTCGAGCAGACGGTCATAGACGCGGCGCTGTGCGTGGCGCGGCTCCAGCCCGTCATCTGCCTCCTCCAAATACTGGTCGAAGACGGGGTCGTTGCGCGCGTCATTCGCATCCACCCGTGAGCTCGCCCGATGACGCGCGAATAGATGTGAGTGAAAGTACCTTATCCAGAAATCTGATTCGGCGAGAGGATTAGGCACATTCTCTATAAAGGCTTTGCGCACAACGGGGTATTCTTGGAATATGTCTTGGACTAGTTGGGGAGTTATCGTTATTGTGAATTCACCGGCTTGGGAGGATGTCGGGCGAGGGTCAACTAGCGTGGATGGTTTGCCGGGCTTTTGGGATGCTGAGAGGTGCTCGAGTAGTAGCAGTTGCTGTCTGCCCTGCCAGAACTCGTCCTCTGTTATCACACCACCTATGACGAGATCTCTGTGTAGTTTAGCCAATTGAGGATCCTTTACAAGAACTTTCTTGCGAATTTCCAAGTCAACTTTGGAGAGACCGAGGCCAGGGTGGGGTGAAGTGGTAGCTGAGGTACCGGCAGAACCACTAACCTGACGATCAATCTGGCTACTGGCACGCGCTCTATTGCCCGCTATAGCCTGGGTTAACTGTTCTTTGGCCGCCTCTCGCTCAGACAAGGCGTTGGTGGGGTGGATAAAGGTGAACGTCAGCGACTGCTGTGGATCGAGCAGGTCAACTTTGAGTCTAACAGGCGTAGAGCCAGCTTTGCTAGCAAAGAGCGCTGGTGTACTTGATTAGACAGACACTACGCCTAGAGACGTGACCCACTATTCAACCTGTCGAAACCCACATGGAAGGAATTGAGGGATTTGAATTCAAAACCAGACTCAATTATCTTAAGAACACCTTCTTGCTTCTTGTACAAAACTTTAATTTCCATGGCTGTTGCTCTTGACGATACAAGCATGTCGAGGAAATTGGTTACATTCGATGTGGGTTGAGTGGCTCATGTAGCTCATATGTCTTATTATAAACACATAAAGTTCGATTGGTCTCTCTCCGAACAAGATACCGATCGCTGGGTATTCGAAGTCCTCGACCCGATCAAGAGAAGACAGATGAAATCACTCAAATCTTCCATCCAGTGGACTGATCTCGTTGCACTCAAGATGAAAGAGCTCCACGACGATGGAAAGTCCAGAGAAGAAATCGAAAACGCGCTCAAAGTGATGCCATTCCATCCAGCCATGAAAAGAGCCTTGGAGAACCTCAAACATCGCAATCCTGATGTAGATCTAGTCATTCTATCTAATAGCAACGAGGTCTACATCAGGACTATCCTCCAAGACAAGAAAATTTTACACCTCTTCGATGCTATTATAACTAATAAGGCAGAATGGTCATCGTCAGGCTGCCTTAATGTGAGCAGACGCGTCGATCCAAATGGTCCACAGCATGGTTGCAGCGTCGGCTGCTCACCAAATATGTGCAAGGGTAAGTAATTAAATTAATACAATGTTGTTGCTGACATCTATAAAAATACCAGGTGAAGAATTAGAAAGCTACGTTGCAGCTAAAGGTGGCTGGGACGCGTACAATCAGGTATTCTACGTCGGAGATGGTGGAAATGATTATTGTCCCTTGTTGCACCTCAGAAGTCAAGATACCGCGCTTGCAAGGTACCCACGTCCGTTGATAAATAGAATAGAGAAAGAAGGCAATTTGAAGTGTTCCGTGGTTAAATGGGTTGGAGCTTGGGAAGTTGAGGAGATTTTGGATAAACTTTGAATGCATCGCTTTGTAGTGCTCCTACTCAATTGGTATTTTCAACTAAAATCCAATTGTCAGATTTCTTCTTATGTAGCTTCTTGCGTGGTTGTTTGGTCTGAGCATGTGGGTGTGATTGTGGATGTGGTTGAGGATGTGGTTGGGAAAGTGGCTGCGGCTTAAACACCTGATCCTGTTGCTGCCCCTGTCCTTGCCCCGCGCCCAATACCCCCGATGTCTTTATAAAACGACTCAGTGCCGCGTAAAGTGATTCCAACGCTTCAAAAAGAAGCTCATTCGCTCTAGCCATACTCATAATACCAAACGCTGTAACTAACTCCGTACTAAGCTTATCCAAATACGCTCTCCTCGTTCTATCCAGCTCAAGCTCTAGGTTACGATCCCTAATACCAACCGCCTTATACGAAGTATAGATATCGATGTACATTTTATTAAATTTTGATATACTTTCTTTATTTTCAATGTAATTCCCAAGGTTCTCTGTCGCGTGTAGGATATCGTTGACCATGATGAGTGTTTTAGTTGAACCGTCTTTTATGTGTTAGAGTTGTTAGCATTGGTATTAGTAGAATTACCACCGCTAGTACCCTTCTGCATATCAATTCCAAGCTCCTTACGCGTCCACTCATTCGCTACGTTGCTGTACTGGCTAGCTCTTGACAAACCCTGTGACCAATAACTGGAAATGTTGTTCTTGTAGCCCTGTAAATCACGCTCTAGATTTGGATCAGCCAATTTGTCATCGACTGTGCCCTTTACTGCGCTCGCTGCACCACCCAAAGCTGAACTGAAGAATCCCCATCCCTTACTCACAGCCTGCATTGGATTATCTCTAAGCTCATCGATGGAAGGTACGTTATCTGAACTTGTATTGGATTGTGTCTGTGTCTGTGGCTGTGGTGTGCTACCAAATCCAGTATACTTACCACCTTGTGATGGTGGTAAGTCTGTTGATCTTGAATCGTTCTTTCTGCCCAATTTTTCAAAGTATTCTTCGTTTGCGTGGTGTGCATGGTGTGTCTGGGGTTCCTGAGTAGATGATGTTGCTCCTCCACTCACGTCATTCATACGCCTTCTCGTTCTCGTCTGCGAGCCACTGTCGCTGCCGCTGTTAGTGCGCGTGTAGGCTGGAGACTGAGCGGGCATCCACAGTCCCTTCTCTTTAGCCAGCGTGTTAATTTCCTCTCTGTATGCATCAACTTGCGCGTCCGTGTACTTGTCTTCGATTGGGGTATCGGCGGATAGTGTAGGTGAGTTTGCGATAAGTTGACGGAATTTCTCATTCCCGAAAAGCTCCATTCTTCCAGCTTGCTCTTCCTTCCAGGCGTCCATATTGGTTGATCTAATAAATGATATGTGTACACCCAATCCTCGGTGTTTCCCGGAACATTCTAGGCAGCAGAAAACACAATTGTTGAGACTGGCCCATTGTGGAGAAGGTGCATTACAATCAACGCAATTCTTGTTCTCTGGAAGGCGTAGTAGTGCTTTGATACGCTCGTTGGGAGAAGACATGATCGTCGTGAGAGAAAGAGAGTTCAGATATATTGTTATGTACAAACTAAAGACTTTCATTGCTTGAATTGTCGTGTTCGTGTTCGTGATCATTCTCTTGCTCTTGCTCCTGTTCCTGCTCATTCTCATCCTCTGTAAGCGCAGCCTCCTCCTGATCAACCTTATCAAGCACATCATAACCATCACCATCGGTAGCCTGAACGAGTGCTTGTACAGATTCAATCAGCTGTTTAACTGCTGGATGCCGCTGTCCATTAACCCCTTTCACTGCCAGTTTCTCATTCTCCAGCCTGTATATGTGCAATTTGGCATCCCGCAGTTCCTTCTCAAGTGTGGTTATGCGATCATTTGCAATCTTACCACGATATCTCAGTTCCTCATTATCCTTCTCGACTTTATTCAACTCTTCTTTCTTGTTTTTACGACTGCGTGCTGCGGCTATTCTCTGTTGTTCAAGACGCCTCTCGCGTTTCTCCTCCTCAGTGCCGAGATGAGCTTTTCTACCCTTCTTTTTGGGTCGGTCGTCATTATTGAAGCTGTTGCCGTTGCTAATGCTCTCTCTTTCTCTCTCTGTCGTTGCCTCTGAGGGTGCTCTTCCCACGCCGCCATCTACAGTCTCCAACGACTGGTATTGCTGTAGAAAACCGTTAACATCATAATCCTCGTCATCTTCATCTTCTGAGGGTAGTTTTGAAGACAACAGGTTTGTATTGATAAGGTGATTGTAGTCTGGGTATTCATTGGGGTATTCGCTGTACTCATTAAATTCATTATTGTAATCGTTTTTGTACTCATATTCCTGCGTTATCGGTAAAACATCTTCGTCGTCAGTCTTTACGCGCTTGTGACTTGGGGAAGAACGGACGCGTCTTCCAGAGCGAGTTTGTTGGGTGTATGGGTCATGCGATGGCTGACGCCTCTTTGGAGCATCCTGAGCAGTAGTGATCATCCCTTGTAAAACTGAAAACACCTGATCATCATCGTGGGTGTTTGTCTGCGTGGTTGTGCGTTTTGAAGTGGTAGTTGAGTTATGTGGTGCGTGTGCTACACTTGAAAACTGATTACCCTCTGGATTTAGCAGATTCTTTGCAATCGCAGCCAAGTCGTTGGAATAGTCCATCGAGGTGGAGGTGGAAGTGTGGATGAAAGAGTAATCGTATGTCTAGTTACGTGTATTTACGTGCATTTACGTGCATTTACGTGTATAAAACATATAAACGCGTTTGAATTACACATTTACTGTTAATTTAACAGATTCCCTTCAAAGTCAATAGCAAATTGATTGAATTACTAGTAGTATAGGTTTAGACTATTAAATTTCAAGCAAAACATTTGATTTAAAGAATTACAGTCATATGCACTATCCACACGCACCACCATTCACACGTGATCAACGTGATCCACGGCCATGGCATAAATCATACGTCGTGCATCTGCTAACCAAGCAATCACCATGGACATAAACATAATTATTCTAAGCGAGTTAGAAGACTTGCCTGTGAGATACACGCATATCTACAAGACTCAAGGGCTCCATGGCGTTGGAGAGTTGATTGAAAGCCTCAACGATCTAATAACCATCGCTAGCCTTTCGAATAAAGCAGGAACTTTACAACCAGCTACAAAGGATCGTATAAAGAGCAGTCTAGTGGAATGCTTGAATTGTAAGTGGATGTTTATATGTGGTGATTAACACATAACACACATCCAGTGGATATTCCAGTTTTGGAAATCGAAAGCTGTTGGGATACTGCTGTTGATAAGAAGATTATTTCATCTTAATCATATCCCCCCTTTTATACCCCTAATAACCTCTTGTACACTGTCTGCCATGGACTGCCATTCTGTTACCGTTAATTTGTCTGTCGCTGAGCCATTCCACCTCAGCAGCTCAAAGCAAGGCACTGAAGCCATCGAAGACATTCAATCACAGCTCAACCACCACCTCACGCATTACAAAGAACTGCACGCAGATTCAGACAAGTCAGTAGAAATAAACACTTCAAACAACGCAAAGAAAACTAAACAACAAAATATCAATCAAGATGATGACACTGAGTAGCTCATGCATCCGTAATACACCCATGACTCGCATCCCCGACGTTCTTTATGTACTTGTACAGTGTCTGTTGTTTGTTAATTATATCAGCAAATTTCTCAAAATATCTCTAAACTCACTCCTTGCGTTACTCTAGGCGATCTAGGCGTCCACTTGCTCTTCCTCTCCTTCAATGCCTCATCCGTGACATCAACGTGCAGTGTATTCTTAACCGCATCGATAGAGACTACATCTCCATCCTCAACCAGCGCTATTGGTCCGCCTTCATATGCCTCTGGTACTATATGACCTGTGACGAACCCATGTGATCCCCCTGAGAATCTTCCATCTGTCAAACAGGCTACGTCATTTCCAAGTCCATATCCCATCACTAACGACGTTGGTTTGAGCATCTCTGGCATACCTGGTCCTCCCTTTGGTCCGAGGTAGCGCAGTATAACTACAACCTTCTCCCCTTTCGTGAATGTACCCTGCTCAACTGCAGTAACGAAATCTTCCTCGTTGTCGAAACATCTCGCTTTGCCTGTGAAGTGGAGTCCCTCCTTACCTGTAATCTTGGAAACTGCTCCACCTGGTGCGAGGTTACCCTTGAGTATTCTTATGTGACCTGTCTCCTTGATTGGCTTTTCAATTGGTCTGATAATATCCTGATGTTCAGGCAAAGCGCCGTACTTGTGTTGCCATCTCTCAATGTTCTCGCCCATAGTTTTACCCGTGACGGTGAGAAGATCACCATTAATGTAATTCTTCTTAATTAGGTATCCTAGCACGTTTGGTATCCCACCGAGCGTCTGGAGATCTTCCATGACATACTGTCCAGATGGCTTGAGGTCAGCGATGAATGGCGTTTGCTCAGCAATCCGCTGAAAGTCATCGATAGTGACTGAAACACCGCATGAGTGTGCTACAGCAATCAAGTGCAGTACTGCATTAGTCGAGCCACCGAGTATCATAGTGAGAGTGATAGCATTATCGAAAGCCTCCTTAGTCATAATATCGCGAGGTTTTATATCATTCACCAGCAAGTTCATCATTGCATCGCCCACACTATCCGCCTCTGCCTTCTTCTCATCATATTCCGCAGGGAATGAGGAGCTACCAGGGAGAGTCATACCGAGAGCTTCAGCTGCAGATGCCATAGTGTTAGCGGTGTACATACCACCGCAAGCACCTGGACCTGGACAAGCGTTTCTGATAGTCTGGTAGCGCTTCTCCTCAGCCTGTTTCGTGGAATCCTCATTCAAGTACTTTCCGTAGGCCTGGAACGCACTGATAATGTCGAGCTTCTCTCCACCACACTGGCCAGGCTTGATAGTACCCCCGTAAACCATCAAACCGGGTCTGTTGAGTCTACCGAGCGCCATGAGTACACCGGGCATGTTCTTATCGCAGCCTGGCACGACTACCATACCGTCTAGCCAGTGACCGCCTGCAGTGGATTCGACAGCGTCTGCGATCAAATCGCGTGATTGGAGTGAGTAGGCCATCCCAAAAGTGCCATTCGAGATACCGTCACTGACACCGGGAGCTCCGAAGTGGTAACCTGTGATGCCTGCATTTGAAATACTCTTCTTAATCCTCTGGCCCAATCCGAGAAGATGCGCATTGCAGGGATTTCCCTCGTACCAAATCGAGCCAACGCCAACCATGGGCTTTTGGAGGTCCTTGTCAGTTTCAATTCCCTCTGTAGCGTAGAGCATTGCCTGGTGGGGCGAGTGAGTCATGAGGCAGCGCAGTGCACAAACCAAGACGCACCTGTGAAGCACCCTGGGATTTAGGCTCAGTTACCATATAAGAGTACTTGTTGAGCCTGTTGAGCCTACTGCTCGTGCTTATTCCACGCTTGATCATCATCGTGCAAAACAATGGAGAAAATGTCTCTAAATCGTCGACCAATAGGAAATTTTATTTTATACATCAAACTCTACAATTGTCGAGGGCAATGACGAGAATGTCGTGTGCACCGCTGTTTTCTAAGCCATCCATCGATTCGGCCAGGTGCTTCCTCTCGACCATCGAAGACACAGCAACCCAGCCGTCGTCCTCGAGTGGGCTCACAGTGGGTGCTCTTCTACCTGGAGTATAAGTGATAGCAGATTCGAGATGCTTACGCTCAATGTTGTAGTTGCATAGTACATATCTACCGGCAGCCATAACACCTTTGATACGCGAGAGAATTTTCTTGATGAGCAACTCATGCGCATTGTTCTGTACCTTCTTGTTAGACTGGATGAGTACAGCCTCGGAAGACATGAGAGTGTGGATAGCGTGCAATCCAGCAGCGCGCATTGTTTCACCACTCTCCACCAGATCGACAATGGCATCAGCGACACCGAGCGTGCACGCTGCTTCTACGCTACCATCGAGGTACTCCACCTTGGTCTCCTTTCCATCCCCTCTCTGTGCATCTTGAGAAGCGAAAAATTTCCCAGCGAGGAGGTCAAACGAGGTACCAATAGTTTTGCCAGCAAGATCAGCAAGTGATTGGAGAGGACCTCTCTCAGGAGTTTGGATCTGCAAATTACACTTACCGAAGCCGAGAGGAAGAACTTCAGTGACGAGGTTCTCTACGTTGGCTTCAGCGATCATGTCTTGGCCGGTGATACCGAGAGCGACATTGCCCTCACCGACAAAGCGGGGAATGTCAGATGCAGGTAAGAAGACGCTTCGTGGGTGTGAGAGTGCAAGTTACGGGTACAAGTCAACGACGCACAGAGCCAAATTGTGATTGCGTGATAAAGCAATATCGAGTCTATTCGAGCGAGTGAATTGAATATCAGCGCCAGATAACAGCTCCATGCATTTCTGGTTTAGGCGTCCTATAAGCAGCAGCAGCTGCAGCCTTAGAAAGAAAGAAAGCAATTAAACGATAGAAATACCCTTTTTTGGAATAGCAAATAGTAATCTGCCCTTGAGTGACTCGGATAGCAAATCCATGTTGGTGTTGGTGGTTTGGTTAGTGAAGAAGTTCTCCCATCAGTGATATGAATAGCAGCGATCACATCCGAGTGGAATCTCCCGCAGACTTCCATTGCCATCTTAGACAGGGCGACATGGCTAGCCTCGTCACTCCGCTTGTACCCGCTGGCGGCGTTGAAACGTGCTTGGTGATGGTGTGTTGAATGTCTATCGGGAAAGAACGCGAATTCTAAGCTATCACAGCCAAACACACAGCCACCAATTACCAGCACCGATATGGCTGTTAATTACCGCTCACAGCTCGAATCACTAGCACCGGAAGTGCAATTCGTCATGACTCTCTACTTATCACCCGCACTTACACCAGAAGAGATACACAAAGCAGCTGAAAATGGTGTTACAGGTGGGCTTTACCTGCTTAACCTCTTTTTCGCACTAAAAATACATCCAGGCGTCAAGAGCTACCCACGCGGTGTGACTACAAATTCAGACGGCGGGATCGAATCATACGATGTGTATTACCCTGTATTCCAAGCTATGCAAGATACAGGCATGGTTTTGAACCTACACGGCGAAGTTCCCTCAGATGAAGCCACAGGCGTGACCATCCTCAATGCCGAGCAACGTTTCCTTCCACAGCTGGACAAACTCGCTCACTCCTTCCCTAATCTCCGCATAGTCGTTGAGCACGCCACTACAAAGGCTGCCGTCGAAAAGGTAAAATCCCTCCCCTCAAACGTTGGCTGTTCGATAACACCGCACCATCTCGAGCTCATCGTCGATGACTGGGCAGGCCAGGGCTTTAACTACTGCAAGCCCGTAGCAAAGTATTGGGAAGACCGGGCAGCGTTGCGGGACGTTATAAGAGAGGGTGTGTTTGGTGTTGATGGATGAAGATTTTCATCTAATTTTACTATAGGTCATCCACGCTTCTTCTTGGGATCAGACTCAGCGCCACATCCACGCGCGAACAAAATTAACAAGGCGCCAAGGCTGGATGAGCACTTGGAAGCTGTACCTGCGTGTGCTTGCGCAGCTGGTTTGTTCACGTCAGCCATACTCATTCCGCTGTGCGCCCACCTTTTGGAGTCATTCGGCGCGCTCGATAAGCTTGAAGGTTTTGTGAGTAAGAACGGCAGGGCATTTTACAATATAGCCCCCAAGACGGATAAAGCGGTGACGCTGGTGAAGCAAGACACAACGGTTCCTGTCGAGTACACGAAAAGCAATGGGGAAGGTGACAGCGTAGTTGTACCATTCATGGCAGGGAAGACAATAAAGTGGCAGCTGTTGTAGATACAAGATAATATTCACCTTTTGCTTCTTTCTTTGTGACACTGATGGCGCAGACACAGACAGTGCCTAATTTTGATAAATTTAATTTCCAGTTGGAGAGATTTGCTAAGCAGGAGCTGGGATTGAAGCTGGATAGAGGTTAGTGTTGACTGAGTAAGCTGAGCACACACTCACACACCCAAGATACGCAGATATGCCAGGATAACCTCACAGCGACGGGATGTCCACGCGGCTACAGCTGTCCTTATCGGCATACAGATCCCGCGCCGAAGAATTTCGAGCCATTGCCGCTGCTGCCCACCAACATACGCGAGAGAGAGTAAGTTGGGAGAAGACGTAGTCATCACTGACATCCCGATAGGCGCGCTGTTACAGTCTGCAAGCACTGGCTTAGGGGTTTGTGCAAGAAGGGCGACGCTTGCGAGTTCCTCCACGAATATGACCTCAGGAAGATGCCTGAATGCTGGTGGTTTGTGAAATGGGGGTGGTGCGCTAACGGAGAAGAATGTCTATACAGACATACAAGCAAGGAGGGTCGTAAGAACGAGTGCCCAGAGTACTTGCGCGGTTTTTGCAAAAGAGGTCCTTTCTGTCCATTCAAGCACGTACGGCGAGCTGCATGTGCAGCGTATCTTGCTGGTTATTGTCCAGATGGTCCTGAATGTGGACTTGGACAGTGGGTAGCTTGTTTACCCTCAAACCTCCCCTTTTAACACGCTTAATAGTCCAAAATCAACACTACCAAAGCCATACAGCCTAGAAGACGCAGATCCACCACCAGTACCTGATCCTGAACTCGGACCTCCACCTGGATACATGGGTTACTCATATGAGAGAGGACCTTGGGAGTCGCGTAGATTCGGTGCAGGCTTTGGTGGTGAGCCTGGTCAAGGAATCGCGCATGGAATTGGTCCAGGTGGAGTGAGTCATGGTAGACCACAGTCTTATAAAGGAGAGAAGATGGTTATGCCGAATAGTGGATCAGGCCCTGGAGAGCCTTTCATCAGAAATGTAAATCAGAAGCCACGGGACAGTCAAAATGCACAAGTGCGACGTGGATTAGAGAACATATTGTGCTTCAAGTGTGGACAGCACGGCCACTACGCCAATCAATGTCCAAATAAGATGGCACAAGGACGTGAGTTTGATGGTCTACGTGGGTGCATACACACTAATACTTGTCAACAGGACAAAGACAGCCGCAGAACTGAGAAATAGAATTAAAATAATGAAAATTGTTTAAAATGTAAAAATATATGTTTGTTTGATACCGTCATCATGAATACCGTCATTGAAGATGAACGGAACGCACACGCAGAGATAGACAAGTATGAGGATTATTTGGTGGAATTATTCTTAGATACTGCTAAAGGCGTGGGTGGCTGGCTAAATCACGGGCAAAGAACATGGACTGACGGACTCACCCACAGCAAAAGAAGCAAATGGCGCAGAAGCATCAAATGTCTAAAATTACGTCGAGGATGATCGCAAGGAGGGAATTCCTTAAGAAATCATACAAATCGAATGAAAGAGAGGAAGAATTGACGATAATTGGAACTTCACAGGTCGCAGACGATTTAAATGGCTTCTACGATAGGCTGTCATCTATCAAAGATTACCATAGAAACAACCCAAACACTCCGATTGACCCTTTCGCAATGGAATTGGATGGTTTCACAGAGGAGCTCGATAATGACGCTATCAGCTCAGTCTTCTCCGGTGAGGAAGCTTACGGGAAATACCTCGATTTACATCTCCCACACGAACAATATATTAACCTCAAAAACATCCCAAAGAGGCTCAATTACCTCGAATTCCTCGATGATTACGAGCAGGTTGAGGATTTACCTCTTCTTGTAAAGAGACAATCAAGCTATGCTGACTACCTCAATTCCTTAGTCTCCTACCTCGAATCTTTCCTTCACCGTTCAAGGCCATTAGATGATTACAGCGCTATTCAAGCTGACGCTTTATCTAAATTCGACGAGCAATGGAAGTCTGGAACAGCTCCTGGTTGGTCCAAGCAGGAAGATGAATCAGTCGAACAGGGCATCTGGGATCCCGTCATGCAGCGTACCTACACCAACGTTAATGTCTACAACAACGTAAAAAAGTCAAAAAAATATCAAAATGCTCTAAAGAGATTGGAGCAGAGTGGTGAATCCACTCAACCATCTTCAGCAGATTCTCATACTCCCCCTCATACTCACGGCGACAAGCTATCCCTGTTGAGAAAATCTAAAGACAGGACACTAGCTTCTCAAGAAGCACTAATAAGACTATATGCAACTATATTAGCGGGTGTAAGAAAGGACACAAAAGCAGAAGTTGAACGCAAGTCGGCACTCACTGCACGTGAGAGAGAGCAAGAACTCGAAGAAGCCGAGTACGAGGAGTACAAAGCCAATCCGATGGAGCAGGTTGTTGAAGAGGAGAAAGATGACGAAGGCAAAATCTACAATCCACTCAAACTACCACTCGGTTGGGATGGTAAGCCAATACCTTTCTGGCTCTTCAAGCTGCATGGTTTAGGTGTAGAGTATGAGTGTGAGATCTGCTCTGGTAAGGTCTACAACGGGCGCAAAAACTTTGAAAAGCATTTCCAAGAAGGCACACATGCGTACGGTATGCGAGCACTCGGTTTGCCCAACACGAAGCATTTCCATGAAATAACAAAAATCGCTGATGCTTTGGCGCTGGCTGAGAAGCTCAAGTTACAGGGTAGACAGGAGAGCCAAGCTAGTGCTACAGTGGAAGAGATGGAGGATGATCAAGGCAATGTGTATGACATCAAGACGTATAATCAACTCAAGAAGCAGGGTTTGTTGTGATGATGTCGTGTTTATTTATCTGTTGATTTCATACATGTTGAGCTTTCTATGTCTTTATTTAAATGGCAATCATCTTATTTGCCCTGCGCCTTCTCCCAAATTTTGTCATTGATACCGAGTCTATTGCGAGCAATCTCGACAGCGTAGAAATGCATCCTGGTTACGAACATTGTGTTATGTTCCGAATACTCTCCTCTAGCATCTGCGCGTAAAAGACAACCAAAGTTGTAGAAGTCGACCTTCTTCTCGAATCTGGAAGCCAATCAGCCAAACAATGCGAGTGATAACATTGAACACACTGCATAATCCAGTTTCTCCATCTTTCCTTGCCCTTGGCTGACTTCATATCGTCTTCATTCAATTTGATGATATTGTCCCCCTGCAGCTCTGGGAAGGATTCGTAGAACGATGCGAGAATCTCATCATCAATCGGTGTCAGCTTGAGTAGAGATGGTTTGATCTTGGTTATCAAGTTCCAGTACACATCCGAGTGCTCAACTGCCGCTACTGCGAATTGCTTCTCGAGCTGGACGTATGCGTTTACGTTGAGATAATATATTTTACTTAAAGCGCCCCACTCACATCATCCAAATTACCCGCTGTCTCCGCGTTGAAATCCTTTGGTGCTGGTACCGATACTGACATTTTGTGTTCAAGGGAAGTGAAAATGTTGAGCCCTCGTTTGAATTGTCTTGGGTATTCAAGGTGGTGTGTATGAATATTGGGGTTTGAATTAGGCTTTTACACTATTTTGTGTCTATCCTACTTATGCAAACTTAAACTACAAACTACAAAAATTCGCTTGAACTCGTATGCAAAACCTGCACTTTGCTGTTACCCTAAGCGAGCCCAGGCTATATATCTTCTTCATATTTCAATTTCGTGGAAATAAAATTTTATTACGCCGTCACCTTTGTTTCTAATAGGGTAAATGAATCTGAACAAACCGTAATCTGATGGGCGCAATTGGGTAGATGTATTTAGAAGTTCCCAGCTGCTCTACATTTATCTACCCAGACAATTCATACGAGTGTACATTCTTCGCAATCTTGACATTAACAACTGAGCAAGTGAGAGCACCTAACAATCTGAGGTGACGTTGAAACAGCTCATTCGCTTTACTGACATCATTTTCCAACTTACTCCCGTCGAAATTATCCACAGTTAGCAGCCAACCAATCGAAGTGTGAAAAATCGGAGGATCGTAATACTTTTCCTGGTGATGCGCATCTATAGGGCCATCATCGAGCTCATCTACTAGCCGTTTCAAATCGCTATACCCAGCCACAACGGGTATGACGACGAAAGCGCGTGTCTTGTTATCGTTGTATAAAACTGTGAGATGGCTGAATGAGATTGTTATCCTGCGATTGCGTTAGCTGGATTGTTGAGGGATAATTTCAGAAGCCATACGGTCTATGATGTTTCGATACACTGCCCACATCGCTGTTGAATTTCTTGAGCTGATGATAACGTAGAGAAAGTGGGCGACTGAGGCTAATATAGCAGTCATTATCTACGTCTGGGTCGTTTGGGAATAGTGAGTGAAGGCTTTTGTACTTGTAAGTGAAATGTTGATAAATCTCGCTCAGGATTTTTTGTAATTTGTACTCGAAAGGTACAGATAGAAAGACATGCGCAGAGTAAGCACCTTCAATGAATGGCTTTGAGCGAGTTCTTCCTTGATGTTGAGCTGGATTGTCATTTGGTACTGAATTTGTATTAGACAAGCGTGAACGTATACGTATACGATCACACACACATTTTGGCTGGAATGGCGCAGGTAGTTGTGGTACTTGTGGCGTATTCCCTGCTACACCAACCATCTGATCACCGCCATTGCTCTCATCGCTCAAGTCGCTCTCTGAATAATCAACCAACATCGGAGTTTAGATAACGATTCTTCGTCGGAATTGAACTCCGGATACGTGGTCGAATAAGGAAATTCTTCAAAAGCAACGACGATGGCTTCATTTGTTAAAAGATCAGCAAACACTGGCAGCGTCGGCAATACACACAGCCACGATAACGACACGCACGCACACTCACACACAGACCACGGTCACACACATGAAGTATTAGATCATCCAGGTTTGTTTATGTAGAGTCTACATTACTCCACTCACCACCTGCAGGTAAATTCACTGAACGTGACATGCCGGATTTCCACGAGCGTGATTGGTCAGAAAGGGCTTTTACTGTTGGCATTGGCGGGTGAGTGAAATGCTCAGTATAAAACCATTCTAATAACCATCGTAGCCCCGTAGGATCGGGCAAAACAGCGTTGATGCTCGCCTTATGCAAGAGACTTGGAGAGGAGTTCAGTATTGGAGCACTCACCAACGATATATTCACCAAAGAGGATCAAGAATTTTTGATAAAGAATAAGGCATTGGAACCAGGTAGAATCAGAGCTGTCGAAACAGGTGGCTGTCCTCATGCAGCTATCAGGGAAGACATTTCAGCTAATATGGGCGCACTTGAGCAGTTGCACGTTGATTTTAACACTGATATTCTACTCGTAGAATCAGGCGGTGATAATCTAGCAGCCAACTACTCTAGAGAACTAGCCGACTACATCATTTACGTAATTGACGTGAGCGGTGGTGATAAAATACCTAGAAAAGGAGGACCGGGGATATCGCAATCTGATTTGCTAGTCGTTAACAAAGTAGATATTGCACAGTATATTGGAGCAGATCTAGGCGTAATGAAGAGAGATGCTGATAGGATGCGTGATAATGGACCAACTGTGTTTACATCAGTGAAGAATCAAGGAGAAATTGAAGCGATAGTTGAATTGATTGTAGCAGCGTATAAGGCATCTGGTGCTTAATTACTCTATTTCATCCCGCGGCTTGTAAGGAATGCTCTTTGAGTGAAGATATTCAACGATATTATCCGATAGCCTTCCTGTAACTTTTACTGCGTACAATCCAGGTATACATGAATTTATTCTCTGCCACTTTCCAACCCAGCTTTCATTTGGTTTTGTAAGTGCCACTATTCCATCAAATTGACCTGAAGTGTGATCCGTCACTGACTCTGAACTACCTGCGATATCCAAAAAAGGGCAATTAGGACATCCTTTGCTTTTAAATTCTCTTGCTTCTTGAAGATAGCTGCACATTAAGCATGCTCTGAATTTCTTTGTACGGTTATGGCTCATTTGGTGGTTAAGGTTTGAGAGGGTTACCAGCCACTTACCTTCAAGCAATAATTCAGACTCGATAAAGCCACGCTGGCAAGCAATTCCCAAACGATTATCCTCAGATCCGACAACTACTTCAAAATCCAAGGTGTGCTAACATTGTAAGAGGATAAATAATATTGGAAGATAGCTGCACAAGCGATATTGACTACAAACAGAAGGTTGATGAGGGTAAAAGGGAAATGGTTAGCAATTGTTTAACGATCAAAGGACGTATTGAGTCTAGTTGAAGAGATTCAGTATGTTTTGGAGTGTTCGAAAAATATACACTGTACTGTTTTCAGCGATTCATATTTGTTTGTCATTTTAGCCGTGTATAGAATTTTGGCTTTGTGCAGGATGCGCCAAGATTGTGATAAGAGGGGTCATTAGGTGTCATTATGATATTATTTGTTTGTCTAACTTCAGCCGCTGCTCGATCACATAAAAGCACGCTCTCACCAACTCAAGCCTCTTCATAACAGACAACAGAGCAGTGAGGAATAGGAAAATGAATGAGATATCAAGATCACCAACTCCGGCGAACAAGAATGGCTTATCGGGTTCATTCTCATCGTATGTGTCGACTAATGCGACGACTATAGGCAACTCCAGCGGCTATAACATAAACTCTATCGGCATTGATGTATTTGAAGACACGGACAGCGATGAAGAATTTGACAGCGCTCACTTAAGCGCCGCATCTGATGCAATATCTGATGTCAATCCCAATACCATTTCAATCCCAGCACCCACTGTCACTCAACAAATAAATCCGAAGCTGATGCACGTTATCAACAAACTCGGCATTGATGTGAATGAAATATCAAGTGCACAATCTTACAATGATCTTAACACTATCGCTAATCAGTACATTGAACGAAATGACTTTATAATCAACAAATGTGAAATTTTTCTTGAGGAATTGAATATCGAAGTGAGTGGTATAATAAATTGCAAGAACATTCGCAAGACAGCAAAAAGGTATAAGAATCGTGTGGTGAAAAATACAGGTAAATTACAGTACTATCAGATCAGATTTGGGGAAATATCTGGATTCAGTGTTGAGGAAAATGTTAAATTGATTGAGGCGTTCTCAAATATCAGCTTCAAGGGTGATTCGAAGCTGAAGAAGAGTTATGTTCATCGCTGGGCTGTCATTTTGAGCGAATCTCGAGATGACACCCTGGGCACAAGGCATCCAAAAAGGGATATTCACATGGGGAACAAGGTCAAGAAACCGGTCAAAAAGATAAAGAACGCCTTTACAAGAGATGTATTTATCGACTGTCGTTTCCACAAGCCAGTTGAGATAGAGCGTATATTCCTCAACGCACAGGGCCTTTGAATGATTTCTGAAATGCTGAGAATACCATTGAGCTGATATTTATACCTTAACGCAAAGCGAATACATTTGATCATTATTACAACCTAAACTTGAGAGTCAACTCGCGGTGACAGGCCAACTGCACAACCAAAGAGCAATAAGGATAAGGCGTGTAATATTTAGGCAAAATCACCAATACTGCAGCCCTCTACCAGGAAAGCGACCCGTTTTAAAATTTAAAATTTGCTCTATAAATTTGTGATGCTCTCCAAAATCTTCTTTTTAAGCATACGTTCATATAATGGGTAAAGTGAGTGGCGGCAGGCGTACGATGAAAGCATTATAACTGACGCAGCGCCTCACAGGAGAAGCTCCACCTTAACGTTGTCGTTATCGGTCACGTCGATTCCGGAAAGTCGACCACCACTGGTCACTTGATCTACCAATGTGGTGGTATCGACAAGCGTACCATTGAGAAGTTCGAAAAGGAAGCCGCTGAACTCGGTAAGGGTTCCTTCAAGTACGCTTGGGTTCTCGACAAGCTGAAGGCTGAGCGTGAGCGTGGTATTACCATCGATATCGCTCTCTGGAGATTCGAAACACCAAAGTACAACGTCACTGTCATTGATGCCCCAGGTCACAGAGATTTCATCAAGAACATGATTACTGGTACCTCTCAAGGTTGGTGAAAATCTTCTCAAAAACAATATAAGCTAATAAAATACCCCAGCTGACTGTGGTATCCTTATCATTGGTTCTGGTACTGGTGAATTCGAGGCTGGTATCTCCAAGGACGGTCAAACCCGTGAGCACGCCCTCCTCTCATTCACTCTCGGTGTCAAGCAACTCATTGTTGCACTCAACAAGATGGACACCTGTCAATACTCAGAGGCTCGTTACACTGAAATTGTCAAGGAAACCTCCAACTTCATCAAGAAGGTCGGTTACAACCCTAAGGCCACCGCTTTCGTTCCAGTTTCTGGATGGAACGGTGACAACATGCTTGAACCATCTACCAACATGCCATGGTACAAGGGATGGGAGCGTGAAACCAAGAGCGGTAAGCTCAGCGGTAAGACTCTCATTGAGGCTATTGACTCTATTGAGCCACCAAGCCGTCCAACTGACAAGCCACTCCGTCTTCCATTGCAAGATGTTTACAAGATTGGTGGTATTGGTACTGTGCCAGTTGGTCGTGTTGAGACTGGTCAAATTAAGCCAGGTATGGTTGTCACTTTTGCACCATCAGCCGTCACCACTGAAGTTAAGTCGGTTGAAATGCACCACGAGCAATTAGAAGCTGGTCAACCAGGTGACAACGTTGGTTTCAACGTCAAGAACGTTTCCGTTAAGGATATTCGTCGTGGTAACGTTGCATCTGACTCCAAGAACGACCCAGCAAAGGAGGCTGCATCATTCAACGCTCAAGTCATTATCCTCAACCACCCAGGTCAAGTTGGTGCTGGTTACTCACCAGTCCTTGACTGTCACACCGCCCACATTGCCTGTAGATTCGCTGAACTCCTTGAGAAGATCGACAGACGTACCGGTAAGACTGTTGAAGAATCACCTAAGTTCGTCAAGTCAGGTGATGCATCTATCATCAAGCTCACCCCAACCAAGCCAATGTGTGTTGAGTCATACATGGACTACCCACCACTTGGTCGTTTCGCTGTCCGTGACATGCGTCAAACTGTTGCTGTTGGTGTTATCAAGTCAGTTGAGAAGACTGAGAAGGGTGGTAAGACCACCAAGGCTGCTGAGAAGGCAACCAAGAAGAAGTAAAATGTTAGTTCCGAGTAATATTTTCACTTGTTTTGTCTTACAAAAGAATGAAATGCATTTGAATAAAAATCTTGCCTGTAATTATATCTGGTGTGCCTGATTACATAATTTCTGGGTTTTCATAGGACAACCAACATCTACGCACAGACACACAGATACACAGATAGACGATGGAATTTCCACCAAAAATTGAGCAAGAGTATCAGAAAGAGTTGATTGATAACGTTAGAGGGTTTTGTTTAGGTAATGGACTAGTATTGTTACCACCGGTTATGGAGGGTGAGGATAAAGTCAGGAGTAATACTTGTATACAAGCACCAGTCAGCTTATTCCCAACGCCATTCCCAAAGAAGCTATTCAATCAAGCAAACAGCGTTGGACTTACATTCAATGAACTATACGCTAACATTGCACGTGATGTTGAATTCATTGATGAAATATTAAGTGAGATATCTCCATTTGATAAGTTTCAAGCATCTTTATGGAACTTGTGGAAGGAAATTAGAAGTGAGATATGCCAACCAAATCAATTACTACTGTCTAGATCAGATTATCTGTGTAATACGTCGACAGACATTCAAGGGAACATAAGGGGAATCTCTCAAGTTGAATTTAACACCATAGCATCTTCATTTGGTGGTTTATCAAACAAAGTAAATCAATTACATCAATTCCTTTACAATGATATTAGATACGCCAACTTACACCCTCTACTAAACAATCAATTAGCAGAGAATAACACTCTTAATGAGATTGTTGACGGCTTTGAACACGCTCATCAAGTTTACAAATCTGGCTACTTACGCTCAAAACACTCTCCTTACATTCTCTTCGTCGTTCAAGAAAACGAGAGGAATGTCTTTGATCAGCGTCTTTTAGAATTCGAATTGAGTCGACGCAACATTCGCATTATCAGAAGAACATTTGCTCAATTATCCCAACAAGCAAAATTGAGTGAGGATAATGTACTCAAAGTCAAAGGCATAGAGGTATCCATTGTGTATTACAGAGCTGGATACGCACCCGAAGATTACAAAAGTGAGCGTGATTGGCGAGTTAGACGGATGATTGAAGTCAGTCTGGCGATCAAGTGTCCAACTCTCGCTCTACAGTTGGCTGGATGTAAGAAAGTGCAGCAGGTATTAGTAGATGAGCATGTCTTGCGCAAAAACCTCAACCCTGCCCAAATTAGAAAAATAAACAAGTGCTTTGTCGATATCCTTCCATTCGATCAGAGCGAAAAGGGTAAAATTGCACACTCGATTGTCGCTGACAGAGAAAGGTGCAAGAAATATGTCCTTAAGCCTCAAAGAGAAGGTGGTGGGAATAACATCTACAAGGAGGATATAGTGGATTTCGTAAACAATCTCAAGGACAACGAACTGTCTTCGTATATTCTAATGGAACTAATTGAGCCACCTGGAAACCTCCACAACTACTTAGTTAGATATACAGACGATAAACTTGTCAAAGCGGATGTGGTATCAGAGTTGGGTATCTATGGTTCGGTGCTATTCAACAATCATACCATTATAAGGAATGAGCACGCTGGTCACCTCCTTCGAACCAAATCTAGACAGAGTGATGAAGGTGGTGTGGCTCTTGGTATTTCTGTAATCGATGAGTGTCTACTAATATAAACGAGCTTATAATTTATACATTTGGTAATAGTCTTGATAGTCTCTGTTTGCTGTGGGTGGTTTGAGCGAGTTTGCAAATGCTCAACTCGTCATACTCACTGTGTACCATGAGCTAATGCACCGTTTGCCAATCTATTCGTTTGTTCTGGACTAAGATGGTAATTCTTGTGCTGTGGAGGTGATAAGAGAGAAGTGTTGCCGTTTAATCCACTCCAACTCACGTTCCTTCCTGCCTTCTTCTTTACGGGGAAAAGTGTTAGCAGGTTCCGTCTTACCCAAACAACCCACTAACCCTTGTAAATTGATTGTTTCCTATTGCTTTCCATCTAGCTGCGGCTGTTGAGGTCTTTTTAGATTGCCGTATCCTCAGACTGCTAATGATATAACGCACCACCCTTGTGATTTCTCAAGCCAAATTTGTAAGCAGGTTGTGAAGTACTGAAAAGTCTAGTGACTGATGACTTAATCAGATTGGTTGTTAGTGATAACATGACTGAATGGATTGAAGAAATGAGAACATGAATTGAGAGTTTGAATCAATACAGCAAGAAAAGGTATACGAGAGGTATATAGTAGGTGTAAGAAGCAATATAGTGATGTATCATCCAAGCAGCAACTACTCTACTCAATTATCTTAAAGTTATCAAAGAATTCAGCCACATGTTCATAAGAAGGTGGATCGATCTCATAAACTCTACCCAGCATAAGAGTCTTGTCACCATCTATAACAATCTCACTACCGAATCTAAACATTCTTGTTGCCTCGAGATGGTCATCGAACTTAGCGACATTTTCACTCACATCTTTCAACTGATGCTTCAGTTGTGGATGTTGCTTGCTACTATGCTTATGACCAACTTGTATAGCTCTCAGTGTTAATGTCTCAATTGAGTTGATTCGTGTGTTTTGTGTTGGTTCAAAATCATCAATTTTTGAAAATTTTCTTATGTCATCTTGCAGGAAGTGCAGTCGGAGGTTTTTGATTGTGGGTAGCTTAGACAAGCAGATCTTAACAAGGTCTTCAATAGGAATTGATTCGTCTTGTGAGTATATTGTAATTGATTTGATACCACGTTTGATCGGAATAAAGTCCCACAACTCATCATGTGGAGGTTGATTGAAAACGATATTCTCCAACTTGAAGCGCTTAATAGACTTTTTCATTTCTTCGTATAAATCCTTTGCATTATCTGTCGCTGTTTGATACGGCAGAGAAAGAGTTTTGACTTTGTTAGCGTACTCGTAATGGCAGAATTCGGATAGGAATCTAACAAACTTTGCGATTTGACTGAAGTTTGCAGGCTTGGTTGATATAGAATTGTTCGTCATGTGTCCAGGTCCAATCAACGCCGCATAACGAACAGCCTTGCCGATATCAAATAACTCCTTACATGTCAATCCAATATTTGGCTCAATTTTGATTAATTGGAGAAGGAATGTATTTGGTAAGTGATTGAACTTGACTTTGCTCTTCATGATTGCGGTATACGGTGTTTGTTTACGTCAAAGCCCTTCGCACATTCAAGTGAAGATTTTAACTAACACAAATCTATTCTATAGCAATATATTACAATCCATCTTGATATAATTTGTGGCACAGCGCTATGTAAAACTGTTCTCTATCCATACCTTTATCTAACCCACCTTCGTCAGCCTTGTGTCCAGATTGATTTTCTTGTGAAGTGTTTGGTATCCGATCACTGAACCATTTAGCAATTGAAGAAACGCTACTGGATGCGCTGGGATCACTTTCATTAGACGTTCCAGACGTGCTACTCGTACCTGGATAACTTTCAACGTTCTCTCCCCTCCAATTACTCTCTATTTGCTTGTTGACATCCTGCCAATTAGATTCTGGCGTACTATAAATATTTTGCTTCGTGTTCGTCGTTGCATCCGTTACTGTAGTGCTCTTCTTCTCCTTGGGAAAACCCCTAGATCCTCTCATCCACCAATGATCAACACCATCAATCACGCCCAAGAATTCACCCCACTTTGCAGATGATACACTGACTAGACCGTCATTTCCTTCGTACTCGCTTCCCACTTTACCCTCGGCCTCTCTCATACTAGCCTTGGCTGAGGCCTCGAGTACTAATTGCGGGAGGAAGAGTGGATGCCACCAGCCCAGACCAGGATGACGCGCGGCGATGGAGTAGTATTTTATATTATCCACGTCGGGAGTACGTGGGTTGAAGATACCGTTAGTAAATGCAGTTGTGAGGTTGGCGTAGGCAGGAGAATCGAGAAGCGCCAGGAGATAACTCGAGAGGGAGGAAGTGAAAGCGAGAGGTAGTGATATGGCAGGTAGAGAAGGCATTGAGAGTTTTGATTGATTTTCGCTGTCTTTCTGATTTGGATTGTTAGTGATGTCGGCTGTGTGTGTCTTGGGTTGAGCTTGGAGGAGAGGCGATTTGAGTGAAAGAGGCATGCTAGGGACACTCAGTGGCTGGCTGCTGGCGTCTGCAGTGTCCTGGATTGCTTGTGCACCAATACCGATGTTGGCCTGAGTTGTGAGTCGTTGAGTCTTTGATTCTTGAGATAGAATTACAGCGTCAAACTCACAGCACACCAATCCATAAACGGAGAGCCACGATGAGGCGTTGAAATTGTCGTAAGTGAGCGTGGTTTGTATTCGTTGGGGCGAATATGAGTGAGTAAATGACGACAGTCGAGACCACCCTGCTGAGGTGTTAAAGGGGCTATAATAGAGCTATGAGGACAAATAATCTCACCATAGAATGGGCCAAGAAGTTTATTTCTTTTCCGCGTACTGAGTTCTTCAATTGCAGATCCATAGCTTCAGCTCTTTCTTTCACAGAGCCGGTGCCGGGAACACCGGTAACGATAACTTCAGCGCCTATTTTGTTACGGAGAATGTCCATCAGGTCAGCCCAGTAATGTAGTTGTAGTTTTGGTATTCCAGGGGGTGTCCATACGTCGAATCCATATAGGCCTATGATTGAGTTAGATCGGGCTTCAATTGGTTTATAACACACCATGACACAGAACAATTGGATTTCGTGGTTTGCGAATTGGGTTAAATATAACTGGATTTCTCAGTAGACTGTGTATAGTATGCGTTCGCTGTGACTTGAACTTGAATTTAAATTTTCTAAACTTGGCTGCGACTATTATCATTCTACACGATATTTGTTCAGCGTTATCGGTGATGGTCGACGAGAGCAACGCGTTGATATCAAAATTCTTACATCGTCATTTGAATCTCCTGCCGAGCGCATACGAATCGAATGACTCTGCTAGACTCACTTTGGCTTACTTTTTAATCGAGGCGTTTGGGATCATCGGAGAATGTTTACCCCAACAATCCACGATTTCTTATATTGATTACATTTACAAGTGTCAATTGGATTTCGGACTCGGTGGAGGCTTTAGAGGCAGCTTATCTATTAACAACCCACCTATATTCGACCCATCAAACCTAACCATGACTTACGCCGCTATTCTCCTTTTAGGTTTGCTACGCGATGACTTTACACGTCTAGACAAGCCAGGCATTCTAAAATCCATCCGAGATCGCAGACATGCAGACGGCTCTTTCAGTCCCACTCCTACAAACTCTGAATCTGATATCCGCTTAGTCTACTGCGCCTGTGCAACAAGCACTCTCATTAATGACTTCAGCGAGGTGCATATACCCACCACAATTGCATACATACACGCATGTCGCTCGTACGATGGCTCCTATGCTCAAATGCCTAATGGTGAAGGTCAAGGCGGCACTACATACTGTGCATTAGCCAGTCTCGAGATGATATCGCAGCACTTAAACCAATCGTCAACATTACTAAATGAAGAGGACGTCTCTTCCACCCTAAGATGGTTATCGCAGCGTCAAGTTGATGGTTTTCAGGGTCGTACTAACAAAGATAGCGATGCATGCTACTCGTTTTGGATTAGAGGTGCTTTTAATAGTCTCAAAGCCATATCCAGTCTACCACCGTCATTCGACATATTCGATGATGCACAGGATGGTAACTTCATACTCAGCTGCTTACATCCCCTCGGTGGTATTGCAAAGTATCCAGACGAGCTTCCAGATGTGTTGCACAATTGTCTCGGTCTTTCCGCGCTATCAATGGCTAGCAATAGAGTGGATCAAGCAAAGTCGTTGAAGAGAATAAATAGCACACTTAACGTGGATATCGAGACATTAGATCATATAAAGAGGAAGATGAGTGTGAGATGAAATCTTCAAAAATCTATTTACGCTCGAAGCGCAGTACAATGTAGAATAAGATGCGATAGACCACCATGATGATGAGTAGGATGAATGCATAAAGCGTGATTGAAATACCATCATAATTTAGCTCCTTCAACACATCACCTCCTGCCACAGCGCAAACGCCTTGATCAATTAACGAACTTGGATAAGAGCATTGACAGCTCCGATTCCCAACATCACCAGCGCAACTAAAAGTCAATCCTTCAAGATCAGATTTGGTGAGAATCGCGAATCCGTATGTCTGATAATCAATCCAATGAGCCCAATAGTACCAGAAGCGTGGGAGATTGACAGCGCGAATGAAGTATCCCTGAACGCACATGAAGAAACCATTAACAAAGGCAGCTATCGCGAGAGAAGTGATGAAGATGGGGAACATACTAGCGATCAACAAAGACTGAAACTCGGCATTAAGTATGCACAAGTAGAGTGTAGACATCCACCTAAAGAAGTGATTCGCACCCCCGTGTAAACCGATAGACCAGTAGCAGATGACCGAAAAGATGAGTGTGCAGATAAAGAGGAACGGAAGGATGGTGATCGTTTGAGCGATAGTAAATGGAAGCGAACCATAAAGCCCGTTCGCACGCTCTCTACGTAACACACTTCGTTCTTCCAAGTAACTGGGTATTCCCGCCACCGACATGAATGAGAGGAATGCTACTGAAAAAAAGTGAACTGAAAGCCTATCGTTAAGTCTGTCGTCTGATTGTTTAAGGTTCACCCAGATGGTAGCGAGCAGCACTCCCAAACCTACATACATGGCCATGCGAACACCATAAGCAAGCAGGTTACGCGAATAGTTGACAAGATTCCGCTGTATTAAAGTGTAAGTCTTGTTGGAGAAGTTGAGAAAGTTTTCCTTGGGCTGTGATTTGCGTGGTGGTGGAAGTGACTCAAACTTTTGCTGATGATCCTCGCTTCCATTCTCTTTCCACGCCTGCACTAATGAGTCTAGCTGACTGACACCGCCTTCCTCTATATCTGCACTTGACTCATTGTTAAAATCAGTGTTGACCAACCCCATAACGACATCTGCGGGATTCGAGTATTGCGGAAAACGATAACCCAATTTCCCAAAATACGGCACTAGTTGGTTGATGTTTCCATTGTATACGCTTTCGCCTTTTGACAGCAGTATGAGATTGTTGAATAGAGTGAATATCTCCCAATTGGGACTGTGAATGGTAGCTATAACAGCTATGTGGTGCATTGATGCCATATTCCCGATAGCATGCATTACCTGGTATGCGGTCGCAGTGTCCAAACCGGAAGTGGGCTCATCGAGGAACAGAACATCTGGGAACTGGACTAATGAGCATGCAATGCTGACGCGTCGTTTCTGTCCGCCTGATATGCCCCTCTGGATTGGTGTACCTATACGATTGTTGGATACTGACGTGAGACCAAGACCTTCAATTACCGAGTTAACTCGCTGGGCTATGACATCTGGTGATGCGCGAGGCAAACTGAGCCGTGCGGAGTATGTGAGTGTTTCTTGCACTGTGAATACCCCAAGTAGGGCATCGTGCTGCTCGCAGAATGAGGCAGAGTCTGAGCAGACGACTGAGCCTTTGGTCGTCTTCTTTCTCCCGCTGAGACACTCGAGGAGAGTGGTTTTACCAGAACCTGAGGGTCCCATGACTGAAGCACCATTAGTTTATCATGTGGAGGTGTAGAATAAACCTATTCTCACCTGCCGTCATTCCGCCTGGGTTCACATTCCCAGATAAGGGTTTAAGGATCTCGGTGAAGCTAATGTCGGTCCACGCGAGTGCTGACATTTTCGATGGTAGTCTTAATAGAGAGCTACCGAGATCGCTTTTTATAGCCACCGCCTCGGACAGTTTACGGGGAGTTTGTTAAACTCACCAACACGCCGAGAATCCCCCGATGCTCCCTTATGAGCTGCAGTGAAAAGAAAATAGCCTGCGTCAACTGTAGGAGTAGCAAAACCAAGTGCGTTGGAGGAGATGCGCCATCTTTCAGCGATTCCAATCTCTCCGCTGCCCAACTCGCCTGTGAGCGGTGCAGGAAGAGTGGATTGGAATGCATATGGCAAGCGAGTAAAAAGACGGGCAGGCCATCAAAAACAACGGCAAAAGCAGTTACTTTGGATATGTTTGAAGCTTATTCGAGGGGTGTTCCCCTAATAGGCAGCGAGGATGTTGAGCAGGTACACGATCTAGTCTACTACGCTGCTTTGACAATCTCTGATAACTTCAAGGGCTTGGATGTAATTAGCGATAGAGCATCAATGCTGTCACTCGCTGAGGAGGCCATTCTAACACACAAATGCGATTTGCGTTCAATCATTGGCTTGATATACACTATTCATGACGATTATGGGGCTAATAACACAGAAGCAGCTCAATATCATTTGTCTTATGTTTGCAGAGTAGCACTGGAGTTGGGTTTGAATACAAGGTCACCTAGAATAGACCCATTCGACGACCCGTTGAGCTCAATCTACGGCAGAATTTGGTGGGAGGTGGGTGCGCTTTTTTAGCACGGCTCCATCTGACAATACCAGATATATCTGTTGGATGTACTGCTTCATTTGAGTACGAGTGGTCAGATAGCTCGTCAAATTAACTCTTTAACTATTATTGACATTGATGCCAATTCAATCGCAACAGACGTAACACTGCAGCAAGCATACGATGGGCGTATTAAGTCCGCGCTGATATTGAGTGAATCAACAAAAATCGACGGCAGATTAAACTTCGAGCGTGTCAGTGCACTCGACACGATGATTACAAACCAGCTCGCTCTCACACAGTCGTCATACCACTCGGATGAAAACTTTACAATAAAGGAGCTCAACTTTACTTCTACAATGATGCTACTGGCTTCGCGTGTTCATTTACACCGTCAGGCGTGGTTTGCTGACATGACATTCGATTTCCAGTCGTGTTCGTTCAGGCAGAAGATGAGCGAGATGGAAATGCTGCTTAACGACATGTTCGTAATGCCCAGTAGTGGGAATTTGGACGCCAGCCTTTGTGCAAGTCTGCATGCAATCCGAGAATCTTCCCAACAAATGCTTCATTGGATAAGAGTCGATGAGGTCTACCAGTCGCAGAGTGCATCAACAACACCTCCACACTGGCCGTTCTACAGCTGTTGCCAACTCGTTGCCTCATATGGCCCTATACTTGAGATTGCAATTCTGAACGCTAGCAGGAATAGCGAGAATGGCGTATTGGAGACTGTCGCAGCACCGGAGAACGGTGTTTGGAAAACACGTGCGGCTCTGAGTAGCGTTGATTTGACACATGCTACTTTAGCGCGTTACATGAAGGTGTGGATGATTGCGGGTGTATATCGCGATGAAGTGGCTGTCTGTAGGGCTGTTGTTGACACCTGTGGACCTACTGGTTTTGGAATGTAAATTGAATAACCAAGACATGACGCATTTAATTCTTTAAGGCTAAGGCCAATTTTACGGTGCTACTCAAAATCATGTCGACATCATTTATGAAGCTGAACCAGCTGAATAAGACGATAGATTGCAGGTATCAATAACATGATCGAAAATATTATCATAAGCCACAGCTCAACTCAGTTTCCATCATTGCTGACATCCATAAACGTAAACGTAAAGTCCAAAAAGTACATCAATAGAATCTTTATTCAGAGGAAGGATTTAGCAGAATATTTGAACATGAAAACATGACTCAGCATTATTCTGTCGATTATGACATCGATGTCTCAAGACAGATAAAATCAGGATTATCAAAATCGACTACGGAAAGGGGTATTCAAGGAAATGCATCTAGAGAGCTCTTTGATGCACCTCCACTGCAATTATAGTAGTTCACCGATTTGTACAATCATTTCAAAGGTTAAACAAGGCACAGTATTGTGGATTTTCAACCAAATTTCGCTGATAAGTTTTGGATAAAATACATCGATAATACAAGTAATACATTAAATAGCAGATTAGACACGCTCACCGCGGAGTCTACGGGCAAGTTGGATGTCTTTTGGTTGGATGGTAACTCTCTTTGCGTGGATGGAGGTTTGTGTCTGCGAAAAGCGAGACAAGGTAAGCTTCACTGGCTTCCTGGAGGGCCATAACAGCCGAAGATTGAAAACGCAAGTCGGTCTTGAAATCTTGAGCAATTTCTCTAACAAGACGTTGGAATGGGAGTTTACGGATGAGGAGTTCGGTGGATTTTTGGTAACGACGGATTTCTCTAAGAGCGACAGTACCTGGACGGTAACGGTGTGGCTTCTTGACACCACCAGCGGCTTGTGGGGCGGCTGTCTTTCTTGCTGCCTTGGTGGCGAGTTGCTTGCGTGGGGCCTTACCACCGGTAGATTTACGGGCTGTTTGCTTAGTTCTGGCCATTGTAGATTACTTGGAGACGTTTGATGTTTATTGAAGAGGGGCTGTGAAGGGCTTAAATAGGCGCGCGTCGTTGAATCATTTTCTAATTGGGATCACGCGCAAATGATCTAAAAGAAGTAATGGACGGTGGTAGGAGATTGGAAGGGAATAAAATACATAATCAAACTAAAAATATTTCAGGCTATCAGCTGATGTATTTTAATCTTACATTTGCCCATTCTACACAGTATGATCACGCGTTTTATATAAAACCAAAATTGATCAGATCAGATCGTGATCTCTCACGCGCGCTCGAAATGGATAAATAGCCAGCGCATCTCTCATTACATCTCCATCTAAAACTCATAGTACAATGTCTGGAAGAGGAAAAGGCGGCAAAGGTTTAGGAAAGGGTGGTGCCAAGCGCCACCGTAAGATTCTCAGAGACAACATCCAAGTGAGTGGGAAGGCTTTTAATTATGTTCTCATCTAATAATCCTCTAGGGTATTACAAAGCCAGCTATCCGTCGTCTCGCTCGTCGTGGTGGTGTGAAGCGTATCTCTGGTCTAATCTACGAAGAAACACGCGGTGTCCTCAAGGTTTTCTTGGAGAACGTAATCAGAGACTCCGTCACCTACACCGAACACGCAAAGAGAAAGACTGTCACCGCTCTCGACGTCGTCTACGCCCTTAAGCGCCAAGGAAGAGTGCTCTATGGTTTCGGTCAATGAGCGCAATGAACACAACGCATTTATTTCACAGATTTGTATTTTAGCATTGGAATATTATTATACACGTAATAGCATTATAACCATTTTTCATGTTTCAAAATAAATTAAGTAAAATTATTCTATATCCCAAACTGTATGAGGTGTCTACACAGAGCAGGCAACACCAAAGCCTCTTTCGGACCACTTTATGCTGCCAACTACAACGATACAGACGGCCTGAGCGGTGGCTAGAGAGACAGCAGCGTAGACGGCAGCTCTGCGCGAGACGCCCATGCCGTTGAGCTCCATGGCGAGGGTGCTAACTGTAGACATAGCACCGCCGAGACCGTCCATAGTAGCGTGCAGAACGCGGCAGCGCACCGCGCCACCGTTGCTGCCGTCGAGATGCACGAGGCCGTATCCCACACAAGTGAGCAGTGTGCCAAGTACATTTGCAGCGAGAGTGCCATAAGGTAGTGCACCACGGCCGTTGAGGAACTGAGCAAGTTTATGCCGCACGAGTGCACCTGCTGGCGCGAACAGCAGCGCATATACCCACGATCGCAGCGATGAGGTAGATGGAGCGAGGGCGAGTGGGAGAGTGATAGCGTAGGACGACACACCGAGCAAAACGGCGGCTACGAGTGCTGTGATGTTGCGGGAGTGGGTGCGTGTTTGCAACGGTAGCGGCTTCTCTGGCAGCCTCAGCCTCACAGCCACAAAGTCCTGAATTGTACCACCGATACCTAATCCCAATTGCACACAGCTAATAGAGACGGCCGTAGTGGATAGCAGCTGTCCGAGCACATCGAACGCAGCGCCCTTTGCACCGCGAGGAGTGTAGTACGATGGCGTTATGTAGGTGTATCCCTTGAACACGTCCAGCATAAATGTCGCGTACGTCGTCACTGACCCACTGTAGCCTGTCGTGATAGCCATCGACGAGTCTTTGAGGCTGGATTGGTGCGGGTGACTGTGAGTATTTTATGAATACACCACCAGTCCTCACTCACATATACTCCAGACTCGGCTTCAGGCTGCTTGCCACGCCGATGACGAAACAGCCGACAGCTTGCGGATACACATCCGGCGAGAGCGTGGGCGACGCGTACGTCGTCAAGCTCACCAGCGCCAGACGCGTAAGCACACCGAGCATCGCCGTAGGTATTATCAGCCCCAGCCACCTCACTTCATCCGATAGCGTAGATAGCACTGATGACGATGGTGGTGGTGGCATGAGAGTGTAATAATAATTTAATCTTGTATATTGCCAGATACTGGCTAGTAGTAGTCTGATAGAGTTACAAATGCCTTTATGATGCGTTGGCTGCGTCTGCCGCATCTGTTGCATTCCCCGGTTCTTTGTCTTCTGCTTTCAATCTTTTGTTCGCAGTGTTATCTTCGCTGGGTGTATCGCCGTTCTCGTCCGCCACATTCGATTGGCGCTGAGAGGATTGTTAGCGCAATGCACGCAACACACGCACCCTACACAAACCCACCTTGGTCTTTTTCTTGCTCTTGCTGTTGCTACTCCTGGGGCCACCCTCAAAGACGACATCCGGCAGAGACGCAGCCTTGATGTTCTTGACGTATATCTTCATTTCGCCGTCCACAAACTGATCCCACAATTTGGTCAGTTTCATGAATTCGTTAGTCGGGTAGGTCAAGTTGAGGGTGCGTTTTTCGTTAGTTTCCGCTGGGGATGGAGATAGAGATGGACTTGGTTAGAAGAGACGCAGAAAGAAAACACCGAAACTCACGATTACGCGGTTGTATAGCCAATCCTACGTAGAAAGTGCTGACATATACACGATGCACGCCATCCTTGCCGTCCTTACCATCGTACTCGTCCGGCCTGCTACTCCGCTCCTTGACTGCCTGCGATGGATTGTACTCTGCGGCCGACTGGACTTCCTCGTCGTCGAGACACACAAACACCTCGCTGAACCCCTTGACGAAAGGGTGGGCGAGTTCTATGCCCTCCGCCAGCTCAAGCTTGTTTACCAACTGGCGCACTTTCGACTCTACAGCCCCCGACCATTTCTTGTGGCTCTCGGCTGTCTGACCTGAAGCGATTATCTGGATAAAGTGTTTATATTTCGAAAAGAACTCGTGTCTGTCAAAAAGCGTTGCCCACTGCATATCACCATTGTGGATACCATCAAGTATGTCCATACCCCGCTTGAACTCCTGCCGCATCACTTCCTGTGTGGACGGACCGACGTTGTGCGTAGAGCACATGGACGGGTAGGCGGGTGTGATGATTGGCATTCTATGCGCGCGGTCGGTCGGGTAGATCTGGGTGGGGCTTGAGTTAGATTTGCGTGTGCAGTGCAGCCCACTCCACCCACCTTGGGATTCCATACGCGCACTTTCAGCGGCCCGTCTTCAATCTCCTTGAGAAGGACCGGATGTGGCCATTTCCACTGGTAAAGGATGGTGAAGAACTTGGTTATTATCGCACCGGCATTCTCGTTCGGGTACAGTTGGCAGATACGCGCGACGAGCATGGCCCAGGCGACACCGCCGAGGAAGCCGTTGACGTTGGAGTAAATGGCGCGTCCTGGGTAGTGTGAGAGGGAGTGTATGCTGAATTAACAAATCCACCCACGCTGTGCCCATAACTTGATGCACCTCAAACTATCCCTAAACACCTGTACATTGGGAACAACGCGGAGTATTTCATCAGTGACTCTGGAACCTGTTTGGATTTAGAGTGTAGAGTAGCTAACATAAGCAACCCACCATTCAACGACCTCACGCAGCGCTCATCGAGGTTCTTGAGGAGGTTGTTATCGAGCAGCTCGAGATCGTCCGGGATGGTAGCAAGGGCGAGTCTCGCGACGAGGAAATCAATCTCAATGCCGCTGATGGTGGTCTTGATGATGGGGACATAGGCATCGGGGACGCCTGCACACACGCTAACCTCCTCTCTCGACTTGAGGAGAGGCTCGAAGACGTCGAAAAAGTCCTCGCGCGATACGTGCTTGGGCACTACGCAGAGAGTGTCTATATCGGCACCCGGCTGATTGACACCGAGTCTGTAACTGCCGAAAGTGAATATTTTCCCGCCTGCTTGGGTGGCCAAGGATTCTGACATGCCGTTCCTGATAGAGACGCGCTTGACGAACTCCTTCACTAAGGATTGGACTAGTGCGAGTACCTTTTCTCTGTAGAGTGTGAGTGTACGGCCCACGCACACACACAACACACCTCGTTCTGCTCTCGTGGTCGCTCTCGAAAGTGTTCTGGTTCTTGAGCTCCGTTATGAGCTCCGCGTCTACCCGCTTCTCCGTGTCTGTGGGCTCAGCGAGTGAGATTGGCGGGGTGACACCGAATTGGCTGGGAAATGAGAGATATGAGGTGGTGGCTAGAGACGGGATACACGCCACTCACATCTGCTCAGCCATCTCTATGTTTTGATTAATAAAATATTACAATTCGATGATGGTCGTACGAGAGATGGAAATATCGTCATCTCCTCGTCTCCCACTACGACACCCACAATGAAATTAATTACGCAGGAGCAGATGGATGCCAGTGGGCGCGCAACAGCGCTTGGTGGGCTAAAAGGAGCGCTACTTGGATCGTCGCTGTGAGTGTATCTGAGAACATGAGCCACACACACTCACACAACCCAGCTCAGCAGCAGGTTTATTCCTCGCAGGGCGCCGCTACCCAGTCATCGCCGCCCAGCCACCCGTCCAAAAAGGCTGGCTGATGCTCGTCGGCACGCTCCTTTGTGGCGCAACCAACGCCGAATTTGCATACGAAGACCACATGCGGTCGCAGTGGAAGAACGAGGATGTCGACAGCGTGGAGATACTCGAGAAACACACCCAAGAGCGAGCACGCAGAGAGGCGTATCTGTCCACCTCTGAGAGGATTCTTCTCGCAGCCAAGGAAAACAGATTCAAGTTTGTCGTGGGTAGCTGGTTCGGTAGCATGATCGGATCGGGCGCGTATATCTGGGGGCGCAACCCCACGCAGACCTTCTCGCAGAAGTTGGTGCAGGCGAGAATGGCAGCACAGGTTTCCACCCTCGCTGTCCTTATCGCTACCGCTTCCCTCAGCCAGATTCGCGTCAGAGGCGAGGAGCAGTTGTCGCAGCAGAAGAAGGCTGATAGTGGCGGCGATGATTGGAAGTATTTCGTCGCTGAGGAGGAGCACAGAGAGAAAGAGGAGGAGGATGGCAAGCCGAGGAGACAGCCAGTTTCAGAGGATTCAAAGAAGCCAGCGCCAGACACTCCCGCCCATTCCAAAAAATCAAATTGAGTGACGTCATTTCAAGCGAAATTTTGCACCCGACAAACAAACACCATTGGATAGTAGAACAAGGGCAACTTCCGTGTACTCGCAGATAAAAAGATAATCACATGCATTAATCGATACTAGTCAGGAAAATCAACGTATAACTCCACTCTCACTCCCGCACATATACAAACACGAAAAAGATGCGGTTGATACTGACGCTAGTGAGGCATGGCGAGAGTACGGGTGAGCAGGAGAAGGGAGCGTAAGAGGCACATGCTAAGACTCACGCAGACAACCTGAAATCACTCTGGGCAGGCTGGAGAGACTCTGCTTTGAGCAATCACGGAATGAGCCAAGCCAAGCTGCTTGGAGAGTCACTGACAGACTATCCCATTAAGGCGATAATAGCTAGTGATCTGACTAGGGCGAGGTGGACGGCGTGAGTGTGGCTATTAGTGTGGCAAATAGCACATCTAAATAGCACATCTCACACGCCCATCAGAGAACAGATACTCCAGCACAACAATTCGAATCCACCGCCGTCTTTCACCCTCACACATCTCCTCAGGGAGCAGAGTTTTGGTAAGGGCGAAGGCAAGTCGTGGCAGCAAGCGCAATGGCAGCGTAAGGTGGGACAAGTGCATTTCCATAAATCAGCTCACGCAGTAAGACAGAGTGGACGCGATTTCAAGTTTGAGGATGGAGAGAGTCTACACGATGTTGCAGCGAGAGCAGAGGAGGTGATTGTGGGTGGCATTGTTAAGCCCTTCATTTTGCCCCTTCTCACCCGCTCATTTACCAGGAAAACATGATCATGCCTTACGTCATGGCTAGTGCCATATCGGGCGAGGAAACACACGTCTTTGTTGTCGCTCACGGCATTCTCCTCGCTGAACTCCAGTATGCTCTGCTGAAACGACGCCCGCAGGGAATAGCAGCATTCCAGAGGTCTCCGCTTGAAAACACAGGCTGGCATCGTATACAGATAGGATTGGGGACACCTGCGCAGGCGAGTGTAATGGCAGACGGTGGTGATGGGATAGAGACGGAGCAACACAAGCAAGAGCAGAAAACCCCTAATAACACCATCGAACAGCAGGAGTCACTGGTCGAGGGACCGCCGGACGAACTGAATTTGGCGACGCCGCTGACAGAGTCGATACCTCCCACTAAGGACCATCTCAAGCCAAAGAAGCTCGATGTGAGGTATACGCATATCAGTGAGGCGGGCCACTTGAGGGATATGACGCGTGCTAAAATGACAGCATCGATGGCATTTGATGAGAGGCAGATGAAAATTACGGATCTAATGTGATAAAACCATTTCACTGTTATTTCACCCGTTCTAGATGGTTTATATGAATATATGTGGGTTTACAGATACTGCCATATGTCTGCGAGCAGCGTGTACACTGAGGAAAGCGAAATGAGCGAAATGAACGCAATCGAACAAATACCAGACTTGAGATTTGAAATTGTCTTTACAAAGGCGTTTAATCAATCAAGCGGCGGTGTTTTCGGGATTTTGAGGATGTTGTTGGTGGACCAGGTGGGTGTGGTTGTGGTTGTAGCTGTGGCTGTGGCTGTAGCTGTGGCTATTGCTATTCTTATTACTATTTCTACGGCTACGGCTACAGCTGTGTTCCCGCTTTCGCCACTTACTCACCCACCCATTCACAGGTAGTACTCCCATTGATCCAGGGATCCTTATGGGGAGTTGGAGTATCCGTTGTAAAGAGCCTTCTGTTGTGAATTAGAATTTATTTTATATTTGAATCCAATTTACCGGTAACTTGACTTGCACCGCTACCGCCACCAGCCACGATAATCAATCAGATATGACGGATGTAGTTCTCCCAGCCAAGATACCAACGTTTAGTTCTTTGTTCACTAAATACGCTCCACACAAGTCCAGGCTGGTTGGCAGTCAAGGCCACACACACAGCCACAGCCAAAGCCACAGCACACAAAACCCCTCTTTCAACCTCATGAAACTCCCAAATGAGCTCGTTGAACTCATCACCGACGAACTCAGCTTCAACAAAAAGCTCCTCACTAGCTGCCTAAATCGCAGGCTTCGTCTTATCACAATGAAGAAAATTTTCAACTGTATGAAGCTCACTCACCCAATCGATTCCAGGAGGCTGGATGTCATTGGTCGCTGCGTAAAGTGTGTTCTGCTTGACCCGCTCAATGACATCATCTGACACACCAATCAGACATCTCACAATCACGTACAATCCCCCAAGTCTATTTTCTCTTTCAAATCTAAAATCCATTCAATATGTCTCAAATGATCCCCTTTCAGCTGAGACGTTGACGCAATTCTCTTGCGTCCCCAAGCTACACTCACTCACACTGGATGTGACCATTCTACAGCCCTCATCCACTCTCCCCAACAACCTCAAACATCTTAAACTGTCCTTCAGAGACGACAAGGATGTCCACGGCAACGATCCTCCACACAACATGGAAATCTTCTCTGAGGACCAGATCTGGCATTCTATAGTCCTCATGTCCAAACTAGTTGAGGCTAATGCTGCGACCCTGGAAAAACTTCACCTCAAACTACTTCTCCCCATTCACACTCTATCTAGTTGCTTATGGCCATGTTTGAAGGAGCTGACTTTGGTGAGAAGTTTCCCTAATCCCAGTTTCGAGCCCTTCCTCGCCAATGCACCACGGCTAGAGACGCTGCTGATACACGGCCGGCCGAACAACCAGTACTGGATAGGCCAATTGCCGAATGCAATTAATGCACCTGGTAAACTTCTCAACTCACTCAAACATCTCACGCTCGCAGCGACGCCGATAGCTGGTGATAATCTGTTCGCGCATCTCAACACGAACCTGCACTCATTCACCATCGAAGACCAGCTCAGCACTCGGTCTGCGTATTTAGTGGTGCACAGTCTCGCTACTATCCAGTTGCACGTGCTGCGAGTGGAGCCGCTCGCCACCACCCTTGACTGGCTCATGACGGTCGCCGACACATTGCCAACTTTGCGTGAACTCCACTGCCGCTACTCGCGTCTGAGGAAGCTACCTAGTCAATCGCTGAGTATGTTCGTGGAGATTCTCGCTAAGATGACCCACCTCCGTCATCTCAGCCTTGGCTGGGACCTCGATGACGAGTGTGGCGACGCACACACATCCGTCGAGCATGAGATGACTATTAAGCAAAATGAGTTCTATCACAACTTGGCTTTCTTGAGTAGTATCAATAGCAGCGGAAGTGGAAGTGGAAGTGGCAAGGGTGTGCAGCCAATGGAGCAGGTCGATTCGTCAAGCACTACACAGACACAATCGCAATCCCAATCACAGTCGCAATTTAGCACAGAATCGCCCCACTCCGCTTGCACTGAAATCACGACGCCAGTTTCCGAAATGAGCTCGCCCGGTGTGGCACTCTCGCCGAGCGCAGGTACAGGCACACCAACGAGCACGGTCGACAGCATGCGCGACGATCTGCGCAGACAGTGGAACAGGAGGAGCAATGCGCGTTACTGGACTTTTGCAGAAAGTGTGAGCAAGCGCATTCCAGCGCTGGAGACACTTAACGTCAAGCGATACAACGTTTTGGGTGAGCGCGAAGAAATCACCTTCCATCTCGCTGCAGGTAGAGTGAGGGCAGGCCGATGGGCATCGGAGACTGCCTTCCCTACCACTTCACACGCATTCTTGCTGTGAAGAATATTTATGTATAAGTAGTACAACACAGTGGAATATCTACCGCCACATCTTCCGTCTTACGTCTTACTTGTTCTTACTTTCTAGGTCTCTTGTCTTACTCATGCACTGCACTTTGCTCCTTGTTCTTGTCCTTGCCATAATCGTGTTCGGGCACGCCATGACTGACCAGCTCATCAGCCACATCGCCGTTGCACGCTTCGGCGTAGTCGATCTCGTCGACTATCTTCCACAAGCCCCCAACGAACTGCTCTCTCGCGCACAAGCCGTGCTCGTTCTCCTCGCAGCCCTCGATGCCATTGAGGGGGTGAACAGCGTCATTGACGACGATTCTATTAAACGGCGTGTCGTAGCAGCTGAGTGATTGGACGACGATGTTGGATGCGAACGGAATGAGGTGGGAGGTGACCCAGCGCAAGTTATCCTTGGAGTACTCCGCCACATGGTGCGTGCCCAGAGGAGTATCGAGGTGGGTGAGGTTAAGTGCCGTGAGGATGTTAGCGAGGACGACATCGTGGCTGAAATCGATATTGATAGGCTGCAGTGGCAGCGTTTCTGGGTTAGCGTCGAGGGTAGAGTTGATGGTCGACGGCTTTGCCAGTGCCTCTCTATCGCCCGTCAGGCGGTAGAGGAGCTCCTGCACCCAGCCGAGCCCCCGCGCGCGTGCGAGCGGGCTACCGAAGGAGTCGTTGCCGTAATGGGTGAGATCCGCCGCATACTCGTACCCTTCCCATTCAGCGCGCGTGAAGAGGTGGCAGAACTGCGAGTAGCCCAATGCCACAGTCTCGTACGCGCAAGTATCCTGCAGTGCATACACATCATCGAGCGTCAAGTGAAAATTTGTAGTTTGGGCATTTAAACGTGCTTGGGCGGGCTGGAGGTAGCGGTAGTACCACTGCTGGGCCCGCGCACTACCCTGCGAGCTCACACCCCCGTTCTCGCATGTCTGGTAGGGTGTGAGAGTGTTGTTGAATCCACCGCTGTCCTCGATGATCTGCACCAGATGCGCATTCGTTTCCCACTCATCCACGCCGAAGAACCCGCTGAGGAACTCTTCGGCACTGTGTAGCATGCGTGATTGCGTTGTCGTGCGGAAAACTGGCTTGTGCTCCGTGAACCCGTTCAGCAGATAGCCGTAGTTGGTGCGGAAGCTCGAACCGCTGTCACTCTCCTCTGTGCGGCCGATCGGGGTCAGTATCGCACTGCCGAGCTTGTACGTCCATTCCGCCATGAACTCAATTTCGCCTGTGAACTCAACAGTGTTGTTCGAGTCGGCAACCGCCTTGGACAGCTTCTCTGCGAATTTCGCCGGATTCGCTGAAGGCGTAGGGTAGCGCGATCCGTGGCGGTGCACGACGTTTATCCCATCGACACTGCACCCGGGTGGAGGGAGCGGGGAGGAGTCGAGAATTGCCGGTGCGGATCGATACGGTGTGAGCACTCCCCAGTGTCCCGTTACATCGAACTCTGCTGCTGAGGCAGCGTCACGCGCACGCGGTTTGTACACCCCTGAAGCTGGTTGCTTGACGTAAGGATAGCTGCCTACTGGCGCCGTCTGTATCGCTGCTGGCTCGACCCCCGTTGGTGTTGCGCCGCGGTGTCCTTGATCAAGTGCGTACGCGGGGTTCTCGTACCCATCCTCAGTGGGCCATGGTGTACTATCCGATGTGTGACTTCCGGCTGCGCTGATTGCGGTTGCGCCTGGAAATGTCAGTGTTGCACAATGTAGATGTCAAAATTCATAAACTCACGCTGGTTGAGTGCGTTGTGTGTCTCGAATTGCTTGAGCGGTGTCGCTCCGGCGAGTGCCGCAACTACTGCCAATTGTATCGCTGTCTTCATTGTGATGGCTTCCAAAAGAATTGCTCGCTATTTAAGTATAATGGTATCCCCCGTGCGTCAATTTGGTCACACGTTGGTCGTGGCGGATTAGCCTGAATGCAGAACGCACGTGCCGTTCCAAATGCGGGATAAGTAGGTGAGTAGGAGCTCTAAATAGCAATGTCCTCTGTGCGACCCAAAGATCCAAACAATATAATCCAGGCACGACCACCATCACAATATTGAGACACAAAATAAAACTGAATTTTCATTACAGCTCAGGCACGCCATTATGGACAACGTGGGTGTTATTAAAATCACCAAAACAGTCAAAAGTAAAATCTATTTCTGTTTTAACTTGGCGGAGAGCCTCGATGAAAGTGTCCATGCTGCACAATCCCAGTGCAGACTGACCATCACCGGCACACTCACCCAATCCATCTAGAGGCTGAACAGCGTCATTGAGGACTACCCTTGCATACTGTGCACCGTCGCATGACAGCGTTTGGACGAGCAAGTTTGCAGCAAATGGGCTGATAGCGTTCGATTTCCAGCGTGTCTGCTCTTCTGTAATATAGTCTTGAGACAGTGGACGAGCAAATTGCGTGAGGTTGAGCGCAGTTACCACCTCGCCAATAGTCACATCGTGTGTAAAATCAATATTGACGGGCTGGTCTGTGGGAAATGTCTTAGGATCTGTATCCAGCGTGGAGTTAGTGGAGCTATGGTACGCCACATTAGCGCGATCGTTGGTAAGTCGCGCGAGCAGCTCTTCTACCCAGCCTAAACCACTCGCTTTAGCGACAGGACCGCCAAAGCCAGCGTCACCATAGTGATACAAGTCGTATCCATACCCATAGCCCATCCACTCGTCCTTAGTGAAGAGAGAGCAGAAGGCAGAGTAGCCCAGTGCGATTGTCTCGTCTAAGGGTGTCAGTGAATTGACGGACCAACAACACCCAACACTCACATGCACATAGATCCTGCATACCCGCCACATCTGCGATAGTGAAATTGGCGTGCACGACCATCTCCGAAAGCCTATCAACAGCGCTTTGAAGGTATATAGCCTGCCAATGATCCTTGCGCGGATCGCCCTGATCTGCATCTGGCCTGTTGCACGTATTCCAGACGTTGAGAGTGGAGTTGAAGCCGTCCTCTTCAATCTGCTGGACAAGCTGCGCGTGCTCCTCCCACTCCTCGCCGAACAGTCCGTGCAGGAAGAGGATTGCAGAGCTGAACATGCGCTGCTCGGTGGTCGTGCGCACTACCATTTTGTGCTGGTTGTACTGATCGTGCCCATCGTCCTCGCCCCTTCCATCCACTAGAGCTCCATAGAGCACAGCGAAATGCACACCGCGCTCATACATCGTTTGCCTGCCGACCGAAGTAAGTTTGCTTTTGCCGAGTGGATAAGTGTAATTGTTGAGGAAGGCAAGCTCGCCGGTAAAGTGAACCTGAGCGTGATTAAGCTCGTCGTTACCGTTACGCAGCCCCTTAATCGCCTCAGCAGCGTCGCGCGCCTGGTCCCACGACGACGGATAGCGCTCGCCGTGTCGCTGCAGCAGCGTCACTCCCGCAACGGTGCACATGGGCGGTGGGAATGGGGAAGTGTTGTGTATTAAGGATGGTGCTGATTTGTAGGGCATGTTCACTCCCCACTCCCCCATCACGTCGAATTCGGTGGCATTCTCGGCGTCTTGCGCCACTGGACGTACGAGGATGCTTGGATAATCTGTCGTGTATGGATAGGAAACGCTTTGAGGAGGATTCACTCCCAGCTGTGCCGGTGTCCCGTCAGATACACTCCCCCGGTACGGCTGGTCGAGGTTGTATGCGGGTATAGATGCTTGGCTTTCCCCGCGCGATACTGCTAGCAACGAAGCTGCTACTACTAGTGCTGCTCTCATTGCACGATGTCGAGTGTATAGTTGATGGCGGATATTCCGAACAATGATCATCACTATGATTTTTACGTTTGAAAAATACAAAAAATCTCGTAAGCATGGGCGTGGCAACCATGGTACTTTGTCTAACGCACTAATTTACCAACGCTATTGCACAGGCGGGCGACCGCTGGAGACATGATCGTTTGCCCCCATATCCCACTTTCCGTGGCAATCTCCCTCGAAATCCACCTCTTCTCTCACCCTGTTGAGTGCATCTGTGAAAGTGTCCAACGGACACAAGCCCTCGTCATCGAATGGACAGCCCAAACCCGACAAGTCGTGTACGGCGTCGTTGAGCGCAAGACGGATGTATCTGCCTAAAGAGCGGGTATCAGTGTTAGTGTTCCTCGGTCAATGCTACAACTACACTCACCTGCACGTGGCACCTTATGTGTTTTTGTGATTTCCCAAGCGTCCTCTTTTTCACTCACATCACTAATACCCTCGCCCCCGTCACAACTCAGGACCTGCACGACGAGATTACCCGCGAAAGGCGAAATATGTGAAGTACGCCAACGACTGCTATGACGCGAAGGGCGCGGAATGCGATTAGATGGCAGAGGAGCTGCGAATTGGGTGAGGTTGAGCGCGGCAACGACATTTGCTATGACGGTATCGTGTGTGAAATCCGTGTACATTGGCATATCGAGGGGGAATGTGACGGGGTCCTCATTGAGTGTGGAGTTGGTAGTCGAGTCATATGGCGCAGGCGTCTGCTTGGTGATGCGCGCGAGAGTCTCTTCAACCCATCCCAGCCCCTGTGCGCGCGCTGTGGGGCTACCGAAGCCGGCGTCATAGTAGAATTGCAGATCCCATGAGTAGTCATAGCCTGGTGAAAATGTCAGGGCGTGTACTAGATAAAAGCAGAAAGACCACTCACCCTCCCATTCCTGCTTAGTGAATAGGTGGCAAAATTCACTGTATCCGAGTGATACTGTCTCGTCTGGGGGATGAGTAAGTAATGAGCAAGCGCAACACTAAACTCTAATCAACCACCCACAAGCACACAATTCCTATCGATATCAAAAACAAAGATGACGTCAGTTGCAATTTGAAAAGATGAAAGTACACTCACCTGCATTGCAAAAACATCGCCAATTTCAAACTCATACCCAAAAGCTAATTTGTTGAGGCGTTTTAGCGCATTGCGGAGGTACTTATTCCTCCATTTGCCGACATGCGCTTTGCTTTGGTATGAATCCTCGCGCGGGCAAATCTCCCACGGGGCGAGGGTGTTATTGTATCCACTTGCTTCATGCATGATGCTTAGGTGCGACTCTTCCTGCCAGCTCTCGACGCCGAAGAAACCTGCGAGCCAGTTGATGCTGTGAGAGTGTGAATGGGGGCTTAGTCGCACGCTGACAAGACACCCACGCTGATTTATACATGCGGTCTCTAAAGTGGGAGTGGGTGTGAGTGATAAAGTAAAATAAAGCACCCACTCACTGCGTCGTTGTACGGAATACTGGCTTGTGTTCTGTAAGTTTGGTGAGGAGATGGCCGTATTTTAGTCGGAAACCAGCCTGTGAGCGGTGTGAGACACATAAAATTCCATTCGTGACCCTTCACCTACACCGGAATTGTAGAGCTGCCATCTACCCACTGGAGTGAGAATGGCTTCTCCAAGTGCATACTTCCACTCGTTGAGAAATGCTAGCTCGCCGTGGAAGCCAATGTTATAGTCTGAATCATACGCTTCTTTCACAGCCGCGGACAATTTATCGGAAAATCTAAGCGGCATTGAGTTCGGCGTGGGGTACCTCGATCCTGTAAAAGAGTCAACGTCCATCACATATCAAACACCCTCACACACCGTGTCTGTGTAGCATATGCACCTCCTCGACCTGACAGGTGTCAGGCGCGAGTGGAGTGGTTGGGAGGTAATTAGGCGAAGAGGTGTAAGGCGTGAGGGGGCCTAGGTGTCTGATAGTTTTGAATGTGGAATGACAGCGTCAGTAGGATTCCCCCAATAAAACCCATTTCCCACCTCAAAACGTCAAAATCATCAGGTCCGCGAGCATCCTTAGCAGTAGGCTTAACGATAGCGGGATTAAGGGCAGATTCGAGTGGATAAGCAGCTGCAGTCTGTACGATGAAAGCTTCTGCGCCAGTCTGAGTACCGCCAACGTCACCGAGATCGGTCCTGAATGGCTCAGATGGGAAACCGTCGTCCGTGGGCCACGGGCGGTGGTCCTGCGTATGTGAGCCGGCGTCAGACTTGGCATCAGTCAGGGAGAAGTGGTGTTTGGGTGCGTGTGCTTCTTGCGGGGGATGTGGTACGAGTGTGTCGAGCGCCAAGAGCGGACTTAGCAGACACAATATCGGGATTATAAACAGACAGCCTGAGATTACCATTATATTCTTGGATCGAGGAGACTGCCATTTCTGCCTGCGGGTCCGGTTGTGCGTGCCGCCAGGACTCCCGTTCAAAGGCGCCGCTTCGTCGAATATCACATCCTTATCGCCATCGTCGTCATCGCGGTTGTGTTGCGGGAGCAATGGGCCGTTGTCGGCGCTGGGTCGGTGTGACATGATGGAAGATGGAGATAAAGCGATGGGCATGGTAACAACACTAGGGAAATGAAAAATAAATAATACAACATAATAATCTACAATATAGCTTCGTTGTGCTTCTTCTGGTCTACCACTCTCACGAATGTTTCAATCCAGCGTGAATGTTCAGCCATTATATTAGATAGACGTTTGAGTGGTGCTGCAGACGAGTCTAGGAATTGCGCTGACTCGCTGCTAGCCTCCATCAGAGCATCGAGAGAGACGATGTGGACATTTTCAATCGTCTGTTTCAATTTCTGGGCTGCGTTGAGCGAGTGCTGTGAATTGCGGGTGATTTGAGCATCGTCTTGAGTGTATATTGTGAAGCCATTGAGATTATCATCATCCTCACGTTGCTTGTTTCTACGCATGTAATTATTGATGCGTTGGCTATCATCCTCGCTGTGATGATCACTATCGCTCTCGCTCTCATTCTCATTCTCATTCTCATCTTCACCAGGTGACCAGCCTCGCACAGCACCAACGTCTGATTCGTGCTTGACAATGACAGGACGTGGATCAGTTGTACTATCAGAATGAAAATCTTCACCGTAGTTGTGATGAGGATGCTCGTGTACGTCTACAAATGCATCATAGAATGGGTTTTCCTTGTCGTGATCTTGATCGTGATTTTTATGCTGGTCCTGGTTCTGATGCTGAAACCGTTTGTTTAGTACCTCCGTTCGAGGGGAGCGTGGAGCATCGCCGATAGCGAAAAGCTGCTTAAGTCTTGAATTGCCACCGGTGGTATCGCCATCAGCATCGATTCTACCATCACCTCCATCACCACTTACACCAACTAAACTCTGTCTCTTGAATTTAGTTTGGCTGTTTCTGCTCTCAGCTTTGGGCCAGAAGGGTGATTCTTCTTCAGCTGGTTTTGACTGTCGAGGGCGTTGAGCTGAGTCAAGCGCATTGGTATGTGCTTTTGCTTTCGTGAGCTTTGAAGGGCTATCGCTGGCTTCGTCCATAGCTTTTCTCTTGAGGGAGGGGAGTGTGGGGAGTGGAATGTCTGTGTCTTGAATATGGGTGTTATAATTTTCATTTTCCTCGTTGACGTCTGCGTTGTCGTGTGTATCTTTCTGTAAATCCACATCCCCAGGCAATAAACCTCCGGAGCCCGGATTAAAATGCTCGTTATCGTTATCGTTATCGTTATCGTTATCAAGCTGATTATAACCATCACTACCACTATCGTAGATTAATTCGGGTTCAGGCGATGATGACATGTTGCAAGTAAACGACCAAGAGGGAAGATGGTTAAGGAGCGGAATACGAATATTATGCAGCTTCTACCCGATGATGGGAAAATTCAACCAATTAATTCTGAGGATGATTGGGGCAGTGAGGACAACGAGGATCTCACCAATTCCACGGATGCCACACCCAGCAAGCCAATCATAACTCCTACCACCTCTGATGTCTACTTTCAATACCAGAATATCCCTGCTAGACCCAGTAATTCTCTTTTCCCTTACCCGCCACTTACAGCCAAGGAAACACGCACCGCACTTGAGAATGCCCCTCAAAAGCCCTGTGTACCCCGCCAATCCCATAAACGCCGCTACCTCCAATGGAAAGCTGAGCTATTTCTTCTCCACCGCCCACTAATTTTCACCGGCTTCGGCAGCAAGCGGGGGGCAATAGATGATTTTGTGCGGGAGCTATCTGGGGAGTATGATGTAATCACTATCGATGCCTTCAACCCGTCTATCACTTTTCGCGGTGTGTTAGAGGGGTTATTAGCGGTACATCAGAAAAGCTCAATTCCATCCAGCACACCCACAGACGAGCTGATGCGCAGCGTACAACTGCAATACTCGCGCGCATCCACGCCTCGCATAGTGGCAGTATTGCACAGTATGGATGCGCTCACCTTGCACGCGCGCAAGAACGTCGATGTAGACAAGTTAAAGCGGGTGTTGGGGAGTGAGCGCATCAGCGTAGTGGCCTCAGTCGACCATCTCAATGCTCCTCTTCTCTTCCCGGCTCACGATGCCGCTGTTGGGCTGCCGTGGCTGTGGCACGATCTCTCCACCCTTGAACCGCATCTCATGGAAATGGCTCAGCGCGCTACATCCCTCTTGCACAGCTCGCAGGCCGCAAGCAGCACTGGTATCGTACCCACTGTTAGCGGAGCTAGACACGTTATCGCCAGTGTGCCCGATCGCGCTCGTAGATTGTTCGTAGCTATCGCTCAATTGCAGTTGGAGAGATGCAGCGAGGGTGAAAAGAGCGACGCTACTGCCCAAAATACCTCTACCACCTTAACCCCCTCTCACGCCTCCCCGAGACACGCTCTAGTCAGCATGGCTAAACAATCCTTTATCGCTACCTCGGAAGACGCTTTCGAGGCCGCTTTGGCTGAGTTTAGAGATCACGGCCTCATTCAATCGTCGTCTTCTCCGCCTTCTAACACTCACGTCGACGGTCCCGAGCAGTATATCTGGATACCACTCGACCAGCGCTCGTTGAGGAGGACCTTGGAGGATGGTGATTAGAGTGATTTAAAACCATGCATTACAATGTATTTATTATGACTGCAAATAAGTGAAAATTGTTCATTGTTCGTTGTTCATTGTTCGATATATTAGGTAGTTGATATCCTAGAAATACCTGATGCACCCAACCTGCTTATGGCGAATCAGCTGACAATTCAAATGGACATGCGACGTCACTGTCGGAAGACTGAGACACTGTCGTTGTCTTGGTTAGTCCCTGTATCTGCATATCCAACTTGAGTCTGATAGAGAGTGTCGTAGGCGGTGGCTGTCCCTTCCACTGATGTTTGCAAGCGTCGTGCCAATCACTCCACGTCGGATCGCTGTCATCGGATGCCTCGTAGGAGAAGTGCACGGGTACATCGACGTGTATATCGTTATCTCGACTATAGGATTTGCTTTTCTTGAACCCGCCCTCGCCCACTTTAGTATTTGTAACAGCGTCGTATACGGTCGCGTCGAGGTGTTTAACGGTGATGGGTATCCAGCTGGTCGTGGTGTCTAGCGAGACTGCCACGCTGCCGTCAAACGAGAAGTTAGCCGTGGGATACGTTAGGAAGCTAGGGCTATCCTCGTCCTCCAGGTTGAGAACAGTTGATCTAAAAGTGAAAGTGGGTGTGCGCGGAATGAGGAAATAGAGTAGAAGGATAAGGCTGTGAAGAGGAAGAGAGTAAGCCATCACTCATACCACCGACAACGACTGAATGCCCACCTTATTATTCCCCCAAATGCCATAAATACCGCCGTCTTCCTGCTTATGCCACAGCACTTGCGCTGGCCCCGGAACCAGCCTTTCGCGGCACGCTTACGATCCCAGTTTGCTTCTTTGCGGCGGTGGGATTTCGATATACCTTTGAGCTCGTCTGCGTGCCAATCAGCGCCCATCGCGGGGACAGTGAGCATCCCGTCCTTGTCATCCTTGCCAGCCTCACTGCCATCGTGAGTGAGCTGTGTGTGCTCCGTCGCTGGCGTTCCCGGATGGCTGTCCGCTTGGGGGAAGAAAGGGACGTAGCGTGGACCGAGGTTGTTGAAATCAGCGGCTGGATCGAAGTGGTTGTCATGGGAATAACCGTGCTCCATTTCCCCCATTAAAATATCTGAAGATCTCCCAAAGTTCTTGTTCATTTATGTGATGATAGAATCCGCGTAAAGAGAGTTGAGTGGTATGGATAGGCGTGAATATTTTACTTGTAAATTGATTACTGGAAGTAAAATATTTAGGATAGCGGTTACTCTCTTTCCTTAAATCCAGTACACCCTTGTATCCCATCAAATGAATATTTTCACTTGCAAATAACGGCTGACAGTGACAGCCCAGATGCTACACCTACATAAACCACCCCACGCCCTTGAATACCACTGGAAACCCCTTGAAATACAAATTTTTAACTTATTTTGACTTGTCCACCTTCTCCTCTCCCGCACCACCAACGAGCACGAGCATGTCTTCATCAGTCGGTTCAATTTACACCTACCCAGGCAGCTACAGAGCTATCAGATGCCTTGCAGTGGCAGCCTACAACGATTTGAAGGTGGACACCCCTGCCTTTGAATTTGGCAGCACCAACAAGACTCCTGAGTACTTGGCAAAGTTCCCTTCAGGAAAGGTTCCGACATTTGAGTCAGCCGATAAGTCCCTTAAGCTTTCTCAAACTGCCGCCATTTCCTGGTACCTTGCCTCTCTCAACGACTCAACTGGTCTTCTCGGCAAGTCTCCAGCCGATGCAGCTCTCATCCAGCAATGGGTCATGTTCGCTGAGACTGACATCTTCTTCCCTGTCTCTCAGCCAGCCTACATGAACCTCGGCTTCATGCAGCCAATCAAGCCAGCCAGTGACGCTGCATTCCCTGCTTTGGAGAGAGCTCTCAACGCCCTCGAATCCGTCCTCAAGTCTCGCACTTTCCTCGTCGGTGAGCGTATCACCCTCGCTGACATCACCGTTGCCTCCATCCTCCGCTTCGCATACTTGCACGTCATTGACGCATCTATGAGGGCCAAGTACCCACACACCCTTAGACACTACAAGTCTATCGCCCACAACCACGTCATTAGCCCTATCTTTGGCGATATCCAATACCTCGAAAGCTACAAATTCAGCCTCTTCATCTGCCGTGGTGAAGATTATCTGAGCCTCATTAAGGCTGCTCCTGACTGGGAATCATACGCATACAGCCCTCTTGACTTGAACAATGTGAGTATTTTCCGTCTTCACATGCGTGTCAACTAACATATAAAAGGCGGACGATAAGGCATTCTTCGAGGGTGTCATGGCATGGGATCTCGTCAGCAATGGCAAGGAGTGTGTAGATGGCAAAATCTTGAAATAAACTGCGAAATGGAAGATTTACACCATGGGTGTGAGACATGTACCGCCTCATACATTTCTACTCTGGCTATTAAAAATCTACGTTGTATTGGTGTTGGAGGGAAATAACACGCGCTAGGAAGAATATCTAGCTTGTGTAGTGCTGACCTGGCTAGATCGTGCACCACCTGTGTCTTGTGCGTTGTTTCGTATTGCGTTGTTTCGTATGAATATCTCATGTGTTTTACTACATGAAATGGAGAATGATGATGGGGATGCACACGTCTTCTCCTAATCCTATCGCTGTCACTCCTTCATCGCATCTCTTTCCATGCACGACTCGCTGCACTGTTCGAGCCACGAGAGGTAGAAGGTTCACAGATGGGAGCAGATGAAAGCAAATCGAAGCAACGCTGGAGAACCTATAATCGGAATAATCGACACCTCTTGCGTTAAAGCCCTGCTCCATTTGAGACAATCTTTTCAAACATTTCCACTAGAGGTAGGTATCGGGGCTCAGGTGCGCCCATAAAATTAGACCACCGAGCTCCGTTGCGACTTACTGGAGATGCATCAAATAACTAGGCTGGACTTTCTTCGGCAAGAAGAGTTCTTTCTTTAGAACGAGAATAAACTGCCTAGGTAAAGCTGTCCTAGTTAACTTGTAAGAGGCAGCCTTTAGACCAGTAAATTTTACAATCTCATCCATTGATCACTTTCTAGTGCAGCTTTATTGATGATATTTGACTAAGCGATGTTATGTTATAAAATGGACAGAATGTTCGACTAAATCTACCCAGCAGTCGAGACTTATTTCATGTATGTCAAAACTACGATCATTCATAATGGCACTAGCCTTACATTTTGTGTTTACCAAAATCGAGTCGTATCAGTGCTTTCTTAAAATCAATGTTACACACGTTACGAGACCATGAATAAAGGACATTGTTTCTACCAGAATATCTGGAAATCAACATATAGCCTTTAACTAGAAACATAAGATGAATATAGGAATATCTTATTACACGATAACCTACTTTCTTTACTAAAAGTTTCACTCTCGACTCTTACACCTTAAAGACAGGGATTTGGTGGATAACCATCACATGCATTTCATAAATCGACCTAAAATCTCCATTTAGACCGGGTTTCTATTTGAAACTTAACATTGACGAAAAGCACAAGCATTATAAGAAATCTGCCTAGTTTTCAAAGCAGGCTAACAAGAACCCAAAATACTCCAACCCCAAGGCAAGATTGAATTCTTAATTAGATTGATACATATTGTATCCAAAAGACTTATTGTCGACCAGGCGGTAATCTGCTTGAAACAGCCTTGCCTTGTCATTTGAGTATATCTGGTTCTAGTTCGCCTCATCTGCAAACCAAGAAGACTTCTTATACCTATTCGCTTGATGTTCTGTGCTTTTTATTACTAAAGGAGAGGAAAGAATTGAGGGGAGCGTCCAGGTCGATGTCTCACAACAATCTCATTGTCTCGATTAGTCAACAACAACATGTAGCAAACAATTTGAGTGGACATACGCATTTTAATATTCACGGGCAGCTGTTGTGATCATCAATACGTATAAAGTCTATAGCAATTTCTCTTTTATTTTTTGGCATTAGAGCTGCCCATACATAATTCAGTATAAATTATCAAGCTATTTTATTAGAAAAGATGCCTGCAGCAGTATGGATTACTTTAATTAATTAGATCTGCTCACATAGCCCTGCAACGACCAAGTAAGTAATTGAGAAGACGAACGCAGCGATACTACATATGGACAAAATGAACAATTTAGCAAAAGCATCGATTTATGGTATTCTCGGATTTTCTTAGCTATTCTCATATCGAGCATACGCTCAGGTTAAAATATCCATTGAGTTTGATTTCTCCACTACCACCCATCATTCGGATGGTTGCTTTACAAATTTTGACGATCTCCGAAGGCAAAAGCTTGATAGATAATCTTGAACGAGTTCTATCAATTCATCCAGAGTTATATCCCTAAGGCAACAATTTTGCTCTGTACGCCGTTCAGAAGTTGCAGTCCGACATCCACTGGAGCACGCTATACGATAATACGGGGAACTTCATGCGTCTCATTGATATAACCAAGCTTTCATAGCTGATTTAGAGTGCAATCACCCAAAGATGCCAAGTATTCGTCTCTATAAACACGATTTACATTTTCCGGCACGTAGGGTCCATAGGACTCAAACGGGGAACCAAGGAAATATAATTGTTGTGACGGATCATTCCAAATTAATTGAATGCGATTCATGCAAACAAAAATGGGGGTCAACCTAACTTTGAAATCGGGGATTTGGCCTCACAGTGGATTTCGAAATCTCGAACAATGGGGGTTTGAAAACGATTAAGGTTGCATTGGCGTCGTAGAAGGCAGGAAGGAAAATGGAATAAATATTTCGACTCCAAAAAAATAAACTATGAGAGCCATTTCACATCTGATTGAATAATTACTGAGCGCCGTACAACGCTATTCACGTTAAACCCACTCCATTATATATTACAAAATCAATCGCTAAAAAACGATAACAATATTTCTCACGTTTGCTGTAATCACAGAGCTATGACGAACACGACATTAAGCTTGTCATTCTCGATTTGTGATAACGTACTTTTCTTTGTGATTTGGTGATTATTAGGGGATGATTCAATTGTAAAAGAGCACTTTGTGCGTTTATTTAGCTTTAAATTACAATGAATGTTGAATTTTGCCAGCGATTGACCGTCTCCGAGCTGTAATTGCTCTTCGATGATCAACTGTAATGCTATAAAGAGATTGAATGATGAATCATAGAGAATTTCGGCTTTCAGTATACCTAATTAGGCATTTTTGGTTACTTTATCACATTTAAACCGCCTTGAACTCTCTTCAAGCCGTTGCAGTCTTTCTACACTCACTTTCATCAGATAGTCCATTGATCACACGAGAATAGGAGAAAATTACTATCCAAGCAAATTGATTGTTCTAAAGGATAGACTCTTATAAAATTATTGCATGCCTCTCTCCATTCACCACGCATTCACCCTGATAATACGACTCTGGTGACATCATTGATGCACGTTCAGACAGAATCCAGATCGATAATTACAATTACTGCCGGAAAATAGTGAGAGAAGCCTCAAGTAATCCTCGGATCGTCAGTAATTTTGTTGTCTCACAGGTTTCCAAGTTTTTTTCTCATAAATTTAAGGCACTATCACATCACTATCATCCGTTACCCATTTGATCCTGGGCGTATTTAAGCACTGTCATGTGGCATTTGACTTAGTTGCATCATTTACAGAACAACCTTGAGAATCTCCTCAGAGAGCCGACTGGGATCAAATTGATCACTTGGGAGGGTTGATACAATGTTATAAAGACTTGATTACATGTTGCCGTATATTAAAGCTTTATAGAAGCGCAACGCTCTCGACAGTGCTGCAGAACACCTGCTTTACCAAATATTGTGTTGGTCACGGATCTTGCACATATTAGTCGCGCATGTTGATAATTCGATTGTCTATATTCCGGGGCATTTCAAGCTTCTTGTGCTTATAATTTCATTGATTCATTCAACCATTCTTTGTCATCGCTGTTGCTTCCGTTCAGTGATAAAATTACTGTTTTATGGCTAAATAGAGGAAATTAATTCATATATGAAGTAAAAAATAATAATGAGATATGGAATATGCTAACAGACTATGTTCTCCCGTTGCACCCCATGAACGCTAAACTGGGACTGGTCTATACTACGCTCCAAGCTTGTCTCAGTTTCTCTGAGACACATAAGAGACTTGAGAAGGAAATCCGAAAACACGAATCATCAGTTGAGTAAAATTGGATAGCCTCTGACCATCATTGGCCATTCACCTTATGTTGTATTTGTCTTTGGTGGTATAGAGGTGGTGACTGCCTACAAACATAGCGTGAGGGCTCATCGATTGGAGGAAGGTATAAATACCAGACGAGTAAGTAATTCAAAAACTGGATTGCTACTTTCGTAAAATCACCAAATCTTGCTTCTTTGATTCTTTGCCCACCTATCCTAATGCAACTCAGTAAAAGAAGAATGTCATTTCTACTTATACCTGTCGAATTATTTGATAATATCATCAAATACGCGTTATCTTATCGCTTGCTCTCGTAAACTCTATCTTTTGGGGTCCGCTTATCGGCTCACCAAGATATCTGGACCTAGGCCGAGTTCAATGATATTTGGCAAGAGATACAATAAACCTCAATTGAATGCTTTTGAAACTAGTTGGAGCTTTAAATCAGTGACGAATCGAAAGCTAACGACATTACAGCGAGTTTTACTTTTGCTGGAAATGCTTCTCTGACGCCTTTCATTCAGACTTCGAATTCAGACTTCAGTATACCTAACAGGAAGCTCATAAATGAAAGGCTCTTGCATTTTCGCAGGATTGCCTTTCTGTCTTCCAAATCACCAAAACTTAAGACATTGATAGTCCCAATTCCTAATAAAACCCACATGAAATTTCTGCCTGTGCATATCAAAGTCAAAAATTCTGGGACAAATAGCACTCATTTCACGTCATTCAGCCACCTGAGCATTTACATTATTGAACGATTTCCAAATGCGACAAATGCGACAAACAAACATCCTTTTGGACTCAAAACCCAGAATTAAAACAATTGAAGCAGAAACAAAAGAAGATGGTTTGTTTTTATACGCTGCTGATTTTAAATCTAAATCTAATTTTAATTTTAATTTAAAGCGTTTGGGTTACCTCTCGAGAATGAACAAATTTGGTCCCGTATCCGATCTTATATAGCTTCCAGGATAAAGCTTATTCAGTAAATAGGGCCTCATAAATAACCCAGTAAAATTGACCTCAGCCCTATGTCGAATGAGACAGTACAACCCGTTTCGAGAATTTCTGAAAAGAAGTTTAGATTCAATATCACTATCAACGTTTGTATAACTCTTGCAACTTTGGATAATAAATAATATCTATCTTAAAACGGCGGCACGTCATTCGCGATGACATGATGAAGCGGATCATCCTCGTCGACTTTGACCAGTCTTTGCGCTTCAATATCCTCAGCTGTGACTTTACCGCCGTCTACCTTGGCTGACGTTTTCCTCGAAAAGAGTAAAATGTTATTTTTGCCAGTTCAAGCTCCATTACAACGACTTGGATAACAAGCACAACCTCGGAAAGATAATCAAGTGTGTGTTGCTTTTTCTCAGATAAGACACTGGAACAAATAGAGAAACGGACTCGCCATAAGGCAATAAAATGCCCTTAGTTGCGATAAACTATTCACAGGTTTTATTTAGTTCTGATTTTATCTTACTAACATATCACAAAGGGTATGTTTATCAAATAAGAGATGCTTCGCTAAGGATACGAGGTTCTGATTGTCTATGAGTTACGAACAAGTAAGATGCGTAGTGATTGTCACAATGAATTGCTTCCATTATACTACGGCGTGGAAGCCAATGGAACCAGAATCACTAACGAGGCGCAAGTTGAGGGTGGAACAAAACCAACCAAACTTGCTCACTAAAGCGCTGCAAGATCCCTGCGTGTTTTGAGAATTGTAGGAAAACGTCCAAAAACTTGAATCCCGTAAAGTTTTTGCATATTAGATCAGGACTTTAATGCGCGTATCAACATCGCACTTATAGTTTTAAAAATTGCCTGTTTGGTTGTATGGAAAAGAGCTTATTTCAATTGATGTTTACGAGATCTCTTGTACCACAAAACAACTTGTACCAGCTGATCATATGTATTTATTTTCCTCTTGCTTCAATCCACAAAGAAAGAGTCTTGATAACCAGAGAATGTAACACTTTTACCAGGAAATAGCGGCAGCTTGGGATACGTTGAGCGTCTTGTCAATTTTCATTTATTTATGAAATGTGAAAGACCATCATTGCATTAGGTACAATAATATTGAAGCCCTGCGACTAACTACAATTTGATTGAATAAGGGGTTTTGAGTAAAAATCTTCAATTCACATTATGAGAAGCAGTTCCTGACCGATCTCTTCTATCGGTATACCCGGGGTCTTGAGGTGCTTTGAAAATTTCTGCGCTCGCACCATCCACTTTTTTCACGGATCTGAAACTCATTCAGACAAGTTGAACTAAGTTTACCGAGCCTAAGGCGACTGTATAACATCGGACGAAGCTTTGTTTTCAAAGAGTCTCCAGAAGCAGCGTCTTTACATATTTTCATCTGTGAGCCTTCCACCTCTCGCGGCTCGAACAGTGCAGCGAGTCGTGCATGGAAAGAGATGCGATGAAGGAGTGACAGCGATAGGATTAGGAGAAGACGTGTGCATCCCCATCATCATTCTCCATTTCATGTAGTAAAACACATGAGATATTCATACGAAACAACGCAATACGAAACAACGCACAAGACACAGGTGGTGCACGATCTAGCCAGGTCAGCACTACACAAGCTAGATATTCTTCCTAGCGCGTGTTATTTCCCTCCAACACCAATACAACGTAGATTTTTAATAGCCAGAGTAGAAATGTATGAGGCGGTACATGTCTCACACCCATGGTGTAAATCTTCCATTTCGCAGTTTATTTCAAGATTTTGCCATCTACACACTCCTTGCCATTGCTGACGAGATCCCATGCCATGACACCCTCGAAGAATGCCTTATCGTCCGCCTTTTATATGTTAGTTGACACGCATGTGAAGACGGAAAATACTCACATTGTTCAAGTCAAGAGGGCTGTACGCGTATGATTCCCAGTCAGGAGCAGCCTTAATGAGGCTCAGATAATCTTCACCACGGCAGATGAAGACACCGTCAATCTCTGACGCACCCTCGACACCGCCGGCCTTGGTGTCATTCTGGACGAGACCTACACCCATCATGTACTTGCGAGACGCCTCAAGTCTCGTGAAGAAACCACCAATTTGGTTGTTGCTCATAAAGGTGGCTTTGAGTTCTTCATTCCACTTGAATGTGAACTTGACGACCGTGTAATCTTCTGGAACAAAGTTAGCGTAGAAGTAAGCCAACGAGTGCTTGGCAGGGTCTGTGCCACGCGTGTCGAGGTTCATGTAGGCACGCTTCCACGCTTCAAGGTTGAATGAGGATTTGGGGAGAAGGTCGAGAGGGTTCTTTGGCTTCTCAGCTGGAGCTGGGGCTGGTGCAGCTTCTTCCTTTGGCTTCTCTTCCTTCTTCTCCTTTGGCTGCTCCTTCTTCTCCTTCTTTGGTGCGGTGAGTTTGAAAGTGTCGAGGTAGTTGATGTCGCCAAAGAATTTGCTGCAGACGTGGTTGTGAGCGACAGACTTGTAGAATCTAACGGTGTGAGGGAACTTGGCTCTCATTGCGCTGTCGACGACGTATGTGAATGCCACACGAAGGATAGAAGCGACAGAGATATCGGCCAAGGTGATGCGCTCGCCGACGAGGAAGGTGCGGGTCTTGATAACAGACTCAAGGACAGCAAAAGCTCTTTCAATCTGAGGCAAGGCAGCTTGATACTGTGCGTGATTGACGGGAGTCAGTCCAAATACCATGTAGGCTGGTTGTGAGACAGGGATAAAGAGGTCGGTATCACCGAAAGCGATCCACTGCTGGATGAGACCAGCATCTTGTGGAGATTTGCCAAGAAGGCCCGTTGAGTCGTTCAGAGAAGCGAGGTACCTGTCCCGGTGAGTGTAATTCCTCCATGTCAACACACAATCTTACCAGGAGATAGCGGCAGTTTGGGACAAGTGGAACTTCTTGTCGGCGGACTCAAAAGCTGGAGCCTTGCCGAATGGGAACTTGGAAAGGAATTCTGGCGTCTTGTTGGAGGTGCCTAACGCGAACTCTGGTGTGTCAAGCTTCAAGCCGTTGTATTCAGCGACAGAGAGGCATCTGAATGCTCTGAAGTTATTTGGTTGGCTATAGAGTGTTCCGGCTGTAGTCATTTTTGACTTTTTAGGAGAAGAAGGCACGCATTTCGTGGGGACCTGATCGCTACAAATTTGTAAAACAGTGGATTTGGGGAGGTCGAGCTGGAAATAAGCATGCGCTGTATATAAATCGTAGATTTCTGCCTGTGTTGTTTGATAGCTGCTTTATTTGATATAGCCTGATGAGCCAAGGCAAGGAGTCAGCGCTGAGACAAGCGGCAAGTAGAACGCGCTGAAAAGCCGAGTTCAAGCCGCTTAAAGTCCAAGGCTCTTTGCCAAACCTCGCTAGAAAACATCATCTATCTAACGAATCCTAGTCGTGTTGACAATGCTGAACTGAATGATAAAGCTGAGTAATTCTAATCAAACTTGAAGTAATTCTCAGGCTCGAGTATGACAGTGCTAGTGTCTGCGCTTGAGCCATGGTCGAGCGTCTCGATTCCTGTTTCGAATCTCGGAAAGCTGGATAAGTTGGCCACTCTGTAAACAAATGAATTAAAGTGTAAAAGAAATACGCTGCCTGGGAGTATATCGAGCAGCTGATCATCACGACTCCCGGGACCGTCTTCTCTCTCCGCGACTATCATCTAAAATATGATTGATGAGCCATTCCAGCTGTCTAATTACACGGTGAAGCAGGCGAACAGGCCATTCAACGTAAAGGGAAAGTCGTCGTCTTGGCATGCCACCGATTTGGCGACGCTGACCGTCCAAGCCGATGGAATACACTTGCTCGATGTGAGTGAGCGCGGCATGAATAAACGCGAGCTGACACGGGCTACAGATAGCATCACAGAACACCCTTCAATCATTTTCCACGGGCCCTTCCACGGCTTTTGCTTCAGCAGCGACGACGTTCGTCGAGGAGCTCAAGGATGGCAATATTACGAGGAGGACTGTTGCGCTCTCGGGCGGCTCAACGAAGAAGCAGAAGGTGCTTTCGTGGAGAGAGACTTTGAGTGCCTCCCAGGCTGCCCATTTGGGTGGCCAGTCGCAGCAGGAAGACTTTGAGGTGCGTGGGAGTGTCGCGGGGGACTCCACTGACAGCACTCTAGATCGACGGTGCTGCTGCCACTTTGCACCCAATCCCTGTCAGCCCGCCAACCATGTTGATCGGCTATCCCGATGGATCATACCTCTACACCCACTCAGACTTTACAAGGATCGAGCAGGTGAAGAGCGACAGCCATCAGTGCCAGCTCGGTGAATTCGTTTTCGCCGCTGACAACGTTCCCTTTCTCCCAAAGGCAGAGGTTGCAAGATACGTCGTGCTGACAGTATCGCAGGGCAACAAGGACAAGTCAATCACGATTAATGCGTATCAGGTACTCAACAATGCTGCAAGAGCACTCGAGTTGCTCGGCAATGCAATTGTGCCATTCGAGGAGACGATAAGGTCGATCAGTGCATCATCCACTGGACAGCTCCACATCGTAGACAGAACCAACAAATTCAACAGCATAGAAATACAATCAATTAACAAGAATCAATTAATTTATAAGCACCTTAGCAGCATTTCAATCAAGGACACGTACAAGGATTTGGCAGTGTTGGGACTAAAGAATTCTCTCGCTCTTCTGGTGGCTAGAAAGGAGAATCAGATTGTCCTTACTGTATGGGACACCACGCTCAAGATCATGTTGTCGGAGTATGAGTTTGCAATCCCCCAATCAGTCGGTAGCAGTGAGGTGGAATTGGAGTTGTCTGATATCTCAGTAACATCCGCCATGCTTGCCATCTCATCAAAGTCATCGAAACGCTCGCAAGCGGTAGTGATGGTCGTGCCTTTCTCTGTACCTTCACAATCCACCATCCTCGCAGCTCTTGGTCGCGAGCAAGTCACGCAGAAATACCTCAGCAAACCCTCCAAAGGTGTACAGCAGAAATCAGCATCACCGCTCGATCCAGACCAGTCGAAGCTTCAGGAAACACTCTCTTTAATCGAGAAGATCATCACCGATCCACAAACTGATTCTGAAGAAGCAACTGCCGTACTCAATGAGTACTTTAAAACAGAGAACTTGAGACTGAGGAACATCGCCAACGAGCTCTTCAGAGCGGATCTCGCCGACGCCGCGCTTGAAAGCTTCGGGAAGGATGTAGATCAGAAGACTATAAAGGAGGAGTCGATGAAGAACATCTCCACTGAGCCAGTCTTACCAAGATGGTTTGTCAAGTCGCTCATTGAGCTCATCTTTAAGAACGCCCTCAAAGAGAAAGTTAGCCACTCGAATAAGCACGAAAAGGTGTTTGAGTTTCAACCTAGCCACTATAGCCGCACAGTAGTATCAAGACTAATTTGGTTGCATGTCATCTCGAATGACTACGCTATCTACTGGGGAGGTATACTACAAGCTCTGTGGAAGTGCAAAGACGCAAAAAGCCTCATCCCAGCCATTACTCAGGTCGGTGATATTCCAGAGGCGTCACTCGTCAGCATCCTCAAATCAGAAATCGCACTTCACAGAACTCAGCAGGAGGAGCAGCGCAAAACTAAGGAAGATACAGACAAGATGGAAGTAGATGGAGATAGTAAGACTGACCAATCTAGTAAATCAAAAGGATTTGAAGGTTTCGCTCAAGTTGACGGTGTGTTGAAGGCAGTCATAATGTCCGATTACACGCCTGGTTTAATGAGAAGAAGCTTCTACGAGCAATTTGCAGATGGAGATGATATAAATAGACTGTTTAAAAAAGTGGAATTCTGGCTACACAAGGAGTTTACACACCCACAAACAGATATCAGCAACATATCTAACAAAGCACAAAAGGATGCTATTCGGGAGAGAGTGAAGGGAATCAGAGCACCAAAGAAGTATCAATTGACTTTAGAAAATCTCACAAGAATGGCTCAGGTTTTGCTCGATGCCTTTTTCCCTATTTTATTGCACTACGAGGTGTCGTACTACCAAGTCGAGAAGCTAAACAACACACTCAAGGAACTCACCGAGCGTGAACAGGCACACGCTGATTTGCGCAGATTGCTCGAGACGTTCGCAGCCAAAGCTACGGCTACAAAGGACAAATTAGAACCACAAATGTCGGTCAAAGCTGCCAAGGAAGAGAAGAGAAGTCTTGGTGTTGGTTCGTATGCAATTGAGCAGTTTGACCTTGAGTAGGTTTAGATGAAGCCTAAGTGAGGCATGCGTAAGTGGTAGGATTTGTTTACACTTTTATTTAATGCATTTGTATCTTATTATAGAAAGTGGTTATGTTAGAGGACATTAAATTTTGTAAATAACAAAGGGGAGAAAAGAGAAAGGGAAATCTTTTTAGATGTGTTATGTGTGGAAGGAGCCTGTTTTGATGATATAGCGTTTCGCTTATTGCACGTCACACTGCGATAACGTCAGTAAAAGCTATCAAATTCGCATAAACCTACACCAGGGGTGTCTGATGCGCGAGTGTTAAGGATAAGCGCAACAATAAGCTGTAGCTGGGTTAGATGGGTACCTTCAAAAAAGCCTATACGCACTCCATAAAGACCCAAAACTTCAGCAAAAATGAGGATAAGAACCTGTTTGAGGAGGTTTGAGATATAATCTTAATAACCCATTCTAACGCACCATTCCAACGAATAATCTAGGCTGCTGGGCAGTACCTCTGACACCAGCGTCACCGACGATACCAATAGCAAAACCGGCGGCCAGACCAGCCAAACCGACGGACAAACCCGCGCCCAGCTGAATGAAGCCAGTGTATAAAGGCATTGGAGCCTTTACTATTGACGGCGTGTTAGGAAAGACGCAGTTGGGCTGGAGTAGGAGCACCTACAGTCACCACTGATCAGAACAGACACAACCAAACCGTAAATAGCAATAATACCAGCCATGACAACTGGAATAACATTTCTCATCATGAGCTGAGTGCTTTGTCAGACCAGCGCGCTAAAGACGGACAACAGCAACCCACATCTGGTCTGAGAACACCCATTGCAGAAATACCGACACCGGACTTAGCAGTACCGTATGCAGCGCCGAGTGATGTAAATACGATGGCTGCTGTGCATCCCTGGAGTGATTGTGAGCTATGTTGAGGTGAGCGTGGCTGACGGCACCCACCATGGCACCAAAGAATGGCGCGTAAGCTGGACAAAGTTCTGACATCTAAATAGCGTTAGATTGGTTTGCTTGATATTCCAGCAGCTCACTTTATAATTTAAAAGGTTATGATCGAATGGGTCAACGACACTCTCCAAACCATCAAACATACTCAATTCAACTTGAATATAAAAAATGTCAGATTCAAGCAGGCAGCCTATTAGCTATTCAGATGTTGCGCCGGAAGAAATCCCAGAAACTGCGCTTCCTGATCCCAATTTCGTGGCTGAATTGAGAGACAGTAAACCTTCTCATAAGCAAAAGAGAAAGTCAAAGAAGCAGCGAAATGACAAGAAGAAGATCGATCAAATGAGTCAGTACTTCGACGAGATCGACGCTGGCGTTGCTGCTGACGGGCACGATGACGAGGAGGACAGCGAGGAGTTTGCTGAAGCTGCTTTCATTGACGGCGATCTCAGCGTCTGGGATGATTCAATGCTCCTCGAAGCTTGGGATGCCGCTAATGAGGAGTACAGACTGCTTCATGGAGACCAGTCGTGGAAGACTGACCCTAATCACCAATTGGAGACGCCCTCAATGATCTGGTATGATAGCAGTACCGATTTAGGCAAAATTGCTGCCAAACAGTCTGCCGAAAAGGTTGCCGCAACAACAAACAAGCAAAGCAAGCGTAAGAGGGACAGCAGCGAGGAAATGGAGGAATCAGAAGCAAGCGCAGATATTGGTGTGGAAGCAGAGAGACCAAGCAAAACAAGCAGGATGAACTTAACAAACACGGCAGCACCTTCACAAGTCAACAATACCGTCAACACAGGTGATCCTGGAAAGGATTACATACTACATCAGTTATCTCAAGCATGGTATGCTGCTGGTTATTGGACAGGCATATTGCATGAAAAGTACGGCGAGGCAGGCCAGTAATCTAGCATACATGCATCACAACTTGTAATATTAGAAAACCAACTCTATTACACTTGCTCACACTTATTCACCCCACGTCACACCTCTCCCTCACAAACTCATAGTATTATCTATATTATCGTTTTGTACAGAATTTTCAATTTGTTTAGAAGCTAAAAGTATGTCAGTGATACACCACCACAAAAATAAAGACACCCACTGAATTGGTTTAGAGTATGACGCAAGTGCAGCCTCCTTGAATGCCTCAGAGAGTGTTGGGTGAGCGTGACAAGTACGAGCAACATCTTCAGCCGATGCCTTGTACTCCATAGCAAGAGCTGCTGATGCAATCATTTCACCTGCGTTTGGTCCAATGATGTGCACACCAAGTATTTCATAGGTATCAGCTTCGATGATGAACTTGACAGTACCTTCAGTGTCCATGTTGGTCTTGGCACGTGAGTTGGCCAAGAATGGGAACTTTCCAACCTTGTAATTGACGCCAGCCTCCTTCAATTGCTCTTCGTTACGACCAACCCAGGCGACTTCTGGGTAAGTGTAAATAACTGATGGGATGACATCGTAGTTGACGTGACCGTGACCGTGCTTGATTATCTCAACTGCTGCAATTCCCTCTTCCTCAGCCTTGTGAGCAAGCATAGGTCCGAATGTAACATCTCCGATACACTTGACACCTGGTACTGATGTGTTGTATTGTCCGTCGACTGGAATTCTGCCTTTGTTGTCGAGCTCGATTCCAATCTTGTCCAAACCGAGGTTACGAGTGACTGGTCTACGACCAATCGAGCAGAGAACAACTTCAGCGTCGATGGCCTCACTCTTGCCATCCTTGACACCCTCAACGTTCAACTTGACGCCGTCGGCGTGTTTCTCAGCAGAGACAACCTTGGTATTGACCTTGAATTCAACACCTTGCTTTGCGAGTATCTTTTGGAAGTTCTTTGCAATTTCACCATCCATACCGGCACCGACTGAGCCCATGAATTCGACAACAGTGACCTCAGCACCCAATCTTCTCCAAACTGAACCCAATTCCAAACCAATGATACCACCACCGATGACAACCATCTTCTTTGGTACCTTTGGAAGATCCAATGCACCGGTTGATGAGATGACTTGCTTCTCATCAATCTCCAAACCTTGTCCTGGGAATGGCGTAACTTCTGAACCAGTTGCGATAATGACGTTCTTTGCTTCGACTTGAGTCTCGCCACCGTCAAGGAGGTTAACATCGATCTTGTTTGGAGAGTTGAAGCTACCGGTACCCTTAATGTAATCGACCTTGTTCTTCTTGAGAAGACCTTCGACACCCTTGGTGAGGCCAGTGACGGAGGTGTCCTGTGACGGCGTTAAGTAAAGCAATTACATCATGCTATAACCCACCTTTGCCTTCATCATTGTGTCGAGGTTGAGTGATACGTTTCCAATGTCAACACCACGGTGCTTCATGTCGTGGTGAGCTGCCTCGTAGTGGTGCGAGTTGTTAAGCAGAGCCTTTGAAGGGATACATCCAACATTTAAACAAGTACCACCGAGACTTCCGCGACTTTCAATGCAAGCGGTACGGAGACCCTCTTGGCCTGCTCTGATCGCAGCGACGTAGCCACCCGGGCCTGCGCAAAGCGTGAGCGAATGAGTCTACATAAAATAATCAATTTACTCACCACCACCGATAATAACTACATCGTATGGATCAGCGCCTGTTGCGTATGAGCGCAAAACGCTCTTGCCGCCCCAGACGAGAGGTTGCGGGGTGGCACGAGGAAGAATCCTAGAAAATTGTGTCTACCGGATTGTGAGATTCACCTTGCAAATCCAGCTGTTACCCACGCGTGTGGCTGATCTAAGCATTGGCGAATATGATGAGAGTTAAGAGCGAGTGCAATCATCGCCAATAAGAGTCAGAAAATTTAGAATTTCAAATGTGGCAATAGGATTGGGTTTGAATTTATGTATTAGCGTACACCATCCTCTTTGCCTGTTCTCGCTTGCGAGGCAGCAATTTGAAACGGTCAGATTGAAAGGCACTCGCTGCACAAGGTAAATTGAACACAATGACCTGTAGATTGATCATTATGACACTTCATATACATTCTGCTTCACTCCGGTATCAACCGTCGCGAACCACACATAGCCGCAATTGGCGAGAATTGGCGCTTTGCGGAGTTAAAAAAGTTCAATCAACATTAGAACAAGATCACTATTTCACTCATTGCAATGAAATCAGCTTTAAACAAAAAATTGCGAAAAATTATAACAATAGAAGGAGCAAACCGGATTTGAACCGGTGGTCTTAAGATGACTGATATTGCAATCTTACGCTTTAACCAACTAAGCTACTGCTCCTTAAATTTCGGAATTGATTGTCTTTATATATACTGCTTGCTTTAAAAACTAGTAAATAGTGATAAAAAAATTCTCACCGAATATTTTCCCTACGACTAAATCCTATCGCTGCCGTTTCCGACTTATTGATTTACCTATATGACTGTGTGTGGCACAGAGGACACCAT